TTATACAACTCCCATACTTTTGTATCTTCTATGCATAAAGTGTCAGAGTTTTTCTCTGCTAGAAACCACCACACCTTTATTTTATTTTTTATGAGCTGTTACGAATGTCATGATTTCCTTTGAAATTTCTAACTCTATAAAGTATCATCAGAGCTTCAGTACAGTCAAACTCCAACCAATTCTAAAAGAAATATTACGGACGAGTATGGTGGTACCTAACACACATTTTTTTTTCATTTTTTGTTTTTTTAAAGAACGTCAATCGTCACTTCAACTACTTTAACGGAGTTGAGTTTTACGAGTTCCTTTTCAGTGAAGAAGACTAAAGTAAATGAAGCCTTCCATCTACTTTACACATCTCTTGTATCCTTTTATCGCTGATGCGTACACCTGTGAAAAAAAAAGAAGGGGGAAAATGCGTGACTATTTTTATATGCATGTGACTACTAGAGCTAAAGACTATGAAAAAAAAAAGCAAAAAGTAAACAAAAAAGGACGCAAAAAACAGAAAAAGACGAGCGACAACGATGCAAAACCTTATTTACCATCAAGAACTACAATTCTGTTCATGCGGATAGCTCATTAGCTTATATATAACTCTCATCATGTTCTTGCAGAAATGAGCTTGTCAGAACATTGCGCATTAAAGATCAATTCTCTATTTTTCTCATTCAGCCTGACGTCCGATGTTGATTCGCGCATCCTTTTAACAGCCACTCATGATAGAAAGTAAGAGTTTTCAGGGTAAAAAACAAAGCGCACACGCGTTTAAAAAATGTTAAGCTCTTTAACGTATCTGATATATATATATACAATCGATGTCTGATCGATTTCCTAGAAATATAATAGATTTTTGACTATTACAAGAATAATAGGAGAGCCTTTTATGGATGATATTAAAAAATATGTATAGTTTTTAGTAGTGAACAATATAAAATACAACAAAGCACAGAGGAAGGGTCTTTATAAAAATTGATTTATTCTATAGGATTTAATAAAGCCTTACAAAAGGAATCACTAGGCAAGATATCTGCTTTACACGCTTGATAGTTATTTTTCTTCTTTGAGCCTCGATCTTTTCAAGCTGTTTGAACGTCGGGGTTTATTATCTTTTGCAGGAATATGCTTTGCTCATAATACAATCCGACTTGCTGTTTGGATAGTCACACTCATGTCAGATATCTCTCGTTAATAATATATGTTTTTAATAAAATGTGTTAGTGTAGTCTTGGTCTAATTGTACTTTACTCTTAACAATATACTTGATCATACGTATTCCAATTCATGCTTGTAGTACATAAAAATAAGGTATGAAGGGGTATGAGAAGGGTATCTGTAGTGGTACATTGAGTGTGTCTTCAAAATTACAACAATGAACCTCAACTGTATTTATCTATTTCCATTTCTCCCTCTTATTAATGATCAATTATCCAGAGAAATATAGCTTATCACAACATATTGGAAATATCTTTATAAGTATCGAAAGATAAAAGCAATAAATTCCACTTACATATTACTTCTGTTTTCGTTTAATTTTCTCTTTCAAGAGAACAAACCGTCGATTGCCAATATTTGGGCTAAGGATTTGTTAGAGAAGATCAATATATCTATATATGTATTACTGTCTATTTATATAATAGCTTATGCTAATAGTGAGTGAATCATTCACAGTCTTTCAAGCTGCAAAATTTCAAGACAACACTCACAAACTGAAGGTATAAATTATGAGCTTTGAAAAGATACTGATAAAAAAGCAGTATTTAATATTTTTTATTAGTTTCGGGATGGTGCTATGTAAGTCAATTGAAGGTCATGATACTACGCAGACCAATTGTCAGCTGATAGATCTTACGAGTCAGTTGAAGGCTACAACGTTGCTTGGATCACTTGGAGGCTGGTACGGTTTGTGGGTCAGTTGGATACTGCAGCTCCGTGTGAGACTTTTTGAATACTGGCATATTTTGTGCAGCAATCGGGTATTGTGGTGCCATTTAGGTCAATTAGAAGAGTTTTATTAATCTAAATCATGTTAGTTTAGATTGTAGTTTCAGTATCACAGTTAGAATAATTTCAAACATACTTAGTTAAACAGATACATATACTCTGAAAGTCGTTGAATTTATTGGTGAAATGAAGAAGTGTTTAATACAAAAAACCAGCTGTATATCAAAATACATCAAGTAAAGGCTCTTTATACTTTTATGTAACATAATGGAGCGCATTAATATCCACCATTTTCAACTTGTTTTACATTGATTACTCAAATATTGATCAAAACCATTTATTTTTTCACTCTAAAGAACCATTTACTAATACATTTTTGGATATTTACACCACAAGACCGTATTTGATCCCAAAGTTCCGCCAGGACATACACCTAAAAAAAATTCAAAATTTGGATTTTTTTCTATTAAGTAAAGTTGATTATAAAGTTAATCAATGATGGTCAGTGCTTGTTTGATCAATATCAGCTAAATATTCATGGAGATATCAAGAGATTTAAAAATGACAATATCGATATTTACACCTTGAGACGATTTTGTTTGAATGTCCGATAGTAAAAATGTAACCCAAGAATTATTGCTATATCAAGCTTTGAATGTAGAATCGTCTAAGGAATATATATATATACCTGATAAATATCAATGGCTTGGCTGGTCATGTACCAATTGTAAGTTTGTTGATTTAGTTGCTATGGAAAGTTTTTATGCAGAATGAGCAATCATCTAATTATATAATTTCTATAGTGGTAGATGAAATAATCAAATCTTAATTTGGTTGATAAGCCAATAGAATCACTTCTTTTTTTTTTGATCTTTAACTTGTTGTTGTCCCAGAACTTGGGATCGTGTGTTTCATGTTACTTGTAACAAATCCAAAAGGATAATAATAATAATACAGATAATGATAATATATTTATATAAACCTTAATTTTTTCTTTTTGATTGTGAGCATAATTGATCAAAAAAATAATAATACCTTGGCTGACTAATTTCCCTGATTTGGTTTCTACACTAGCGGTTGTCAACACAATGCTTAAATCTGATCAAAAGGCCACACAAATCTTGGCGAAAAATAAAGTAAAAGAAAATAAAATAACCGAGTATTGCGACTATTAAAGAAGTAATAGATATATAGATGTTATCTAATTAGGATCGCAATAATCTTTGACTTTTTGTCTTGTTCTCAAGCTCCCCACATCTTTTAAACTCTTTGTAATCAGACACAATGACTATAGTCTTTTAGTCAATGCCTTTATTGAATGCTCTTTCGTATAACAAACAAAAGAAAAAAGAAAAGGGTATACGCAAGCCTTTGTACCGCAGCTGATCTTTTATTTTTAAATTGGTATCGCGGGTTTGCGGTCAACTTTTTCCTTTATTGAATAGGAGTTAGTTGTATCCATCTATCGAATAAATTCCTTTTTAAAGCAAGACAATATTAGTGCTAGATGAAAATGTATGAGCAAAAAAAAAAGAAACAAGTATGACAACTTTAACATATAAATTAAATAAGCTTCTTCTTCTTAGGTAACATTTTGCAATCAGTAAAGAAGTGTGATATGCTTACAATAAAATACCATTGTATAAAAATATACATATTAATATCAGAGCGTATTTAATTTAATGTCTTGTAAAGCAACCACTTTATGACATTATGAGCCTAAAAAAATAATTAACAAAAAATGAGATCACAACTTTAAAGTCACTATCGCACAAGAAGTTGGATTTTAACCTTAGAAGAAGAAGAGGAAGAAGAAGAGAAAAAAATGTGTGCGTGCCTGTGACAAGATACTTTTCGGACATTGCGTATTCTACCTAATGATTTTCCCTATAAATGGTACCTAAACTTCTCTAAGGTTCCTTTCTCTTCAACTCATTTCTCGATTGAAAACGAAGCAAATATTTTGTACATCTTTTCAGATCCGACAATGGTAAGGACGCTCACATTAGTTATTATGGAACATACTCTAATTAACTATTTTTAGGATCATTCATTCATACAATCACAATGTACTGAAAAGGAGTAAGTAAAAACAGATCAAATCAGATCAAATCAAATAGACAGAAAGGCAGAAAACTTTTAAGCTATCAAAATTCTGACCATCTCAATATTTTATTCTTCTAGCATTGCATTGAGCCTTATTCCGGCAGGTCTATTTACCCCGGCAGTTTGTTTCCTGGTTGCTCGTAGATGGGGTTCAAAGAAGGAGTCCTCATGGGCTGGCACTGAGACAAAGGTCCAGAAAGTCCTTAGACCTCTACAAGCTTTTCTTTGCTTTATCCAGGCTATCACATGGGGCTACTATCTTGCGATTAGTTCCAAAGACACAAAATGCGCGGCAATTGATTCTATCCTGCCATTCTTTATCTGGGTAAGAGAATAACCTATAGAGGAGCCAAACAATAACAACTTACCATGTTAAATTACGTGTATGTGTATACGTATGCATATATATATATGTGTGTGTGTGTGTGTGTTTTAGTGTTCATTGTTTGTACTCTCAATTACCGGGCCAAAATATACCCATTTCTCGTCTCGCCACCATCTCCATTTCTTTATCAGTGTTTTCTTCTTGGGACTTTTGGATGCTGTTTATAGAGTATTTTTCCCAAAAAGTCAAATTATAGGCTACACAATAGATACATATTTGCTATTTGTAAACCTTGTGAACTCGTCCCTATTGTTCCTGATAGCTGGGTCTATTTCCCAGCCTATAAATCCTAAAAACATCGAAACCGAAAACAACGAAAAAGTAGAAATCAAGGATGGTCATATATACCGTAATGTGAGTAGAATTTTTTTAGTTATAAGTTAATATCGGTTTATTTAATATATACACACTTCAATAGAATCGTCGTATCAGTCCTGAAGTCTCGGCAAGCTTTTTTGAATGGCTTTCTTTTTCATGGGTACAGTATACTTATCCCAAGATAATTAAAGAAAAAGAAAGAGTTATATCCAGAGATTCTCATAATTTTTTTTGTTTTGTTTTATAGATGAATTCAATCATATACTTTGGTTTTTCAAACGATCTGCGCCAAAGTAATCTCTATTCTCTTAATTATCAACAAATATCTCGTTTTGCATTCAAAGAGTTCATTGATACCATAAAATTCACAAATCGCAAAAGCATTTTTCTCCGCACATGCAAGGCCAACAAAGGTGTCATAGTAGTCCAGCTATTCTTCTCGATAGCGGCTACACTATTAAAATACATGAACCCTTTCTTCCAACAAAAGCTACTTGAATATATCACCGATTCTAAAGGACTCCCCTTAAGCACCGCTTATACTTTTGTATTTGGTATGTTCTCTGTTGGAGTGGGCGAGGTACTCTTCAATGGCATCAGCTTGTGGGCCGGAAGACGCTGGAATATTCGCATATTTATGATGCTGGACGCCGAGATCTATGCAAAGACTTTGAAGCACAAGGACATGTCTGGAAAAGTCGAGAAGAAAACACCAGAAGGACAAGATGAAAAATCCAAGAAGGAAAAGCCTTTTAGTAGTGTTGGCAAGATCACTAATTTGATGAGTTTCGATGCTGACCGCCTTGCCGACTTTCCTCTTAATGCAACTGTAAGTTTAATAAGTTGGCCTTGTCATATAAAATTATAATAATAATTGGAGAGTCATCACTAATTTATATATATATATACTTGGATATTATTTCTATTAGATGCTATACACCTCTCCACTCGAAATTTTTGTGGCCATTTTTTACCTGTATAATTTGCTTGGATTCGCTGCAATTGTCGGACTGGGTATCATGGTCGTATTTTCCCCGGTGACTGGAATAATTACAAAAATCATGACCAAGAGATATAAGGAATATTCAGCTGCCAAAGATAAACGCAATGCTTTGGTTAATGAACTTCTACAGGGTATTAGAATGATCAAATACTTTGCTTGGGAAGATAACTGGGAAAAGAGAGTTATGGAGGCTCGTAATACAGAACTCTCAAAACTCATTAGAAATCTGTCTGCCAACATCTTATTGTCCATTACATATCTTGCTGTCCCGGCCTTGGTGTCTTCTGCCTCCTTCATATGGTACACAAAGATAGCCGGAAATGATCTGACAGCTAGTGTGGCATTTGTCAGTATTACGCTGTTTACAATGCTTCGCAACCCACTCAATGGAATCCCTGATATAATCAACACCGTTACCGAGAGTTACGTCTGCTTAAAGCGTATTGAATCATATATTGAGGAGCCCGAAATTGGAGATGGTATTGTAAATGAACCTATCACTGTTCCCGAAGGTGTTTCGCCCGAGACTATTCTCGCTCGTATTGGTACCGAAGAGTCTGTTTTCCGTTGGCACTCTGGCGAGCCCGACTCTGAACCTGAGCCTGAGGTCAAGGATGATGCTGCTACCGAAGTAACTCCTGATGAACAGCCCGTTTTCTCTCTCAAAGTTCCCGCCTTTGAGTTTCCAACCTCTGAACTTAGTATCGTCTGTGGTCCGACCGGAAGTGGAAAGTCGAGTTTCTTGCATGCCCTTCTGGGAGAAATGGATATCGTCTCTGGACGTGTTTACTTGCCTTCCAAGACCAAGCTAGATCTTGATACTACATATTCTGTCGTTGATCCCGAGTATCCCTCTCTCGTCCTGAATAAGGTTGCATATGTAGCCCAGCAAGCCTTTTTACAACATGCCTCGATCCGTGACAATATCCTGTTCGGCCAAGAATTTGATCCAGTTCGCTACAAGAAGGTGCTTTCCCAGTGTGCCCTCGTCAAGGATCTCTCCATCTTTTCAGACGGCGATCGTACCGAGATTGGTGAGAAAGGTATCTCTTTATCTGGTGGTCAAAAGCAACGTGTTGCTTTGGCCCGTGCTGTTTATTCACATGCAAAGACCGTGCTTCTGGACGACTGCCTTAGTGCTGTTGATGCACACACTGCCAAGCACATCTACCAGCGTTGTATTAAAGGCGACCTTCTCAAGGGGCGTACGGTAATTTTGGTAACCCACCATGTGCGTCTTTGCTTGCCCGCTGCAAAATTTGTCATGAAATTTGAGCGTGGCGCTGTGGCCGGCTATGGATATATTGAATCTCTTAGAGAAGACGATTCTCTAATCAGTCTTTTGGGCGAAGAAATTATCGACAACAATGAGTATCCTGAAGATCTTATCGAAGAAGCGGACGAAGAATTCGATTTAATTGACGATAATGCAGATGTCCATAATATGATCAAAGAAGAGAAAACCGAGAAAGGACATGTAAATTATAAAGTGTACTCAACCTACTTTTACGCATGTGGTGGCTGGTTTTTCTGGAATACACTCTTGTTATCTTTTTTAATTGCCCGAGCATTAGTATTCGGAGAGAATTGGTAGGCAAATATTATGAATATCTCTGATAAGCAGCCTGAAGCCTTTTACATATTTAATATATATTATTTTAGGTGGTTGAGACTCTGGGCTGCAAGCAGAAGTACATCAGGAGAGCCTATAGGAAATCTTACTGCTACTGCAGTTCCTATGATTTATAATGGAATGTCGTATTTTAACCAAGTTATCAAAGATCAAAATGTGTTCCAGTCCTGGGTGCATGAAGACGACCAGCCAAGAAGCGTAGATTACTACATTTCTGTGTACCTGTGTATTTGCTTTGGTTTTATCTTCTTCAATTCTCTCCGTAGCGTCTTTCTCTACTGGGGCTCATTGCGTGGTGCAAGAATCATATTTAAAAGCTTGCTACACAGAATAATACACTCGCCTATGCGCTTTTTCGACACAACTCCCATTGGCCGTATTCTCAACCGCTTTGGAAACGACTTAGCTACGGTAGACATCAACGTCGCTCGTGCTATCAGTCGTTTACTCGAGCAGATTACATCTCTTGCTGTGTCTGTCCTTGTAATGTGTGTTATCACACCCCAGTTTGCAGTAGTTGTGTTCTTTGTCGGAGCACTATATATCTTGATTGGCTTATTCTACCTACGCGCGTCACGTCAGTTCAAGCGTATCAACTCTGTCACTCGATCACCCATTTACTCGCACTTTACCGAAACTCTTATGGGACTTACCACAATCCGTGCTTACTGCCAAGAAGACAACTTTCAGCTTAACCTTTACCAAAAGATTGATAATCATATAGCGCCTTTCTACCTTTTGTGGATGACCAACCGTTGGCTGTATGCTCGCATAGAGTTTGCTGGCACATTTATTACTTTGTTTATCGGTGTCTTCCTCCTTAAAAACCTTGATACCATTGATGCTGGTATGGCTGGTATCTCCTTTTTCTATGCCCGTTCATTCCTGGATAATATCTACTGGATCATCCGCATGTACACCCAGGTTGAGATGTTCCTAAATTCAGTCGAGCGTGTTCAAGAGTACACTGAAATAGAGCAGGAGGCTCCTGCCGTTATCAGTGGGAGCCGCCCCCCTGCTGCTTGGCCCACGACTGCCTCTGTTGAAGTAAAAGATCTCGTGGTTGGGTATGCAGCAAACCTTGATCCTGTACTTCATGGAATCTCTTTTGACATTCGATCTCACGAAAAAGTGGGTATTGTTGGACGCACTGGATCAGGAAAGAGCACCCTCACACTCAGTTTCTTCCGTTTCCTCGAACCAACCAGCGGAAGTATCGCTATCGATGGCATTGACATTACTCATATTGGTGTACAGGATCTTCGTTCCAAGCTCACAATTATTCCCCAAGATGCCGTTTTGTTCTCTGGAACTATCCGTTCCAACCTCGATCCTTTTGAAGAATACACAGACAGCGCAGTCTGGGAATCTCTGGTTAGAGCCCACCTTTCTTCCGAAAGCCGTGACGAGGAAGTTGCAGAAGGAAATGCTACCTGGGCTGTCACTAGTCTTAACCAAACTGTGAGTGATGGTGGTAACAACTTTTCTCAAGGGCAACGTCAGCTACTTTGCATGGCTCGCGCATTGCTCAAGAACAGCAGACTTATTATCATGGACGAAGCTACCGCCAGTGTTGATTTCGAGACTGACAAGAAGATTCAGAACACAATTCGCGAAGAGTTTGTCAACTCGACTTTGATCTGTATTGCCCATCGCCTGAGAACTATTATGGATTACGACCGAGTTTTGGTGCTCGATCAAGGCAAGATTATTGAATATGACACACCCGCAAACCTGTTGATCAATGATGCTGGTACCGGTCTATTCAAATCAATGTGTGAGAAGTCCGGTGAACTCGATGTGTTGATCGAAATGGCTCATAGTGCAGAAAAATTAAGTGATTCAGGCAAGATGTTTGAACAAGCTGATCAGCACACAACCAGCCGCCAAGATTAAGTAGAAGTTTATAGATTATTACTCAAATATACATTATACACCCCTTTTTAATTGACTCATTAAATGTTTACATAAAGCAAATAAATGATATATCAATCTTCTTTAGAAATACCTAGAATATTTTTATTTGATATATATTTTTAACTTGTTCCTAGTGTAGTACCCACAGAAGTGTAAAAAGAATGTATTGAGTGTTGGGTCTTGGTCTTTGTTTCAAGATATGTCAGAAAGCCTTGAAGCTTCGTATAATATATTTTGATATTCCCAAAAACAAATAAAAAGTACAGCTTAAAATATCGAGAAGATAGTAGCATGCCCTTTTTTGCCCTTCTCCTAGAAATATCACTATAATACAGCTTTGACTGGTATATATACCGAAAGTAATTTAATGGTGTACTATTTGACTGGCAAAAAAAAGGATGATGGTATGCACTGAAATTTATGTTTATAAATGCTTACAAGGTATTATTTTTAAAGAAAAATAAGTTCTAACTCTTCATTCTAAAATAAAATAAAATAAGATGAGTGAATGAATTTCTTTGGAGAAGTTTGACAAAATAAAGCAAATTACACAAAAAAGTTTTAAAAAAGAAATAGAAATAGAGATAGAATATTTATTTCATTTACCATATAGAGTGATGAAAGCTGGAAAGAAAAAAATGACTAGAGGCCCATCTTTATGATCAGTCTCGGTTGACTCTGTTCAAATGGTTAACCATTTCGAGTCATTATAAGGAGGTCTCTCTCTCTCGGTATTTACATAAGTTAAATACAAGAACCCAAATTGAGCCAGAAGTCTTCCGGCCATTCCAAATGCCATAATTGACAGAGTTTTAAGATAAGGTAACTCCAGATAAACTGTGTTAAAAGAGTAATATTAATGTTGCAGTTATAATGAAATAAACACGACTTATTCTTCTTGTTTTCTATCAAATTTACCTGAGAGAGCCTCAACATTAGATACTAGAACAATAATAGAGACCAGCCAAGAATATTCTAGCTGCTTGTAGTCCCAAATAACCATAAGGATTAAGAGCATCTTCCCAAAACTAGATATTATCAAAGCCATTGCCACATAGTTGTAACTAGCTCAAGTAAAACGAAATCAGTGATTTTATTTTACTCTATTTTACAACTTTAATAATAGTCGGTAATTTATCAATACATACCGAACAGGCTTATTTTGACCACGAAAACACCATCGAACTGCCATACATACACAGCAATGGAATACAATAAACTCTAAGAAGGATTTCAAGTTTAGCCTACTAAAAATTTGGTTATCATATAATTTCTTACCAAATATGCAAAGAGCAAGAATATATAGATATTGATAACACAGTGGCTGTTTTATAAAATTCACATCATACTCGGTGTCATATCTCTCCAAACGAAACCATTTGATGTCTGAACAAGAAGTCAAGGTTTTATCTCTTTCTTATATTTGTATAAAATATCTATTTTGGATTCCACGTATAAAAAAAAAGAAAATGAAAGAAAGAAAAAGAAAAAAAAAGGATACAGACTTCAAATAGAATCAAAAGAATGGCAAATCGAAACACATGTGGCTAAGAATCTCATCAATATCTTGCTATTTTTGTTTATTGGTGTATATAAAGTTGAACTGACCTGTATACCATTGCCCTTTTGGGTAATTCTATTCAACAAGAGATGTCGGTACACTTGCGGCTTATGTAGCAACATGTCAATGAAGATGATGATGAAATCATGTTCAATGTACTTGTCTGCGAAATTACTGCACTTGTCCTATTTGTTTATACACGCTGAGAACAGTCTTTAGGCATAAATTCATACACTATAACTTACACATGTTGTCAGCCTAATATTGTCTTTACTATATTGAGCATAAAGGTCTGCAACAGATGCACCGCATTCTACACATGTCGGCATTATAGAGAGGTCTCCTTATTTGAGTAAAGGTACAACTAAAGGTAGGCGAGAAAGTAAGCCATTAACGTGACTTGTTTGAATAGCAAAAGGTACGGAGCAAGCTGTTCTTTATAAACAGTATGTCTTTCACTTCTTCATCCCCCGTACACCCTCATGCTAGGAATCTGGGACCAGCACACATTGGAATGATGCATAGGCAGATTCCAAAGAATTTTTGTAAATGGAAACACGCTCAGGTTGTCGATGAGCGCCCTGACCCAAAGGGTCGCTTTGTCGTGACAAATAACTCTTTTCCTCCAGGAACAGTCTTGCTACAAGAACAACCCTTTATAAAAAGTCTTCACCACTCATATAGATATAGTCATTGCACGTTTTGCTTTTTGCCTGTCAAGAAACCTATTCACTGTCGCCGTTCTGGCTGCAGCTGGCCACTCGTGTTTTGTTCCACAGCGTGTGAGAATGAAAACTGGGAAACTGGAATACATTCTTGGCTGTGTCAATTTCCTGAAACCCAACAATGGGATGATGATATCCTGCTTGCTTTAGATGGATATACCAAAGCAAGAATAAACTGGAAGTCAGGTATTATATATATGGCTTACAATAAGATCCTGGCGGATAAAAAAAATCATTAAACACTTATTTTTATGCACTTAAGGAACTGATTTAATCGCACTATCTGATCTTGTTTCCAACCTTGAACATCATCCCCAGACACAAATATCAGAATACCGTGCAAAGGCAAAAGAAATAGCATCCTTATTTTACCTTTCTGAGCATGCAGTTGATTCACTAGTGCTTATACAAGCACAAATACGATGCAACAGTTTCTGTATCCAACATACTGCATCCGCTGTCTCTGATTCTCTAATCTCTCAGATGTCAGACAGTCTTGGAAAGGGAGTTTATTTGTCTGCTAGTAGATTGAATCATGATTGCAGCCCAAATGCAGTTGTTACTTTTGGCCAAGAGGATACACCCTCTCTCTTAGTGGTACGCAGCACTCAAACTGTAACAGGCGCTGGGGAGAATGTATCAATCAGCTATGGTCCCATGGCTGTAAAGCACCCTTTGGTAGAAAGACGGCGTCTCTTGAATGATCATTACTTCTTTGAGTGTCAGTGCAAATCATGCTTACCATCGTAAGAATATCAAAAATTTTACTCTGCTTTGTGTATTTTCTATTCTTTTTTTTTAATCTGGACATAAGAGCTGAAGTAACAGGCGAATCGATCTACCTATGCCAACAATGTCCGTTAGGCCGACTCTATCGACTGCAGCCTAATTGTCCAATCTGTAAATCCTGCACTGAATGGAGAATTATAGAAGATGTAAATACAAACGAATATGTTATTTGTTTAATGTCACCAAAATCAATTCATACTTATCTAATTATATATATATATAGCAAGAAAAGGAAATCGAGGGTTATATCCGCAAGGGAAAGTTTGAGATTGCGTTGGAATGCCAAGAAAGGATTTATGATAAGGAGGCATACCCAATTGGTCGTACAGTGGATGAGCTCGCTCGGGTATATGCTATGCAAGGTGTATTTGGATTGTCGGCCAAATATAGTAGTCGTTCGCTTGGTATCGTTCAACGTACTTTTGGCATGTCCAGTTTGGAGGCGGCTGAAGAAATGATGAAGTTATCTTCTCTTTTATTTGAAAGGCAAGTAGGGATCTTTCCAGTTTTACTTACTCGCTTACTTATTTATTTCCCTCTTTATTCAATCATATAGAACCATGCAATCTAGAAACAAACGAAACATCAAAGAAACTCTGGATCAAATTAACGCAACCCAAAAACTTTATCGACAACTTGGATTAGACCAACAGAAGACACAAGACAGTAATGAGCTCAATGATATGAAAGGATTTTTTAGTCAAAAAAAGAATTGATAGCAATGTTTGATTTATGGAATGCTCGTATTATGACAAGAGTATAAAAAGATATAAACAAAAGAGAAAGAAAAACAAATGAACTACATCTATTGAGATTTAGAAATCATCCTCCTCATCGGTGAACACCTCCTCGCCACGCTTGCGGCGTTCCATTCTGTCCTTCTTCTTCTTACGGAGCTCCTTAGAAGAGAGCTTCTCCTTCTTCTTGACAGCCTTGATAGTGTTACCCTGGGCATCAACGGTATCCTCAGCTTCCTCCTCCTTGATAGCAGCACCGGCGTTACCAGTAACCCAGTTGTGGCCGGAAGCGACAAGACGACCGGCATCAACCTTCCAGACTTCGTTACAGAGAGCTTCAGAGAACTCACGGTTGTGAGTAACAATGACGACACCACCTCCGTATTCCTTGATAGCGGTAGCAAGGGCACCAAGAGACTCACGATCCAAGTAGTTAGTAGGCTCATCAAGAACCAACATGTGAGGTCTGTTCCACATAGCAGCACCGATAACAAGCTTGACCTTCTGTCCACCAGAGAGACCACGGATACGGGAGTGAGTGGCGAACTCGGGGTCAAGACCAACTTCGGTCAAGTGCTTCTCGATTTCCTTGGCAGTCAAAGGACGGTTGAGACCCATCTTGGCGGCTTCCTTGGCATCGACTTCAGCAATCTTCTTACCGAAACCCATGGCCTCGAGCTTCTGACGGGAGATCCAGGTGTTATCGACGGAAGAACGTCCGATCCAGGAGACCTCGTACTCGTAGGACTGCTTGAGCTTACGACGACCGACCAACTCCTCAACAACGCGCTTCTCACCATCAATGACAAAGGTCTGGGACATAGCCTTCTGCTCCTCCTCGTTGATCATGCGATCGTTCTTCTCGAGCTCTTCTCTGTCCTCACCGGAGGCATAACGCCACTGGATGTACTCGTTGGGGGTGCTGTCCAAGTGTCTTTCGATATGGTGGAAAGCGTGCTGGGCAACGTAGGCAATACGCAAGTTAGGATGCTTCCAGACGGTACCGATATCGGACTCGATCTCGCCGGTCAACAACTTGATGAGGGTAGACTTTCCGGCACCGTTGGGACCAATGACGGCAACACGGGAGGCAAGGGAGCACTGCATGGTAATGTCATACAACTGCTTCTTGGAGGTGTTGGGGTACTGGAAGTCAACGTTCTTCATCTTGAGAATAGCACGCTCCTTGGTCTTGATACCCTCAAGGTATCCAGGCTCGGGGAAAGCGAAACGGATCTGGGCAGCATCGAGAGAGTAGTAGGAAGCAGCCTTGGGGACCTTCTTGACGAACTCGGACAAGTTACCACCATAACGCTTGAGCTTGTAGTTGGCTTCATAATGGATGATGTCGGAACAGACGTGATCGAGGAAACCAGAGTCGTGGGAGACAATGATGGAGGTAACGGTCTTGAGACCCAAGAGGTAGTTCTCCAACCAGGCGACGTTAACAACATCCAAATGGTTAGTGGGTTCGTCCAACAAAAGAATATCGGCGTTCATCAACATGGCACGGGCAAGAGCCAACTTCATCTTCCATCCACCGGAAAGAGCACCAATGGGCATGGTGGTGACCATTTCCTCAGTGAAGCCATACTCGCGGAGAATCTTGGCAACCTGGGCACGATCCTTGGTCTCAACACCCTCGGAGGCAATGACGAAGTCAACAAGGGGAGTATCGGCCTCGGAACCATCGATATCGTGCTCGACGTAGACGGTCTTGAGCTCGGACTTGGGAGGGAAACCTTCGACCTGCTCGTTGGCAATGGCGCGCATGAGAGTGGACTTTCCGCAACCGTTGGCACCGCAAAGACCATAACGTCTACCACGCTTGAGGCGGAGGTGAGTACGGTTCAAAAGAATCTTGGCACCATAGGCAAGGGAGAAGTCGCAGTTGCAGAGATCTTCACCTTCATCATCTTCCTCCTCGACGATCTTGGCAGTGACAGCCTCCTCGCACTTGTCGAGAGCATCGACGGCGAGCTTCTCAGCCTGCTCCTTGGGAAGGAAGGCACGGACATAAGTACCAATGGCCTCGAGCCAGACGTTCTTGAAGAAACGGTGACCAATGCAGAGAGCGAGAGCGATGTCATCGATGTACTTGATAATGGGAGCGTAGAAAGAATCGAGCTTGGCGGGCAAAAGCTCCTCGAAGGTCTTGGTGACCTTGGAGGCCTTCTCGGCCTTGGAGAAGATCTCGTGGTCAGAGGTACCAACACGCTTGAGGGTGGCAAGGGCCTTCTGGACGACGCCACGGCACTCGGGATCGGCAACGATCTCCTGGACCTTGTCGAGGGCGGGCAACAACAGGGGCAAGAAGGGGGCGGCAACCTCGGGATCGTCGACAAGCTTGCACATGTTATCAACGATAAGAGCAGACATACGCTTGATGGGAGTAGCACGCTCGTTCAAACCACGGTTAAGAAGGGGAACCATGATGGAGAGAGTGGGGGAGTCGACCTCCTGGACGAAAGTGGTGGCACCCAACAAGTGAATGGTCTCGGGGACGTTCTCGGGGTGGTTAATGCAACCAATAACGGCGGGAATGAAGCGCTCGATATCCTTGTTCTCGACGAGAGCGCAGATGTTACCCATGGTAGAGGTAGCGGCCTTCTTGACATCGGTCTTGGTATCCCACATGCAGTCAGAGACGACGGGGATGACTTCAGGAATGGAGACAAAGAACTGGGGACCGTTCTTCTTGGCGAGCTCATCCAAAAGAGTCAAGGAGAGCATCTTGGTCTGCCACTTGCAGGAGTTACCGAGACCCTCGAGGATGACGGGGATCATGACAGCGGTAGCGTTGGCGTTGACCTTGAGGGCCAAGTTCTTGGCAGCCTCGAAAGCGGCAGTCTTGAGGGCAGCAGACTTATCAGCCTGGAGCTCCAAGAGGGTGGAAAGGAAAGGAAGGATGTAAGGCTCGGCCTGACCCTCGATGCTCTTGTTGGTCAAGGCGACGATGGCGGCAACAGCAGCCTGGCGGGAAGCGAGGCTCTTCTTGTTGCCCAATTCCTTGGTGATAGTCTCAAGGATCTTGAAATGCTTGAGAGAACGGATACCGAGGGAGTTAACAAATGCGGCCAAGGCATCGGCAGCAGACTCGCGGTCGGCATCGGAAGAAGCGAACAAGAGAGCGAGAAGCTCCTTGGCTTGGCTGGTCTCGGCAGCAGTGGGTGCACTGATGGTCAAGGCAGACATGTGTACAACAAAAGTGGGTGAAAGAGAGAACAATTTGTGAATAAAGACTGGCTTTCTTATTTTAAAGAAAAAAATTTTTCTTTCTTGTTTTATAATATCATCGTTACAGTATTTTGATTCGTATTCGATATGATTTTGCACTTTTATTGGCCAATCTGGGTTTAAAATAAGATGAATTCAATATTTTTTTTTAAAAAAAAAAAGTGAAAATGAAACAAACTTATTTTGGAACTGGTGAGTAATGTTTCTGAAATGATGTCTTTAACAATTATGTATATTTCAGACTTTAAGCCAGTTTGTATAATACACACACACATACAAACATAATATGTTTTAATTGTAGCTTAGTACTGATCTGTAAGTATGTATTGATACAAGAATCTTAGACCAAGAGAAGATCAATTGAGTAGTTATAATGATAATAATATATCCTTTCGGTAACTATATATCCAGGATTTAACTGAGCTTAAAGATGTCTTACAATATATCATTACAGAGAAATATAATTTGCAAATCTAATGGTGAAAAAAATAAATTAAAATTAAGAGAAACAAGAAGTATGGCTGTGCTTGGATTTACTACTACCACCATCCTAATTATCAATTTGGTTTTGGTTTTGGTTTTAGTTTTAGTTCTGGCTTTGGCTTTGACTTTGGCTTTGGCTCTTGACTTTAATATACAATTATTGATGATGTATTTATAGTTATGTTCTGCTATTCAGAATCAAGATGTAGCTGTAATTCTTTCTTTTTTTGGGTGAATTGAGAGCCATTCTGATGAGGTCATATCCAATTTCGAAGCTACAAGATGTTTGACCAGGTAAGAATACGAAACCACCAAATGAGTAATTTTCTTTGTTTTTACATATACACATTGTGTATTTCAGACTCATATTACAATATTAGAGATCTCAAACAATGATGATTTAGAATCTATAGACGCAATCAACTTCTGTCCATTCCCTCTTTATTAAAATCTCTGATGATGTTTATAAATAGTCATTTACATATATACATCTAAAAAAAAAAGACAAAAACGAATTGTTTGGCTTCTCTGGGCAATTCAACCAGTTGATCTCAGTCTGTAGATACAAATCAGATCAGCAATCAGCCACATTCAAGTTGATCATGTTTTAAAGCTAAAATTTGACAGATTCAGATCATTTAGGTTGAGATTAGTTTCTTTAAAAAAAACAACAGCTTTGTAGCGTAATGTCACAGACAATTCGCATTTTCTTTTTAAAAAAATCACAATTAATATCCATAGCTACACCATGTGGCAATGATTTCTTTTCTGATTTGTGACACACAGATTCGTAGACTGCATAAAGTTTAATAATCAGTCACGGATTTTAATGTTTTATGGTTGTGAGTGACGTTAAAAAGTTTGATCCACTCTTAAATTATTTATCCTTGAATGTAAAGAAGCAGTGTAATTACTTTGTTGTTATTATTAACGCAAGATTTTCAGAGGTGTGTTATTGTTGTTTTCAATCTAAACTAAATAGAAGAACAAAAAAGGGTCATAATTAACGGTTTAAATAAGGAATGTTAGATAATATTATGGTTGATAGTCTTTACCTTATGCAATGAATAAAATACATATATAGCTGTTAAACTAACCAGATATCATTTATTCTTTTTGGTATCTAAGCAACTCACTTTCACTTTTTTTTGTCTCGTGTTTTCTCCCATCCTTTCCATTTATAACGACGGTATGATCCACACACTTAGGGTGAGGGGGTGTCATTGAATACAAGACTGCGAAATGGCTCACGAATTTTATAATTTGTGGTGATTTGGTGTGGGGTAATCTTCTTGAATTTGTACACCATACTTGTTCTCTTCTTTTTCTCTAAAGTGTTTTTGTTGATGCTGATATCTCCATAGCTTTATGAGCTTTTGGTTCGTATATATCATATATATTATTGTCTCAATACCAGCTTGTTTGTAGCTTGGGTTATTAGACTAACTTTCCATGATATACTATTCATTTTGAGTTTGTTATTTATGTCGATCTTTTCTTTCCCTTGACCTTTGTCTTAATACTTTTTTTTAAAAAAAAACAATACTACTAATAATAACAATAATGAGAACCACTGATCTAAGGTTGGGGTTATGTAGTGTAAATAAATGTTTTTTTTTTCATCGATTATTCAGGTACATTTTTGAAATTAAGATTTTTCTTCAATTGGTTTATGTTATCGTCGTGGATTCAGATTCTTTGAAGTTACTCTTAAATCGGTCTCTATTTAGACAAACACCCATCGCCTTGGTTCTTCTCAAAATGGGGTAAAACCTTCATTCTACACTTATTCCATTCAAACAGCACCAACCAAAATGTCACTATGTGGCTTACGTTTTCGGTTTGAGTTTTGTAACGATTACAACAACAAGATGATCGATAGGTAAAGCACGTTTGTAAAGGATACAAAAAAAGGCAATATGGGAATCCAAGAAAAGATGACGTTAAAAACCGTACAATAAGTATCTGTATTTAATAGATTATCTTCCTTAATTTGGCTCTATGTTATACTTCAATTCACACGTTGGTATACATTGGAAAAGGTTAGCTTCTAGACCATGTTTCCCCTTGACTTTCATAACTATCATAAGATCGAGACTCAACAAGCAAGGTATTTCCTTTGAGTAAGTACCACATGCCCCTAAACTGACGTTTCTATAGAAGATGGAAAAGGTTTTGTTTGTTTGTTTGTTTGTTTGTTTTTGTAATGACCATAAGTAAAGTCATATTTGCTTTCAGTCCTTAATTCCTGAACAAATTGGCCAAAAAATTCAAGAGAAGAAGAAAGCCTACAATATTTGCCTGAATCAAATAATAATAAAAGGAAGAATATTTATATACAATAAAGCTTGATTGCTTGCGGAGCCATTTGTAGCTTCAATAGTTTTCGAGTAGCAGGATAACCCCCACACAAATATATATATATATATAAACCAACTCAATCCCCCTTTTATTTATGTAACATTGTTTGAATAAAATCATGATAAGGTAGGGCTCTAATAAAACAGCGGTCCAAAATATCCTTATTCAGTTGTCCATAAACATAAAAATATGCTTCCTCAAAGAAAACAAATATTCTGGCATAGGTAATTATATCATTATCCTTGTGAAGAAAGCCTTTTTTTTTTCAATGAGCAGAAATATGAACAAGTCAGAAATTATGAAGATCAATTCTCGCTCTTATACCTATTAGTGATAGTTTATATATATATATATCATAAGTTTTATGGTCCAGAGAGCTATTAGCTTTAAATTTGACTTGTTTCTTTTTACGATACATAAAATGCTCACTTGAACATATATATAGTATCATTTAAGAGCTATAGAACTTTCACAAAATTAAATGGATCTATGTATACTACTTCCATACACTTCCCAATTTTATAATTCCAAGTATTATAAGGGGTATTTTTTTTAAAAAAACAACAACAACAACACAGCAAAAATATGTCAGGTTGTAGTCATTTTAACTCGTCCAATTACTACTACGGCTCATATTTAAATACACAAATACACGCAATAAATAACAAAGCATACATAAATACCCTGGTGGCAAAATAGTAAATTTTATGCACATCAAATGACCAAACCTGGTACATCTCAAAACAAAGAAATAACATATTGCCATGCCAGCAAATTTATTTTTCTCTTTTGAGAATAATAGCACCATTTACCTTTGATTTGGACACATTTACTATCATAACTAAAGGTGTTTATTTGTTATCTGAATAAAAAAGAAAATCTAGCAGGTAGCCAGGTTATTTTGATTTTTTCAAGTCTTGTTCTAAAAAATCACAACGCTTGTTAATAAAATATTGTTCACATGCATATATATATATATATATATATGAAGACATTTGAGCTATAAACTATATTGTATCAGTACCTAATCCCCATACATGGGTCTTCAGTTCAAGATGGTCGATATTTAAAGTATCCTATATTCAGCTCATTAGGTCCATAAATCAAACGAGTCGCACACTCACATATACTCTGCGTATTTCAGACTTCAATTCAGAAAGCTGCTGTACTGTAGCCACTGTCTCTTTTAACCGATTGACATCCTTCTCAACAGACTCGATCTTGTGTGCATAGTCCCTTACCTGACCAAACCCCCACAAGCATTAGACATTAGATCTCCGTCACTAAAGGGGTTCATTCCACAGATAAACTTACTTTTTTGGTTGTTGTCTCCAGCTGTTCTACAGATTTCAGCAAGCTATTGGAAGCAGCCGTGTACTCTTCCAGCAAATAATAATATCCAATTGCACCAGTAATAGATACACCCACCAGAAATCCAGTTAATCTACAATGAAGGAAAACCAAGCGCACTTAGATATATGTGTCGATAAAGTAACAAAATAGCATACTTTACCCACTACTAAATCCTCCTTTTGTTTCTTTTTTTACCGATTCCGTAACTTCTGTGCTGTAGTTACGAATGGAGCGACGGGGAATGGCATGCTTGGCCAGCAAGCGACCACTGGACTGACAAAGTAGATTCATTCTAAAGTTTAGTATGAGTCATTTCACATGTTTATTTGTCTTGACTATATTTTCGAGATTCCATCAATGGCCAACTCACCTTTCTTTCCAGGTAAGACAAGGCTTGGCAGGAATGCAGTCTGCTCTGCACACAACCCTATCTTGCCACCCATTTGACCCCCCGCAGTAGACTTGTATTGCGTCACTCGCACGTGGTTTACAGTCTGTGAGCATAAAATACGCTTGAAATGAAATGACCACTCTTATTCATGAAATAATATAGAATAAAATAAAGCTCTTTAGAGACTTTGTAGATATTTTTGTATAATTTATAAGTTTTATCAGGTAGGTAATATAAGCTGAATATTCAAAGACCAAATAAAATGTATTTTAGATATCTTTGGTGCTATGCAAGTCATATAATCATTAGAGCTATATGTTTTACATTATGTATATTCATTCGAAGACAATAATCATGTATTATTATTATTATTATTTAGATAAAAAAAAGAACACTAACTTTCAGGCACAAGATACTACTAGCTTTAAATGTGCTTATATGTATGACTGTTTGTAATTACAGGAACTTTAGGACTCTATTTTTGACCCAGTACGCACAGACGCCCAGTGTTGATTCTAACGCCGTATCACCCCTTCATTACACGTGTTAATGCCACCAATTGTTATTAATATTTTTGACATTTTTTTTTTTCATTTCATTTTAATATGACCAATTTCTTTGTTCAAAGGCAAAAAAAGTCTTTTGATATATGTCTAATGATCTCGGTTTTTATTTATTTATTTACTATTCTCGAGATTACATATCTAATCAATATAGTCAAGCTTATCTATTGAGACAAAGCATAATTTATACAATAGAATAGACATTTGTAATGCTCGAAATTTAACTAATTAGAATTCTTACATACTTGGTATCCTGACCTAGCCTCAGCTCGTTTATACAGTCCAATATGCTGTACCAACAAAAGAAACATACTGTTCTTATTTTTCAGATACAAAGTATTACGGATCAAGTCAATATACAATAATTTAAAACAAAAAAAGTATTTGGTTAAGTAATGAATATACTAGAATTCTGGAAATAGTAAATTGGCGGCATACTATAAATAAAATCTATTAAATGTTTATCGTTTGAAGTGTTTGTCTTTGTCTTTGTTTTTGTGCGTGTGTGTGAAGCCTACTGTTATTATATAGCCAATATGTACAATCACAGGCCTAATAATATATGTTCTCAAGATTTGATTCCATAGACTACAGTAAAAGGCACACCAAGCTACCAAATATATATATATATATATGGATTATATTCATGTTTACAGTCAAATAAACGTTTGCATAATGGTTCGATTTTGACCATACAGTAGTACAATACCGGCATGACTGGACCCAGCGCCCATGAATAGACTTTTTTTTTCCGATCACAAAACTGGTGATTTTGACTTTGAGCTTGACACCCCACTCGAATATTTTTTTTTAATATGAAAGTATGGCTCGGGAATAGTTTTTTATAGCGAATGATAGCTTTTAATATATACATAGTAGATATTTTACTTCTTCTTCTAACCAGCATAAAGTAACATCTAGTAGTCATTAAGCCTCTTGTATGACAAACATAAAGCTTAGTAGTAAAGGTATCTATATATGTCTTGCGACTATATTAGAAAACTAGAATAAGCCCCTCTTTTTTTTCTTTTTAAGATTTTGCTTGGGTATGTCAAAGATGTATGTCAGATAGAGTTTTTAAAAATAAATGATTGGCTAATTTCGGTACCCTTTGGGAAAACAAGAAAATTCTGTATAATTAAAAGATCTATTCTTTTTGTTGGTCTTGCTTTCTCTCCTCTATACCACAGAGAAATATCTTTTCTTTATATTATCATTTACGGAACAAAACAAAACAAAAATGCGCGTTACTTTCAAGCTTTCTACCATTCTTCCTATTCTCGAGAACTGCTTGACTGAAAACAAGTTCCTTGACTCGTAAGTTTGACACAAGACGTCCGTATTTACTTTTGTAAACATTTACCCAATGTCATTTTTAGGGACAAATTCACTGGAGCAGATGCTCTTGTAGCCGAAGCATTGGGCAGTGCACCCCCTCCCGAGTTTAAAAGACTGTCAGCATGGTATACAGAGGTGAAGAAGTAAGTCTTAAGCTTCATTAAAACCAAGTCATCCTCTAAGACGATACCCGCTTTATCGATTTTATTTTTACAAAGAGATGATGCAGAGGCAGAAGCACTTCTTGATGAAGATGAAATTGATCTGTTTGGCTCTGATGATGACGAAGTTGATGAAGAAGCCGAAAAGGTCAAAGCCCAACGGCTTGCTGAATACCAGGCAAAGAAGGCCAACAAACCCAAGACAATCGCAAAGACCACCATTACTCTTGATGTCAAACCTTGGGATGACGAGACCAATATGGAGGCTCTTACCAAGGCTGTAAAAGGTATTGCCATGGATGGTCTCTTGTGGGGTGGATCTCAGCTGGTCGCCATTGGTTTTGGTATCAAGAAGCTCCAGATCAACTGCGTCGTTGAGGATGACAAGGTAAGAATAACAAATAGTTTAAGAGGCGAGGGAGGAGGGGGTTGTTTTTATTTGACTGACATTATATAATATCAAAGGTATCTATGGATGATCTTTCTGACAAGATCACTGCCTTGGAAGACTATGTTCAGTCAGTTGATGTCGCTGCTATGCAAAAGATCTAAAATCATATATTCCCACCATAATCATAATAAGCCGGTAGATTATTTATGTTAAAAAGAAAAAGAAAAGAAAAAAATGTACTAAATTTTAGCTTGAAATCTTATTTAAGATCTATATTCTAAGCAAAGAAAGAAGAATTTTTTTTGCATAGGCAGCACTGTTAGTATTTTATGTAAAAGGCTCAAGACATAATTCTACTGGTTTTTATAAACATATCAAGTAAATAAATATATCAGCTCTATTAAAAGAAAGAGAGAAAAAGAACTGTATTGTGGGAATACTTGACATATGTATAATACGCTCACGGTATTAGGATATTCACAGCTAACAATATTTTATAATCACATAATAAATCATAATAATTCTCTCCACAAAAACCAACTTTAATTCAGAGCATATTATTTCAGGGCTTATTAAACCAGCTAACAAGAGCTTTGTGTATTTATGTAATATTTATCTTTTATCTAGGCCAGTGCATTAAGTGTATTAAGTGTATTTGATTTATGGCAGGACAATGTACTTTTGCAAGTGCTCAGGGATGGCAGTGCTCAGCTTCTTGGACTCGAGCCAAGTGCGACCTTTAAAACAAGAGTTAATATCCGTTATTTACAACACAGGTCTTATTTTTTTTTAAAAAAAAGTGTACTTACTGAAAAGGCGAGACTGGTATCTGTATGCACCATCACACAAGATGGTGACAATCTTCTTACCTGTAATGCACAGCAAAATAAGAATCATCAGAATAAGCTTTGTATTATAAAGAAGAGTAAAATTTGTCTCTTACCCTTGCCAAGCTTCTTGGACATCTCGACAGCAGCAACAACATTCAATGCTGAGCTTGCACCGACGTAGATACCTTCCTCGTCCAACAAACGGTAAATCATCTTGATGGTCTCTTCATCAGGAATAGTGAAAGAGCCGTCAATCAACTTCACATCCGGTGCCAAGTTGTCTGTGATACGGCCCTGTCCAATACCCTCGGTAATTGAGCTTCCAGAACGTTCAAAAAGCTTGCCGTTGGTAGACACATAGCTGTGGAGAACAGATCCTGGGGGATCAGCAAGGTAAACCTTGACATTATCACCCTTCTGATCCTTGAGGTAGCGAGTGATACCAGCAAGGGTACCACCAGTTCCTGTTGCACAAACAAAGCCATCGACTTCGCCGTTTGTTTGTTCCATAATTTCGGGACCAGTGGTCTCAATGTGGGCACGACGGTTTGCAGTGTTGTCGAACTGGTTGGTCCAGACAGCATTCTCAAGCTTCTCGGCGTGGCGCTTGGCTTGGTGGTTATAGTTTTCTGGGTTGTCGAATGCGACAGCAGGTACGGGGTAGACCTCGGCACCAAGCATACGCAAAAGATCGATCTTTTCCTGGGACTAATATCCAGAGAGTCAATAAAAATTATATTCTCTTCACTCTATTCTAATAATTCTCTGTTTAAATTTCTTTCTTACCTGGGTATTAGGCATATAAATAACACATTTGTAGCCCTTTGCACGACACACATGGGCAAGGCCAATACCGGTATTACCAGCAGTACCTTCAACAACAGTTCCACCGGGTGCAATAAGTCCCTTCTCTTCAGCATCCTTGACGACGAACAAGGCTGCACGATCCTTTACAGAACCACCGGGGTTCATGAATTCAGCCTTGGCAAGAATATCGGATCCAGTTTCCTCACTAAGTTTCTTCAGGCGAAGCTAGTAATTCCCCGGTCAGGTTTATATTGCTGTTCTGGTACGAAGGTCAATTGATATACTTACCAAAGGTGTGTTGCCGATGGCTCCAATGAATCCATTAGTGATCTTTAAAGTAGAAACTTGTTAAATGGCAGATCATTACTTGGTTGGAAGGAAGAAATAATAAAAAGAAAAAAAAAACAGTGCTTACACCGGGAGTTGGGATCACCTTGACAGTTGAGTAGGCTCTGGAGAAGATGCGGAGGGGGTTCATGGTGAGAGTAAGTGTGCGAGACTTCCAGGAACAAAATGCCAGGAAGTTGGGAGCTCTTTAGGACCTGGTGGCAGGATTGTCGGGCGTTGTAATCCGGATGAAATGAATGACGCGATCGAGTGCACTGGAGATTGGTGGGTAACCTCATCTGTCACGCAATAGATGAAAGTACTACTTATCTTGACAGTCATAAATTCTAAAGAAATCATAGACTCCCCAAGTATGATTACTACTTTATATGAACCTTGAAGGTCTGTACATTTGAAATTGTATGTCTCTATCACAAATTATTAAATCATCAAAAAATAAACTGGTGTAAATAGTCGTGAAGATTCAATTATTTCAATACAATTGGAGGAGTTCATCCCCATTTTTCCCACCATTTGATTCACAGGGCTAAATATTTTAATGCACCCTTTGTAGAACAGACTAATTTACTGGTATGTTTTAAAGGAATTCGTGCCAAACAAATGAAGCCAGGGATAGTATGGTCCACTGATGGCGGTATAAACCACCTATATTAATATCAAACAATTGACAATGGGAAGGCCAATACAACTTACAAATATCCAGTCAATCTGTTTTTAGAACATAGGACACCTTATATACAAAAGGCGATTAAATATTAAGTAGCATATTATAAAATTGTATAAAGTTAATTCTTATTAATTATTTTTATTAAAGAAAAATCAAATCGAATGAATCAAATCGAATCAAATCAAATCAAGTAGACACTACAGAAAGACATTATTATAGTGTATTGGGAATAGTATTATTAGTATTATAAATATAAAACATATTATTATGTAAAGGCATGAATTATAAACAATGTGGTCCCTAAGCACGAGATCTTAACCATTCGTTAGGATCATCTATACCCACGAGATCCTCGACAGCTTTTAAGAGAGTCTGTAATTCTTCTAAGAAGGTATTGCTGTTTAATATATATGCACTATATCCAGAAAATGCTTCGGGTGAGACCTCAGGAGCGCCGTTTTGAATCTTTTGTTCCAATGCTGTCTTGAACCGTCTTCTTGCCTCATCAGGGGAAATCATGTAAGGTGGCAAAGGCAGTTTGGTTGCCAATGCACTTGACGTAAGTTTAAGTGTTGTCATGATTGCTGTGAGCTATACGGTTTTATATTTTTATAATTAATATATCATTTCTCATTTCTCATTTCTCATTTTTCCCCTAGTCTTTCTTACATAGTCTTTGCGCTCCTGTATCAGGGTGTTTGCAACGATATTTCTCCATACTGGGTCAACATTACGAACAGAGTGAGACTAATGTTATATATATCTTGTCAGTAAGTGCTAAATTTGAAAGCTTCTTTTTCTTGGGTTTTAAAAATTACCATTCCTTGGATTAAGCCTGCCATGTTATCAACACTTCCCAAGAGTTTTGCATAAGTATCCTTTGGGAACTTTCCACGAAGGGGTGGCTCAAAGACTGAAAGAAGCAAGAACATACGTTCATCTTCAATTTGACGTCGGATATCAAGTGATAGTTGTCGGAAAGATTTCTCTTGAGCTTCTGTTCGAGACTTGCCATTTGAAGCACATATTACAGATGCATTTACGATACTGTAACTTCTCTCAATATCGTAGATAGTTTGGGATAGTCGTTTTCGAAGTTCAACTCGTCCAATAACAGGATATGGTATAATCATAAGAACAGATGATGCGATGATACCAATAAGAACCAAAAGCACGCGCTATAGATATAAATACAAGACTGGGTTGAGAAAGATATAAAAAGTAGATATATATATAAATTATTTTGATGTCTACCTTTCCGGCAAGAGTCCACACTGGATCATAGTTGGTAGTACCGTAACGCTTAAAGTCATATTCATACACGACAATCTATTGGTATGAAGTATGAGTCGAATGTTCTGTTAAATAATAAGTATTTTCTCTTACCAGTAGCATTGTAACCTTTATCATCAAAGCAACAATTCTTAAAGTGTTTCCATAGAAGAAGACGTGATAGAGTGGAAGGAATACGATGAAACAAACAACCACCAAAGCATAGGGGTTTCCTTGTGTGATCTCCCAAACGACAATTCCAAAGACACCTCCCAGGATAGTACCAATAACTTTGAGTAAAAGGCTAAAATGAAATGAAATAAAAACGTATAAAAAAGTGAGCCAACATTGTAGCATAATTTATCAGATGCTAAATACATACGTAAAGTTGAACATTCCAGTCATAGGAGTCATCCACAATACAAGCGTAATAAGTGCCCATTGTCCGTGCCATGCAAAGTACCATGAAACTTGGGAAGCCATGTAGCATGGAATTGCACCCAAGACGACACCAACGGCTGTCTTGAAGGCAAAGACGGTATCTGTCTCAAAAAGCCACTCGCTAACAATCTGGGTTCTGTAAAAGAATCGCTCCCGTAGGGTCACTGGTGCTTCAACATCTGCATCACGCATATAGACTCTGCCACCGACTGTTTTTGTAATACTTCTTTTTTCAGTGCTTGCGTTATTAGTATTCATGTCTTGACGGGTTGCTGTACGGACTAGTGTCATTCCCTGTTGCTGGTTCATTTCTCCATAATTATTAGCATCGCCACCAATGTTTGCATCGACTTCTGGAGACTTGAACCATTTTCTGATTGACATATGAGGAAACCAGAGACGACGTCCTGGCCGAGTTTTCTCGAGCTCTTCCATATATTTGATCAATTGAAGAGTACACAAGGCATTTTCTCTAATGTTGTATTGGTATAGATAAATCAAATAAAGCGAACGGTGTTCGGAGGAAGATCCATTTCTGTAAAGAGATTTGAAGTACTCGAGTCTATCGCCTGCCATTTCGTCAAATTGGTTAATAGCTTGCTGTAATTTTTCTGATGGGCATGTTGAGGGAGTTGTCATTTCAATATGTTGTTGTTTCCTTGCTTCGATATTTCCAGAGTAGAAAAACCGAGGGAATGGCCACAAGATACTATTGAGAGTTGTGCGGACAAATCGATGAAAATGATCGAGTGAGCTTACACATTGAGTGATGGCTGTCTGTGATGCATCTACGAGAACTTCGCAGGCAGGTTGCATGGATTGTATTGACTGTAGAAGTTTCTCGAATTCACCATCCAAGTTTTCGTCTTTGCTTTCGTCTTTGTTTTCACTATCTTTCTTCTCTGCATAGTATTGCTTTTTGAGGACCCAACTAAGGCCGATTCCGTGAATAGTGGGTCTCAATGCTTTGACGATTCTGGTGATGTTACTTAAATCCTGAGCAGAGACTCGCGAGTAAATGATTTCTCTCTGAACGGCCCGCTTGCTGTCAATGAGCATTAGTATATCTCCCTGAACCTTGCTGAGGATTGTGGGGAGAGTTGTTTCGAGATCGCCTAGTGAGGTTTCTAAAAATGCATCCGAATGCTCTTTCACAAAAGACTTGCAGCCCAAAAGTGTTTTTTTCAACACCAACATATAGTTTGTAACGCTATCATCTGGCCAGATAAAATAGTTAACTGCCAAGGAAAGACCTCCTGCAAGTGCGATGGGTTTCATAAAACTCCACTAAAGAAGATTTTGTTAGATCTGAATGCTCTTCTTTGTTTGTTTGTTTTTTTTTTGTGATTTTCAGTAGGTTTCACTTACAATAAGAATCGGATAAAACCCGGGAATAATAGATACTTGTGTCAGAGCCATCTATAGTTTAATTTTCGTTAAAATCAATTCTTAATTTAACATACTCTTTCCTCTCTCTCTGTTCTTTAAAATAATCATACTTACAGTTGTTTGAATACAGGCATTTATGCATGCAAAATTGGCTAGAAATATAATACAATATAATTGGCTATGTTTCTTTTTTCTCTCTCTCTAGGATTCTAATTTATTTTAAAATGTATATATATATTTGTAATGTACCTTTTGGAAGTTTCATTCGAACATAATTGATCACAAATGTAGCAACAAACAAAAATACAGCGAGAACCGCACTACATGCAGGCTGAACAGGAACTGGATTTGTCTTGTCTCGAGCAAGGTTTCCGAGGTACATGCCTTTAAGATTATATAAGGTGATATGTTATAGTTCATTGAAGCGGAATAGGTTTTCAATGTCATACTGACCTAAAAAGCACCAAGCAGCGCCAACAAGAGCGCCAAATGTACCATACACTACTGCCTATTATTATTATTATTATTATTTTAAATATCAGAAGACACGATTGAATATTGGGCGATCTTGGTAATTGTTACCTCAGTTTGTACACCTAAACACACATTGCAATTCAGTAAACTGTGTATATATTGATAAATAGCAAAAGTGATCATATTACCTATAGTCTTGGAAGGAAAATAAAAGACCATAACAATAGTGACAAGTAGTGCTCCATCTCCAAGAGCTCCTCTGGTAGTAGGGTTGATGTTAATTATAAGAGCAAGAGCGAGAGCGATAGAAGATTTGATCGTCTTTCGGCTTTGTGCAAAGGTTGGCATCATGTTCTTTAGCCTTGAAAACATGGTGGGCGGTGGTTTATCGCTTTTTGCAGATGCATTTGTTGTAGGTACACGAATTGTAGTTGATTCTTTTTTATCATTTTCGCTACTAGGCACATGATCTTCGGTTGACTGACGTTGTTGATTCAACATTTCCATGTCCTGGTTAGGCATATTTTAGGAAACCAAGGTGATCGGTTAGACTGCGACAGGATCAAGAAAAAAGAAAACTTTATGAGTAAAAAGGAGTAGCAAAAATTGAAATATTACATTTGGTACTTGGTATTTATTGTAATATGGAGTAATACAGAAAATTCGTTTTGTATGAGAAGTCTGTCAATTACCATTAGTGTAATATTTTTTTTCTATTGTATAATATTTCTTTTTTAATTATCTATTTTTGGTTACACGCAGGAACACAACTCAATGAAGATGGCCGAATCTCGTTTCTTTCATTCGGTCAAAGGCGGTAACTTATTTTACCGAACTAAATATACAGCGGAATGAACGGAGGAACCGTTTAGGCTATGCTAATTTTCTTTAGGTCTTCTTTCACTTCACCAAAACAAACATACACCCAGCCAATACCCATTGTTTAAACCAAACATAATAGAATATTTGCCTACTCTATATATATATTCTGGTGTATCATTTCATTAAAAGAAAAAGAGAGAGAGAGAAAAGAAAAATCAAAATAGATGTCCTCATGTAACTAATATTACCTTGTCCGGAAGAGTGTACGATGGACCTGCATTTAACCGAGCTTATGGGCCTAAAGATACCGATCAATTTTTGAACCATGCCAAGCAAAAGCTACCAAAAAAAATCACTCTTGTTCTGAACCACAAAGACAACGGAGTATTGGCTTTGTGTGCGCGTGTGGCATTCTTTTGAAGTATCAAATCATGACATAAGGACGATTGTATTACTTATGGCATGTCATATAGTACGCGAACGGATTTATAATACAACAAACTCAATACAATGTAGTAGAAATAAGTAATTCAAATCAACCCAGCAGTTAGATCAAGAAAACTGGATCAGATAGACAGATCAATAATTTCAACTTGTAAATGGCACGAAACCACATCTATGTTACCCTAAGACGCACTTGATGCTTATACACCAATGACATATGAAAATTATACGACCTATGAAAGAATCTGGGTGTCTATTCTATTCTTTTATTTTATTTTATAGATATGTTACACATCTTGAATATTAATTTGCATGTGTTACAAGGTATCATACATGTTGGAGATTTTAGAATATCTATTTGAGGCAATTTTCATTCTAATTCCTGGTTTTATTTCACTGTAAAAATACAATATTTTTACATGATCCCTTAAACCACGTTTTTAATAGTTTCTGTTAAATATCTATAGAAGACCTCTCACTCCATTTGTACCATTATGGGATCATTTACTCAGACTGACATCGTCTGATATAATAACAAATGGAGTACGAAATATGGACCGAGCACTCCCACACAAACTTTACCGTGTATATCATATGTAAATTGTTGATAAAAGGCATATTTTTTGAATGGCGCTTTCTTCTTCAACTATCCGGCCTAGAGGAAGCTTATTTTCTTTTGCTAAAAAATATATATCTATATCTATATATTTAACATATTCCCATTGGCTTTAATTCAAAGTTAAGAAATAGATTATATATTTAATATGTAAACTTACGTTTAAAAATCATCTTTTTTTTTAAAAAATAAATAAACGAATAATAGTCTCCTCAAAAGCAGATGGCATTAACTATCCACAGGGAAATTATTACCGTAAATGTATCAAATACCCTATTAGCCACCAATATCCAAGAAATTTAATTAATATAAAAAAAATCCACCCGCCCCTCCAGCCTACAAAATGGAACTTTGACAGGTTACAAAAACACGCCACACTTTATATACTTATCTGGGTAAATAAGAATAAAATAGAAAATAGTTTCACTAAACCACAAGAATCACTTATGTTTCTACATAAACACTAACTAACATAAATTTCATACAATTCTTTATTTTGATAAATCCCATTATTATCTGGATAACACTCTTTACTAAAGGATTACAAAACCTGCCATCGCATAGTGATAATTTTTGAGTTACATCTTTACTATCGGACATTCAAACAAAATCATCTCAAGGTGTAAATATCGATATTGTCATTTTTAAATCTCTTGATATCTCCATGAATATTTGGCTGATATTGAGCGAACAAGCACTGACCACCATCGATTAAGTTTATAATTAACTTTACTTAATAGAAAAATCCAAAATTTGGATTTTTTTTTAGGTGTATGTCCTGACGGAACTTTGGGATCAAATACGGTCTTGTGGTGTAAATATCCAAAAATGTATTAGTAAATGGTTCTTTAGAGTGAAAAAATAAATGGTTTTGATCAATATTTGAGTAATCAATGTAAAACAAGTTGAAAATGGTGGATCTTAATGCGCTCCATTATGTTACGTAAAAGTATAAAGAGCCTTTACTTGATGTATTTTGATATACAGCTGGTTTTTTGTACTTGACTTGTTAGTTTGATCAAAACGATCCTTTTTTTTTGTATTAAACACTTCTTCATTTCACCAATAAATTCAACGACTTTCAGAGTATATGTATCTGTTTAACTAAGTATGTTTGAAATTATTCTAACTGTGATACTGAAACTACAATCTAAACTAACATGATTTAGATTAATAAAACTAACTTCTAATTGACCTAAATGGCACCACAATACCCGATTGCTGCACAAAATATGCCAGTATTCAAAAAGTCTCACACGGAGCTGCAGTATCCAACTGACCCACAAACCGTACCAGCCTCCAAGTGATCCAAGCAACGTTGTAGCCTTCAACTGACTCGTAAGATCTATCAGCTGACAATTGGTCTGCGTAGTATCATGACCTTCAATTGACTTACATAGCACCATCCCGAAACTAATAAAAAATATTAAATACTGCTTTTTTATCAGTATCTTTTCAAAGCTCATAATTTATACCTTCAGTTTGTGAGTGTTGTCTTGAAATTTTGCAGCTTGAAAGACTGTGAATGATTCACTCACTATTAGCATAAGCTATTATATAAATAGACAGTAATACATATATAGATATATTGATCTTCTCTAACAAATCCTTAGCCCAAATATTGGCAATCGACGGTTTGTTCTCTTGAAAGAGAAAATTAAACGAAAACAGAAGTAATATGTAAGTGGAATTTATTGCTTTTATCTTTCGATACTTATAAAGATATTTCCAATATGTTGTGATAAGCTATATTTCTCTGGATAATTGATCATTAATAAGAGGGAGAAATGGAAATAGATAAATACAGTTGAGGTTCATTGTTGTAATTTTGAAGACACACTCAATGTACCACTACAGATACCCTTCTCATACCCCTTCATACCTTATTTTTATGTACTACAAGCATGAATTGGAATACGTATGGTCAAGTATATTGTTAAGAGTAAAGTACAATTAGACCAAGTCTACACTAACACATTTTATTAAAAACATATATTATTAACGAGAGATATCTGACATGAGTGTGACTATCCAAACAGCAAGTCGGATTGTATTATGAGCAAAGCATATTCCTGCAAAAGATAATAAACCCCGACGTTCAAACAGCTTGAAAAAATCGAGGCTCAAAGAAGAAAAATAACTATCAAGCGTGTAAAGCAGATATCTTGCCTAGTGATTCCTTTTGTAAGGCTTTATTAAATCCTATAGAATAAATCAATTTTTATAAAGACCCTTCCTCTGTGCTTTGTTGTATTTTATATTGTTCACTACTAAAAACTATACATATTTTTTAATATCATCCATAAAAGGCTCTCCTATTATTCTTGTAATAGTCAAAAATCTATTATATTTCTAGGAAATCGATCAGACATCGATTGTATATATATATATCAGATACGTTAAAGAGCTTAACATTTTTTAAACGCGTGTGCGCTTTGTTTTTTACCCTGAAAACTCTTACTTTCTATCATGAGTGGCTGTTAAAAGGATGCGCGAATCAACATCGGACGTCAGGCTGAATGAGAAAAATAGAGAATTGATCTTTAATGCGCAATGTTCTGACAAGCTCATTTCTGCAAGAACATGATGAGAGTTATATATAAGCTAATGAGCTATCCGCATGAACAGAATTGTAGTTCTTGATGGTAAATAAGGTTTTGCATCGTTGTCGCTCGTCTTTTTCTGTTTTTTGCGTCCTTTTTTGTTTACTTTTTGCTTTTTTTTTTCATAGTCTTTAGCTCTAGTAGTCACATGCATATAAAAATAGTCACGCATTTTCCCCCTTCTTTTTTTTTCACAGGTGTACGCATCAGCGATAAAAGGATACAAGAGATGTGTAAAGTAGATGGAAGGCTTCATTTACTTTAGTCTTCTTCACTGAAAAGGAACTCGTAAAACTCAACTCCGTTAAAGTAGTTGAAGTGACGATTGACGTTCTTTAAAAAAACAAAAAATGAAAAAAAAATGTGTGTTAGGTACCACCATACTCGTCCGTAATATTTCTTTTAGAATTGGTTGGAGTTTGACTGTACTGAAGCTCTGATGATACTTTATAGAGTTAGAAATTTCAAAGGAAATCATGACATTCGTAACAGCTCATAAAAAATAAAATAAAGGTGTGGTGGTTTCTAGCAGAGAAAAACTCTGACACTTTATGCATAGAAGATACAAAAGTATGGGAGTTGTATAATACAAATATACATATTTAACACAATTAATTAATAATAATAAAAAAAGAGGCAGCGGAATCCTGTGGTAGTTGCTGCTTAAAGCTACAGGTCCTTAGTAGCATTCGTGTGCGGGCATATAGGAAACAGTATTAGTGTTGTGTCTCGGAAATGCAAAATCATATTAAAGGCTACCACATCTTTATTATCTTGCTAGCACTATTTACTGAAGAGAATTGCAGAACCTGATATTTACATTAAGAGTTTTTCTTGATTCAAGTATTTTTTGGCTGTGTATATATATAACAATATTTAAAGATGGCCATACCCAAATTTCAATATTAATGGATTTTCCTTGGTGTGAAAATTGTAGAATTGTTGACCAATATTTGAGCAATCAATGCCAAACAACCTTTAGATGGTGGATCTCATTGTTCCCTATCTGTTTAACCAATTTGGATATATAGCTGTTTTTCTGTATTTATTTAGTCAATTTGATCAAAACGAGTATTTTTTTTATTAAGTATTTGATCGTTTCAGCGGTAAATGTGAGAATATTTGGTGTATAGTTGACTGATTAATTAGAAATGCATATAATCATATTAGCCATGATGCTAAAACTGCAACCTACATTAATAGATGTAAATTAATAGGACTAACCTCCAAACTATACGGACGGTATCGCAGCCTCCAACTGACATACACAATATAGCAATCTTTGAATAATCCACATGGTATCGCGACCGCTAGCTAGCCCACACAACACCCTCTCAAAATTCATAAAAAATAAACCTGTTTATTCTGGCCATCGCAAACACAAACATTTTTCTTATATTTAAGATGTCCTAAACCGTTATACTATGAGATTAATATACGATATTCTTGAATCATTAAGTACTATCTTATTTTATTTTATTTTATTTTATTTTTAATTCACACTCGAAACAGATTACAAAAGCTATTTGTTCTTTTTTGATTTACTCACTTTAATATGTTTGGCCTTATTTATGCTACATATATTATACACTTTTCTTAAGCCTTTTTTGTGTGTTATAGCCAACATTGCCTTATTTAAATAGCATAATACAGACAATTGTGTGTTTATGGTTTTTTTTTTGCCTCAACATGAGAAAAATTAATAATTAATATCGTGTCTAATCGGTATATTGAATGAGTTGACTCTTGCTATTCTTAACCTGTCAATACGTGATTAAGAAATAGAAGAATAAGTCTCTAGTAATATGCATATGCTCGTTCTAACTAGTCAACTACTTAATGTGTGTGGTCATGGGTGCACTTACTACTACTCTCTCTCTCTTGAAAGTAGTAAGAGTCCAAGAATATATGTTGAAGCTAGAAAATATTGACCCTCCTCCTCATGCCCTTTTAGTAACTTGTATTACATTGTAGCTCCTCTTACTAAATTGGAAGATATGGCTTGTCTTTTGATGAGGATGAGTATAACTGTGACGCACTTTCCAACCTGCATGTGTTGAAATAAATGATTGCATCTATATACACACTCAAATGTATCCATATACAAGCTAATGATCTAGTTATCTATAGGGTCTATTGTATTCTTTCAAGTGATTGTCGCCTTAAATTCGCGTTATCCTTCTTTTCTACATGGATACCATGTTTTGAAAAAAATCAAAGCTCATATCATAATGAATGACTATAAAAGAAGAGTTTGGTGTATAGCCAAAGTCCACTCTGGTCTTTCTTATTAAAAAAAAAGAGCCATAATACCTATAATATAATACTTTTTGAATAAATAAATAAAAACAATTGACTATTAAAAAGTTGAGATTAAAGGGCAAAGTGCCAATGCCATTTACCCTTTGAAGTCACAGTCTTATGTAGCAATCGCTTAATAAGAAATAAGCCTGTTTAAAGAAGTTGAGCAGGCATATCATCATCAACTGTCTATCCAACCGTAGTATATTATCTTTTGTGTATGTCAAGTACTTATCCCAATGAATTAGCTCCTTCTTCTGAGTATTTTGTTGAATTCTTAAGTAAGACCAACACCTTTGGGGAAGTAAATATTCTATAGAAGAAAACTACCTTGTTTTCCTTTTTTTTCTTTTCTCAAAATTCTTTCACTATATGTATCTATGACCTTTTCTTTGTCTTGACCACCAGGGTGATTTTTTTTAACAAGCAAAGAAATGAAAGCTTTTCTTTTGTGAGCCAATCAAAATCCGGTCAAGTTACACAAAGACTACTGGGCATTTCATAGAGACCTCTACGACAAGACCATCCATGTATTGGTACTTCTTTACAAGCACAGATATAATTAAGTATAAAACAATGGACTTTTCGAGTTATTTTCAAATTGTTATCATACTCTTTTCTTTCAAACGAAACTCCCACCTTTTTCTGCTTATTTTTTGATATGTTCAATAATACCTATCCCCAAACCGAAGATACTGGCTTTAACGGTGTCCCTGAGTTGTTTAATACACATCTTTATCAGCTCATCCAAGGTCAACCTGAGTTCTCTGATACTGTCATGATAGATGCTTCTCTCATCAGTGATGCGCTCAATCCTGCTGTCCTAGGGCAAAACTCTATATCACAACCCTTGATTTGGCAAGAACTGAATAGGCTGGCTTTTTTGGACTTGCAACAATCCGGGGGTTATAGAAGCCCAGACCCACTATACACCGGTGAATTTTTATACAGTCAAAATCTCAGGACGGAAGAAAATTTGCCTTTGAGCCTTGGCACACCCGATGTCAACCAGAGTCCAAACGTCAGTAGCTCCTTTTCTCAACCTAGCCTCAGTCCTAGCTCTCACCAAAGTCAATTGTCAGTTTCTGACTCGTGTTATGAGAGTACTGCTGATGAAATGGTCGAAAGGTTGTTTTATCGTGCTACCGAGAACCTTAATCAAACTGGTGGCGATGCTGGTATTGGCTCTTGTACCCAGTCGTCGTATCATTGTCAAACTCCGGTTTCTTCTTCGGTTTATTCACCATCCTCTGAGTTTCAGCCAGACTGTCCAAATATTCCCCAAGCTGTGGCAAGAAAGAGTGGTAATTTTTTATTTAATATTAAATAGATCAAAGGTCTATGGTTGCATGTATTAACCCAAATTTTTGGTTCTGATTAAAAGGCAAACGAAAGAGCAAAGAACCTATTGGGAAAAGCTTTATTAATTATCCATATAATGGAAAGACAGTGAATACACCTGGTGGCTCAGCAAAACTATACAGATGTAGTCAGTGTGACTTTTCGAATGCTCGTAAAAGGAATATGACAAGGCACGAAAAGAGCCATGATGAAGATCGCAAAAGGTGGAAATGCAACAACTGTGAAAAAACATACACAAGTAAATTCAATCTTGAAAGACACACAGACAAATGTTTTTTTTTGAGAAGACAAACTATGCCAACTAATAACAATAACAATAACAATAACAATAATGCTTAATACTTCTTCTTATGCAATTATGACATTTTCTATGTAATATTATCATCACTTTATTTCTACCTTTATGACAAGTCCAATGTATATATCATTAAAGGAGAATAAACATTTTTTTGTAAAATATCAAATTCTTTTCCTTACATCCTATTCTTAAATCACGCTGATCAAGTAGCTAGTGACATAGGATAGCCGAGTTCCTTAAGACTAAGGATTTCTGTAAATAAAAATAAGATGGATTTAGTACAGCTATAAGATACTAAAATATAACCGAATAACTTTTTTTCCAGCTCTATTCAGCTTCTGTATGGCAACTAATATATATATATATATATATGGACCAAGTTATCAAAGTTTAATTACATTGCTCTGTTAAAAGAGTATCTGAGTGGAGTAGTTCTTCTTTATTTATTTATATTGATTGTATGGCTTGTAAGAGCTCTACAATTATACAGAGAAAATAAATATCTCCTTTTTTTTCACCAAAGCCGATACCATATACTCTTGTATGCTGCCTACAGTTAATCAATTATTCAATATATATATATACTATAGTACATTATTAAAATGAAAGTAGAAAGGTAAAATAGTCTTTGAATTAAACATTAACCTCTTTTATATATTTTCTATACCTGGTCAGCGAGCATTAATGTCTGCTTCGGTTTCAATTTTACTTTTGTTATTAAGCTATATGACATCTAATTATTTTGCAAGCAAAAAAAGAGGGGAATCGCTTTCGGCCGTCATTCTCAAAAAAGAACTTTGTGCGAGTTATCTTGATTGGTTGACAAGAATTTAGGTATGCTACTTTGGTATCTAACTTCAAACCACAATTTCTTTCTTTCTTTCTTTCTTTTTTTGTTTCAATTTATATTATATCTTGTTTTCACCTTCATTCTTCTTCTTCTTCTTACATTTACTATATCAAATACATTAAACTATCAAGTAGTATTTTGTTATATATTAGCCTCCTTTTCTTATAGTTTTACGTGTACTAGGTGGCTTGCTTTGTCAGTTTAAATAAAATTATTTGTTCCTGTAACAACACATCATATTGCAGAAACCGTTTTTATCATTTTTGCTTTAAAAGGGTTTGTGGTTATATATACATAATAAAAGCCTTCTCAGAAGAGACCCTAAATAAGGCTATGTTAGTAAAAAAAAATACCACCAGAATTTGTGCTTTACCTATTTATATCTTGAAAAAAATCCTCAGAAGTTGCTTTTGAAAATGAATAAAGATGCATTGATTTGACTAAAGCTTCCTTATTTAAATGTATTAAATGGACTTTACTGATCCCTGTTAGTTCAAATAATAATCTATCAAAATACAGCATGGTGATCGAAGTAGAGCTGAAGATATAAAGAAAGAGATGGTGTATAGAGTGATACGAGCAAGGTAAAGTACTCAAGAAAGGAATAGGACTGAAAGTTAAAATGATCAAACATTATCTATTAAAGTAACGTGGCTTGTGGACTATAAGATCAATTCACTTCTTAACCCATGTCTTTTAATACAAGAAATATACCTGTATTGCTTGAAAGAACAGTAGCATGCCAATAATTTTTATTTATTTGTTTATTCTTGCCCTAAACAAATAATCAATTAGCCTCAATTATAGCCAAAACTAGTGACTAATTCGACCCTTGTCCTGCGAACGAGGATACAGTAAAATTCAGCCTTGGTTTTGCACTAAAAAGAAAGTCAATGGGGTTTTAAAAAAAAGAGTGTGATACTGCGGGTTTATGTTATGTTAATAGTAACAATTTATAAAAGTATAAAATAAGCGAGGGAGCCCATCTGATTTATATAACTCTTAACCTATACTCTCTTCTTTGATCTGTACCCGACATCAATCAATGCGTGCAATTGGCTCTCTCTGCCTGTCCTTGGCTATATCATTGGCACTATTAACCGGAACAGAAGCTCGCAATGCAGATAGTATTGACAAGTGTCCTCCCTTGAAGGTGCGACGCAATGGTCCTAAAGATGTAACTGATGTGCGAATCGATGATATCAAAGTCATTGCTGCATTAGGTGACAGGTAAATAAAGAGAGAGAGAGAGAGAAAACTTAGATGATATATTGACTTCATTGTACATATTTACTCAATGAGCGAATAGTATCATTGGAGGGTTTGGCCTCATGGGTAAAGGCAACGGCACAACCACCATTAATACTGTCATAGAGTACCGAGGTGAGAGCTACCCAATTGGCGGTAACGATGGTGCAGAAACATTAGCAACCTACACCAAAAGATACCAGCCAAAACTAAAGGGAGCTTCTGTTGGAGAACATCTAGTTGAGCGCTGTAATCGTAAGTTTTATCACTTGTTCTTGTTCTTGTTCTTGTTCTTGTTTTTTTACAGTATTATGTATCGAAGCAAAAGACTCCATTCTAACCTATTTCTCATTCGTTAGTTGAATACTGCCCACCTACGGAATGTAAGGGATTCTTTTTTTTTCAGGAGTTCACTTTACTTTTACTCTTTAAATAGACTTACCCCCTTGGTATCTCTCTTTTTTTTTTAGACAGACCCTCAATAGATAATCTAAACGGTGCAAGAAGTGGAGCTGTTGCCAAAAGTCTTGATCCCGAGCTGGACTATGTTATCCCTCGTAAGTTATAGTCTATACATATATCGAAAATATATTCAAGTCAAAAGGCTTAGTGTTGAAAATGCTATAAAAAATAGGTATGAAAAATTATCCTGGCGTAGACTTTGAGAACGACTGGAAACTCATTACAATTCAGATCGGAAGTAAGCCCTCCGAAAATAATTTACAAAGATAACACACTTTGATTAATAAATGTTTCTAGGTAACGATCAATGTGGCTCATGTACTTCATTTGCAAACGAAAGCACAGTGGAAGCTTATACTTTGTACGTCGAGTCCGCCATTGAGAGAATTCAAAATAATATCCCTAAAATCATTGTTAATCTAAGTGAGTATTTGTTATTTATTTTACGCAATACTTGTCTTAAAAATAAAACACACAAGTTAAACATTTTTTTAATACCATACTTAGTTGGAAATCTCAGGGTGTCAGCCTTGTTACCTTTGGCTGAAGCACATGCAGAGTATTGCCCCTCAACTGACACCAGTGTGAATTATTTTACTCCAAAGGCAGAATGTCCTTGTCTAGCCTCCCAGGACCAGACTGACACGATGGATTATTTGGCAGACAGTAAGGGGTTACCACAATATGGATAAAACACCAATTTGACAAAACTTATTTCTAATATATCTGCTTATATGAATAGACTACGACAAGGCTTTAATAAATATCGCACATAAATACAGAGCAAGAAAGGGGGGTGACTTTGCAGTAGTCTATCAACCTTATGATATTAACTTTATCAGCTTCCCTGTTCAAGCTCTGAGGTAAGTTATTTATATATATAATTGAAACATTTGTATCAATGAAAGAGAATTTTCGTTTTCTAAGCAATGCAACCCTAAAAAAAACCAAACTTTCTTAGTTCACTCGATTGCTTTCACCCGAGTTTGACTCTGCACAAATATTTCTCAAAAGTAAGTTGGTTAAGCAGAAAATTTGTAAATATATATATATATTCTTTAAATTTATTGTGCATTTAGATATTTTGGAACTCGCTTTTCCTTCCCAGCCAGCGTAAGCCTCAGCATTATAGCTATGATCCAAACCTCACGGTAAGAATTGCAAATGGTGTTTAATAGAATATAGACACAAGTACTTAATATTTTGCATACACAGCTATACTGCCCCAAGCAAAAAGACAGAATTGCTACGAAATAAGATGGCTTATTATCCCAATGACACTCAATATTTGCACTTGATGTGAAGTTGGTTAAAATCGAGACCCAAATGCCTTGTTAGCTTAAATTGAGATGCTCACTGCGCAATACTGAATAATTACAATAAATATATTTTACTTAATATTCAACTGTGTTTATTACCAATAAAATTATATACTTAACTCACACAATACACAGCCAAAAAAAATAGGACATGAAAACAAACAAAAGACAAACAAGTGGGGTGTAGGAGGCTAAACATTACATACTTATAAGGAGCTACAAAGCACTCGCTTATTATTATTTTTATATGGAATCACCTAAAATTTAGTGCTGAGTAAACGTAATGATCGAGTGTTTGAATGTTTGAATGTGCTGTATAGAACATCTTTAATCCTAATATTTTGAATGAAAGGGTATTAAATGTGGACCTTCATGTATAGCTTAAAAAAGATATACTGAGTATCCGTGAAAGCTGTACATGTGCGCGTATGTACGTACAGTGCTTAATAATTATTAAGTACTTCTTTTGTTGATTTTGTTTTCTTGAAAGAAATATTGAACATATTCTATTGCCACAAAAACAATATCTAATTAAATGAGCTGAACTACAAGCAAAAATAAACACTAATTTAATTTAGCTTTACTTACATGCAGCAAGTTTTTTCTTTTTCTAATTTTATGTAAAGGCTATAAAGGATCGTCCTACTGGTATTGGTATTATATGTGAGTAGACTGTAAATTCCAACAAGTGCTTTCATATATAATTTAATAGGCGTTAAACATTAAAGTTTTTGAATTTGTTTCAATATGTGTTATTTCAACTTCGATCATTGAAGAGAGAGAGAGAGAGAGAGAAAAGTCCAAAATCCAGAATAAAAATATCTGCTTTAACCATGAATATTTATTGATCTGACAAAACAAATGATTATATACTTGGTATTCGAGGCTTAGAGAACTACTTCTTTATGTTGTTCACCGGCCATATTTGCCTCAACTCTTTTGATGTGTTCATTTTTTTCTTTGTAAATCGAATTAACAGAGCTTTCAGCAGATTTAATAGTGCAGCTAAATTAAAGGACAAAAATAATGCCTTTTTCGTACTTAATGCCGTTGATCAAACATAGTCTATTGATCAATATATCACTATATTGCTTCTTTAGAGCGATGCTTCTCTAGAACTACTCAAGTCTAGAGCCAATTTGTTGTTATTAAAGTCTTTATTCCTTGGAACAAACAGAACACAGACTTTGATTCGACATAAATTTTACTATTGCAAGTGTGTGTGTGTGTGTTTTTATTTATTTATTTAATTGAAGTCTTGGAAAAATAACTTTCGTTTTTAGGAAAAAAGTATCCAAAGGCATTTGTATTTCTCTCCCGGTCGCACCATATACCCACAGCTTTTTTCAGTCTAGTAGAATGCAACACTACTTTAGTATACTAACCACGCACTGGAAATGTCAAAATATTAATTAAATGAAATGAAGACTGTCATATAAAATCTATAGTCACTATCATATATGTTTGGTTTATATACATGTTCAAATGTTATATTCTTGAACGGATAGTTGCTGGCGGGTTCATTAGTACAGAATTATATATTTTCAACAGCTCTTCTGTTTTCTTTTTTAATGTATATAATTACAAAATATAATGCCTCTAATATCAGCTGCTATTTTACGTAAGGTCCTGGGAAATTATAATTGCAACTAATTTTGGACACTTTTCTTTGGGTTAAATAAGCTTTTAAAGTTACTTTAAAAAAAAATAATAAGTAAAACAAAAAACTGGGTGTAACAATAAGATGACCGCACCTCTCGTGTGAGAATGGACGATAATCTGCGCCCTGTTAAGAAATTATCAATGCATTGGCTTGTAATTGATCTAATCTTATCATCGTGGCAATAATTAGATTCAGGGGTGGGTTAATCGGTGGCCAATAGGCAGGCACTGTAGTAGGATTCATGCCTTTCTGCTTTCTGTCTATTTGTTACTTGCCTTTCATCGTACGTAGCATGCATCTTTTAAATGATTAGCAAAGGCGACTTTAAGCATAAATAAATAATAAACGGTAAACTCCTTAAATTTGCGTAGTACGTTACTTCTGTATAATATTGGATGGCCGGGTAGGTACCCGTCCAAGGCACCTTTAGAAAAAAAAAGGGAAGACAGACGACGTCACATTCGAGAAAAACGGGAATGCGGGGATGGATAGAAATAGTTTAAGAACAAGGTCGACAATACTGAATGCAAGAAAAAATATTATCTTAACCACTTATTCTGATGCAAGCACTCCATCGCCTCACTTCATTGCCTCGTCTCGTACCTCGTGTCGTCCCAAGTCTGATTCCTCGAGCTGCATTCTCGGTCTCAAGTGTAGTCAACCACAAGCCAAATGCACGCAAGCAATTGCAGGGCACAGGAGCGGTGCCTCAAAGAGTCGGTCTCGCTAATGACAAGCAGATTTATGTTGACTGGAATGCCCGGAAGACAAGTACATTTCACCATTTCTGGTTGCGTGATCATTGTCATTGCGATCAGTGCTATCACCCAATCACTCGCCAGCGTCTGGTCGACACATTTACCATTCCGAGGGACATTCAACCTGTGGCTACCGACAGTACCGAGGAAGGTCTACGCTTGACATGGCCCGATGGTCATCAGAGTTTATATCTCTGGGACTGGCTACACACACACTCTTACAGTCCCGTGCTTCGATCCTCTGAGCCACTCCAGGGAAAATTACCCAAGTTGTGGGATGTATCGATCGCCAAGAACCTGCCAACCGTAGAGTTTGAACAAGTGATGGAGACCAAGGAAGGCCTAAAAGAATGGTTGTATCAGCTTGAAACCTTTGGTATTTCGTTTGTTGAAAATGTACCGATCACCATCGAGGCAACCGAACAACTGGGACGTCGCATTTCTTTCCTGCGAGAGTCACACTATTCTAAAGGAATGTGGTGTGTTGCAGCTGATTTGTCCCACGCCGACACGGCGTATACAACACTTCCTCTTGATGCACACACAGACAACACATATTTTACCGAACCATCGGGTTTACAAATGTTCCATAAACTCGAGGTTGATGGCACAGGAGGCGATTCCTTGTTTGTGGATGGTTTCAATGTAGCCGAAGAACTCAAGAAATTATCACCCACAGCTTACCGTACTCTAAGCAATACCCGCATTCCAAGCCATTCAGCAGGTGACGAGGATATTCTCATTGTCCCTACTCCACGCGGATACCCTATTCTCAACCATGGACCTGACGGACAACTCTTCCAGGTCAGATACAACAACAACGATCGGTCTACAGTAGACCACCTTAGCTCTAGCCAGCTAGAGGAGTTTTATGACGCCCTTTTCTTGTGGAGCAAGATTCTCAAGGACAAAAAGAATGAGCTCTGGAACACTTTGGATCCAGGAAGAGCTGTCATTTTTGATAACTGGCGTGTTCTTCATGGCCGTGCTGCATTCACAGGACAAAGAAAGCTTTGTGGCGCATACTTCCCCTGGGATGATTACAAGAGCAGAGCCAGAACAGTTCGTATGACACCCCAGGATAAGGATCGTCTTCTTTAAGGAAAAACAAAAATAGGAAGAGTAATATATTATGGATGAGCGATGCAGCTATTTTGTGATACACGGTATTATAGAGATAATATAGGAGAAGGGCTAGACCTTAACTGTTTATTTCTATTTATTTATTCATTTATCTATATATTTATTTATTTTTATAAGTTTATTGAGGATTTTCTGCAAGTTACTGCCCTTGGCGTAATGTCATATAAAAAAATATGTATATGTATTAAAAAAAATCGTATAAAAGACACAATTTCAAAAACTTATGCAGGCTTTCAAGTTATCTCTATCGCTTTTAATTTCATTTCTTTATTTTCCATGACGTATCAAAATACACTTCCAAATCGTGTACCTGATTCTTTTTCAAGACAACGAACACTTAGACATGTGTTCGAGCTTCAACGAATGGCCAAAACCAGCAGCCACGTCTCTGAAAAAGAAAAGGGTACATTTTTGTACAGTACATTTGATGCCCTGTTTTCTGCGGACACTCGTCGAGCAGATATTCAGACGCGATTATTCACCAAAAAACCATATACAAGATATATGATCAATGCACTCGTGAATATTTCATTGACACTTTATTTTGAGGGAAGCATGCTACTGACAGCCCCAATAAGCTTCTTGTGCGTCATGACCATCTTCCCTGGGCTGATTGTGTTCTTACTCCTGATTGGGGTTTGCCTAAAGATATTTATGGAAAATATGGGAGGAAAAGAACTAGGCCGTACCATGAGCGAACGATACGGAAAAGGTAGGTTGATAAGAAACAATGAATAACCATATGTATCGTTCTAACAAACAAACAAACAAACACACATACATATATATATATATATTTGTGAGCAGGTTTTAGCTCTGTCAATTGGGGTAATTGAAATGATTATATGACATCTTCTTCAGAATACTAAAGGCAGACTTACTTACTGGTACGTAGGCTCGGTTAGTTATCTTTTATCAAAAGAAACGGCGGATACTGTACTTGCAACACTTCCTATTCTTGGGAAACCTGCAGAGCCCCTGTCCGCGGCTAGCTCCCGTCACAGAACCTTTGACATGGCGATTGCAGAAACGGCTGCTGCTTTATCTGCATTGATATACGAACGCAACTCTGACAAGATCCAGGAAGCATTTGAAGTCTGCAAGAAAGCTCTGGAAGCTAATGAAGTGATAGACCCAACAGATGATATTGTTACCCCCACAGAAAAGAAGATGAAGCAACTGTTGTGGGAATCTGAGGTGGGCGTACGCTCTGTTGCTGAGAAATGGGGACTTTCTTTTACAGGGATATCTGAACTCAAGTCGGTTGGAGGACCATTTTGCGGTAAGCTAAACTGAATAGGTTACATACTGTGCTGACATTTCACTTGAAGGAATGTTCTGGTCGGATACAGAGCCGTTTATTGTGATTGCTTTCAAAGGAACGACCGTGACAAACTACCGCGAGTTTCTGGTTGATGCCACACTTCAACGAACCGATGCCCGTCCGTTCATCTTTGGGTCAACTCACCAAGGGTTCTACGAGTCTGTGTTTCCTACGTCTGGATCAGAGGATCAAGGCGATCCATATAGTGCAATACTGGCAGCCATTCACAGCAAGGCTAAAACACTACAGCAAAATCTACAAATAACAACACCAATTCAAGTTTGGATCACTGGCCACTCTCTGGGGGCTGCTATGAGTTCACTCCTGTTTGCGCGTTTCTTAAAATGTCCTGAGGATCTACCTGCTACATTGTGTACTCTTAGAGACTGTTATGTGATTGGCGCACCTGCAGTTGGTGATAGCGAGTTTGCTTCAAACTTTGCCTCTTTTTCAAACAACCCCGTCTCACGTAGTTCAACTTTGTGGCGTATCATTAACCAAACTGATATTGTGTGCCGTCTTCCTCCAGGATACAACAGCCGTACTATTGGTAATTAAGTTATATATATACATGTTTACATACATGTTTACATATATGTATTTAAATTTTTATTTATAGGTCACTTTTCTTCTAAATCGGATTTTTTTAATTATTGCCATGTTGGTATTGGTATCAAACTTGAATCCGAAGACTCAAAAACCCCAGTGTCGATACACCCCTCGAGCTACCAGCCGGCTATGCAGGTTACAATCGATACAAAGAACTGCCTTCCATTACCAGGTTTACCCCGAGAATGCCAATCAGTCAACACTACTGAGCCTGTGCTTGATCCATTCGATGGTCTTCCACCGTGGATGATGACCATATTAGAATACCCATACATCAAAAAGATGTTGATTTCTTGGTTGGCGAAATATGATCACAACCCTCTTCGGGCGGTCGAATCTCTCTATCCTGTCTTCTTAAAAGATCATATCCCATACCATTACCACGAGGGTTTAGAGAGAGCAAAAGCCTATTATACCACCAAAGTTTAAGCCGAGTTGGCTATTGGTTACTGGTTACTGGTTTCTTGATTTTTGTTTTGTTTTATATGTACGTATGTAATGAAATATCCTATACTCTTGCGTAAAATAAACATATGCATTGTTTGTGTGTAGCCTGCTTATTATTATGATTATTTATGATAGAGTACTAGTCTTTTTTTAAGGGGATACTAAATAGAATGTTTGTAGCGAACCTTACATATAATATGAATGACTTATTTCTTTACATAAATATATATAGTATGTTAATACAAAATGTCAATAGCTATATAAAACATATGAGTAATGTGTCTTCATAATCTTAAGAGAGAAAAAAAGACAACAATGTAAGCAATGTATTGTATATATTAGACATGACTTGAGATATGTTAGTGGCTTATAGCTTGGCTACAAGAACAAAATAAAACGTAAATAATAATAATAATAATATTCAAGTTTTCTGGAATTATTAAAGTTCAAAGATAATATTGCACCCAGCTGAAAGTATATGTATAGGTTATGAACGCCTGAGAAATTTGGCTAGAAAGTATATGTGAGACTTTCAGGCTTCTAATAAAAGAAAGAAAGAGTGAATTTTTTTGTTGTTGTTGGAAAACTAGACTCTAGACAAATCCAAAATACAGCATGTATCCAAAAAAAAATAAAAAAATATTAATAATAATAACAATGATAATGATAATAATAATAATAATAATAATAATAATAATAATAATAATAGTAATATAAAAGAAAAAGAAGAGCTTATTACTAATAGGAGTGACAGAAGAAGAAGAAGAAGAAAGCAAAACAATAAAAGTGGTGAAAGGTAAATGAGGGGAATCAGAATTAAGTAACAAGATATCAAAAAAAAAAGAAGAATAATAATAATAATTAGTAAGTACTTTGGCTGTTAGAGGGCAGCAAATGCTACGGAGACCCGCTCTTCCAGTGCAGCCCGATTGTACATCACGTGTGCAAGAGAATGGAGATCAAGAGTGTCCAAAAGGCGGATTGTCACCTTGGGTGCATGTCTTGTACCCGTTGCCTATTAGTCAAATGTATATAAAAAAGGTTTTAATAAAATTATATAAAATTAAAGTAACACACAAGTACACATGCGTCTTTTCTTCTTCTTCTTTTTTTAATAGATATCTCTTTCTTAATTCTTTCTTACCTTCACAAGAGGGAATAGTTTGTCACCCAACAGCTGTTTGCTTTCTATAAGTTCTTTGCCTTCCAAAGACTTTAACAGCTTCTCGACCTCGTCACTTTCTTCAGGAATGACAGAGACGCGCTTTAAAGATGCTGCTTCTGGTGGAGCAACGATTGGAATAGCCTTTGAAACACGTCGGGGTGGGAATACAATACCAGAAGGTACGTGTGTAGGCATGGGAACAATAAAGGGACCTGATAAAGAAGATTCGTTCTGGATACTATTATCATTATTATCGGTAGAAAGAAAGATAAGATTGTTAGAATTGTTATCAAGTATTTGTTGTTGTTATAATACTTACGCGTAAACGTCCTCTTCCTCTTCATCACAAAATGCCTCAATAGATTCTATTGCTAAATCAATTTTGCTCTTCAAAAAATCTTGGTTAAACAAGCACAGCATGCATTCTTTGGATTTTAGGGTTAACAGGAGATCTACGATGTCCGGCACAAGTCCGCCAAAGTCGCCATATTTGTTGACAGCATCTGTTAATCGTCGTCTTCGAAGATTAGAGCTTGTTTCTGTCATGACAGAGCTGATTGAATCTGTAGATGATCTACGCCTAATGCTCTGCCTGGTCAGAGGAGGAGGAGCATGATAAGGTGTATGCTGAGCGTTAATACCAGCAGATATGTTGTTGTTGTTGTTGTTGTTGTTATTATTATTATAAGAAGGACCATTGCTTCCTCCCGAGTTTGGAGAGGGTGGGAACTGTGGTGAATATCGGAGATTGGGATGGTTCATATGGAGGTCAACAGCTGAACCCTATTGTGTAATACGTCAGTATAATGTTTCAAACAGGTAAAAGCAAAAGGAAGGAAGGAAGGAAGGAGTATGGGGGAGTGGAAGGGGAAGGGAAGGGGAGAAAATATAGGTAGGTAGGTAGAAGGAAATGATTTACTTTGCGCTGGGGGTGGTGAATGGGAGGCGATTGCTTCTGTCCGATGGACAAGTCCTTGAGATTCAAAGCCAATGTATCAGAGTATTCTATAACCTCGGGAACAGACAGATCTATTATTATAGTTATTATTATTATTATTTTAAAAATTGATATTAAGGTATACATAAGTACAGCGACCTTTTTGTCTTGTGTATACATTATTATTATTATTCGGGAATTTGTACAAGATCACTTACTGCGATTCCGAGATATGCAATTCACGTCATTAGATACCTTTTCATGCGAGAAAACTGGTATATCTCCTGGGCGTGTCCCTCTTACACTATATCCGATCGAGGACTGAGGTGAAAGGTTAACTCCGTTGGAGTTGCTGAAAGGAGGAGAATACCCATTAGAACGATTTTGTTGCTGATGTTTCTGTTGCTGTGTTTGCTGTGGCTGTGGTGGCTGCTGTGGTTGTTGCAGTTGTTGCAGTTGTTGTGTCTGTGGTTGAGATTGTGGTTGTGGTTGCGGTTGTGGTTGTGGCTGTGCTTGCAGTTGAGGTTGAGGTTGAGGTTGAGGTTGAGGTTGAGGTTGAGGTTGAGGTTGAGGTTGAGATTGAGATTGAGGTTGTGGTTGTGGTTGTGGTTGTGGTTGGGATTGTTGTTGTTGTTGTTGTTGTTGTTGTTGTTGTTGTTGTTGTTGTTGTTGTTGACGCCCCTTTTTAGGTTCATGGTATGCCACAATCAATGGCTTACCACGGACCATCACGTTGTCCATTTCGTCACGAGCAGCTCGGGCTTCTTCAGACTTTCCATAACTCACAAACCCATATCCTTTTGACACACCAGTAAAAGGGTTGCTCATCACTCTGGCAGATACAATTTTACCGAATTTGTTAAACAATGGCTTGAGGTCGTCACTGGTAATAGAGCTATCGAGATTTTTAATGTAAAGGTTGGTAAAATCAACAGAGTGGGATTCGGTTTTTTCTCTTTCAGGATGCATGGTTTGTTGTTGAGAAAACTGTGTATTTTTTTTAAAAAAAAAAGTATATGTGATATTTTAGTTAAAGGTGTTCTTTAGAAGAAGAGAAGAAAATAATGTCAGAAGGAGAGGAGTAAAACTAATTACCTCTGTCTTGGGAGTGTATGTAGACTGGCCAAAGGAAGGAATACTTGTGGTGACACTACTAAAAGAGATGGAAAGGATGAGTTTCATGATTTGTATCCTGTAGAATATTCAACCCCCCCCCCCCCTTTTTTTTTCCATTCCACAAAAAAAGGAAGACCCACCCATACACACACACACAATATATACATTATATATGTATGTACAGGTACAAAGAATATAAGTAATAAAAATATAAATAAAATATAAAGCATTATCGTATATATAAAGGAAAATGCCGATGTAGATAAAGAAAGTAAAGGGGAGAAGTATAGAGATGAATATGGAGATAAAGCTGGCGAGTAAGAAGGAATAGAGAAGTATATAGTCTCAACATCAGCTTCTTCTCTCTCCCCCTTTGTTACCCTCCCCAACCCTATTCTAACTCATGCAAAAGAAATGACAATAATAAAAAAGAAGTTGAAGATGAAGAATAGAGGTCAAGAGCAAAATAAAAAAAATGGCTCCCTAACCTTGAACAAGATACTTACAGTGTATGACCAGAAAGCGATTTTCCATTCTATTTTAGATAGAAAAGACCAATAGACACAAGCATAATTTTGGTTTTTTGGTTTTTAGAGAATGATGAAATTTTACACCCTTGACACTCCTTACCAATTCGAACTGTGCCTGATCCGCATCGTTCTGTGAAAAGTAAATGACATAGGCCATAGTTGGAAGTCCTGGTATTTCTGAGTAAAGTTGACACAAATTAATTGGTCCGTACGGACGGAAGATATCATAGAGTGCAGTGTCAACAATATGAGGCGGAAGGTTCTTGACAGAGATGATATTGGCCTTTGGTATCGGCTCATGAGAAGGATCATTGTTAATACGCAATTGAAGCTTTGCTCCGTTGGTAAAAGTGAATCCATTGTAGAGTGTGTAGGCCTTGTCGGCTAAAGAAAACACAAGAATACAATATAAGATAATATAAATTAATAAATAAATAAATAAATAAATAAATAAATAAAAAATATTGTGATTGACATGTCAAACAGAGAGAGAAAAAAAAAATTCATAACATATATATATATATGCTATGATTGCTAGTATTGCTAGTATTGCTAGTATTGCTAGTATTGCTAGTAATATTCTTATTTTGTATTATAAATTTACCGTATTTAGGGTGGGCAAAACGTAAATGACCATTGCCGTGCTCACGGTTGATATGCATACTAAAGAAAGAAAGAAATCAATAGAAAAACAAAGAAATAAAATCAATAGCTTGTAAGCTTTCTGTTGACTTGAGACCATAAAAAAGAAGAAGAAGAAGAAGAAGAAGATGGCTCTTATCTACTGTTAAAGTATATCTATATATCTATACATGTATGTATGTACTGATTGGTTTTTATACTTACTCTTGAGGCATACAGTGTTGAAGCAAGGTACGGATGTCAGCGTCTCTTATGGTACGGGGAACATTATCGACAAACAAGGTTTCTGAGACCATGTATTCAGTTGGTTCGCAGGTTACAATCTGGAGTTCCTGGGCATTTGAAAGTGTGTCGCCTTTGCGCTTGGGCAATCGAATGACGGCTGTGTACGGATAGGATTCTGTCATGTTAAATATAAGAGTGGGGAAACTGGTAGAGAGGTATGATGATCACAAGGGGGTATGGAATGCAAGACTTGTAGAGTTAATTAACCAAAGAAGATGACCGAGAATAGGAGTGTTGGATGGTTTGCCTAGCGCCAGACGGGTTGGAAAAGGTAAGGCCCTCTAACCGGAGTTCTCTTTACAAAATGTAAAAATCGAGGAAGCTGATGCTGGGTGTGTATTTTATATGTGACTTAGTAAAAGCACAAGGTACAACAGACCCGGAGATTGAAGCCAAAACCAGCCAGTGTTTGAGGAGAGGGAAAAAAGAAAAAGAAAAAAAGGATAAAGAAATTCTCCATTATAATGTGTGTATAAATACATATGATTGAAATTTGACAGCTTATTTTGTGTACTTTTGTTGATCTATAATAAGTACACTGCCAAATTATTCAATATTTCAGAATACTATACACACATAAATATATGTATGTTGTATCAACAAGTAGTAAGTGAAGAAGCAAAGAGAAGAAAAACTAAAGGTGAGCAAGCTAGATAAAGTTATCCCAGAATGTATAAATATAACTGTACATATAAAAATAAGAATAAGAATTAGAATCAGAATCAGAACAAGTTTAGGAATATATATATAAAAGAAGTAAAATGAAAGGTTAAAGTAAGCCCCGGAAGATCTACGAGATTGTATTGAAGTGCATATCTGCTTGGACTTATTTAATACCAAGACAACAGTATTGCGAGTTCCCCCCCTCTTACTCTTTGTGCTCTTTCTTTCAAACCTTACATTGGCCAAGTCTGACGTTGCAGCAGCAAGTGAGATAATACCTAAAATAAAATATAAAAAAAAGCCAAAAGGAAGGTGACTGTGAGGTTTGGTTACCAAGCCCGTCAAGATGTACAACATCAATAAAGGTACGACATAGCTACTGAAATGGGTCCATCAGGCGATCTTTGATACATTCTATTTTTCTTTATTTTTGTTACCTTGTCGCGTGGCACATGCATCGTGGACTACTGTAAAATAAGTTATGTTAGTTCTCTTACGTTTCTTTTACGGATTTCATTTGATTTTGTTTAACTTCTTTATCTCTTAATGAGCGGAAATGAACTCCCAACCGATGTACCCTCCAGGTACTCACGGAGTGATTGCTCGAATGACACAAATTTCTCGATCAACTAATTTGGAATACTTTCGAGCCTAAATATGGTAAGTAGGTTTAAAATCCGCGCAAAATGTCCCTGCCATTTTGCAGGGACAAATTTATTTCTGATAGCCATACCCATATGGGATTTTGGATCTTGATTGTCATTAGCACCGCGTGTGAGAAGCACTTTTAATTTTAATGTATTGCCTTGGATTTTCAGTCTCTTGTTTTCTTTTCTTTTTCTTTTTTTACTCAAAATATAAAATATATATATATATACTAACAGGAAAGGATTGTGAAATTTCCAAGTTGGTCTTTCGAGCAATTTGTGACAATCAAAACAAAGCACTCTGTGAACAACCTTTGTGTATATCGCAAACAACAAAATGTTTATTTCTGCAGCTCAAATCAGATTCTGATCTGGGTTGCCTTTTTAAGTTTTGACATCCGCAGCACAATTATAATCCGCGACAGCACAAATCTAATTCTCTACAGAAAAAATATGCGCTTTAGATTCAATCCCAGATAACCTTTTTATATATAACGAAAAAAAAAGAAGAAAATATATGTTTAAGATTATTCTTATTATTTACAAAAACGCCCTCTCCTTTTATTTTTAATTGGTATTATTTAGAACAATTTTTCTTTGGTTTATGCCGGTTATTGACGGCCGTTCCTTAGATATTGATGCCATTGGTTGTTATTCAAACTGAATAAGATAAAAATAAAAGGCATAATTCTTTAATTCAAATACTTTATATTTATTTTATAACTTACAAACCTCAAGGATAGTTGTGTGATTCAAAAGAAAGAATACGAATAATAAAGAAAGACATCAATACTGCCATCGAAGTCTATATTATTATTACTATAGAAAGAAAAACCGTCCATAATAAGAAACTATAGCACCTGGTAGAGTGATAGTGATATGAAATTTTATATATTTCGCTACAGCATTTATTCCTTCAATATTTGTCTGTAGGATATATACATATATATTATAAAAGCTTCAATAATATACAAGAAAGCATAATAATAAAAACTGGTAAAGGAGAAAACTATAAAAGTATTCAATAGAGAGAGAGAGAGTGCGTGTGTGTATGTGGACTTGTAGCAATTTTCCATCAAATTGCTATTACGTCCATATAAGGTAAAGCGGACCTTTATGTCTTCTCGAGGGCTTTTAAATACCGAGATAATTCGAGGGTGCTTGTAGCAATTTGGGAAAAAAAGGGGGGACTCTTGAAAACGGATCAGTAACTTTTAATAAATCTGAGCATATCATTCGCTCCATGCAAACAGACAAAAACTGATCAGTACCATTGTGAAGATGAGCTGCGATGCGAATCAGGTTCAGTAACAGTAACAGCAAAAAAAAAAAAAGCTAAGCCTGTTGGTAGTCCGGATCACTAATCCGTGAAATTAACCCGCGTCTAGCCCGGACCCCTAGTCCGGACGCATAGCCCGCTTCAAACCCACTTCATTAGCCCGATTCCAACCCGGTTCGTTAACCCGATGCATTACAGTCTAAAGTTTGATATAGTAGAGAAGGTGTAAGACTTGTATCAGTTTCCTATCAAACTTTACAAATGTAGTGGTAGTGTAAATTGCTACATTTCAATATTCTCTTTCTCTTTCTCTCTAATAAACCCTGTTCCTCTTCATCCCTATTAAAAATCTCAGTTTGCCTTGTCAAATCTCAGGTACATTATTTTGTGGCTTGTCTTGTGGCTTATTCAATGTAAATCCGTAAGTGGAATCTAATTTTTTGGTTATTTCCTGTTTGAAATTCTTCACCTTTTTTTTCCCCCTCTCCTACCCCCCCTTTCTTATATAAATCATGCCTCCCAAGAAGAATACCAAATACTCCAAACCCGTCCATGACGGACCGATTGAGCCTGTGACAAATGATCCCCGTTTCAAACATCTTCAACGGGATCCTCGCTTCTTGCGCCCCAAGAAGAAGGACATGAAGGTGTCGATCGACAAACGATTCTCGGGAATGTTGAACTCTGAAGAGTTTGGTAGCAAACGTAAGTTGAGGATAGCAATTATAATAATCAAGCAAAATAAACAATAATAAATAAATTAACATTTTTTCTTTTTTTTTCCTCTCTTTTTTTTTAAAAAAAAACAACTTCATATACATATCTATATCTATATCTTTAAATTTATTTTGGTAGCCAAGGTCGATAAGTATGGTCGCAAACTTGAAGGAAACACTGCCGAAAAAGAATTGAAACGTTATTACCGTATTGACGAAGAAGATGAAGATGAAGACGACGACGAAGAAGAAGATAACTTGGAATTGTTGGAAAAGGCTTTGATGGCCGACGAAGGAAACGTTGAAGACGAAGAGGATGCTGAGGCTGAAGAAGACGAAGAAGTCATGGACAAACTTCTCACAAAGTCGGACTATATGCGCGGAAAGGGAGTAATGTCTTCTTCTGACGAATCGAGCTCCGATGAAGACGAAGTTGAGGATGAGGATGATGATGAAGAAGAAGAACAACCCGTAAGATTATTAATTTTTTCTTTATAAATACTAGGAAGGAAAGAAAGAAAGAAAGAAAAAACAATATATTTATTTTACATATATTATAGCAAATCCAAGAGGGTGAGGAAACCTGCAGATTAGCTGCCGTCAACATGGATTGGGACAAGATCAAGGCTGTCGATATCTTCAAAGTTCTCAGCGGCTTTATACCCAGCACCTCTGTTATCAAGAGTGTCTCTATTTACCCCTCCGAATTCGGTAAAGAGCGTATCCAACGTGAGGATGTAGAAGGACCTCCCAAGGAGATCTTCAATGACAACAAGAATGCAGACGACTCAGATGATGATGAAGAGGTCACTGAAGCAAGTATCATTCGTGCTCAGGTTGAGGAAGGTGATGGCAAAGAATTTGATCAGGAAGCTTTGCGTAAATACCAGCGTGATCGTCTCAAGTAAGTTCCATTGAATAAAACTTTATTGGATATATATATATATATATGTGCGTGTATGAGTGTGTGTGTATACATGATATTCTAATGGATTTGGTGATAAAGGTACTACTATGCTGTAATTGAGTGCGATACTCCTGCAACTGCAAAGGCCATCTACCAATCTTGCGATGGAAATGAATACGAAAGCAGTGCCAACTTCTTTGATCTGCGTTATATTCCTGATGAAATGAAATTTACTGACGAACCCAAGGATGTAGCCACCATGGCCCCCGAAAACCACAAGCCCACCAAGTTTATTACAGAGGTAAATTAATATTATTTTATTATTTAAATTAGAGGAATCAATTATAATATTTGTGTGTAATATATATATATATATATATATATATCAAAAAAGAAAAAAGAAACTTATCATTTTCATTCATGCAGGCTCTTCAACACACTAAAGTCAAGCTTACCTGGGATAACGACGATTTAGACCGTATTCAACTTACTCGTCGTGAGTTTACTCAGGATGATATCAAGGATCTCGATTTTGACGCCTACCTTGCATCATCTGACGAGGAAGAAGATGAAGAAGATGTCGATTCTCTCCGCGAAAAGTACAGAAAACTCTTGGCCGGCTCTGGTGACAAATCAGTGTATGGCGGTAAGGATGAGGATCACAGTGATGCTGAAGGTGATATGGAAATTTCGTTTGCTCCTGGTTTGAGCGAGAAGACTGGCTCACTTGTGGACTCCAAACTCAACCCTAAGGACCCAGAGGAGGAGACATCGATTGAGAAGTACATGCGTAAACAACGTGAGAAGAGAAAGGCCAAGAAGGAGAGACGTGGTGAGGAGGATACCAAGGAAGAAGAAGCATCTGAGGAGTCAGATATGGGAGAGGAGATGAACGACCCTTACTTTAAAGAGACTCTTCAGGAGATGGAAGATGAAGGTCTTGTCCAGTCCAAGGGTGAGTTAATTTTTTATATATACAAAAAAAAAAGGATAGATGATCAAAACCAAACCAAATCAAAGCGATTAACTAACTTAACCATTACTTAAAATAATAACAATAATTATTATTATAGAAGACAAGAAGGATAAGAAGAAGAAGGAAAAGAAGAACAAGAAGAAGTTGTCCAAGGAAGAGCGTGAGGAGCAGAAGCGTCAAAAGGCTGATCTGGAACTTCTTATGGACGATAAAGAAGGCAAGGGTGAGGGCTTCGATATGAAGGAGGTCTTGAAGCGTGAGAAGTTGGAGAAGAAGGGAAAGAAGGGAAAGAATGCAAAGAAGTTGGAGGCAATGGACGTAGATGAGTTTGAGATCAATGTAGCCGATCCTCGTTTCGCCGATCTCCAAGAGTCCCATCACTTTGCTATTGACCCCACCAACCCACAGTTCAAGAAGACCAAGTCGATGAAGAAGTTGCTCGATGCTCGCCAGGAGAAGATGAAGAAAGAGACAACCGAAACAGACACCTGGAAAAAGGAGGCTGCTCCCGCCCGTTCTTCCAATACTGATGGTGGTGAAGAAAAGAGCGACAACACATCTCTTTCTCAACTTGTCAATTCCGTCAAGCGAAAGGGTGCCCTTTCCAAGCCAAGTCTCGGAAAGCGTCAGAAGATGTAGATTTCTTTCTCTTTCTTTTTTTTTTTATCATTTTCTTCATATCAATTTCTTTTTTATATGTATTTCACACATTTTTCTTATTCTCTTTATCTCTCTCACTTTCACACCATTTGTACCATATATATAATAAGCACACATCACACAACAAAATAAAACCAATAAAACCAATAAAACCAAACTAAACCAAACTAAACTAAACCAAACCAATTCAAATCAAATCAAATCAAAGTCAACTATGCAAGAAAATTTCCCTCACAATATACCAAAGCAATATAAGAATATTATATGGGTGTGTATGAAATCTTTTGAGATGAATAATATATAAGCACAAATGATTTTATTATTAATTGATTATTTCATCGCAACCGCTTATTTCTTCTGGGTCTGGGTCTTGAGGACACGCTTGACGATCTTCTGCTCCTCGATCAAGAAAGCACGGACAATGCGGCTTCTGACACAGTGGGCGCAGCGGGAACCACCATAGGCACGGCTGACGTTCTTCTGGGTCTTGGAGACGTTACCGAACTGACGGGCACGGAGAGCCTTGATACCAGCGAGAGCATCGCCACAGTCACCGCAACGGGGGGCCTTAACGGGCTTCTTCTCGTAGTGATAGACGAGGTTGGCACCTACAATGATGATAGTTTGTTGTAAGTTTTATATTACTTTATTGTTTTATTATATTTATTTAATATAAATGTATGAATGTATGTATGTATATATATTATCTATGTATTGTATTATAGTATGGTACTGTATAGTATAGTATATTATACTATATTATATTATATTATATTATATTATTTGATAAATGGTTCTTGTCTTCTTCTTCTTCTTCCGTTTTTGATTTGTCGTTTTCTTGTACGATAAATGTATATATATATATATATTTATATCTATATGTAACATTCTAACGTACCGGGAGTCTTCACAACGTGAACGCGGTTGGAGCGGGTGTTGTACGAGAGACGGCGTCTGTAAGTGAGACGTTGAACCATTGCGATGTTCTAATGAAGTATAGTTGTATCAGCATCGTCTTGTTTCGGTCGAGTAACTTGAAAGATAAAATGAAATGAAAAAAAAAAAAGATGGTCGATGGAGACAGAAAAAAAAAAGAGGCCGATTTTTTTTTTGGTGGGGGAGAAAGATAGAAAAGTGTATATTTGATTATGGCCAATTGAACCAATCGATCAAACAACCAATCTATCTATCTATCTATCTATCAACCGAAAAGTTCGATCCATCCGTCCATATTTCGTTTTCTGTCTGTCTGTCTGTTTGTTTGTCTCCATCGTCCTTCTCTTTTTTCATTTATTTCCGTATCTTGTGCATTGCTTCATATGAGCACATACCCTTGGGTTGGGAAAGAGAAGGAATCTAAAGCGGGGACTTTGGCATGCTTATTTTGGCCTGCTTTGCTCAGTGTCTACCGGCCTTTGGAGTATTTACCGGAGTATGTGACTGTACGGCCCGGATTTTTTTTAGGACTTTGTATGTATTTTGGAGTGAGTGAGTGAATTGAGTGGGGGTGGGTTGTTTGGGTGTTGCTCGGACCTGTATGTGGGCCGAGCATTCTTTTTTTTTTTTTGTTCAAACTTGATCAATTTTTTTTTAATTGAACTTTGTGGATATAAAAAGAAGAAGAAATATAAGAAGAAAATAGGAGATATACAAGGTGTATATGTGTGTATATACGTATAAGATATATAGTAATAGTAGTAATAGTAGTAGTGGTAGTAGCAGCAGTAACTTATATGTCTACAATTGCTCTTGTTGGATCTCACGGAGCTCTTCCAGACGAGCCTCCAACTTGGGTACCTCCAATAACTTTTGTTCAATCTATAAAATAAATATACAAACAAAAAAGGTTGATTAATAAATTTGTACGATGTTTTCTTTGTAATATTTTGAAATAATACAATCTTAAAGTATATTATGTATAATTTACCGCATTCTTTTCTTCCTGGAGTGCCAGTCTCTTCTCGGCGTCCAACTTGGTAAATACATAACCACCCTGACCATCATACTGGAGGATGTAATTGTGGTATTTCCACAGGGAAGGACGATGGGAGACAGTCAACAACGAAATGCCAAGGTCTATTCAAATTCAAATTTAAATTGAATTAGTATTAGTATTAGTATTAGTATTAGTATTTTTAAAAGCAACAAACAAGTTTGTGTGGTAATTGCTGTTGATTGTTCTTTATTTTCTTTTTTAATTTTCTTTTACCTGTAGCATGAGTGTACATGATCTTTTCAATATCCATGCTTACAGCACTGGTACCTATATGATTATTAATATTAGGGATTGTCAGTGGAATGAAGCAAGTAACCAACAAGTATCTGGGGAATAAAACTTACATTCATCAAGAATAGCGTAACGAGGGGCATGGTAAAACAGACGAGCCATGGCAATCTTTGTTAGATTAAAGAAAAGGCAGTGCAATAAAATACATAGTTAATATATATATATATATATATGCGGCACATAAAGAAATAATAGTAAAGAGAAAGAGGCAAAAACTTACACGTTGTTTGTCACCACCCGAAAGTGCAAGAGCCCATTCCTTTTCACTGTCCCAACCACCTTCTCTCTCAACAATGTGCTTGATCTGAACCACATCCAGAATAGCCAAGAGCATATCATCAGTGATGTTTCCTATCAATTATTACAAATTATTATAAACCTTTCATTGATTTGTTGTTGTTGCTTTCTTTACTTACTTGCGTGCATTTCTTCAACAGTGTGGGGATAAAGAATTCTGTAATAATGATAATTCGAGTCATTGAGATTTCATATAAAGAAAGATGACTGTCTTGATCACTTACTGGTCTCTGAGGGTACCAAGGGACAGATAAGGTCTTTGAGGAATATAAAAGATGTCCTTGTGGCTAGGCTTGTGGACAGTGCCACCTAAAAAGAAAGAACAAAAAGAAAAAAAATAAGATTTTCTCTCTAATTTAGCCCACTTGCAAAAATTACTAATATCAAAAAGAAAAAAGAAAGCAATTATGACCATACCATAGACAGGCCAGAGTCCACCCAAGATACGGAACATGGATGATTTTCCACAGCCATTGGGACCAACGATCAAAAGATGCATCTACCAAAAGAATGAAAGATAAGTATGCCTATGGGATTGTAATGTAATGTATTCATAAACATGACTGTGTATAATATAATAATATAATATACACCGTCTCATGACAGATTGGGCCTTACTCCTGGTTTCACGTGGAAGGAAAGTTTTGGAATCAAAACATCGCCATTGGGGCTGACAATTGGAACCTCAACAAACTCGATGTTTTGGCTCTCTACAACACTTCCTCTTCCAGAAAGCGACTTTGCATTGGAGTCGGTTGAGGCAGAAGACACCAGGCGTTTCTGGAACTGACCAGCCTTGACATCTTCAAATACATCCAACAAATCTACCACCTATTTTTTTATGTATATTGTAGTTAGATTTTTGATTTGAATATTATTTGTAATTCAATAAATAGATGATTTGTTTGTTTGTTTGTTTTGTTTTTGTTTTTGTTTTTTTTTGCCTTACACGACTAGTGTAGCCTGCAAGTTCAGTAATTTCCTTGTAGGCATACATAATACGGCCAACAGCATCCGAAGAGCTCATCAGCAAACGACGGTTGGTAACAAATCCTACGTGCACAACAAGCGTTTTATAAGTAAATACTCAAATGCATCATATCAGATATACATATATACATGTGTGTGTGTTTGTATTTTATATGCATGTACATATATATATATATAAACATATGTATGTTTGTATGTTTGTATGTTTGTAGACAATGTATGTACATATTTGCTTGCTTGTTTGTTTGCTTGTTTTTACCTTCAGTACGGGAACCAACATTTCCAAGGTCTACACCAGGGACCTTGAAGAAGACAGGAACAGAGCAAAGAGCAAGACCACAGGCACCCCAAAAGTACTTAACAATGAAATCTTCTAGCATTCCGTGGGGAATACGCAGACGGAAGACGCGGTTGACGTGCTTGATGAGGGCATAATATCCAGTATCCAGCACATTCTTTTCAATCTTTTGTCCTTCAAAAAGAGCAATTTCCTCGGCGTTCTCAATCACACGCGAATGTCTGAAGCGGAATTCACCTTCCAGGCGCTGTTCTTCGGCGACCATCTTACCAAACGAAGGTGTGTACTTGCGCATCACAATCGAAGACAGCTGGACAATAAAACTGGCCACAAATACACCCTCGAATCCAACATTACGCGTGAGCTGGTAGTTGTAGATGAACACATCCAGGATTGGCTTGGCCAGGTTGGAGTAAAGCTCGGATAGTGATTGGGAGAACTTGTTGGTGTCAACAGTAATGCACTGATCGGCATTCTTGATTCTGTCGTCAAGATTACCAACAGCGTAGAATGTCATGTCACTAAGGTAGTCATCGTGGATGTGTCTGGTCAGACGAGTGCGGAACTGGATTGAGAGTTTGCTTTGCATATATGTAAGCTATAGGCGACAATCATATTTGTTAGTGGATTTACTTGAAGAAGCTCTATATATATATATAAATATATATTTACTTACCATGCTGTTGGTGTAAGTGGCAGGTATGGCCACAGTCATCCACCAGACAATACCGAGCATAAACTCTCTCATTTGACCGCGCACCTATAGTAAAGAATTTACAGATATATACAAATTAGAAACACAACAACAATTATATGTAATATTTTTTAACAAATAAAAGAAGCTTACAAGTGCGCTGACAATACGACCATCCAAAGAGGCAATGTATACTGATAGAATAGTTCTAAAGACTGTTGTGCAAGCAAATTCATAGATAAAGAAAGAATGAAATAAAATCAAAATAAAAAACGTTAATTTGAACCCTAAACCCCACAAATTCAACCCCCCCCATGTGATGAATTGTATTCATTCATTCACGCATTGATTTTTGTTTTGGTTTACCAAGGAAGCCAGAATGAACCACAAGCATCCAAAATTCCTTGGACCTTACGCCAGGCATAACAATTTTTAATACGCGGTGGAGTTGACGTAAGAAATGAACATCAACCTGTCAACCAAGAAATACATATAAAAAAAAAAAGATTGAATATATATATATTAACAAATGCTTTTGTTGATAACCCAATGGAAAAAGAAAGTATAACTCACGTCAACTCTGCGTTTCTTCATAGCCTCTTCGTCTAGAGACTGAATCTTTCTAGGCTTCTTTTGTTCCTTCTTGAACTTTTGGATAGTGCGATGGACATTAAGAGCGGAACGAAGAAAGAAGAAGAGGATGATCGATCGGCGAATGGTGGTTCTGTGGTTGGTATAACTCGCCAGAAACTGCTTCAAAAACTGTTTCAGAGCCTGCCTCCAAGGTGAGGTGGCTAGCTTTGAAAAGACGTTTGGCATCTCCACCAAGTCGTAAGTGAAAAAAAAAAGAAAGGCGAAAGGAGACAAAGGGTTCGTTCGTTTGATTTGCGCAAGTCTCAAGAGGTTGTCTGGCTTTTAATCAGAAATGTGGAGCAACATGTGAAAACTGAACAGTCTTTCTTTTTGCCCCTCTTCCCCTTTTTTTTTTATATATATATATTTTATATAACTCTTTATTTCTTTGGTTTTTATACTCCGAAAAATAGGCAAGTCATCGGCAACTGTCACCAGAGAGAAAGATAGAAATAAGCCTTTTGTATACTAAGATAAAGAATACTTCCTTGTAATGTATCTACAATGATATCGTGTATTTGTTTTGGGTGAGGCGCTGACTCAATTGAAAGACTATTTAGTTATCCGTAATTCTATGAGATTTTATTTCATTCATTAGAAAACATACACGCACATAGGGTACAAATAATTTTAATATCTGTGCTTGCTATCTACAAAAATAAATTGGCGGCTGATTGAATGACTGTCCGTAGCTTGAGAGATTAAATTTAGATAGGCACAAGAATATCTAGATAGCTAGATATACCTATAATAGATTTGCAATTGTATTTGATTATAGTGAATTAAAGCTAGACCAATGCTTACAATTGAAAATTGACTCAGAGTTCTATATTACTATTATTATTTATCATTATATACAAAAAGAAGAAGAAATGGTGATGATGGCAATCGTTTTTTAATGTATTTTTCTTAAAACTTGAAACAAACATGATATATAGAAATATTTGTTTCAATTCTCTTTTTTTTTTTGACTAATAAAATAACTATTGCGAATATACATATATTACTTTTGTTGTTACTGTTGAAATTACCAAAACACTCTTGGATATATGTATGTTTTAGCTTACAAATAGCAAGAATAGGCTCATTGTATTCTGTTGTTAAGAATACTATTTAATTACCTATGGTGAGTTGTCCGGTTGACTAAGAAGAAGAAGAAGAAGAAGATAATCCTACCGAATTATTATATTATTATTTTCTTTTGACTAGATTTGCTGTCGGTATAGAGACCTAAGGATTTATGACTATGATTTAAAGGTCTCTTCTTCTTCTCTCTCTCTTTTCAAGCAATGTGTCCGGGTGATATATTACTAGCCATATATATGTGTGTGAGAGTATTAGAATTAACATTAACATTAGCAGTATAAAATCAAGGTGAATGAAATTGAAAAGAAGCTTGTATTATATATCATATTATTATATTAATTAATTTATAATGACAATTATGGTAAAATGGTAGGTTATATTTATTGATGAATATAGAATATGTATATTATGTGGCGTGAATATAATTATTACTATTATTATTAAAAAGGTATATAAATGTACATATAAAGCAATTATACAAGGGGAGTAAAGGCTGAAAGACATGCTTAAATAAATACTGCTGACAGAAGATGATCGTGCTTATTAAGTGCACTATTTTGGACTACCACATTCTTAAATGAGCAAGACAACTTGCTTATTGACACCTTTTTATTTGAATCCCCGCATCGAAAATAAGTTGTGAAATAAATAAATAAATAAATAAATAAATAAAATTTAAGCATTATTTATTTATATTATATGTAATTATAATTATTTTAAATTTCCATAAGAAAAAGCAAAAAAGAAAAGAAAAGAAAAGAAAACTTCTCTTTAAAGACAATACACATTTCAATGGGCTTCTCATTAGTAACCGACAACTCCTTAACTCCACTTGCGGCTGCATTCTACAGTCAAGTCCAGGCAACTGCACAGTTGGTCCGAGTAGCGTTGGAATTAGAATGGACTATCTTCTCACGTCTCATTGGAGGTGTTATCCTTGCCACAACTGCCTACATTATCTACCTTATCATCACCCTTCGCCACACCAGACAACCATTGGTCATGTGGGAGAGATTAGCAAAACCCTTTGTGAAGCTATTCAGACCTAGATTATTTGCATTTTTACTTGGCAACGCAGATCCATACACACGTTCTATTGGTAAATTATATATATATATATTTATACACTGAAATTAATGTTAATATACTCTTTAAAAAATAATAATCAAGATATGCGTATCTCGACCTTTTCGCGTGGATTCTGTACTGGTATTATGCGTGTAAGTCTGTGTCTGTGTGCATTTTTTATTATTAAATATAAATATTTGGCTGTCAAAAACAAGGAAAGATTAGATTAATGTAATATAATATAAAATAACTTACATGTATATTTATATAAACAGGATCGCCACAAGAACCGTAATACATTAAAGAGGTAAATATATATAATTAGATAAAAGACAACCAATGATATCTATAATGTGTGCAACCTTGGACTGACCAATTCTTTTTAGTATCCACACAACAGCACTGGCCACCTTTGCTGAGACTGTCGGTGGACTTGCCTTGCTGAGTCTTATTAACAACAAGGACCGCGCCACCCTCACATCTTTAAAAATCGACGTAAGTCTATAAGTTTATAATAAACATTGCTTACTAACTCTTCCTTTACATCCATAATACATTTAGTACAATAAAAGAGCACTCGGGCTATTGACAGCTTCTTCCGAATGTGTGCTTCCCGCTGAGATGGAAGGCACCCACACCCTGACCACAAAGGTTGTAGTCAAGGATCGTACACTTGATACCGTAGCAGTAGCAACTCTTGTCTGGGAAATAGAGACAAAAGAAGCATAAAAACAGCAAATAATAATATCTCTTCTTCTTATTTTTATTTTTTGGTTATTAAAATCAAATGCTTTAAAGTGAGTGAGAAAGAAGTATATCTTATCTCTATAGCTTTTTCTGATACATATTGCGTTTCAATTTTGTGCAGCACTTTATTTTATTTAGTGTTTTTTTTTTTTTTCTTTTTTGCCCTGCAAGGCACTCTCCTCTTAATTGGCATTAAATAGATACATACAAGAGATGGAGAAGCACATTTGATCAACCAACTTCAAAAACGAATTCCTTTTTGGATACCATTATTCCATTTTGCACATATAAAAGTCGTGTATCGAATAATTTTCATTAGGCACCAAAAGATCCTTTCATACAAGGTAGAAAAAGAGGATACATAATAAATATATAAAATAATTTATAGAAAATCAAAAATCAAAATAAAATAAGCTTCAAATCAGTTCCACCTTCCACTCTCCCTTCCCCTTTTATTTTATTTTATTTTCTTTTCTTTTCTTTCCTTCTTTCTTTCTTTCTTTCTTTCTGGCTCCTCTTACTTTTTTTTTGTGAGGCTTTTTTTTTTCCTTATTGCCTTGGTTTCTAATCAAGTCTGACTGAATCACAGCATTCCTTATGGATCATCAACACATCATCAGTCCTCACCTACCATTACAGTCACGTCATACTCAACCTCCTCATATCATGTCGAGTCGGGGATATCTCCCCATTCGAAAGGTAAATACTTTTTATATTCTTTTTAATATAAAAAAAAGGTCTAATGGTTTTTCTTGTAATCAACAGAATGCATGCATAGTTTGCAGCGTGTGCTTTACCTGTTCCAAAGTAAAAACAAAAACAAAACAAAACAAAACGGCACTCAAATAATCAATCAAATGCTCTCTTTGTTCTTTTGTTCCTTTATTTTTTTTTTTATTTTTACTTAATCAACAAAACCAAAAAAAAAAAAAACGATTTTTTGTTTTTTATTTTTCATCTTTCGGTCCTACGTAATTAGTATTATGGCCATGACTGTGTCTGTGAAGAAACTCAACCCCGTAGAGGAAAGAATCTACCGGAAGGATGCCTTGATTCAAGAGCAAAAAAATTACATCAGCAAGAAAAAGAAGACTACGAATTCACCATGGGTTGGTTGATGGAGAATGCTCATGTAGTTTACAAAGATGAGCGAAATCACGTGGCTGGATTGAACGAGATGCCAGAAGTATCACTTTGCAAGGCACATAGTAGTACGTTGTACCGCGCCAAAAAACGACACGAGCGCTCGGCACATCAAACACCGCCGTCTCCCACCGATTCAAATGCTACTCTTTTGGATGACAGGCAAAGCCAGAACCAGAACCAGAACCAGAACCAGAAACAGAGCCAGAGTCAGAGTCAGAGTCAGAGTCACGTCTACCATGAACCTTACAAATCTACTCATTATTCCCACTTGAATTACTCGGCTCCCTATTCAGGTCTCAATGGTGGTCTGGCTGCAAAGGTCCGCGAGATATCTCAAGACTACCGCCAATCCAGTCATGACTCTTCACCCAGCTCGCCCGACTTTTCTGCCATGGAAGCCTCGACATCCATCAAGAGAAAGCGGATCACAAAGCAATTGGACCAAAAACCTTACTCTAGTGCCTCCACTCCACTCTACGCCACAGGTGTAGCCCCACTTCTCTCGACAATTCATCAGCCACCCTCATCTTCTACTTCCCCATCCTCAGCCCACCGCCACACAACAATCAGTCCAAATTTCTCTTCCCAACTTCCTCCCCTTCACTCCCGTACTGCATCTGTCTCTTCGCTCTCGTCATCTCTTCAACATCAGCTTCAACTCTCCAACAGCAATAGCAGCAACACCAATAACACCAATAATAGTAACAACAACAACAACAACAATAATAATAATAATAGTAGTAGTAGTAGTAATAATAATAATAATAATAATAATTATCCAAGTATCTATTCTCGACAGCATGGACCGGTCAATTCGGCATCGGCTCCCCCACTTTCCCTTCCTAACCCTTGTCCAACAATTGTCGAGACCGTTTCACTCAAGAGCATACCAAGTCCCACAGATCCACAGAGTCTTTATTATCTTCGGAATCTAGTTATCACAGATACTTTTACTTTTAGAGACCTATTGGCCGAGGTGGACATGACGGGCTCGCCACCCCCAGGAAAAAGAATCGTTGTATCGGATGCTAGAAATGAACGCACATTCCCTTTGGATCAAGCAATTCGGAGTGTAATCAAAAGGCCGTTCTCATCTCATGTCGAACTTTGTATAGGATTAGCCAACAAAACATCCATTGACTGGAGCACATATGTGTAAGGCACAAATAAATAAATAAAAACATGTTATATATATATACATATATATATATATATATATACTTGTAAGTATATAAGCATAAATACGCATGCACGAGCACAGGCACAGGCAGATTAATAGACAGATAGATTCCCACACATATACGTAAATATACAAGTACCTTACAAATTATACCTCTATTTATATTCATATGTGGATTTAATTATCTGTATTCCTCTCTCTCTCTATATATATATATATTTAACTATGCATGTATGAACTGTCAAATATATATATATATATAATATCGAGGTTTTTCTTTCTGTTTCTTTCTTTATCGTTGCTCACTATCCTTCAGAAGAGTTCTTTTATTAAAAGAGGGAAGGAAGGAATAAAACAAAAAAAAAGAAAGTCAAGTACGATAAATAAGTACCTGTGTACTAGTGTAAAGCAACAATATAAATCAGAAATTAATGTCTAAAATATTCAATTATATTATGAGATAAAAATTATAAAAAAATAAAAAAAAAGATTGTCATTATCAAAGTTTAGCTATTAAGAAGACTAGTATATATACATACGTAAAAGTCTCAAAGTGTAGAAACACTATGTATTTAATATTTCTAGGCAGCTAAATAGGTCAAAGCGTTAGATTAATACAGTAAGAATATCATCAAACGACCAGCAAATGAAACTTACCTCAGTAATAAATCAAGGGTTCATAAAGTACAACTTATGAAAGTATAAGCAAAACTAGCTACTACTTGATCAGTGTGATTTAAGAATAGGATGTAAGGAAAAGAATTTGATATTTTACAAAAAAATGTTTATTCTCCTTTAATGATATATACATTGGACTTGTCATAAAGGTAGAAATAAAGTGATGATAATATTACATAGAAAATGTCATAATTGCATAAGAAGAAGTATTAAGCATTATTGTTATTGTTATTGTTATTGTTATTAGTTGGCATAGTTTGTCTTCTCAAAAAAAAACATTTGTCTGTGTGTCTTTCAAGATTGAATTTACTTGTGTATGTTTTTTCACAGTTGTTGCATTTCCACCTTTTGCGATCTTCATCATGGCTCTTTTCGTGCCTTGTCATATTCCTTTTACGAGCATTCGAAAAGTCACACTGACTACATCTGTATAGTTTTGCTGAGCCACCAGGTGTATTCACTGTCTTTCCATTATATGGATAATTAATAAAGCTTTTCCCAATAGGTTCTTTGCTCTTTCGTTTGCCTTTTAATCAGAACCAAAAATTTGGGTTAATACATGCAACCATAGACCTTTGATCTATTTAATATTAAATAAAAAATTACCACTCTTTCTTGCCACAGCTTGGGGAATATTTGGACAGTCTGGCTGAAACTCAGAGGATGGTGAATAAACCGAAGAAGAAACCGGAGTTTGACAATGATACGACGACTGGGTACAAGAGCCAATACCAGCATCGCCACCAGTTTGATTAAGGTTCTCGGTAGCACGATAAAACAACCTTTCGACCATTTCATCAGCAGTACTCTCATAACACGAGTCAGAAACTGACAATTGACTTTGGTGAGAGCTAGGACTGAGGCTAGGTTGAGAAAAGGAGCTACTGACGTTTGGACTCTGGTTGACATCGGGTGTGCCAAGGCTCAAAGGCAAATTTTCTTCCGTCCTGAGATTTTGACTGTATAAAAATTCACCGGTGTATAGTGGGTCTGGGCTTCTATAACCCCCGGATTGTTGCAAGTCCAAAAAAGCCAGCCTATTCAGTTCTTGCCAAATCAAGGGTTGTGATATAGAGTTTTGCCCTAGGACAGCAGGATTGAGCGCATCACTGATGAGAGAAGCATCTATCATGACAGTATCAGAGAACTCAGGTTGACCTTGGATGAGCTGATAAAGATGTGTATTAAACAACTCAGGGACACCATTAAAGCCAGTATCTTCGGTTTGGGGATAGGTATTATTGAACATATCAAAAAATAAGCAGAAAAAGGTGGGAGTTTCGTTTGAAAGAAAAGAGTATGATAACAATTTGAAAATAACTCGAAAAGTCCATTGTTTTATACTTAATTATATCTGTGCTTGTAAAGAAGTACCAATACATGGACGGTCTTGTCGTAGAGGTCTCTATGAAATGCCCAGTAGTCTTTGTGTAACTTGACCGGATTTTGATTGGCTCACAAAAGAAAAGCTTTCATTTCTTTGCTTGTTAAAAAAAATCACCCTGGTGATCAAGACAAAGAAAAGGTCATAGATACATATAGTGAAAGAATTTTGAGAAAAGAAAAAAAAGGAAAACAAGGTAGTTTTCTTCTATAGAATATTTACTTCCCCAAAGGTGTTGGTCTTACTTAAGAATTCAACAAAATACTCAGAAGAAGGAGCTAATTCATTGGGATAAGTACTTGACATACACAAAAGATAATATACTACGGTTGGATAGACAGTTGATGATGATATGCCTGCTCAACTTCTTTAAACAGGCTTATTTCTTATTAAGCGATTGCTACATAAGACTGTGACTTCAAAGGGTAAATGGCATTGACACTTTGCCCTTTAATCTCAACTTTTTAATAGTCAATTGTTTTTATTTATTTATTCAAAAAGTATTATATTATAGGTATTATGGCTCTTTTTTTTTAATAAGAAAGACCAGAGTGGACTTTGGCTATATACCAAACTCTTCTTTTATAGTCATTCATTATGATATGAGCTTTGATTTTTTTCAAAACATGGTATCCATGTAGAAAAGAAGGATAACGCGAATTTAAGGCGACAATCACTTGAAAGAATACAATAGACCCTATAGATAACTAGATCATTAGCTTGTATATGGATACATTTGAGTGTGTATATAGATGCAATCATTTATTTCAACACATGCAGGTTGGAAAGTGCGTCACAGTTATACTCATCCTCATCAAAAGACAAGCCATATCTTCCAATTTAGTAAGAGGAGCTACAATGTAATACAAGTTACTAAAAGGGCATGAGGAGGAGGGTCAATATTTTCTAGCTTCAACATATATTCTTGGACTCTTAGTACTTTCAAGAGAGAGAGAGAGTAGTAGTAGTAGTAAATACACCCATGTAGATGTCATTACTGATTCTAAATATCTTTTTTTGTTGGAAGGCAGTCTGGAGGGTATTAATTTTTATATTTTATTCATATATATTACCAGCTTTTTTTTTCTTTTTTCTTTTACTTTTTGTCACCTATCCTAGTGTGAGTTTACTTTTGACCTAAAGTTAGATATGTATATATGTATGTATTTTAGCGCCAAAAAAAACACAACTGCTGCAATTGAGTATTCTATCTTACATGCGCCCAAAGTTTTATTAAGTATCTTTCGAAATTGGAACTTGTGTTCCCCCTCTATGTCTCTTGAAACTTCTCCTGATATTTGACGCCAAAGATTATTTATTTATTTATTTCATTTTTTTGGTGATATTTTCTAAATGCTGTAAACCTTTAGAAAATAATAATAATAATTGGACTTTATAAATGAGACATGTCTTGAGTAGATACAATTTTATGATATTATCCTTATTGTATTTCAAAAAAAAAACAAAATCAGAATAGGGTTTTCAAAATAATGCTTAATTTTTTATTCTCTGTTTTGCAACCAACACCATTATAGAAGAAGAAGAATTGAAAGTTTTTAGGGGTAATTTTATAGAGTGCGATTCTTGTGTAGAGCTTAATTACCTAATACAAAAAAAAATTGTATACATATTTGTGCCAATAATGTTTAAATAATGTTAATTAGCTGAAAATGTGTATAAACTTTAGATTTCAAAATGTATGTACATAGTGGATATAGCTTCTTTTTAGATGATTCTCTATTTTTATTGACTATCCTCAATTCTTCCCTCCTTTTAGTCTTCTCCTTCCTCCAATATAAAGTTTAAAGATTGTTTAAAGGGGAAATACAAGGTCAATAGCAGCAAAGAAGGAAGCTTATTTTAATTTAATTTATTGAGCTTTTCCTAAATAAAAGGAACAAATGACCACCTATAAAGCGAAATAGATATCTTTCTCTCTGTGTGTGTATGTTGGCTTTGTCATTATTACTATCACTATTACGGTGATGATGATCAGTTAAAGTCTATCTACAAAAATATTGCTAATGTTTTCTTAAAGTAGACTATTGTATAGGTTGAGATAAGATATAAATGAGTAAGGAGATCCTAAATAAGCATGTATTTTTATTTATTTTTTGGATTTTCAGCAAATCAACTATATACATATTTATATATGGAAAACAAGGTTTTACTTTACCATGATATTGCTTAAACCGCCCACGCTAATTTATATAAGGGGGGAAAAGGATAAGGTGCTTGACCGTCATAATACTTGGAACAGCTTCTGCTATTTAGGATTATCTATAGCAAAATGAAACAATATTAAGTTTTTTTTTGCTGTTCTTCTTTCGTCTTTCCTTATTTATTCAAAGGGGTATGTAATTAGAGCTTATTATTATCATTGTCTTGGCCAAGGCTTGTTGTGTATAAATACTCACCTCATAATTCATCTTTGGTTTGCTTTGTTTTATCTATCAATAAAAGAAGATGCCACCACCCTTTATATACAAATATGCATGATTTTCACTTAGAAACCCTTATTCACAAAGGCTGACAATTCTTTCGATCAGCTTGAATCAAAAATTCATGCTCATTATTTCTTTATTTTTATTTTTATTATTTTTGATTAATTTATATAAATTATTATTGTTATTTACCCTTTTTATTTTATTTATTTTTTACAACAATTATACATAAGACTCTTGGTGCTTCTAACAGCTAAAATGTCTATCGATCACTATTAAGGCCCGCTTTATCCCTCTCCTTTATATCTCTGTCAATCCCCTGGTTTTCTACTTTGGACTTGCATACCTACAAGAAACAAGCAAACGGCAACAACAACAACAAATCAATAGCCAATGTCCTATCGCGCATTTCAAATCTTCTGTCTATATATCTAAAATCCTACTTCCTCCTTACTGGACAAGATACAAGAACAAAAAAAACCCCCCATGCGAAATTCCTTAATTTTTGTGTAAATGTATGAGATGATGGTTTACCAAAGTCTGGCATATTTTAGTATATATCTCTATCTTTATTTCCCAATGATAATTTTCTCAATAAGCTATAAACCCAGTTTACTATTGTAATACAACAACAACACAAGAAATAATAATAATAAAAAAAAAGCTTATATATATATATACATACATCTTCAAGTTGTATACCAAGATTCATATACTCTTATTATCTGGAAATAAATCACTAGAGATAGCAGTAGTATCAGTAAATTATCCAAATGTTTCAGTATTTTGTAAGTTTGAATAAAGCAAAATATATATATATAAATGCTAGAGTATCGATAATTTACTCTTGTTTTGATGATTTCTTGGGTAAATTATTTTATTTTATTTTCTTTTCTTTTAATGTAGTATGGCGTCAATAAGCCATCATAGTGTGCAATTTTTATTTTGTTCTGAAATAGTAGTATCATTAAATTAGACCAGATAATTGAGATATTTACATGGGTGAGAGATTGTGTATGTATTTATGTACGTATGTGATGCTGTTATATAATATACATGGAATAGTAGTAGTAGTAAAAATGGTTTCTTTTAAAAATAGAGAAAGAGAGAGGAATATTATAGTATGTAGTTTGAGTCTCGGCGACCAGGTCTAACATATAGAGGTTGTAATGGTTCGCCGGTTTCAATTGGAGTGCGCACCATTAATATTACTGGAAGATCTTGGCATTTGTTGATATATGTCTTCTGTTCGATCTTGAATCCATGGGCCTCAAAAAACGGGATCGTTTTCTGATCTGTGATTTCAGCCAATACGGTGTAGTGTGACACATCGGCTCTCTCGAGCACATATTGGAGTAGTGCCGAGCCTAGACCTTTGCGCTGTTCTTGTGGTAATACACCGATGTATCCGATAGTCAAACATCTCTCATATTTGAAGATCACTTTTTTTCGCATTTTGTCAATCGCCGGCTGAAGCTTAACCAGCGTTTTAAGAGCAGCCGTCCAACCGATTAGACCAGCAAGCTTGGCAATGCCGAGAAGACATGGCCCTGGACAGCCCTCGGTATTTGTTGACCATACCATGACACCTTTACATCCCTCGGCCTGGACAGCAAAGTCACGGCTCTGGAGGGATGCTTTGTTGATAACTTGCTTGAATAAAGTGTAGAGAAACCTTGACTGTCTTTGTTCGTCAATTTTGTGGCCACACCATTCGAGAATAGAATTTTTGGAATAGGCTTCTTTCATCGTTTGAGCACCTTCCTTGATCGCACCTAAAAGAAATATATATATATACATATTAGATTTTAAAGCATTGGAATTTTCTTTGTATAAAGCAAAAGATAATGGCTACCAACCTTTGATGATAGGTCGAATATTAATTTGTTGTTGATTTGTATTAACTGTCAGTTTACGATAGAGACGTCGCTCGTTCATAGGCATTGGAGCAACAGACATATTGGTATGTTATTTGTTTTGAATGGTGTGTGTGTGAATAAGGTGTGAACTATGACAGCTTGAGTATTTATACATTTTTTTTTTTATTTATTTGAAATTAGAATTAAAATTATCAGCTTTAAAAAAAAACCATCGAAAAATTGTTCTAGATGCACTAATGATTTAAAAAGAAAAATCGAAACCGAATGTTACCAGAAATGGAATGGTCGAGACTTTTTTTTTATTTTATTTTTATTATTATGATTCCAAACTCCGTGTCGAAGCAAAAAGCACAGACACATTCTGTTATCCAATCGACTCTCTTTCCGCTGTAAGAACTCTGACTCTTCTTATACTACAGGTATACAGCTTCTCAACATGGCAGCCCCTGGGCCTATTGTCCACTTATGACAAACGCTCGGACATATGGCATGAAGTCAAGACATGCACCAACATTCGATTATCTCTGACGTCCATTACAACCTAACGAAACCATTCCCCCTTAGAACCAAGGTTTTTCTGAGCCAGGATGCCATTGCTGCTAACTGGACACGCACATATCAAGTCTACCAGACTTTTGCTTTCAACTTTGGCAAAACAGCTACTGGTAATGGGATTTTGTGAAGTCCTGGTAAACAAAACAAAAAATAAATAAATAATCTTCGGACCAGCTTTTTATCCTAAATTACCCGTCCGTTTGCAAAGCTCAAAATCTCATAATCGAGATTCTCTTCAAAAGGGTCTGAAATACAGTGCAAACGGGCAACCACTAAACACAACGTCGATGGACCCCGTATTTCAAAATCCCCTAGATTCATCTCGGATGTTGACATCATAAAGGTCAGTCTTTACAGCATCCCTGCTTGTGAGGTATGTAATGAATGATATGTGCCACTGAAAACATGGATTAGTATACTCGCGTGCAAAAGTCAGGATACTAAGAGCAAACCATAGCAGTTTATTTTTAAATTCTAAAGCAAACTCAATTTTCTTCTTCTTCTTGTTCCAGAAAGTCGTCTGCACCAGTATTCTTTTTTATATATATATATTATATATAATTTAAAAAGTAACCTTAAAGAATTGCTGTCATTATATGTAAAGGTCATCTCAAGTTCTTTAAAGTTTAAATTTATATTATATTTTACTAATAGATAAATAATATTTTATATTAAAGCATTAATAAGCAAGTCAAAATACATGAATTTGTTCAGATACTTTATGGAAATTGCTTTAACAGCTCTGTGTTATTCTTTCATATATAAATGAATATATTTGCCAGTTTAAACTAATTCTGTCGATACTGCCATGGAAGTGTACCAGACTAAAGACTATTAGGACTGTTGTTTTTTTCTTCTTCTTGAATATAATGAGCACTTTAATTAAACTCTGTTAATTTAGATGCCAATTCCTTTACTGACTTACCTGAACAAATTGAGAATATAGAGACCTTCTTGTCTCTCTCTATGTGGCATGCAGAGACTGTCATAGCACATACAAAAAAGATATGAACAAAGTATCTGGTACTTTATGACTTTAAGAAGCTTGAAGGTAATAACAGATCTAGGAATGAGTTGCATAGAGCTACTAAATCAACAACAAAAAAAACCTGACACTAAGAATAGTTTAAGTATATAATTTTGAAACAATGATAATCAGTAGAATTGTAAACCTAAAGTTGATGACACTATGTGTGATGTGTATGCCAGCGAAATATAGAAGGAGTTCTTAGGTAGTGAAAGTATCCAGTTTATGGCCAAAAGAAATTTCACTCTCGACATTTAACATCGATTGGTTTTAACTATTTTAACCCCATAAATACTTTGCACATATCGACAAGTAAAGGCTGATATATAAATCAGTCTTAATAACCCATCACTCATAAATGTACAATTTAGAAAAGTAATTATAAACTTGGGGGAAACACTACGCTCTTACATTTTTTTTTGTTGGCCTAGAGCTAAGTATGTTGTTGTAATCTGACGACTAAAATCATGGCAGCTATCGAGTATTTTAAGCTTAGACTAAATTTAATAATTGTAAAAAAAAAATTATTGCTCGTTTTCGTTTCAAGACACATGCTTCGTCCTATTAGTGACGAGTGCGTTCCTTTGATGTTATTTTATATCAATATGCATAGATACACATATGTCTATAAGTGTATGTATGTGTATTGATGTAATAATCAATATAATCTGTCTTTCTTTTCTTATAAAATTCTGAGACTTTACTTTGAATACACTTGAAAGATGCTTACCAATACAAACACATCTTAAACACTGTACTTATCAGTAGAGTTAATTTTATTAGATAGAGAAGAAAACAGAAAATGATTATCTTAACCTTAATATAATGCATGAGAAAACGTGCTAGTATTGGTCCAAGGCATCCTTATCTAATAAGCTATTAGCCTTAATATACTCTACTCTCAATTCTTCATCACTTGTCTGTTATCTTTACTGGTAAAGAAGTGAATACTCGTTGTAAGCATATGTGCAGTTAAATATTTTCTTTATTTGTGTCAATGTAAAGCATTTACATATGTTCTGCATTTATCACAAGGTATTTTATCTTTTATTTTTTCTCATTGTAAAATCCAACTGACTCCCAATGCGAAAGGTATTTGCTAAAGATGCTAACGTCAAAAATAGGAGACATTTTGAGGGTGGCGCTTGAGGAGATAGTCTTTCTGGTATCCCAGATAGGCATCTTGAAAGACTCGTTAAAGTTGTTCTCATAAAACGACATGAGCTTGAAGGCAGGGTTCTTTTCATCATTAGAAAGCTCCTCAACCCATTTCTTGGTCGGTACTATATCAAAAACCATGCCTGATTCTCTCATTGATTCCAAGACATTATTCCATGTCACTCGGTGAGGATTAACGATGTGGAACACAGATTCCTTTTCAGATGAAGACTTGCTCACACTATTGAGCATAATATCAACAATGGATTTTGCAGCATAATCGACAGGAATCCAATCAATTACTGTGTCCAAATCAGGCATCTACTCCACAAAAAAATAGTAGAAAATAAGTATACGACTCAAGTACATAAATATAAGTATGTAATAGGCCTACCTTTTTCATAACGCTTCCACCACCGATAAACATAAGTGGGTACTGCTCACTTGTATTCCACACGCCATTTATAGAGTCACCACAGACCTGACCGAGTCGCTCAATAATGCATGGAAAGTTCTTTTCTTTTGTGAGATAATTGAAAAGGTGCTCAACAATGTATTTTGACTGTGCATATCCCATTGGCATTGCAACCTTTGTGTTACGTGGCAAAGGTGACTCTGGGATAGTGTCTCCCCAGCCTGCGCTTGCACTGATACTCGAAATAAAGTGGAGGTGGATGGGGTTGATCTGTCGGTAAGCAAATTTGACCAGATTGTAAAGACCTTTAATACACTCTTTGTCGTAATGTTCGACCGTATGGTTGAAATCAAGAAGCCAGGCACAGTGCTGGATAATAGTGACTTCTGATTTGAGTTTGGAGTAGAAATCATACGCGAAACCCAACTTCTCATCCGTCAAATTCATTGGTAGGGCGACAAGCTTTGGTGAACTCAAGAGCGAGACATCGAGGCTTCGGCTCTCAAAAGCATGGTAGATTCGGTTGAGTGCTCCGGATTCTTTACCACGAACAAGACAGTAGACCTTGGAGACTTGAGGAGACTTGAGAAGATCCCTCAGCATGAATGATCCCAGCGACCCAGTTGCACCCGTGAGCAAAACTACTTGATCTTGGCCTTTGACGTAGGAATTTTTAGTGATTTCAAAGTCTTGGCTGGCCCGTCTTAGATAGCTGTCTAAGATTTCTTCGGTCTTGCTTAGGCTCTGTTGAATTGATGTAGTGTCTGATACATTTCCTGAAGACAAAGCTTGCTGGATCTGATCAATTGTTGGATTTTGGAACAAAAAGTTTTGCGAGATCATGCCAAAGACTTGAGAGATTTGGTTACGCAATTGGATTGAAAGGAGGGAGTTGAGACCAAGTTCAAAGAGAGACTGGCGTGTGTCCTTGAGATCTGCATAGGTGACACCAAGAATTTCGGCAGCAATCTCAATCAGGAACGCTTTTACTTTTTCAGGGGCCCATTCAGTGGTGTTATTCAATGCACGAGACGAGGTGTTTTCTGGAGTTTCCAAGAAGTCCATATATAGCTTTTCGATAATGACCTTGTATTGCTCATATGATCTCTTGCGTGCTATAGTTCCTTTATCGGTTGATGGTAGCTTCTTATTCAGAGGAAGAATCTTTATCATCTGTTTAAGGATTACGCTGTGGGAAGGGGCATCTTTGTTTGCATTTTGGACAGCCGAATAGACTAGTAAATGTTGGTGTTGTTAGGAGCTTATAGAAACATTCAGGCATTCATATGTCTTTGGTTTACCTAGGTCTATCATCTCATCTGGAGCATATTTTTGGCATTCTTCAGAAGAGAGTTCGATCAATACACCAGTACACTGGCGTCCTTGACCAAATACAGCACATTGGAAAATGATGGGGCATTGGCGAATGGTGGCTTCCATTGGCAAAGGATTCGTCTTTTCTCCATTTTGCCTAATGGTTGCGTACGGAGATGTTAGATAAGATACATATGGTTTTCCTTTAATGAAATGCCTAGTTTGCCTTACATAATTAATGTATCATCCATTCTTCCATAATAAATATAACGACCAGAATTTGGTGGAGTTTCTTTAAAAAGGTCTTTGGTGCTAAAATGGCCATCTTCTCGATTAGATATATTGTTAGCAGAATAAGGACTTTCGGCCTTAATAACTAGGTGTTTAAGATCTGAAGCATCATTGTAATTCTCCCAGAAGCAATAGTCCTTTGCAGATGAAATCACTCTGAGAACGTTCCATTCGTTGCTGGAAGGGGAGAAATTACTTCCCATGAATGGACCAATCTCTATATATAATATTAATTGAAGGCTGAACACACACACACATATATATATATATAATGAAATATAATGACTATATACCTGTACTCCCATACGCATTACGAGCATTTATCCCGTTGGATTTGCAAAAATCTCCGGTTTCTTGTTTGAGGGGTGCGCCTCCAAAACTATTTATAAGCATGTCAGTATATTGTCTGTTATGTTAAGGATGCTTTAAGCAGCTTACACAGCTAGCTTTAATTGCTGTAAGGCAGAAAAATCTTCTTCTTCTTTACAATAATCCAGAAGCTGCTCAAGGACCAATGGTGGAAATGATGCAATAGTACACTTGTTGTATTTGAGGGCAAGACATAGCTCTTGAATAGATGGGGGAAGCTGTCTCATAAAAACGACACTGGCTCCTACAACGATATTGCTAAAAATTGATATTTGGCCAAAAAGGTGGAAGCTATCAAGAAAACATAATGATATTTTTAGGATTTTGTAGATATATGATGGCTGTGTATAAGCCAAGAACGTTTCCCCTTTTCTTTTTCTTGCTTTCTTTTTACTCACAGTGGAAGCGAAGGAAGAAATATGTTTGACGAATCATAACCCATATCTTTATATGTCTCGTCTATGTTTTCCTTAAAGAACAAGGTCATATTTATCATGTAGCGATTACTCAAAAATATCGGCTTTGGAAAACCAGTTGTTCCAGAACTATGTTTTGTACAAAAAATGTTGAGTACAATTTCAAACCAATTTTGTTTTTGCTATGATATTTACCTGTGAATGACCATTACAGCTTTCTCTGAGCTGGCTTTAGACTGTGAAGGTATGATCTCGGTTGAGAAAGGGTTGAGAGGTTGGTTTGACATAATCTCTATATCGAGCGGCTCATATGTAAAGATTCCACATTTTTCCATCTCTTTGGATGAATTTTGGGCCAATTTATTGTACTTTTGGGAGGTAACAATAAGACTTGAATCGGTATTGTTGAGTATATTGGCAATTCCACTTGGTGAGTTACGTGGGGAGAGGGCAATAAAAAGTATGTCAAGTTTCATAATAGCCAGAAGCGCCAAAAGATAGGATACAGAATGGTCACCAAGAAACCCCACAGACTTTACTCCTTGAAGGCTTTCACTCCATTCACAAGCAAGATTTGTTGAAATTCGGTCAACTTGCTCGTAGGAAAGATTCTTGTAGGCCCCAAAAATATCTTGATCACCATTAGAGTATCGAGCAAAGACCTTGGTTGCGTAAGTAGTTGACTGTTTAGCCCAATATCCAACAAATGAATTGCCTTGGCTGTAATTCATACTATGCGTAGAAAAATATTATGGAAAGAAATGATTGAATACTTTGAATAAATGTATGGGATCCAAAAGCCTTTAAATACTTTATTTAATTGCGGCTGTGGAAAAATAATTAAAGGTATTATATGTGCCATACGTTCTATATGAGCTATACGTGCTATAGTTTGCTACGCCCTTAAATGTAATATGCAGAGAATAAGGGCGGATAAATTCATTGTCTGAATAAACGATTTGCATACAGCTCTTAATTTTGTTTTATCAGAAACTGTTGGCTTATTCCGAGAAAATATATATTTTGGGAAACTTTTCATAACCTGATCCAGCTCATCATTGCTTGAAGGGAATAACAGTTTTTGCGAGATTAATTCAATCTCAGATTATGTCAGCGAAACTTACGCGAAGTGTATTGTCTTGATTCATTTACCTCTCGAGGCACAGTGTGATAAATAAGTTTGATAAAGGTACGGGTGTTTTAATAAAGCGCCTATATTTACATGTTTTTATATAAAGATTTGCTTTGATTTTAGTACATAGAGAGTTTAAAGCTTCTACCGCAGATAGATTAATTTTTTGTGAAGATGATTTATTTAATCTATGCTGATAGCCCACTAACAAGACCTCAGTGAAGACCGTGTCACTGTATTAATACCATATGTTTCAATTCCAGTTCATAGCTGTAGATCCCAACAGCTATAACATACTTTTTTTTTGTAATGTCATCAATATCTGGATGTCTATTATACCTACAAAAGGAAATAATATAATATAATATAATATAATATAATATAATATAATATAATATAATATAATATAACCAAAATGAGGATTTTAATTTTTGTTGCTTTAATCAATTCACCCGGGTTTCTTTGCATGCACTACTATCTAACATCAATATAAAATAAAGCATTAGCTCCTTTCAATTTCACGATATTTTCTTACAGTAACTCTTTCTACATATTGAGCTGAATAAAAGCAAGTTTATTAATCGATACACATGTAAAAGATGTCTATCTTGTTTTGCTTTGACAGAAGAAGATTTTGTACGATCTTTTACTTTTTTGGCTCATCAAATATCATATTAATTCGTTCAAAATCTACGCATATATCTGACTGAACATACACTCAGAAATCCCGGCTGTATCCGTTAGACCTTTTCTTACTATGAGACCAAACTACACTTGGGCAATTCTAGAAATTTTCCTATATTTTTTTCTCCTTGTACTAACTAATCGGTGTGTTTTATTATACTAGCTGAGAATATATGTATATACTACCGGTAAAACCAAATGAAAAGATTATAGAAGATAACTTTGACTTCAGTAATATTAGCATAAACTTTTATAAACCACATTATTGTTGGGATTAGATGACGGCTTACATTACGACATTTTACACTATGATAAGAAAAAAAAGGGGGAGGGTAACTTTAGCAAGATATTCCTACAAGGCTTTTCATGGCTTAAGGGCTGCTTTAAGATTGAATTTGGATTAAGCAATATTTTCTTTCCCCTTTATATATATATATCAACTTCAATGTTTCTTATTTTTGCTCAAAAGTGAAATCCATCTTCTCGGTATAAAGAGAAGAGAAGCATGTTGATATATTAATACGATATTGATTGTCAGAAAACAAAGGTACATAAATAGTATTAAAGCTCTAGGAACATTAAAAACAAATATCCATTGTCATGCATTTTTTCCGTAGTATAAGTGCCCTTTTAACTAGAGATTAAGATAAATTTGGCCAAAAAGCTTATTTAGTAGATGGGAAATTCTCACAACAAAAACAAATTCCCATAAACACTTTTTAAGTATGTCTGTGAGCCTATTAGGATATTTTGATAGTCTTGAATCACACGTAAAATACTATACATTATCAAAAACATGTCTTTGGAAAATTTGCTTCCATTCTATATAATAGTTTGACATTATATTTTAAGCATATATATATATATATATTGAGAGAAAGCAATGCAATGCTAAAAATAAAGATATAATGTAGGAAACAACTTGACTTATAGTAGGTTCTCCTTATAAAATCCTACGGATTTCCAGTAAGATATGTATTTTTTGAGCAGCCGAGAATCAAATGTAGGTGCTTCGTTAAGAAATGGGCAAAGACGACATGACCTGTCAGTACTCCATACTTGCCTTCCAGAATAGTCACTGGAATTAGTTTCATAAAAAGGTAATAACTTGGAAGCTGGACTCTTGTCATCTTGCTGCAGTTGTGCAATCCACTCTTCAAGTGTAACAGTCTTGAATTCCATGCCACACAATCTCATGGCACTTAAAACATCCCTCCACACAACTCTTCGAGGATTGACAATATTATACACTGAATCTTCTGCTAAAGAAATAGCACCAGCTGTCTTGAGCATGATATCAACAATGCAAGCTGATGCATAATCGACAGTAATCCAATCAACATTGATATTTATGGAGGGCATCTAAGCATATAAAGTTTAGTAGTAAGAATGAGCATAATAAACACCATAATTTCGTTCAGGGCCGATAATACACTCACTTTCTTCATAATATTGCCACCACCGATAAACATAAGTGGGTACTGCTCACTTGTATTCCACACGCCATTTATAGAGTCACCACAGACCTGACCGAGTCGCTCAATAATGCATGGAAAGTTCTTTTCTTTTGTGAGATAATTGAAAAGGTGCTCAACAATGTATTTTGACTGTGCGTATCCCATTGGCATTGCAACCTTTGTGTTACGTGGCAAAGGTGACTCTGGGATAGTGTTTCCCCAGCCTGCGCTTGCACTGATACTCGAAATAAAGTGGAGGTGGATGGGGTTGATCTGTCGGTAAGCAAATTTGACCAGATTGTAAAGACCTTTAATACACTCTTTGTCGTAATGTTCGACCGTATGGTTGAAATCAAGAAGCCAGGCACAGTGCTGGATAATAGTGACTTCTGATTTGAGTTTGGAGTAGAAATCATGCGCGAAACCCAGCTTCTCATCCGTCAAATTCATTGGTAGGGCGACAAGCTTTGGTGAACTCAAGAGCGAGACATCGAGGCTTCGGCTCTCAAAAGCATGGTAGATTCGGTTGAGTGCTCCGGATTCTTTACCACGAACAAGACAGTAGACCTTGGAGACTTGAGGAGACTTGAGGAGATCCCTCAGCATGAATGATCCCAGCGACCCAGTTGCACCCGTGAGCAAAACTACTTGATCTTGGCCTTTGACGTAGGAATTTTTAGTGATTTCAAAGTCTTGGCTGGCCCGTCTTAGATAGCTGTCTAAGATTTCTTCGGTCTTGCTTAGGCTCTGTTGAATTGATGTAGTGTCTGATACATTTCCTGAAGACAAAGCTTGCTGGATCTGATCAATTGTTGGATTTTGGAACAAAAAGTTTTGCGAGATCGTGCCAAAGACTTGAGAGATTTGGTTACGCAATTGGATTGAAAGGAGGGAGTTGAGACCAAGTTCAAAGAGAGACTGGCGTGTGTCCTTGAGATCTGCATAGGTGACACCAAGAATTTCGGCAGCAATCTCAATCAGGAACGCTTTTACTTTTTCAGGGGCCCATTCAGTGGTGTTATTCAATGCACGAGACGAGGTGTTTTCTGGAGTTTCCAAGAAGTCCATATATAGCTTTTCGATAATGACCTTGTATTGCTCATATGATCTCTTGCGTGCTATAGTTCCTTTATCGGTTGATGGTAGCTTCTTATTCAGAGGAAGAATCTTTATCATCTGTTTAAGGATTACGCTGTGGGAAGGGGCATCTTTGTTTGCATTTTGGACAGCCGAATAGACTAGTAAATGTTGGTGTTGTTAGGAGCTTATAGAAACATTCAGGCATTCATATGTCTTTGGTTTACCTAGGTCTATCATCTCATCTGGAGCATATTTTTGGCATTCTTCAGAAGAGAGTTCGATCAATACACCAGTACACTGGCGTCCTTGACCAAATACAGCACATTGGAAAATGATGGGGCATTGGCGAATGGTGGCTTCCATTGGCAAAGGATTCGTCTTTTCTCCATTTTGCCTAATGGTTGCGTACGGAGATGTTAGATAAGATACATATGGTTTTCCTTTAATGAAATGCCTAGTTTGCCTTACATAATTAATGTATCATCCATTCTTCCATAATGAATATAACGACCAGAATTTGGTGGAGTTTCTTTAAAAAGGTCTTTGGTGCTAAAATGGCCATCTTCTCGATTAGATATATTGTTAGCAGAATAAGGACTTCCAGCCTTAACCACTAGGTGCTTAAGCTCTGTATCACCCAGGTATGGCTCCCAAAAACAGTGATTCTTTACAATCGAGGGTAATCTAAGGCTGTTCCAACTGTTACTAAAAGGAGAGAAATTGCTTCCCATGAATGGACCAATCTCTGTTCATGCCAACAATCAGAAAATAGTCAATATATTGTAAGAAGATATCTAGACATCTACGTACCTGTACTACCGTATACGCTACAAGCATTTATTCCTTTTTCTTTGCAAAAGTTCCCGATTTCTTGCTTGAGAGGTGCGCCTCCAAAGCTATTTAAGATTTTATCAAGATAAGAGCTCTTGTAGTATACAGTGAGTTATAAGTATTTTGAATAACTTACAAAGTTATTTTTAATTGCTGTAAGGCGGAAAAATCATTTTCCTCGTTACAGTAGTACAATAGTTGTTCAAGGATCAATGGTGGCAGTGCTGCAATAGTACACCTATTATGCTTAAGAGCAAAAAATACTTCTTTAATAGATGGAGGAAGCTGTCTCATAATAACGACACTGGCTCCTATGCTGATGTTGCTAAAAAACGCTATTTGTCCAAATAGATGATACCTATCAATAAAAAAACAATAACAAGTATTTTTTTGTTAACATATAAGTTTTAATGCATACATTTTTTGACTTACAGTGGAGCTGAAGGAAGAAAGGTTGTTGATGAATCATATACTATATCTCGGTATGTCTCATCAAAGCATACTCTAAAGAAAAACAGCATATTCATCATGTAGCGATTGCTTAGTAGAATTGGTTTTGGAAAGCCTGTTGTTCCAGAACTATATTTTAGACAAGTATTATTAGCGTAAGCTCAAAACAAATACCATTTTTTATGTAATAATTACCTATGGAGAACCATAACAGGTTTTTCCGGATTGACTTTAGGGTGGGAAGGTATGATCTCGGTTGAGAAAGGGTTGAGAGGTTGGTTTGACATGATCTCTATATCAAGCGGCTCGTGTGTAAAGATTCCACATTTTTCCATCTCTTTGGATGAATTTTGGGCCAATTTATTGTACTTTTGGGAGGTAACAATAAAAGTCGATTCCATAGTTTTGAGTATACTGGCTATTCCACTTGGCGAGTTACGTGGGGAGAGGGCAATAAAAAGTATGTCAAGTTTCATAATAGCCAGAAGCGCCAAAAGATAGGATACAGAATGGTCACCAAGAAACCCCACAGACTTTACTCCTTGAAGACTGTCACTCCACTCGCAAGCAAGATTTGTTGACATTCTATCAACTTGTTCGTAGGAAAGATTCTTGTAGGCTCCATATGTATCTTGATCTCCAGTAGCATGGCGAACGAAGACCTTGTCAGCATGAATAATGGACTGTTCACTCCAATAGCCAATGAATGATTTTTTGCCGTTGTAGTACATATATCTAATTGAAATCTACTGAAAAAGCAAATGAAAGGTTATTAAATTACTGTAGGCTGGAGAAACTTTTAAATACTTGATCCAATAGTACATGCAAGAAGGATAAGAACTACGATACGAATTATAGTTCATAACATACTAGTTGGATAAGATCTGCAGCAAACATATTTTGTATAAATATATCTTGTTCCATGTACAGCATATGCATTATGTAAGCTTAGCGTCTCAGAAAACATCAAACTGCTTATAGAAAGTATTTTTTATCTCTTAATAATATATGCCAATTTATGACTTTAAAGAAATTTACGGACTTATAGCCAGTCTGGGATTTCAAAAGATATCAATGTTTCCTAAAGAGCACTATATATCGGTTTTGTTGTCAAAGAGTTACTCAAGTGCGTAACTGTTCGAAATACTAATAGTGCCAATCAGTCTGTTCTCGTGATATCGAGTTTGTATTTAGTTTTATTACTGAGTGGTTAAAGCTGTCAGCAGTGTATTATACTTTGTGAGTCCATTTATTTGATGCATGCTGATAATCTACTAGCAAGGGGACAATAAAAACCACGTATCTTCAAATCAAAAATGCTTTAAGTTTATAGCAATTGCTGCTCCCAATAGTTACTGTATATTTGTATTTTGATTTTATAAGTATTTGGATATTATATATGTAGTTGTAAAAGTACAAAACAATATCCAGATGACCGTGAACTTCTCAAGCTGCGATAAACCGACTTGGATTTCCTTATATATACTTTACTATTAGACACTGAGGCAAAGAAATAAGTTTGATCATTGTTTACGTAATAGCGTACTTCAATTCACACTCATACGTCTACTGAATGTAACATAATTTATACTGCTTAATTACAAGGAAAAGAGACAACAAATAAACATGCATTGACGGAGCTTTTAGAAATTTGTTGTGATCAGTTATGAAAGAGAAACGTAATTATTCAAACCAAGTTTGCTGTCTTGACGCCTCTATACGGGTTTTTGGAGATAAAAAACTTGTTCTATAAGCCGCTCACATGAACTAGTGTATCCTTTACTACAAGCTTGGGTAAAGTGCTGCGCTTGTTTTGTTGGTTAAATAGCATATCAATTTGTTTCATATTTATGCATCGACCCAACAAAGTATACGCCCAAGACCTCCGACTACTTCCGCTAAATTGTATAATGCTTTTGCTACCAGTTGAATTGTGTATAAATTCAAAATAATACTTCTATTTTAGAATATTGGTTTAACTCTTACTATATTTTACAAAAATTGGGTTGATACCAAAATAAATATGTACTGCGAGTGTCTATACTATTTTAGTTCATTTATCCTTATAAAACCCTATGGATTTCCAATGCTTGATGTACTTGTTTAACAAACGAGCGTCAAAAGTAGGGGTCTCTTCAAGGGATGGGAAAAGATAACATGCCTTGTTAGTATTCCATACTTGTGCCTCAGAGAATTCCTTTAGAGTATTTTCATAGAAAGGTAATAACTTGGAAGCTGGACTCTTGTCATCTTGCTGCAGTTGTGCAATCCACTCTTCAAGTGTAACAGTCTTGAATTCCATGCCACACAATCTCATGGCATTTAAGACATCCCTCCACACAACTCTTCGAGGATTGACAATATTATACACAGAATCCTCTGCTGATGAAATATCACCGGCCGTCTTGAGCATAATATTAACAATACAAGCTGATGCATAATCGACAGGAATCCAATCAACATTGATATTTATGGAGGGCATCTGGACACGTAAATTTTAGTAATAATAATAGAAAAAAAATCAACTTTCATTCAGGGCTGATAATACACTTACTTTCTTCATAGCATTGCCACCACCGATAAACATAAGTGGGTACTGCTCACTTGTATTCCACACGCCATTTATAGAGTCACCACAGACCTGACCGAGTCGCTCAATAATGCATGGAAAGTTCTTTTCTTTTGTGAGATAATTGAAAAGGTGCTCAACAATGTATTTTGACTGTGCATATCCCATTGGCATTGCAACCTTTGTGTTACGTGGCAAAGGTGACTCTGGGATAGTGTCTCCCCAGCCTGCGCTTGCACTGATACTCGAAATAAAGTGGAGGTGGATGGGGTTGATCTGTCGGTAAGCAAATTTGACCAGATTGTAAAGACCTTTAATACACTCTTTGTCGTAATGTTCGACCGTATGGTTGAAATCAAGAAGCCAGGCACAGTGCTGGATAATAGTGACTTCTGATTTGAGTTTGGAGTAGAAATCATGCGCGAAACCCAGCTTCTCATCCGTCAAATTCATTGGTAGGGCGACAAGCTTTGGTGAACTCAAGAGCGAGACATCGAGGCTTCGGCTCTCAAAAGCATGGTAGATTCGGTTGAGTGCTCCGGCTTCTTTACCACGAACAAGACAGTAGACCTTGGAGACTTGAGGAGACTTGAGGAGATCCCTCAGCATGAATGATCCCAGCGACCCAGTTGCACCCGTGAGCAAAACTACTTGATCTTGGCCTTTGACGTAGGAATTTTTAGTGATTTCAAAGTCTTGGCTGGCCTGTTTCAAATACTTTTTCAGGATTTCTTCAGTATTGTCTAGGCTTTTTTCGATCGGTACTTCGTAAGGACTATGTCTTGAGGACAAAACTCTTTGGATGTTGTCGATGTTTGGGTGTTGAAATATAAAGTTTTGTGATACAGATCCAAGTTTCTTGGATATAATGTTACACAAATGGATTGAGAGGATGGAATTCAGACCAAGATCAAAAAGTGATTTAGTGGTGTCCTTGAGCTCGTTGGGAGAAATGTTGAGTACTTTGGCGGCAGCATCGATAAGAAATAGTTTGATTTCCTCTGGAGCTATATATTGGTATTCGGTAATATTCTGAAGTGGTTCTTCTGAAACACCACTATGAAAGTCTCTGTATAAAGTATCTATTGATTCTTTATATTCATTGTATGCGTGTTTTCGTACTACAGTTCCCTTGACAGTTACTGGTAATGTCTTTCCTGGTGGCAATATATAGACCATTTGCTTGAATAGCATACTATGCGTCGGTGCACTGTTGTTTGCTTCTAAAATATAAGGATATACTGTTTAAATAATAAATAATATTGGTTAGCGTCTGGGACTTGTAAAGTGAAGGTCTTACCAATCTTTATAACGTCTTCAGTGTTGTATTCTTTGGGGCTCTCTGCGGACAGCTCGATCAATACAGATATACATTGACGACTCTCTCCAATTATAACACACTGACTGACAATAGGACATTGTCTAATGGTGGCTTCAATAGGTAAAGGATTGGTTTTTTCTCCATTTTTCCTAAAAAGTAAAGTAAAGTAAAATAAAATAAAATAAAAAAGGGGGTCTCGAGCTTTTTTTTTTTTGGTTGTATTTGCACTTACATGATTAGTGTATCGTCCATTCGCCCATAATAAGAGTAATACCCGGAGTTTGGTGAGGTCTCTTTAAATAGATCTCTGGTCCCATAATTTCCATCCTCCCTGTTGACAACTCCATGTGCCATTGAAGGACAATCACCCTTTATAACCAGATGAACTAGCTCTGGATCAGCAAAGTAAGGTTCCCAGACACAATATTCTATTATTAGTCGAGAAGGGCGTAAATTGTTCCAGTGAATAGTATTAGGAGCGAAGCTACTAGACATGAATGGGCCAGTTTCTAAAAAGAGAAATGCATTTAATAAGAGCAATTAATGACAATTCTATATGTTTGCTTTTACCAGTGCTGCCATAGTGATTGCGGATAACTATATTTTTTGACTCCCAAAAAACCCCTGATTCTTCTCTGATTGGTGCCCCTCCGCATCTTTAAAAAAAAGTAAATGACAGGGCAATCAAGGTTAATTATTAGATTAATGCAATTAGTTTTTGTTTTTTTTTAGTTTTACTTACAAGGTAAGCTTGAGCTGTTGAAGTGCAGAGAAATCATTTTTTTCTTTAAGATAAGCCGAAAACTGCTCTATAATCAATGGAGGTGCCATCATAAATGTGCATTTGTTTGCCCTAATGGCAAGCTTAATATCCTTCATAGAAGGAGGAAGTTGACTCATGAATGCAACACTTGATCCATGAAGTATTGTACTAAAAACCATTGCTTGACCATATGCGTGAAAACTAAAGAGTATATTTTTTAGCATGACATTATCTTGTCTGGTGGATTTTATATAGTACTTACAGTGGTATGCACGGAAGAAGCACATCAGAAGAATTATAAATCATGTTTGGATTTGTGTCTTGGATACAATTGTCAATATGCCGGATATTTGTCAATATATATCGGTTGGATAATGTTATTGGCTTTGGGAAACCTGTAGTCCCTGAACTATAGAGAGCGATATATTCTATTAGTTTTATGGTATATAAGTTTGGTATTATGGTATACCTATGAAGTACCATGACCGGTGCTTCTCTGCCTAGTACACGAGAAAAAAATTTTGGAATTTTTTTGGAATTGTTGTATGTTTTTTGGGACACGGCCTTTAGATCTGTCGGCTGATGAATGAATACTTTACAGTTATCCAACTTGGCGGTAGATGCATACGCCATACGACTATACTTGTGGCTGGCAATGATATATTCTGCGTTCGTTGCTTTTAATAGACTGCCATTAGCGCTGGCTGAGTTACGAGGAGAAAGGGCTACGAATAATATATTAAGCTTCATTATCGCAAGTTGCGCGATCAGGTAGAATGCAGAGTGATCGCAGATAAATCCTACAGACTTGACGCCATAGAGAATTGAACTCCATTCCCAGGCAATGCTGGTTGATATGTTATCGACTTGCTCGTAAGACAGCGTTTTATAGACCTCCATTTCATTAAGTCTAGTATGGTATCGCAAGAATACGTTGTTTGCATGGATCTTTGATTGCTGGTTCCAAAGGTCAATAAATGATTCTTTGTAGTTTATTGGATCCTTCATGGTTTTAGAGTTTAAAGGAAAGAAAGAAGATATTGAGGTAATTTTTTATAGATTTCAAAAAAAAACTAAATCAGTAAAATAGCCCTTATTTTCTATCATTCAAACAGTATAGATATAAAAAAGCAGCAGAAATATATTTCGCTGTTTAAAGGGGTATGAAGAGCAAAAGTTGTCATATACATAGCAATTATTATGTACCCTATATAAGGTGATTGTTTCAAACCCCCCAAAAGAGACTTTGAGAACTGATTATCATCTATATAACCAATCAAGAGTAATTTATTATTACTCTTTAGCCATTGAACATCTTTATTCTTTGGGTTTTGGCTTTGATAAAGGCAACCAATAAACGATTGAAATATACGCTTTTAAAATGATATTATATCTTACCTTTTATGTAATTATTTTGTTTACTTGCAAAACTGATTGTTATGAATTGAGTTTATGTAAAACAAGTATGATAAATATTCTTAAACATGTATGTAAATTAATATTAAGCGTGCATATACTGTATTAGTCAAAGTGACTTTAGCAATACTTTGAGTTATTCCAATAATCTTTATTTTCGGTTTCAAAAATAAAAATAAATAAAGGTCTAGATGCTTTTTGAATTGAACAGCTAACATATGCATATGATCTATATTGTATTTCCGTACATGTATACACATGCTAATTGTAAATATGTCTTGAGCTCTTGAAGCTTAATAAGAATAGGTTATAGATGAATATATAAACAGACATATAAGAAACTGAGGCAGTAACCCCTTCCTTTGTCTAAAAAGATATTAAAGAAGATGGTTATTTGTGCACCAATTCAATCGCTCTAATTGGCACACCTCAAATATCATTTTCTAGGTTGTTATTCTATATTTTGAACCAATTACCTTCTGTGTATTATGATAGCACCTTTACACATTTCACCCAATCTATTTGGTTTTATGGCCGTACTTGTTTTTTCTTTATATCATAGATAGTATAATGATCAACAAAGGCGCTTTCCAAATTGTGCTTTTTCTTATTAATATTTAAAAGAAATTATAGATGAATTGATGTTATAGTGCAACGAAAAAGGGATTTTCTTCCTGTATTTAATTTAAAGTTAATTTAAGTATGCTAAACATAGTTTGTTGACTTTGATGCTCGTGTGGTACTTAAAAGGGCTTTACAATGAAATACTAACAATGTAATTAATATTACGGGCTTTGCTTTTAAATATATAGTTATGTTTGTGTGTGTGTCTGTAATTTTTCAATGCGTTAATAGGTGGCTCTATTATTTGGTGGTACAGATATGCTTCAAACGCTCCAGCCTTTTTGTTTCTGTTATTTCTCCTGACGATAAGATTTTAGTAAATGTGTCACCACCACTTGCTAAGTCGATGGTTTTTAAAGTAGCTGTTTATTATTAAATACACGTGTAGGCTTTTTTCTCCGCTAAAGAATAGTTTTACGGAAATTCATATAACCGACACAAGTTAATACCAATTAACGTTTTCTGACATGAGTACCCCTGAGGGATTGAACCCACAGGACAGGGCACACACGTTACGGCAAGGTAACCCACCTAACCGTGCCCAGTCTACAACACTACGTCCAAAGAACAAATCTTTGCACATCTTCACTGCTCCCAACTTTGACAAGAATATGATTGTGGATCTTGCATCCGCTGCATGGGCTAGTACCATCCATCCAATGAGTGTCTTGTTTAATCTCGGAAAACTCGTTCCCGCAAGGGACGTGGATGATGTTCTCTCTGACCGTGTAGGCCGGATGACCTCTCTCACTCTCCGTTATACTCGCTCAAAAGACCTTCTGGCAGAAGCCTTCTTTACTGACCCTTCCTCCCGCACCAAAGCAACGTCCGACGGGTTGACCTATCAGAACACCCGAATCATTGCTACACCAAGATTGCCTTCTAACAGCCACATTGTTAAGGTTAATCTTTACCGTATTAACGCCTGCGATCCTAGCACAGATCTACTCGAGCCCATCGAAAATGCATTCCGGCCTTTTGGCAAAATCGTTCAGCTGAGAGCTTATCTCTCACACCGTGGTACTTTCCGTGGCGAAGCCACTATCTATTTAGACACCTCTGGACAAGATGAAGTCCGCAGTCTCCCAAGCCGTCTCCACCTTGGTGGGTCTCTTTCCTGCCTTGCTGAGCTCCGCTCCACCGATATCACACCTGTGTGTGGATACTGCCGAGAGGAAGGGCATTATCTACGCTCCTGCACAAAACGTCCTCCCCGCGCACCTCGCTGCCAACGATGCGGTGTTCTTGGTCACGCCATAGACAGTCGCGAGTGCCCCACTCATCCAGACAATATCGAAGCCGAACGGGCTATCCAAGAGCAGCAGCAGATTGCACTTGCCGATACTGCGTCCCTTCGCGCACACCAATACTCGGTCGCTATGATAGAGACACCCGTACCACCAGTCACTTCATCAACCTTGACTCCTACCCATGCTTCACCCATTCTCAACCCACCTGCTACACACACAATACGTCGCCGTTCCATATCAGTGATGAATACTCGCGCCATGACGACCAGAAACCGGACCCCACACAACGACAATCCCCCAATTCCATTTGATACAACTATGTATGACCCGACTGGCCGTGGGCTCAATGCCAGCAAGCACTCACCAGGCGCCCGAGGCCTACATAGTCGCGATGATGGCATTAACCCAGCAATTTACACTGATGACGAACTTCGACAGTCTCTTTTTGAGGCCACTCTCCGGACTCGCGCCCAAGGTGCATTCCCGTATACTGATCTGGATGGTAACACACCTATGACTGATGGAACTGAAAAGTCTGACCGCTCAGGTCAGCCAAGTTCATAAATGACTGTACAACATCTTCGCATAGGAACCTTGAATGTTCGAGGTCTCCTCTCTACCATCAATAACCCGCAATCCCCAAAACTTCTTTTCATCCGACACCTTCGTACCCTTTCCCCTTCCCTTTCATTACTTGCTCTCCAAGAGACTCATTTACTCCCTATACATCACTCATCTATTCACCTTACATTCCAAGCACAGGCCAGCCTATGGACCCCACATTGCGGCCTCGTCTCTTTCGATCCCCTCCTCCAATTATCTCAACTGCATGTTTCTCCTGACAACCGTGCACTCGTTGTCAAGGTTACACATACCGACCATCGTGTTAATCCTTTTGTAGTTGTGGTTATTTATGCACCCAACATTCCTTCCCACCGGCGTACTTTCTTCTCCTCATTAGCACGCACTCTCCCTACTGTCATTCCTTCCCTGCCCGCCTTTATTCTGGGGGACTTTAACTGTGATCTTAGCCATCATCGCAGCCATCCACCGGACTGGAAAGGATACATTCAGGGTAATTGCGTGGATGCCATCACTAATTCTTCTTCACCCCCGTTACCCACTTTCCACAGCTCTCGCACCCGCACACGCATCGACTACATTTTCCGTCCACACAGCATTGTTACCGAACGCCCTGAGGTAACATTTATCAATCCTTTATGGACTGACCACTGCCTTCTTGCGGTCTCCATTCCTTTCTCTCGCCCACCAGGTCCTGGAGTCTGGAGGTTTAATACGCAATATCTCCTGCATGATGAATTTGATGCTCTCATTACCGACTTTCTGGATAAGGCCGACTCTTTTCTCTCTCCTGACATGTCTCCCGGTTCTCGGTGGGATCATATTAAGCATGCTATCAAACAGCTCGCCCTAACGTACTCTAAACGAGTTCAACGTCAACTCCGAAATCAGGAACGCCATCTTCATCGTGCTCGAAATGAACTTGCAATTCATACTCGTTCTCCTCAACTTCTCCGCATTGAACATGAGCTTGCCACCATACAATTGTCTCGGGCCTCCACCTTGGCTGCCAGATCTGGTGCTAAATGGTGTGAAGCTGGCGAGACTTCTTCGAAATATTTCTTTCGTATGCTCAAACAGCGAGCCGCTGCAAAAACTATCTCCTCTCTTGTCGACCCTGTCACTGGCGCGATCTACACCTCTCCCGCGGATTTGCTTGGCCATACTCGCTCTTTCTACCAATCTCTTTACTCGCCGGAACCCATTGACTATCCTGCTGCACACTCTCTTATCGACAAATTCCCACCTTCTGCCCGTCTGTCTTCCACTGACTCTGCCTACCTCATTGCTGATGTCACCTTGGATGACATTCTGTCTGTCCTTAAAGCCACCCCCATCAACTCTAGTCCTGGGATGGATGGTTTGCCCTACCCATTATGGGCTCGGCTCTTCTGTCACCCAACGGTCCAAAATCTTGCAGTTCAAGTCTATAATAATGCATTGCATGGTGTTTTTCCTCCATCTTGGCTGGAAACCGTACTTGTTCTCCTACCAAAAGCCGGTGACACTACCTCTCTCCGCAACTGGCGACCCATATCTCTTATAAACTGTGACGCCAAGTTGTTCACCAAAATGCTTACGTCCCGTTTACGATATGGTATCGACACACTCATAACACCATTCCAAACGGGTTTTATGGCAGATCGGTTTATTGCTGACAATGGTTTGCTGACACGCCTTGCCATGTCACATGCACAAATAACCCAAGACCCATGTGTTGCCCTTCTTTTGGATCAGGAGAAGGCCTATGACCGTGTCCACCCTGCGTATCTTCGTCTTGTCCTGGCCAGAGCCGGTTTCCCCACAATTTTTGTTGACTCCATCTGTGGTCTCTTCTTTTCTACTCAAATCCACGTGAATGTGAATGGGCACATATCTTCTTCTTTTCTACAAAGCCGGGGGCTACGTCAAGGTGATCCTCTCTCCCCCTTGCTGTTTAACCTGGCCTTCGAACCTTTGCTTAGATCCATTCTCGCTTCTCCTGCCATCCGTGGTTTCCGATTTCTGGTTCCGCCATCTCTCTCATCGTCCTCTCCTGAGCTCTCACCACCTCCACTCAAACTTCTTGCTTATGCCGATGACCTTCTCGTCTTTCTTTCTCTGCCTGCCGAGATGAGTGGTCTACTCAACCTTTTGCGTATATTTGGCTTAGCCTCTAACGCGAAAGTCAATCTCCATAAGACAGTTGCTGTTGCTATGTCTGGACAATTTCATCCGGATTGGGGCCCTGTATTGGATGCTGCTGATATTCACAGTCGACATGACCGTCACTCCGCCACTGCCATCCGTTACCTAGGCTTCCCATTGAGCTCACATCCGTCCCAGCTTGAGACCTTCCGTGCGGCTTTACTGGTCAAGCTTAGGAACCATTGCACGCTACTTTCTCAAAGATGCTTGTCCGTTCGTGGTAAAAGTATTGTGGCAAACTCACTTCTTCTCAGCTCAGTATGGCATATGCTATACGTGACTCCTGCACCGCTATCTTTCTTTGCTGCCATTCGCACTCATATTCGCTCGTTCCTGCGACTAGGTTTCGGTAGCCCTGGCTGGCCGCTTCTCTGTCTGCCACGCAAATCAGGCGGTTTGGGCCTGATTGATCCTGATCATCAACAACGAGCTCTTCAATTGCGCTGGATTCTCCCTATCTTGCATTCTCACTCTTTTTCTTCTACTTCCTTTATACTGCCATACCTCGAATTTATACTTCCTCTAAACTTTCGCGCTCCTTCTGCCAGTATCGCACTTTTGTTTCCCTGTAGTAGTGCAACTTGCCCGACTTCACTTCTTCCACTGCATCGCGCTTGTACCTCACTTCTTCCAGCTTCTCTCCCATCCAACTTGCAATTGCCGCCAACTGTGGTCCAACACTTCCCATTAACTTCAATATGGATGAACGTGCCACCCTTTGTTGACTCTTCTCTGAACCTGAAAACAATTCTGGTTTCTGACGCATTTTCTCTGGAGACTGATGACCGTCTTGTCCGCAAGGTTCGTGGTACGTTTTCTCGGGCACGTAATCGTATCGGTCATTTCTTCCAACAGATTGATTCTGGCAGGATGGTCCTCTGTCCTTGGTTTATCTCTTGCCTTGAACATCGACCTTCTACTGACACCCCTTCCCCCGATCTTTCCTCACTTCTTTCTTTGGTACGGTTGGACAACACTAGATTGGGTAAAGCTAGCACCGGATCTCTTCGACGCCATCTTCGCCCGCAAGTGCCCTCATCTCTAAATTCGTCTGTCCAATGGCGTAACTTCTGGTCTGTCTCTATACCCCACCACTGTCGCACAGTCTGGTGGAAAATGCTTTGGGATAGAACGCCAACCCGAAAACGTCTCAATATATTTATACCTCGACGCTTCCCCAGCTCATCTTGCATCTTTTGTCAAGATGCTACTGAAGATCAGTATCACTTTTTCTTTGGCTGTTCTATCAAACGGCAGGTGTGGAATGTCATTCTCTCTCGCTTTTGCCCGGCCTGGAACCTTGCTGAAATCTGCCTTCTCCTTACCAGAGGCAGCTTCCCACCACGTTCCTCCCATCAAGGCCTTTGGATTATCCTTTCCGCTGTCACTGCTAAAGCGATTTGGAGTGCTCATTGGAAATTTGTTTTTGATGACCAACCCTTTCTGTCAGGCGTTGTGGCACAAAAAGCGTCCACTGTAATAGAAAAACACATCGGTACACTAGCTTAAGTATTTCCTGTCTAATTTCCTCTCCTGTTTCATTCCGTTTTTTTCTTATATTTTCGTATTTCCTCCCCCTTGTCCCTCTATCTCTTATCTGTTCAATTAAGTCCACTTTGATGGCATTTTAAAAGCTGCACGCAGAGCGTGACAGCAGATCAATAAAATACTAAAAAAAAAAAAAAATTAAATACACGTGAGCATAGCTGCACATAAAACCCCGTGTGCCTTATACCTTATCTGTGTCTATATAGCAAATTAAAGACGCTTATTATACTTGTCTCAGTATTCTGAGCTTCTTTATAGCTTATAAGTAAGTCCTTGAGTAGTCCAAGGTGTATCGACAAAATATTTAAGAACTTAAAAATATAGAGTATATTCATAATTTGAAAATTCCTATATAAAACATATAATAAAGATATGCATATTCTTAAAAGAAAAAATCACCTTTGTATAACATATATTGAACCCTAATGAAGCTTTACTTGCCGTTAATATGTCTAAAAAATTGACTATTTGGAAACCAACAGGCCACTATAGAACTTTTTTTTTCCTCTTTAAAAACAAAGTGCATACTTTTTTTCCAGTGAGTATTGCAAAGAAGAAAAACGCCCAAAGTACATGTATCCCTACCACAATATGCTTCCTTAACCATATAATATTGTGTCAAGTTAGTATTGAACTGCAGTTCATGACCGTATGCATGTTTTAGAGTATGGATTCTTTTTGCTTATCTTTTAGCTAAAAATACTTTCTTTTGCTTTAATTTAAAGCATATATTTGATAGCGTCTCTAAACTTAACGCTTTGTATCTATTGCTCAACGCGCAATTGGAAACAAGATATACTTATCCGGCTTACAATATAGAATTGTTCCATTTATATTACATATGTTCACTTGGCCATTTGTATTTTGAAAAATCAAAATTAATGTAAAATATAGAACACACAGCTTAAATCTTTTGGATATATTCAGGGATTAACACTTACTTTCTAGATAGCTCAAGCATATTTGGCGGTGTACATAAGGTGTGCATGATTATATGTGTACGTATGTATTGTACTGTTTTATTTGCTTATTGTTATTGTATGTTTATATTTGTGGTAGTCATTTAGTACTACATCGACATATTGAGAAATCATGAGCCAGAAACAGTGTTTATATATATAATATCTGTATAATTCTGTAATATTTAGCAGTTTTTCTATTACCCAAAAGATAATAATGATGATGATGATAATGGGGGACATACCTAGTACACTTCCGGAACAGAAATCAACAATAAGATCTTTGGCTTCTAATTCCAAGTCAAATATATATCAGCTTCATTATGCTATTACTTCCCAGGTAAATGACAAAATCAGATGACTTCCTGTATTCTTATATTTAAATGTATATGTGCAATGTGACCACCACAATCTTTGAACACCTTTTGACTCTATCTGGTGTACTTCCCATAAGAGTAAACACAACTTCTAGATAAATATCCTTCAGTTTACAAAGAGTTTATACCTTCATATCTGGGTTTTGCAGTGACCAGCATTCAAAGCGCTGTACTCTTTAATAGTGTTTCCACCGAGTTGAGTATGCCCAGTGTGCCGACTAGTATCATCGTACTCAAATGTAAAATATAGTTAAATATTCTCTTTTTAATACTTTATACCAAATACTGAGATCCTTGGAAAAACAGTTAACATATACTCCTCTGTCTAAAAATGATGAAAACAGCTTTCACCTAATGTTTTTTTTTTGAAGATATCCATAACTTTTGAAAGCTTTTTACTCGTGCTCAAACAAGAGTCTCGTAAAGTTAGTGAGAATTGATTTATTTGGTTTTTCGAGTCAGATATTTTCTCTAGTTGCTATGTTAGCTTATCAATGCTTGCTAATGATCCAAAGTGCTGTTATAAAGATATTCGTGTGGATAAAAAGCTCGGTTGGGATATGATTGGCATTTTTCGAGCCAAAAGAATATCTTCACGCTTGAAATCCAACAACCCACGTTTAGGGGAAAAAATCTGGTATCTTTATTTCTTAATAATGCTAGTAATTAAATTTAAGATAATTTTTTTAGAAGAAATGGATAAAAAGAATGTCATGAAAAAAGAAAACACAAAAATATGGTTTATCGCTAATTTCTATAAGGTAAATTGGATATCTAATTTTTATAAAATCCAATAGATTTCCAATATAAAACAAATTTTTTAAGCAGTTGGGTATCTAGTGCAGAGCAATTTCTAAGTATTGGACTAAATAGAATTGTTTTTTCAGTGCTTAATACAGGCATTGTGAAGGTTTCGTCAAGAGTATTCTCATAAAAGGACACAAGTCTAAAAGCAGGATTTTTATCGTCCTTTTTCAGTTCTCTGATCCACTCTTTTACCGGTACAGTCTCGAATGACATTCCGGAATACCTCATTGCTTTTAACAAGTCCTCCCATGTAACTCTATAAGGGTTGACGATATGATAGACTGATTCGTTGATATCCACGGGCTTGGATGTGGTCTTGAGCATAATATCAACAATACATGCTGCGGCATAATCGACAGGGATCCAGTCAATAGCAGTGTTCAAACGAGGCATCTAGATCATAAATAATAGTAGTAGTTAGATATACTGCTCAAATACATAAATATAAATATATAATAGGCCTACCTTTTTCATAACGCTTCCACCACCAATAAACATAAGTGGGTACTGCTCACTTGTATTCCACACGCCATTTATAGAGTCCCCACAGACCTGACCGAGTCGCGCAATAATGCATGGAAGGTTTTTTTCTTTTGTGAGATAATTGAAAAGGTACTCAACAATGTATTTTGACTGTGCGTATCCAATTGGCATTGCAACCTTTGTGTTACGTGGCAGAGGTGACTCTGGGATAGTGGCTCCCCAGCCTGCGCTTGCACTGATACTCGAAATAAAGTGGAGGTGGATGGGGTTGATCTGTCGGTAAGAAAATTTGACCAGATTGTAAAGACCTTTAATACACTCTTTGTCGTAATGTTCGACCGTATGGTTGAAATCAAGAAGCCAGGCACAGTGCTGGATAATAGTGACTTCTGATTTGAGTTTGGAGTAGAAATCATGCGCGAAACCCAACTTTTCATCCGTCAAATTCATTGGTAGGGCGACAAGCTTTGGTGAACTCAAGAGCGAGACATCGAGGCTTCGACTCTCAAAAGCATGGTAGATTCGGTTGAGTGCTCCGGCTTCTTTACCACGAACAAGACAGTAGACCTTGGAGACTTGAGGAGACTTGAGGAGATCCCTCAGCATGAATGATCCCAGTGACCCAGTTGCACCCGTGAGCAAAACTACTTGATCTTGATCTTTGACGTAGGAATTTTTAGTGATTTCAAAGTCTTGGCTGGCCCGTTTCAGATAGCTGTCTAGAATCTCTTCCGTCTTGCTCAAACGCTCATCAACCCATGTATTGTGATATTGTGGGCCTCTTAATAGAGCCACGGCTACTTGATCAATGGTTGGATACTGAAATAGAAAGTTCTGGGAAAGTTTTCCAAAGATTTTGGATAACCTGTTACGCAGCTGAATGGAAGTAATAGAATTTAATCCAAAATCAAAAAGTGATTTACTACTGTCTTTAATGTCTGCTTGGGGTATACCAAGTACTTCTGCCGCGGATTTGACTATAAATAGTTTAACTTCCTCGGGAGACCATAACAAGGCAGCAGCAATACTCTCATCTGCAGAATTTTGTGGACCCTCAAGGAAGTTGACATAGAGCTTTTCTATGACATCTTTATATTCATTGTAGGCGTGTTTGCGTATCACAGTCCCTTTGGCAGTTGCTGGCAAAGTCTCTCCTAAGGGCAATATATAGATCATTTGCTTAAATATCATACTATGTGTCGGTGCACTTTTATTCGCTTCTCGAATATAATGGTATACTAGTTATATAATAAATAATAGTTATTAGCGTCTGGGATTTGCAAAGTATATACTATGGGATAGAGAGTGATTCAGAAGGTACTTTTGAAAAATATCATATGCATTTTTTGACAAAATCCTCCTCTGAATCCCTTTTCTTTTCATGGTGACAGGTCTTACCAATATCTGTGATTTCTTCAGTGGTGTATTCTTTGGGGCTCTCTGCGGACAGCTCGATCAATACAGATATACATTGACGACTCTCTCCAATTATAACACACTGACTGACAATAGGACATTGTCTAATGGTGGCCTCAATAGGTAAAGGATTGGTTTTTTCTCCATTTTTCCTAAAAAGTAAAGTAAAGTAAAATAAAATAAAATAAAAAAGGGGGTCTCGAGCTTTTTTTTTGGTTGTATTTGCACTTACATGATTAGTGTATCGTCCATTCGCCCATAATAAGAGTAATACCCGGAGTTTGGTGAGGTCTCTTTAAATAGATCTCTGGTCCCATAATTTCCATCCTCCCTGTTGACAACTCCATGTGCAATTGAAGGACAATCACCCTTTATAACCAGATGAACTAACTCTGAATCAGCAAAGTAAGGTTCCCAGATACAATATTTTCTCAGAGGTGGTAAAGGTCTTAAAGTGTTCCATTGCTTGGTATTAGGAGCAAGGTCACTTATCATAAATGAGCCAATTTCTGAATAAGAAAGAAAGATTAAGTAAATCAAATATATCCAACATCATATATTGTATACAATACCTGAGGCACCATACTTGTTACGAATGATAATATTTTTTGACTCGCAGAAGCTCCCCACTTCTTGTTTAAGAGGGGCCCCACCGAAACTGACAAAAATGGAAATAGCTGAGTGACAAAGGGCAAAGAGTACTATAGTTGTTAAACTTACATTGTTAATTTGAGCTGTTGTAATGGAGAGAAATCACTTTGTTCTTGGCAGTGGGCTAACATCTGCTCTAAAACTAATGGTGGTACCATCATGAAAGTACACTTGTTGGCTTCAATTGCAAAAATAAGCTCTGGTATTGAAGGAAGAAGTTGTTTCAAAAATACAACGCTGGCACCGACTAGTAGCACATTGAATATTGCAAATAGACCGAATGAATGGAACCTATGTTATATTGTAAGTATACGATAGTATCAATAAACACAAAATACAAGAGACATACAATGGTGTACACGGCAATATAACATCTGAGCATGTATACTCTATATTTTTGTTTGTGTCTTCGATCCCGATAGATAATGATTGTATAACATGGATCATAAAGCGGTTTGTTAAGCGTATAGGCTTAGGAAATCCTGTTGTTCCAGAGCTAGTTTGTTTTGGTAATTATTTATAAATTAGTAGTGAGATAATACCTAGCTTACCTGTGACCAATCAAAATAATTGACTCGGGGGTTTGCGCACAAATGATAGACATAAAGTCAGTTTGAGAATTCAGGGGTTGTTTTGATAGATACTCCAGGTCAAAATCTGGAAAAATGAGTACACGACAACCCTCAACCTGGCTCGCAGTACTTTGGGCTGTATTTTTGTACTTAGTTGAAGCAATAAGGAATTTGGTTTCCGTGGCCTTTAATAAGCTTGCGTCTGAATCAGGGGAGTTGCGAGGGGATAAGGACAGGAAAATTACGCCTAGTTTCATAATTGCCAGCATTGAAATCAAATAGAATGGAGTATGATCGCTAATAAATCCTACAGTGACAGCCTCGCATATAGATTTGCTCCACTCGAGAGCAAGGTTCGTTGACATACGATCAACTTGCTCATAAGTCAATGTTTTATAAACATCATTCCCTTTATCATTAGTGCAGTGGTAGCGCACTAATACTTTTGTGGCGTGTATCTTCGCTATCTTCTGCCAGAACTCAATATAAGACGGGTTTGTTTTGTAGTCAAGAGGGTACTCCATTTTGATGGTAAACTCAGAATAGTCTGCTATAGGTGTCCTTGTGGGTTCAATGATATCTTTAAAAATGGAATATTACATTATATGTATCAGATTTTATTCACATCCAATATAAATTACAGATATTTTACTGTGCGTTTCATATTTACCGGGTGTAGGGAAGAGTATGGTAGAGATTAAAGATGAATCAATAATGTTTATACTTTTATATGAACCTTCCTTGTGGCTAGGGACAAATAAATATTCCGCCGTAGAAATATGCACATTGATGCAGCATATGGTATGTGTAACACACGGTATTTCCTGTCTAAGGCTACAAGCCTATTTCTACATACCCGATACATCTTACAAGAGAAAGAAAAAACTAAGATTTAGAGTCAAATCTAACTTAATATTTTCAGTCTAAACAAACAACCTGCTAATGTTATCAAGACATTCAACGTTGTTAATTTTAAATAACATATAATCTTATAAGAAATCGAAGTAGATTATAATATATATTTATTAAACTCTGTACTGTGTTGTATATTCAAGAAACAGAGAGACGTATTAAATTTCACTATACACCCTTTGGAAAAAAGTTTCCCAAGGAGAGTATTCAAGATCTTCTCTTTCCTCGCCTCCTACCTTTTATGAATACTTGCGCAACTCCACTCATTTATAGAGTTAAGGTTTTATCCATGCAACAATATACGACTCTATCGTTTATAATTATGCATTAATACTGAGTTATATCACAGAGGTTTCCTGGACAATCAAAAGGCGCTGACTTTCTTATAGCATTATCCTATCATTTGGTACTGACCTGTAGATATTGTATTTATTGGGTAATAATTATTTTGTGTATAACTACATATTACAAAGAAATATTGTCTGTCATATAAAACAATACAGCTTATATACTATCGTTATTGGCTAACAATTTTAAAATTTATTTTATGATTTTATATGTCTGATATAAGAATATTTTATTTCATTTTATTGCACTTACGACAAAATTTCTGTTCTTTTTAACAATATGCAAAGATACTTATATAAATATCCTACGTATCTACCTACTTACCTTGACAATTTTATTCAGTAATACTAATTTCTAAAAAAAAAACTGTGGCGCCAAAAAACCTCCCCATGATTAACTCCTTATAATCTTTTGTGTTTCTCAGCTCCTGTATTATGTAGAGAATCGATCCTTTAACTGCTTTTCTATTTGGCAATCTTGATCTCCATTCTATATGCAGATTTACATTAGAATTCTGTGCCAGCATATACTAAAAAAAATTGGCGATAATATAGAGAAAATCTAGACCTGTGGACAATAGGAGTTTGCTTAAATAGCAATGCTTCTAGAGATTAAGATCACTGTGTAATAGAGTCGAAAGAAACAATTTAAACAGACATTTCTAATATCCTATTCTAAATATTCTCTATAACACTATCTAAAGACAAACTTAATGGATGGTTAACATTATTGGCATGGAAAAGCTTGACTGAATTAATATATTTTAGTAGAACATTATGAAATAATTTTGGGGGTTTATGCCTTTATTGATATCAGAAGAAAATATTGGATTTACTGTATGGGCTAGGACCATATCATGACAAGATTGAGATACTAATGATATGCTTCAAACTATATCAAAAATAATAATGGGCCAATAGTGAGATACTAAAAAGGTATATTTTGAACTAAAGTAGTTAATAAATAAGCAAAATATAAAATTTGTATCTTGAGTGAAAAGATTGGCTAATATATTCTCATCTTCAAATATATATAAATATTTCAAATATTTTGTATCAATAAAAGACCATAACAATACACTCAGTTGAGACTAGGCACACTAATGACTGTCGTATTAGCTGTGTCGTGCCCGAATTCTTGCCAGCCAATCAGGATGACAATTACACAGAATTCTCTTTTGAGAACGACGACCGAAGTGATTTCCTTTTGCTCACAAAAGAATTAGAAAGCACATAGCTTAACAAAAGTAGAATAGAAACCGAAACAGACATTTATAATGGTTGGGTAGGTTTAGAAAAGATATAAAAGAGGACGTTATTTCATTCAATAAAAGTTATCTATCTTTCTATCCTCTTTTTATTCTTTTATCTTCGTTTACGATTCCCAGTGGGTTTGACCAATTTTGGCTGTGTTATAGCATTGGAAGAACAACCCAGATCGAAAACGACAGCTGTGTTACACAAACAGGGCAAAAACATTTTAAAAAATAGTTCCCAACGAGAAAGAAAGTAATAAATGATTTGCGCCGGGTTCGAACCGGCGACCTTATGCGTGTGAGGCATACGTGATAACCAACTACACCAGCAAACCATTCTTTTTTGTACTCTTAAAGGCGGCTAATAGCTCTATAGTGCGTGTGCCCACTAGCCTTTCAATAAAAATCTTTTACCTACACCAGCAAACCGATATATCTACCAATTTTCATTTTTTTAATTGACTTTTTTTTCAAATTGTTGGAATCATCATTGCAATCATCTTCACATCTGCGCCGAAATCACTCAAGATTGTCAGCATCTCCAACTACATCTCGATTGCCTGTACCTCTGTTATCGTCTCCAGCTCTTTTCTCCTTCTCTGAAGGTGGTTCTGGTGTTTTACCATCAACTTCGCACTTTTTTGTCCCAGTTTCAGACCTTTCTTTTTCTGCTTTGCCTGCTCCTGATTCCCACGAAATTTTTTTCAAGCTCCTCCAACAATGATTGGTTCCCAAAAACAGGTGATTAATTCCACTGGCCGCCCTACTCCCACTGCTCTCATTTTGTCTGGCCTCAAGGCAGACTTTAAAAAATTGCACAATGTTTTGTCCTGTTCACATTGCCAGACTACAGGCAAAATTGTTTCTAATGGGTCTACTTCTCGTACTGGTAGCCCACAGTTTAAATGCAAATGTGGTGCAACATTTACTGCTTCATCCATGCAATCTTTGATCAATGCAGTCCAATACAAAATTCCTGAAGTTCATTCTGCAAGTGAGCCTGTTGTGTCCCCTTCTGTTTCCATCTTGGGTCATAGTATTTCCATGGCAGATATCCATGAAATTGAATCTGACATTGCACCTGTTCTTCCAACTGTAATGCCTACTCTTCAGGATATTTGGGACCGTTTCCAGGCTTATGATGAACATCTTTCTGCATTGGAGGCTGTTCAAAAAGAGAACATTGAGTTGCGTAAGGCTCTTGCTACTGTAAACGCCACTATTGCACGTTTGACAAAGGAGAATGTTGATTTTTCTGTTGGTGCTGCAGCATCCAAATATGCTACTATTGCTGCCTCTGTTCCAGTTGTTTCTCAGGCTGATTTTCCATCACTTCCTGCATCCCAGACCCATCATTCCACTGAACCCACCAAGACTTTTGTTTCTAAAACACCACGTAAAAGGGCTCCAACTGCTAGGGCCATTGCTGCTGTTGTTTGTGGCATGACAATTAAAGAAAATGCTGATCAGGGGTTTCAAATTGTTTATGTACCTAATGCTATCCGTCTCCCCATTAGTACTCAATGTCAACGTCTTAGGAAATTAAAGATAGACAATGCACGTGTGCTGGATCTCCACTATCCTGATCGTAAGGTGATGGGAATGCTTGTACATAATGAGTATGCTCCTGAGCTCAAGACTATCTTGGCGAGTTATGGTGTTACTACTTTGGATAACTTTGATCCTCTGGACCCTGTTCACCTCCGTGACCCAGCTCTGGCCTCTCTTTCACTTGATGATAGGGCAACAAAAGCTATACATGTTCACAATGATTGTATGCTACGTGCCATTGAATTCATTAGGGCTCCTGTCAAGTTTGCTGTTGCACGTTCCTTTTGCTCTCAGGGATGGATTAGTGATGACCAACTAGCTGAGATTGTTCCCCCACGACCCACCAAAAAAGACTTGGACATCTCTATACATACTGCCAGCATCACCATCCCTTCATTCTCTGATCTATGAATCCAGTAACAATTACATTATGGAATGCAAATGGTCTTGCAAAACAGACCATACCTACGATCCTTTCATATGCTCCACTTACTTCCCTTCTTTTTATCACTGAAACGTGGCTTTTGTCCCCCCATCGTTATCTTACTTCTTGGCAGCAGTACCATACCTATGGTCAGTCTGTCCCCAATGCTAGCCGTGGCTGCATGGGTATTTCTCTTCTTGTAAATCCTTCTTTCTCTTACCCCATTTCTATTGTTCCTTCTTCTTCTCCTTATGTTCTTTCTTGTATTGTATTTGATTTTCTTATTCATTGCATTTATCTTCCCCCTTCTCTTTCTAATGATGATGCAATTTCTATTCTTTATAACCTCCCCCTCTCTTCTTCTTCTATTCCTTCTTCTAACACTATTTTTTGTGGTGATTTTAATTCACGTATGGGATCCTTTCTTGGTGACCATGCTATCACTTCGCGAGGAACTTCTTTTCTTCAGTGGATCCAGGCAACTGGTCTCACTTGTTGGAATGAATTACTTGCATTTGGTATTCCTACCTTTCTTTCTGGTGGCTCTGGTACCTCACGCTCCAGTGTCATTGATTTATTTCTTTCTACATTCCCCCTTCTCAATCCTTCTATGCAAATTCGTTCTGATCTTTCTTTAGGCTCTGATCACTAAATGGTCAACCTCACTTTCACTCCCTATGTTTCACCTCCCCCTCCCCCTACTAATCATCCGCGCCTACTTTGGAATCTTTCCAAGCTTGCTCAGCCTGACACTCTCAAGATCTACATTGATACAGCTTCTGCGTCATTGGACAATCTGACAGAGCAGTTCAGTGCTTTCCTTTCCTCTTCTTCTCCTCCTCCTGTAGATTCTCTGTGCTCTGCTTTTGCTCAAGCTATCTATGATGCTCTGGACACTGCTGTTGGTCGTCGTATACCACGTACCATGCAAAAGTACTGGTTCTGGTCAGTGGACCTTCAAGAAGCAATGGATCTGAGAGAACGCAGCTACCAACGCTGGCGTCATTCTAGTGGTTTGCAGAAGGCTATATGCTGGATGCGCCATCAGGATGCATGTCATGCTGTTAGGGTATCAGTCCAGCGTCGTCGACGTGAAACATGGAAAGAATTCTGCAACAAATTGGCAACACAAGACTTTGCAAAGACCACAGCAACAATGAAACGTATTAAAAGCCATCGTCAAACCAGTCCTGTCTTTGTGGATCCGGGTGGACCTCAAGTAGCTGCTAACAAAATGGCTGATCATCTTCAACAGATTTTCTCAGGTCAATTTCTTCCTGCACGCCGCCCTCCAGACCAGACAGTGATGATTTCATCACCAATTGCAATTGATGAATCGTGTCCTTTTACTCATCTTTCTGTAGAGAGTGCAATTCTCAAGCTTCCTACACGCAAGGCTCCTGGTGTTGACCATCTTCGTGCTGAAATGCTTCACCCAATTGTTAAGCAAGTCTCTCCTGTTCTTTGTCTTTTGTTCCAGCTTTGTTGGCAATGGGGTTCTGCACCTCTTGCATGGCGTACTGCACAAATTGTCCCCATCTTTAAAAAGGGTGATACTCATGACCCTGCTAACTATCGTCCCATTAGCTTAACGTCTATCCTGAGAAAAGCCATGGAATATTGTCTACAGTTTCCTCTTGCAGATGTGTCTCCAACAATTGACATTGCACAGGGTGGATTTCAACGTCAACGTAGCTCCCTTGATCAAGTTCTTTGTCTCCATGAGATGGTCCGTCGTCACACAGCTCTATTCAAAGCACCATCAGTCTTGGCTTTTCTTGATATCAAGTCTGCATATGACACTGTTGATCGTTCTGTAGTATGGACATCGTTACGTCCTCTTGCCTCTGATGCTATGTTAGCTTTGTTACAAAGTCTTTTTGACAATGTTCAAGTTGAGGTGTTGCTTTCTGGTGCAACATCCAGATCATTCCAACCATTGACTGGCGTTATGCAAGGATCTGTGCTTTCTCTCCACCTTTATTCTGTGTACATAAATTCTCTACCAGTTGCTCTTCGTGCTGCAGGGGAACTTTGTAACACAGTATTTAACCAGACTGCTGCCACAAGACTCAATGATCAATTAGTCAATTCACTACTTTTTGCTGACGATGTTGCCATCATTGCTACACCAGAAGCTATACCTGTCATTCTGAATTCTGCTGAACAACATTCTCAAGAGCTAGGATATCGTTGGAGTCCCACCAAGTGCATGATCCTTCACCATTCTTGTTCTCTTTCTCCTTTGTCATTCTCTCTCTACAATGTGCCTATTCCTCATGCTCATTCGTTTCCTTACCTTGGTGTTCCCTTCTCAGCAAAGGGGACTATTGATCCATCTCTTCTCATCTCTCGTAATTGTGTCTCTGCTATCAACAGCATGCGTGCTCTTCAATCACTTGGTGTCAATCACACTGGGCTGTCACGTCTACTCTCAATTCGTTTGTATTGCCAGTTTATTCGTCCACAATTTGAGTATGGCCTGGCAATATCCTGCTTCAACATCAAACAAGTTGCTGTGCTTGAAAAGGCCCAGAACACATGCTTACGCATGATTTTTGGAGGTCACTCCACATCTTCTACATCTGTTTTCCATCACCTTGGGAATCTTCCTAGCATGAGGGAGAGGATCTTGACTCTTGCTTTCAAGTTTGTATATCGTGCTTTCTGGTTGCCTGATGAGGCTCTGTTTACTCTTCTTCGACCTGTTCTTACAAACCCAGCACACCAATGGTTTAAGCTTTTAGCTAATCCCATTTGGTTGTCTCTCTCCAATCGTCAGAATGCTGATTCTAAAGCTTGCAAGCATGCCATTCGTTCATTTTTGAACCAGGGCCTCTCCTTGCAACGCTCTCAACAAATACTTCTCTCTGCTTGCCATCCTTCTCTTGGTGTTGACCCTATTCTCTGGCTTCCCATGACTAACTATGAACGTAGTAGATTCATACGTTGGCGTATGGGGTGGCTTCCTGGACGTCCTCAACCTTGTTCCTGTGGATTGCATACCACCAGCCATCATCATGTCATTGAGTGCACTGGAGCTGCAATTCGTCTCCATCTCTATTCTACAGTACAACCCAATCCAATTGATTATGTACTCAATATGCTGCCTCTGAAGAAACTTAAAAACAACAAAAACAATGCCTTCTGGATCTTTACTTGGCCAATTCTTTGTAGAATCATGTTAGACATAGAACAGATCTGTCTCCCTGGGGTTGATCTTGCTGATCATGCTGCAACAGACAGAGGACAACTCTTCTTGAACTGGCTACCCAAATGAGACTGGCTATCTCCTTTTATTTTTAGTTTAGATCTGTATTAGTCTTAGTTTCCATTTATTGCATGAATTTCATGCATGCTTCATATTTTATCCTTATCTCCCTTTTTTTTTGTATCCCCTAGCTTAGTTTCCCTTTCTAGTTTTTCCCATTTTCCCCCTTGGGTTTTTTTCCTTTCTATTATTCTTTTTTGTACTCTTAAAGGCGGGCAATAGCTCTATAGTGCGTGTGCCCACTAGCCTTTCAATAAAAATCTTTTACCTACACCAGCAAACCATTCGTTTCCTTACCTTGGTGTTCCCTTCTTAGCAAAGGGGACTATTGATCCATCTCTTCTCATCTCTCGTAATTGTGTCTCTGCTATCAACAGCATGCGTGCTCTTCAATCACTTGGTGTCAATCACACTGGGTTGTCACGTCTACTCTCAATTCGTTTGTATCGCCAGTTTATTCGTCCACAATTTGAGTATGGCCTGGCAATATCCTGCTTCAACATTAAACAAGTTGCTGTGCTTGAAAAGGCCCAGAACACATGCTTACGCATGATTTTTGGAGGTCACTCCACATCTTCTACATCTGTTTTCCGTCACCTTGAGAATCTTCCTAGCATGAGGGAGAGGATCTTGACTCTTGGTTTCAAGTTTGTATATCATGCTTTCTGGTTGTCTGATGAGGCTCTGTTTACTCTTCTTCGACCTGTTCTTACAAACCCAGCACACCAATGGTTTAAGCTTTTAGCTAATCCCATTTGGTTGTCTCTCTCCAATCATCAGAATGCTGATTCTAAAGCTTGCAAGCATGCCATTCGTTCATTTTTGAACCAGGGCCTCTTCTTGCAACGCTCTCAACAAATACTTCTCTCTGCTTGCCGTTCTTCTCTTGGTGTTGACCCTATTCTCTGGCTTCCCATGACTAACTATGAACGTAGTAGATTCATACGTTGGCGTATGGGGTGGCTTCCTGGACGTCCTCAACCTTGTTCCTGTGGATTGCATACCACCAGCCATCATCATGTCATTGAGTGCACTGGAGCTGCAATTCGTCTCCATCTCTATTCTACAGTACAACCCAATCCAATTGATTATGTACTCAATATGCTGCCTCTGAAGAAACTTAAAAACAACAAGAACAATGCCTTCTGGATCTTTACTTGGCCAATTCTTTGTAGAATCATGTTGGACATAGAACAGATCTGTCTCCCTGGAGTTGATCTTGCTGATCATGCTGCAACAGACAGAGGACAACTCTTCTTGAACTGGCTACCCAAATGAGACTGGTCATCTCCTTTTATTTTTAGTTTAGATCTGTATTAGTCTTAGTTTCCATTTATTGCATGAATTTCATGCATGCTTCATATTTTATCCTTATCTCCCTTTTTTTGTATCCCCTAGCTTAGTTTCCCTTTCTAGTTTTTCCCATTTCCCCTCTTGGGTCTTTTTCCTTTCTATTATTCTTTTTTGTACTCTTAAAGGCGGGCAATAGCTCTATAGTGCGTGTGCCCACTAGCCTTTCAATAAAAATCTTTTACCTACACCAGCAAACCAGATGGTTTGCTGTTACAAATAAAACATTAGTATAAAAGTTCAATAGGCACACGCACTGTAGAGCTATTGCCCATCTTTATGAGTACAAATAAAAATAAAAGATATGAAAAAAAAACTTGAGAGTAAATTGGGAAAAGCTAGAGAGAGAAATTAAGCTAAGAGAAATAAAAAATAAAAAATATTATCTATTATTAAAGATGTAATAATCTAAATACTTAGCTCTTAAATTTATTATTAAATTAGAAATATAGTATTAGAAATAAGTATTAATTATTACTAAATTTAAAAGTAAGACTAGAAAATAAAATTATATTCTCTATATGGTATGTATACTACAATTGAGTAGAAAACAGACTTTATAACTAAATATTAATGATTTTTTACTAATAAACTTGATGAGTTAACAATATTTGGAGTTGTAGTGATCCAGACATTTGGATGTTGAATTTATTATATATAAGAATATATTCATATTGTAATAGCATAGTAGCTGTTATGTATGAGATAAAAATAAGATATAAAATAAAACAAGTGCAGACAAGAGTACGGTGAGACTTTGTTTTATTAGAAGAAGTGGGAGAATCAGAAAGGAGATGATTTCCTATTGCTATTTGTATTGTGCGTTTATATAGACATTGTATTTAGCTTGGAGATAATATGATGATATCATGTAATGTCTGTTTCTCTACCATTATCTTCTATGATTTAGTTCTTATGTTTTTAGTGTTATTGACTAGAGTCTTAGTATTTGTCTTAGTATGTTCTTTACGTAATTTCCTTGTATAAGGGAAGGTATATCTTTTAGTATCATTACTAGTTGTCGGTAACTCAATGTACGTATTTATTGAGTGTCTGTACTTTTAATTTAAATCTACGATTATGTTGGATACAACAGTAGCTATCATTTTGTTAGCATATAAGATATATATAAATGATTAAGTAATCAGGCCAATAATTATTACAGTTAGTACTGTAGATAATATCTTAAAGATTTTTAAGATAATTATATTATACTGCCAGATAAACTGTGCCAGTGTTGTATCCAACATAATCGTAGATTCAAATAGAGTGCACAGACAATAAGACAAAGACATATTGAATAAGCGACCAGTATCAATTATACATTATTTCTCACACTATTATTAAATAAAGAATATACCAATAACAAGGCCACACACCTTAGTCAACATCACTAATCACTCAAACAAGAGCATGAGTAATAACTTAACAATATATTATCTATGATATAAGAAAACAGACATCACATAATATACTCATATCATTATCCTAAATACACACGCAATGTCTATATAAACTCACATAGCAAATAGCAATAGAAGGGCATCTCTCTTTTCATCAATAAACAAAGTCTCACCATACTTCTCGTCTGCACTTGATTTTTCTTTCTTTTTTTAACATATAACAGCCAGAGCAATATAGAGCTAGTTTAATAGGAAGTCTTAAAGCTCTAGTGTAAAAAAGAAAAGAATAGCTAAGAGCTAAAGAAGTACGATTTATGAATTGATTTCTGTTGTAAATGAGTATTGACTACTGCTGTAATTGAGAATAAGTCTGAAGGAAATAATATAAGGTCTCAGCTATTTCAGTCAAAGGTGTCTACCAATTACTTTATTATTTAACACACATGTTTATCATATATGATAGTGATTATATTTCATATAATGATATCACCATAATATGAGATATATCAGTAGATTATTATAAGAATAATTATAACTCATAAACACATTTACTTTTGATGTTAATATTTCATTGGGACTACATACATTTATATAATTAATCATACATTAATTATCCCAAGATCACGTTGCTCTGATTAAGGCTCAGATAGAATCGATTATCTGAACCCAGTCATACAATTTTCCCAATGTAAAACAATATAAATACCAGTGGTAGTTTAGTGTAGAAACCTCATCAAATTTTGATACCAAATCTTTTCTCAATAAACAAAACCTACACAAGTTCTCATGAATCTTCGTTTCTCATCTCAAATCTTGAATTCTTTCTAACAACTTCAAAAACTTCAACTACTACAACAATGTTATAATTGTAACATTGACACTAGTTAAGCAGTAAATACACTCTAATAACCAAATATAGTAAAGGAAGAAAGCCTTAAGAAACTAAGACGTAATGACAAGAGTAGATTGTATTTTCTTATAAAAAGGAACACTTTTTATTTATGAATAAAAAAAACTTATATACAGTCTCAAAGTATTTCTATACGTCTCTATTATCAAATTTATTATTTTCTATTGTTTCATATGGTGTGTTCGAGCATAAACATCAAAGTTTTGAAATCTTTTAAATTTTACCTCAAGAAAACTCCGATAGTAAAATATATTAAATTCCCGATATATATAGAAAGAAAATCGAAAAAATAATATTTTACGCTACACGACTATCCTTTTTAAGAACATTGAAATGTACCTGTTGCTATAGTGACTCTCTTTTTCATTTCAATATTAAAAAAAAAGCTGAAACTCCACTATTTTCTATTGATACTGTGGTATTTCAGGTACGAAACAATAGAAAAATAAAATATTTGATAATAGAGACGTATAGAAATACTTTGAGACTGTATATAAGTTGTCCTTTATTCATAAATAAAAAGTGTCCCTTTTTATAAGAAAACACAATCTGCTCTTGTCATTACGTCTTAGTTTCTTAGAGTGTATTTACTGCTTAACTAGTGTCAGTGTTACAATTATGACATCAAGTCATAAATCGTACTTCTTTGGCTCTTAGCTATTCTTTTCTCTTTTATACTAGAGCTTTAGGACTTCCTACTAAATTAGCTCCATATCGATCTGACACAGTTTACCCGGCAGTATGATATAATTATCTTAAAAATCTTTAAGATATTATCTACAGTACTAGCTGTAATAATTATTGGGCTGATTACTTAATCGTTTATATATATTTTATACTGACAAGATGATAGCTACTACGCTATCCCAATATGAATATGTTCTTATATGTGATAAATCCAACGTCCGAGTGTCTGGATCACCACAGATACCTCTTGGCTTTGAAGGTCCATGACTTTTTATTCAAGCCTTGTTTTTAGAATCTTTTAAACAAGAGTTATTCGGAAGAGTCTTCCCTATAAAACATGTTTAAGCAATTCTCTATAACTTGTCTGTAGCAAAAGTCATGGAACTTTGAAAATCACCTAAAAACTTAGATATTTATTTCCGAACACACCATACCTGAAATACCACAGGAGTTATTATATATTAAATATATATAATATATATTTATATAATATAAAAACATCTTTAGTAGTAGCTTTTATCTCAAGTTTTATATTACATTTGGACTTTTAGATAAAAGTTATTTTTCTAGCAGTTTCTTTTATTTTATTTTATAAAAAAAGAGTTCTAAATTTTATTTAGCTGCTATATTTGATAGCAATTGAAAAGTTCTAGCTGAATATGCTCTCGGAATATAGTTAAAAGTTAAAAAAAATATTATTGAGTGAAGTAATTTTTTTTATATTATTATAGATGTGGTATACACACCACAATTAAACACTGGTTCCTTCTTGCTAATGAACCTGGGAAGTTAACAATCTCTGGAACTGTTACATACCAGACACACGTACACTGCACACTCATACAGTGTAAACCAATCATTACATAACAGGAATTTGAATTACAGGGATTTTAATAGTAGTAGATATAAACAATATTATTGGGTCTCTTTAATAAATAACACTCTCACAGTATCTACTTTTCCCATTATTGAGATACTAACCCATAAACAATCTCAAATAACTTAACTGTAATATATTAAGTATGCATAATTCCTGTGATTTTAGTAGAATAATTTTGTAAGAATACACCTCTGAGCACGTATTTTCTTCCTTGTAGCATCAATTTATACTGTCTATAATAATATATTACTCTAATGTACTACTTTGCTTTCCCATATCCTTACGCAGATGAAATAATGGCCCATTCTTCCCATTGACTTATCTTTTTATTGACTATATATAGATTTTTGCATCACACAAATATAAAAGGTGGCGTCTTGATTAGAATAAGAATATATATATAAATAACTTACTATAAATAACCAAAGATTTAGGTATTATTCTTGGCTTAGGTAAATGGTTAATATTTTTTCTTTGTATTTTTTCTAGTATTCAATAAAGTTCTTCTAAGCCCAGATACTTACTTTATAACATTCAGCATCTCTAATAGAAGAGAATCAAACACCTGTATCTATACATTGTGCGAATTGGATATATTAAGTCTAAAGTGTAAATCATTTATTTTTGACTAATTTGTTCACTTTATGTGCCGAAAATCTATTCAATATTAGTAAGAATAGTTAAGGTCTGTCTAGATAATAAAGTTCCACTTTATACTTGGCTTAAACTAAAATTGATAATAAGATAAAACAGAAGAGTATATTAGAATACATATAATATCAAGACATTAACTCAATAATGTGTTTGGTAAGTAACACAAACCAAAAGACTTTTAAAGAATATAAAATAATCACATCTTACAAAACACAATTCCGAATCAAGGAGAGCAATAAATTGTAAGTAGCGTTATATATATATATTGAGGTAAAATAGATTGAATATACATATTTCTGGTTTTTTTTTATAATTATGAATATTTGAATAAATAAATGATTTATTATATATTTGCCTTTAATAAATTGAATATATCTAAAAAGACTAAAAACACACAGGTTAGTTTGTTTGTAAGCTGTACCTTATTTTTATAAATATATATTTATTTTTCTGGTGTATTAATTGTACACATGAGCACCCGTGTGTTTGTTTGTGACCATGCCGACAGTCCACGTTACATTATAAAGATACAGAGGGAAGCACAGTGGGCGAAGAAACGAATCAGAGATAAGCAAAGCAGTCCAACAATGAGTTGTTTAGGAACACATACGGTAAAAAAAATGCTCTGTACCACGCCACGATCTCCATGAAGACCACATTATAGATCAGAAGCTTATCATTGACGTTTAGGTACAGTATTGGTTTTGGCTGGTTCTATGATCTCGTCTCTGTACTTTCTCCCAGCTTTGCCAGTGTCTACCATTTTTCTTCTAGTAAAATTGGTCTACGTTTCTTGGCTGGCGGTGTCGGTAGCATTCTTTGTACTGCATTCTACTGTGCACTTTCTGATAGGGTCAGCAACCACCGCACAAAAAGGAACAACGGCGTTAGACTTCCTGAATATCGTTTAACTTCCAATTACATTGGTCTTCCTTTCCTTCATTTAGGTCAGCTTCTTTATGGCTGACTTTTTATACAAAGTCTTACTTTATGGGTTCTGTTGTTTGCTACGGTATTTGTAAGTACATACAATTATAGCAAGAAAGATGTTATTGACTCGAGCTGTTAATCAATTTTGGTGCCGCTATGACCATTGCAGCTACAAATACATCCATGGTCGAATTTAATGTTCAACTTTAATATTATAACCTAGACTTATATTGGCTTAATATTTTAATTCAAAACTAATAAATGTATATTTGTATAAACTCTCCGTGTAATAAATGCACATGTTTGAGCTTTTTTTGTGCTGATCAGCTTACAGTGATTGTCCACTAATAAAAAGCCAATCACCCATATTTTCAGGCTAGCTCATTATATGTAATTTCTTAAAGTATTTAACATAATAAAAGATAATCGAATGCGTCCATCACAAAGAATAAATACATGTCTTTCATATGTAAATTTGTATTCTGTTAGATATGAAATATGGTTTCAAATCATACAAACATATTTTTATTAATATCAGAAAGTCGATATTTTTAGATCGGGATACCTTGAAGTACCGTCAAGATACCAAATCCCCTTTTGACATGGTCTTGCGAAGTTCGAGCAATGTCAAAAAGTCCAAAATGACCAGCCACCTCTAGAATTGAGAGTTCTATCGTTCCTCCCCCCAACCATAGCTGTGTGGCAGCCATTGGCGTTGGGGGGAACTTACGGACAGCCTGGCAGAACAGCCTGGACAGGGTGTACCCTAAGTTTAGGGGGACGGTATTTCTTGGTGAGGGGCGACATTTTTATTCTACCGGAACACAAATCGTGGCCTTTTTTTCCGGCATAAAATAACTCTATATGGCTCCTAAGAATACAGAATATTTGAATAAAGATATTCTTTTGTACTTTTCAGAAAAAGAGCGGACGGGGATTACTTACCAGTTGGTGTTGTCTGACTCTGGGACTATTTAGGTGAAATAAAGACAAAGGCATGATACGCGTAAGAAGGTCAATAAATAGTAAGATATCAAACAAGATTGCGTCACAATCTAATGACAACAACTCCTTATAATCCTTTGCATAGCTGCCTTTTAGTATAGTTTATTTGCGATTAATTATTATATCATTATTGTCAAGTCTAAATCCAGGGCTACTAATTGAATATACAGAATTTGTTTTTCGTATGAGACAGCATCTTATTATTAAGTTGCTCAAATACAGGCTGTGGTTCTTAAAATAACGAAAGTTAGGTGCCTGGCGAGAGATTAATGAATAAAAAGTGTAGGGACAAAGTAGAAAAGCTAATACGTACAATGAATATACTGTACTTCTTTGAGGGCACAGCATTTTGCCCTGAAGGATTAGAGAAAGACGCCGGTCTCCGGACAAGTAGTTAGAATTGATTAGTCCGGTTAGATAGAAATATCGTACCCCACTAGGAAACGTGGTTACCGCAAGATTGCTGCAAAGTCTAACCCCCAGCCCAAAAATAGTGTATAACCATAAAACGCTAATTATGAGTGAGGTTACATATTTTCAGGCTGTCCAGACTGTCCTGCCAGGCTGTCCGTAAGGTTTCCCTTGTTTTGCAGAGCTTGAAAGCGTGATATTTGTAAAAAGTCACATGCTTGCCCTACATGGGACTGTTTTCTTAAATCACGATAGCCCGGTAGCTTGATAACAGTGTAAATTGGTCAAAAGTGTACAATTAATTTGGTGAGCAAATTAACACTTTGTCCCAAACTTCTGCTCTCGAGATTTGTTAGGTGGAGAAATTGGTGCTGAATTAAAACTCAACATCAAGACACTTTAAACCCCGTAAAACTTGCAACAATTCACTGAAATCGCCTATTTTTTTTCTATAGGGTAGTCTCTTTATTTTCTTCAAACAAAAAAAAAGGATATTCTACATGTGCAACGCTCGAAGATTGATAATCCTTTCTAGGAAAGTAGATAATTGAAATAAATAAAGATAAGCAGATAAAAATGTACCAGACACACAATTTTGAGGGCTTTTTATTTTATTTACTGCAAGGCCTCAAAGATAACCCAAATATAACCAATCTCATCTACGACTATCGACGTGGAATTAAATGTCATAAAAGGAGTAAATCGACATGTTTGGAAAATATATTACACTGTTTAGCGATATTCTTTAAATACAAAAGAATTAATAAAACGAAAAGAATAAGAAGAAGAAATACATAAAATACAAGAGGTGTGTGTGTGTGTGTAGCAGGGAGAGGGAGAAGGAATTGTTTTGTTATATGTATTCTCTTCAGCTGGAGTTTACAGCCTGGAGAACCTTGACTAGTTTATCTATCCAGAGTGTTTGTTCACTAAGTGTATTTGTTCTCACCACATGTCTCCGTCGATAGACAACCCCAGTGCCATTCACAGTAGGAAGAGAATCAACAGCAAAAGAGAAATTCTGGCTGGTGGGTCCATCAGAGTTCCTGTCATTTACAACTAGCTCAAATCCATAAACAGGTATTTGTGGACTTTGAGGCTCTTCAAGCTTCTTTGAGAAAAATGCAGGCAAGACCGGCTTGCGTGCTTCTGTCATCTGGGCCACGAGGGATTTTGGGATCGGTCGGAGAGTTGCCCCGACTAAATCCAACACGCCTTTACATTGTAGACGCTCTTTTCGTAAATTCTTGACTTTTTTGCAGAAGATAAGGGAATCGTTGTAGAGTACATATGTACGTGTGTCGTTGACTAAAAGCGGGTTTTCCAAACTGACTTTGATAAGTGTTGCTCGAAGAATCAGGCGACGATCGATAGTAACAGGAACAGAGCAGTTTTCGATAATTCGTGAACATTCAAGCACCATCAGATGTGATTGACAGTCATTGACCCTTTGGTTTTGTTATTGTCATAGAAGATAATAAGAGTGATCAAGAAGATCTAATATTAATATTGACTTTCATTTTTTTCAAATGGTTATTTACTCACTTTTCATGAAGCTCCTTTTCAAGTAATATTAAATTGTGTCTGATATCCACTAAGCCCAGATAGTCTGGGTGAGAAGGTTCTGTATAGTCCAATAGCTGAGTAATAATCCTAGAGTACGTAACAGAACGGGTTGTTGGTAGTCGAACATAGTATAATAGCGGGTGTATCGACTGATTAGCTTCGGATGCACATGCCTATATAAATAGTAATAATAAGCACATTTTTCTTTTATCTTAAAAACCAAAACAATACTAATACTAATCAAATTGATCAATTTTCTTTATATATTGTATATATTTTGTATATACTTACATGAATACTTTTATTAAAAGAAGGACCTTTGTACAAGGTGTCCAGCATTACGATAATCTGTGAATAATTGTCGAAGAAGGATTTGTATGCCAATATGCGCAAATACTGATAATACGAGATAATGATTAGAACAGAGTCTCACAAGATAAACTAATCAACGTACAAGGCTGGTAAAGATATCTGATACGAGCTGGGTTGGTCCCCACATCCCTAGTCTGCCAAAGAGGAAATTATAGAACATTAAGAGATTATCTCCTAAAAGGCCCATATTTTTTTCTCTTATTTATTTATCTACCTTGCTTCCATATCAGATATAAACGCTGTATGTGCTGCGTGCATCATGCTCATTCCATCAAAGAACATTTGAAGATGCTCCTTGTACTCAGGCACCTTGCGTTTTGCAAGGCTTGCTCTGTTGGCTGGAATATCTATCCATTTCTGGATCTGTGTAGCATAGTAATCTTGAAATTGAGAGAGTTCTTTTGCGTAGCGTGATTCATCTCGGAAGAAAGATACAAGACTTTGATGCTTGAAAGAAACGTTTCTTGCCACATCAGCAACCTGTTTATCTATTTGATTTTCGCGAGACGATATAAGGAGTTGAAAGTATGCGGCCTACTGCGTGCTGTTACCTACCAAATGCTTCGTTGTCGATATAATTCCCATAGACAGCATCAAGATCGTCGATGATACTCAGGTCATCTACCAGCTGCTGATAGGATGCATCAGTCATAAACGAAAAATTAGGAACAAAACTAGAGGACGACTCTGATGATCCACTGCTTGTTGCACTTGGGCTGTTGGACATCGCAAAAGGAGTTTGTCTTGATAAAAAAAAGGAAAGAAATATTATGTGTATGTAATAGGGTCTGTGGTATGAGTGAATGAATTGATAGATGAAAAGGCAAAGGCAAGATTATTTTATAAAAATAAATAAAATAAAGATTTTTAAACTTTTAACTTGGAAAAAATATTTCTACATTTAGAGAAAGCTTATATCAACTGACTTTTTTTTTCTAGCTCTCATTTATAGAAGGTTTAATCCAATTCTTCAATCCTATTGGCCATAGTTAAAACATCTGGACCTAGATATGATAATATATATATTGGGATACATGGAATGACTATAGGTAATCAGTACAAAAGTTTGATCTTTTTCTTTTGAGGATTTTGATTCTATATCATATGTATAGAAAATTTAGGATGAAAAGATTAACTCTAGAAGATTACAAATAAAAGACACTATATTCTTTTGCTGTGCTCTAAAGAAATCTTTATACCGAAGAAGCATATTGTAGTGCAGATTATTACTTACCACGATAGAAGAGTAGGATCAACCGAACATCAATTGCTGTTTATTGGTGGAAACATACATCTTTATACTTAAATAAGCCATCAGATTTACTTATCTGGTTCGCACAGCGCTTGTATCGGAACATTCTGTAGCTAACCAAGAACTAACTCTTAACAACAACACAAATGGTTTCAACTTAAGCCCACGAGTTAATAAATAATATCTCACAAGATGAGAGTCCAGAAACCAGAATTGTCATTGTTCAAAAACATGTAGCTCAAATAATACTGCATTAAAGATTAAAGATATCAGCAAGTCCTTCAAAAACCCTTTCATATTTGGGTCGTGGTTCCATTTAGCAAGCTTTTATATCACTCCTGAAGTTTAAGAATCGCTAATATCAGCATCTGTGAACAAACACTTGTACAATCAACCATAGTGCGGTTAAAATTTGGTGTATAAAGAATCTCTTTATTTTAGAAGCCCCGAGTTTTAACATGAAATATTAGCTCTAGCTGCTTCTTTTAGTGCAATCACTATAATACACAGATATGATATTTTTCTTTGTATTATTTTACTTCAGAACAGATTGGCTGCAAAATTAAATTGTTTTTAACTATAATGTATTTTGTATCAAGCCATACGATATTCAAGTGTAATGGAAGCTACGACACAATCAGCAGTAAAAGAAAAAACATAAAAGATGTGCTAAAAAGACATGTCCCAGAAAGTACCTTAGGTGTATTCCCAAAACAATGTAAGCTACTCATGGTAGTAGTACCACTTACTTTTAGTGTCTGCATAGAATGAGTAAGGGGAAGTTGATTAAATTGGGAATGGTCAGGGTTGTCCAAGAAACGGGTTGATATTTGGCGCCAACTTGGCCTCATCTTGGGCGATGTGCCATTGAAATTTTGAAGGGAAATGTTTATGAGAAATGTGTATATCTGTTAGACAGAACTGAGGTATTTGGGATTGTTTATGGGTTAGTATCTCAATATTGGGAAAGTTAGATACTGCGAGAGTGTTATTTATTAAAGAGAAAAAATAATATTGCTTATATCTGTTACTATTAAAATCCCTGTAATTCAAATCCCTGTTGTGTAATGGTTGGTTTACACTGTATGAGTATGTAGTGTACGTGTGCCTGGTGTGTAACAGTCCTGGAGATTATTAATTTGCCAGGTTCATTAGTAAGAAGGAGCCAGTGTTTGGTTGTGGAGTCTGTTCTTCACTCAATTGTGGTGTGTATACCACAAGAACATTTAAAGAAGTTGTATTCTTTTATTAATATCTTTATCTGTACAAATAAAAGCTGCTTTAGTGTAGTCCACTTACTTATGAGTAATTACAGCTATATATATATATATATATATATATATATATAAATACAACATATCTGTAAAATGAAGTCAAAGTAAACTAGTTTGATTCCAAGTATTATGTACTTTTGTATAAATTCATGCGATTATTAACTTTTTCATCAAGAGGAGGTTTCTTGCGTTTTAAAATCCCAAAATTTGGTCGAGTAGTAGTAGTAGTAGCAGCAGTTTTTGAGAATGACAATTTTTATTTATTTATTTTTCTTTGCCGGTACTTGTGCGAAGTTTCAAGATGCCATTAATAATGCCCGATGCAGAAGCTGAACCTAGTACGGCAGCCCATACAGCTTTATCTTTTAATATGGTGACTATTGCAGCAAATTCTCTTTCTTTCTTTCTTTCTTTCTTTCTAACCGTACCATGCTACTATTCATATTAATACGAAAGTCATGTATCAAGAAAAGCATATTTTTTTCTTCTTCTTTATTCTTCAAGAGTCCACATTACCATAATAGCATTTTTACACCAGCCTAACATTTTTTTTTGGATAATACAAGTACCTTAAAATCGCTAAAGAAAATGTCGAGTTCAAGTAATATAAGACTGTCAATGTATTTTTATTACCAAGAATACAACCATAGCTACTAACTGTATATATATATATATATTTTAAAAAAATTGCCACTGTCGCATTTTAGTACTCACCTTTTATGCTGTACAAACATGTATTCATAGCCGGCTCAAAATGGATGATATACTCACAAACTTCTCGATCATCAGCTTAAAAGAAAACCTAACCTTGTCCTGGCCAATGTATGTTGTGCAATTCTTCTCAGATACTGGAGCATTTGAACGAATATTAGTGTTGGATGGCACATTTGTGTGTGTTGAAACAGACACATGATTATGTTTGAACAAGAGTACCTAACTAATCGGTATATAAACTGACAGTTCCAAGGGCACACACTTTTTTTATATATGTATTACGGATACCATTCCAAAGTCTAATTCCACTAATTATCTCCAGCAACAAGGCTTTGTGTATCTTCTTCTTATGAATATATAAAGACTAGCTATTCATATTGAAAAGAAAAGGTGTATAAATGAAATGCAAAAATAAAATATTTTCTCTAAAAAAAAAAGAGAATTGGTTAGCATCTTAAAAGTCAAAATATTTATATACGGGTGGGATTGTCAAGTCTCCTTGAGCGACAGTCTTTTCTGTATATACGGCCTCTGATTTGTCATCATGCGCAAAGTTTCCTGGGCCAAAAGCTACTCCCATCTTTGTCAGGATGCGGATTACATATTGGCGGGTCGCGACTTTGAATTTTAGATATAAAAAAGAAAAACGAGTGTAGCTGAGATTTATTCTGCATGCAACCTTCTTTATTTTTCAGTAAGCGACATGTATCTACATATATAATTTTAAAAATACCTTTTAAGAATACTCTATCAGGACATTGACTTTCTCGTTGAAATCAACGAACCATATTGTAATTCAATGCACCAAAGAATCCTGAATACTCGGAAAGTGTATGTTTAGGTAAGTAGCTGAAATTTCAAGTAAGACAAAGAAGCCAATAATAATACTGATAATAATCTTATTTCTATTATCAAAGAAAGAGAAACAGTGAAAGCTTAAAAGGTTCAACTGAGATATATCTCGTCTTCTTCTTGGTTGTTGGAATACTTGGATGATAATCAAGGGCACTTCGAACATAAAAGTCAGCCTAGACAGATATACACGACTATATATATGTAATGTATATGTATATGTATCCAGCCCTCATTTACTCTTGCAGCCAAATATCAGAAATCGAGGGCAATTTTACACCTATATGCTATAAAACAACTTACACCCCTTGTAATATTTTTATATTCTTTTATATATATATATATATATATATATAATCTCCTTTTGCCCGTGGGAGGCAACAATAATAGGGCTGTGCGTTATAGGCTTTATTGCTTAATAGTGTACACAATTGTAAAAAAAGTAATGTAATGTAATTTAATTCAAATATCAATCCATTAAACAATATATATAGTCTTCGTTTGGAATGTCACTTTTCAAGTAAACCATATTCTTATTTGATCACATAAGAAGAGTCAAAACTATACATATTCACTTGGATCAGGGACGATTACTTTTCTGATCCAGGGCTGAACCCACAGTCATTAGATTCTGCTGCTTTCTCTCATTTTACGTTGTGTACGTGAGCTACACAAAAGAGTCCGATCACAATCGACCCTGAATAAGAAAAAAAAAACAAAACAAAACAAAAGCGAAATGATATGGTATACGTTGTCTTGGGTAAACGAAAGAGTTCTTTGCCAAAAAATCGAAATGTAAAACAATTGGGCAAAGATGCTGCGGCCTTCTGCAGTAGGTGTGCATGTATCGCGTCCTTTAGAAGCTGAGTCACATCACGCAAGTGTATAAAAAGTGTTTCCTTTTGGCGTCTGAAAGGGATCTTTAGGGTCTTATTTAGACAGACTGTCTATCTTGTGGAGGAGATCATCTGTGCGACAATCCTTTTCCGAGTTTGTGGCAATTTTTCTAGAGTATCAAAGGCCACTAAAAAATTGTGGGCAATGAATGATTTTATCCTGTGTGCCCGCGCGTTTATATGTTTATAAATATACAAGTATATAGCTATATACACACACACACAAACACACATTTGCAGATGTGGCAAGGTACACACATCGTATATTATCATTCGGTCTAGACGATCTTCCTGTTTGGCAACAGCCTGCCGGACATTCAAACCAAGAGCATAGATCGAAACGAGACGAGGGGGGCTGGTTGGAAAATCACGGAGAAGATGCTGCTTGTCGCGGTGCAAGGGGACCTTCTTCCTTTGCCAGTGAGGGTGAGGAAAGGAGGAGGGGTATCTTTTAAGGAGATTGCGTTTTTATTCCAGCTTCTTCAATCCAATGTCTTTGTCTTTGCTTCTTCTTTATTCCCCCTAATTCTTGTAAAAGTAGCACACTAATAACAGAAAAAAAATAACCCAAGCCGTTTCCCCTTCCCATCTCTTGGCTTTAAACAAGTATATCAATAGGCAACGCCACAAGACCAGTACCTAATTACTCATAATAGAGTACAAGTGCTCGTATAATGTATGTCAATAAGTCATACACAGAAAGAAAAGCCAAAAAAGAAAAGAGCTGCCAAATATCCAACCTTAACATCTCATTATTAGACCTTAACCATGACTCAGTCAAGCCACATAACCGATCTCGTTCAACTCTCACCAGATCCTTCACCAAATGATATTGCTGAGGTTCTTCGTCAACGGTATCTTAATGACCATTTCTACACAAGTATCAACCGGGCAGTTCTCATTGCCCTAAACCCCTACAAGCTGCACGACGGACCCCTCGCCAGTACTTCGGCCGACTATGTAGCAGAGTACAAAGACACTCAGTGCGCAAAAGCAAATCAATGGCGAGAACCTCATCTTTTCCAGCTTGTAAATCATGCCTATTTTCATATGCGAAGAACAAGTATCAACCAGTCTGTCTTATTTAGGTAATTATTCAAATTTACAATCATTTACTATTATTTATTTTCTAAATGGGCGCCTGTTTCTTTTTACTACTATTATTACTATTAAAAACATCAACAAAAACAACAACAAAAAACATGGATCGACCATGTTATTATCAATACCACTGCCATTGACATTATCAAAATATTACTCAAATATATATAAATTTACCAAATAATTATAATTATAATTATTAACAAACCAACAAAAAAAACCCCCTTCACTCCCCCTTTCAAAAACACCAAAAACAACCTCATCAACGACGACAACGACGGCAATTTCATTTGTAGTGGTGAGAGTGGAAGTGGAAAGTCTGAAAGATTCCGTCAGGCAGTCGGACATCTTATTGCCCTCAGCACGCACAAAAAGCAAACACGCCTCCAACAGCATTTGCAGAGCAGTCAAGTCTTACTCGATCTCTTTGGAAATGCAAAGACAACTGTGCATGATAATGCATCTAGATTGGCACAGTACTTAGAAGTTCACTTTACCGAAAGAGGCCGCATGGCTGGCGCAAAGTTCATGCCCTACGCTCTAGAGAAGTACCGCGTCACTATGGCAGCCCCGGATGAACGCAATTTCCATGTATTCTATGCTGTCCTTTCGGGTGCCTCTCCTGAAGAAAAAGCCCGATTAGGCCTGTCTGACTGGACTGCCTACCACTATCTGGCTCGGACATCGACCGCACGGGCTTCATCAATCGACGACAGCCAAAATTACGTCAATCTCAGAGCAGCACTAAAGACCCTTCTGTTCCACAAACATACTGTCACACAGCTCTTCCAGGTCTTAGCTGCAATCCTTCACCTTGGTAACCTTGTGTTCATTGAAGACCCTAACAATGCACAAGACGCAGCAATTATCAAGAACATGGATGCACTTACCACAGCTGCGGATCTACTCGGTGTCGATCCAAAGGCCTTGATGAGCACCCTCACTTATAAAAGTAAGCTGATCAAAAGGGATATCACTACTCTCTTTCTTGATCCTGCTCAGGCCACAATTCAGCGAGATGAACTGGCCCAGACACTCTATGTACTCGTCTTCACCTGGTTGACAGAACAGATCAACGACAAATTATCCGCAAAGGAAGGGTCCCACAGTTTGATAGGATTGTTGGATACACCTGGCATGACAGCCGTCCGTACCACGGCTCATGCATCATTCGATCAACTGGCCTTTAACTTCATTACCGAATCAATCCACCAGTTCATGCTTTCAAGTCTGTTCGAGCGTGATGTACACGAGTATGCTGAACAAGGTGTACCAATGCCCATGGAAGCTTGGCCAACAAATACCGCCACAGTCGATTTACTTGTCCACCCTGCTAAAGGTCTGTTTAGCATCCTAAACACTCAGGCCAATCGACAGGGTTCCCGACCGACAGACGATGTTCTGTTGGATCAATTTGCCAACGCAAATCGCAGTAGTTCAGATGGGATATTGCTTTCATTTAAGAAGAGTGACACTGGTGCTCGATTGTTCGCAATCCAGCATTTCTGGGCCCAGACAACCTACGATCCTCGTGGGCTCATGGACAGAAACGAAGATTACCTGTGCAATGACTTTATCGCCTTATTCCGTGGAAATGCATATAGTGCACCAACCACCAATGGACTTGTGGCCAGTTTGTTTAATGAACCAATGATCGAGGAAGACTACAGCATCCGCAACCGCGTCTCATCTCCCCAACTTGGTATCCGCCCCCTACAGTCCCCAACAAATCTCGACAAATCGGATGATAAGACTGCATCGAGATTGAGTGACTCAAGTGTACCAACTGTCGTGGACCAACTCATGAATGGAATCACAGATCTTACTCAGGCATTATCAAACACAATACCTTGGTTCGTTCTGTGTATGCGTCCCAACGAGCTCTCATTACCAAATTCTTGTGATGCCAAAAAGGTCACTGTTCAGATATCAAGCTTCCGCCTTACAGAGTTAATCCGAAGATTGCGAGTTAGCTACAATACCATATTTCCTATGGACGAGTTCTTTGATAGATATGGCATTGCCCTAACAATGCTTCTGGGTCAATCAATCGAAGCCGGAACGCTCAAAGAAAGGTGTAAACTGGTCGTCCATGCATTGGGATGGAATGAAACATATGCTGGTATTGGTCGTGATAAGGTGAGGCTTTCTTTTTTCAATAATCGTATAAAAGAATATAACTCTAAACCACAGCTACTGTTGTTGTTTGTCAGATATATCTTTCAAATAATGCTTTCCGTATTCTGGAAGACGAATTGAGAAGCACAGAGAAATCAGACTCTAAGAAGACAAAGATACCTACAGGAGGTAAAATAAAAATATATATACCAACATACAACTAATAATGCCACTTGATAACGTACTAACATATTCTCACCCTTTCACTCATTAGGAATGTCTTTGCGCCATCGCCGAGATAATTTCGATGGCTACTCTTTTAATGACGACCAAGTGTCTTCGGCTATGTCTAATGATGATTTCCTCGACGAAGCCAGTCCAGTAAATGACTTTCACGCCTCGGATCTTTTCTCTCCAAGTCAAAGTGATCCTACTGAAATCGAACGAAAAGCCGAGTACCCTCCTCCAGGCGAACCAGAGCACGAAGATGAACAAGATCAAATATCAAGCGAACGTCGAAAATGGCTCATCCTCGTATGGGGATTGACCTGGTGGGTTCCTTCTCCCTGTCTCCAATACTGTGGTGGTATGAAGCGTAAAGACATCCGTCTAGCCTGGCGTGAAAAACTGGCCTTGTGCATCCTTATCTTCCTCCTCTCAGCATCAATGGTAGTCTTTATCGTCTTCTTCGGACCCCTGATATGTCCCCAACAGGACGTCTACTCTTTCTCCGAACTCCAAAGCAAATCCGAAAAACAAAGTGCATATGTAGCCATTCGCGGCGAAGTGTTTGATCTAACAAAATTTGCGCCACATCATTGGGCTTCTGAGGTCATTCCTGACAGTACACTATTTGACTATGCTGGCAAGGACGCCACAAATTTATTTCCAGTTCAGGTCTCTGCTCTATGCGATGGTACTACCGGTGTTGTTTCTGATGAAATTGTGCTCGATTTTCAAGCCAACTTGACAGACCGAAATGCTGCCTACCATGATTTCCGATTCTTTACCAACGATTACCGCCCAGATTGGTATTTCGAGCAGATGGTCTACATGCGCAAGAACTATCGACTTGGATTTATGGGATATGAACCTTCGGATATCTTGCGACAGGCCACCAATGTTGTGAGCGTCGGTGATATCAGCACTCACAGACAATGGGCTATTCTTCATGGAGATGTCTATGATTTGACATACTATCTGATGGGTGGCCGTGCTCCTCGTGCCCCTGAAGGACAAATGCCACCCCCAAATTTGGACCTGAATTTTATGGACAATACCATTATCGAACTCTTCCGACAGTTGGCTGGTACAGACATTTCAGCTCATTTTGACGCACTTCCTATCGAAAAAGAGCTCCGAACAAGGCAGTTGGTGTGCTTGCGAAATCTCTTTTTTGTCGGCAAGCTAGACACACGTCGATCTATTCAGTGTCAGTTTGCAGAATACTTTTTGCTGATAATTACAGGTAAGGATGACTATAAACAAGAATATAACATACAATTTTTTTTTACTTATCATATGTTTATTCTTCATTAAAGGTTTCTTGTGTACCGTAATCGTCTTCAAGTTTATTGCTGCCCTTCAGCTTGGTGCCTTCCGTGAACCAGAAGATTACGACAAATTTATTATCTGTCAAGTGCCATGTTACACTGAGAGTGAAGAGTCATTAAGAATGACCATTGATTCCATTGCCGTTCTTCGATATGATGACAAGCGGAAACTACTGTTCTTAGTTTGTGATGGCATGTTGGTTGGTAGTGGTAACGATCGACCAACTCCTCGCATTGTCTTGGACATTCTCGGTGTTGATCCCAACATTGACCCAGAGCCTCTTTCATTCCTTTCGCTTGGTGATGGCATGAAGCAGCACAACATGGGTAAGATCTACTCTGGGCTTTATGAATGTTCTGGCCACGTCGTACCATACGTTGTTGTTGTCAAAGTTGGCGCCCCTTCAGAAAGACAGAAACCAGGAAACAGAGGAAAGCGTGATTCTCAGATGGTGCTGATGCGCTTCTTGAATAAAGTACACTTTGAGTCTGCGATGACACCCATGGAACTCGAAATATATCACCAGATCAAGAACGTAATTGGTGTTAACCCAAGCTTCTTTGAGTTTGTACTCATGGTGGATGCTGATACAGAGGTCATGCCAGAGTCTTTGAACCGAATGGTTTCGTGCTTTGTCCATGACAGCAAAATTATTGGCCTATGCGGTGAAACAGCCCTGTCGAACGAGAAAGACAGTTGGGTAACCATGATACAGGTTTATGAATACTACATCTCCCATTTCCTTGCCAAGGCTTTCGAGTCTCTCTTCGGTTCCGTCACTTGTCTTCCCGGATGTTTCTGTATGTACCGTATCAGATCACCGGCAAAAAATCAGCCTCTACTGGTGAGCAATCAGGTCATCGAGGACTACTCTGAAAACAAGGTCAACACACTTCATCAGAAAAACTTGCTCCATCTTGGTGAGGATCGTTACTTGACTACTCTTATTCTCAAGCACTTCCCTACCTACAAGACCAAATTCACTGCCGATGCTTCGTGTTTAACGAATGCCCCAGACCGCTGGAGTGTATTGCTGTCTCAGCGCCGTCGATGGATTAACTCTACTATTCACAATCTCGGCGAGCTCATTTTCCTACCCCAGCTATGTGGTTTCTGTTGTTTCTCTATGCGATTTGTAGTAATTCTCGATCTCCTCAGTACATTGGCAATGCCTGCAGTTGTATGCTATCTTGGTTATCTGATCTATCGGCTTGCGACCAATGCAGGCCAAGTACCTATGATTTCTATTATTACGCTTGGTGGTATCTATGGTCTTCAGGCCATTATCTTTATCGTTCGACGCAAGGTAAGACACTTTGTGTTTTGTTTTTTGAAATCACATTACTTGTTTTTAATATTATTACTATCATTCTATTTTAGTGGGAACATATTGGCTGGATGATTGTATATATTCTTGCTATTCCTATATTCTCCTTCTTTATCCCTATTTACTCCTTCTGGCATTTTGACGATTTCTCATGGGGTAACACTCGTGTGGTCGTGGGTGAAGGTGGCCAAAAGAAGGCACTCCCAGTAGACGAAGGCCGGTTTGACCCCAAGACCATCCCTCTCAAGAAATGGAGTGACCATGAGAATGAAATCTGGGAAAGTGGATCCATTGAAACCAAGGTCACTGCTGTAACTGCAACCAGTCGACGCACATTTGGATCACCAGCACCACCAGCCTACCCACCTTACCCAGCCAGTGTTAAGGGAGGTCCGGCAACAGTCTACAATGACGCCGCTAGTTTCCGTTATTCACCTGCCCATCTGAGGGCACCATCTGTCCTACCTCCCCTACAGCTGCCAATGATGAGTTCGCCTTCATTATACAGTGATGTTGCGAGCGGATATCATGAACCTTATCTGAATGGTCCAACTGATGATGAAATTCGTCGCGAGGTCCAACGCATTACCGCTTCAGCAGATCTTATGACAATGACTAAAAAACAAGTCCGTGAACAGCTTAGCCGACATTTTGGCATCGACATGGCGTATAGAAAAGACTTTATTAATTACTGTATCGAAGAAGCTCTTCATTTCTAGAGCATCATTTCGCTCTATTCATACATCACAATCTCCCCTCTTTCTCTCTATTTCTATTTCTTTCTATCTCTCTATCTCTCTATCTCTCTTTATTATTATTTCTATTATCATTTTCTATATTGCGTCGTGATTATCAACAAAACCCAAAATAAATCAATCAGTCTCCCCCTTCTCCTTCTTTCTTATTACACTTAATTGATCTTTATTTATATATGTATCCTGAAGGAATATATACTAGTCAGAAACAAATTGCATATTGGTCCTATTCATAATTTCTCTTATATACACGCATTATAAACTAATATTTTTGCTACATAATATTCATTCTATTGTTAATTATAAGCATATGAATAAATATATATATATATTTTAAAAAAAAAACCTGCTTTTCTATTTGTAAACTTCAATTTAAAGGCTTTAAATATATTTCATATAATACTGTATATCAAATGCCTGTATCCAATGATCCAAGACACTATCTTATAATTGATTAAAATTACTGTAACATACATAAAGATTACCGGAAAGATCATAAGAGAAAATACCCAAAAAAATGTACGGACATTGTAACCAACTAGGTAGGCTACCCTTACACCACATAGTTTTATATGTAAAATAAAATGACAATAATATGATCAAAAGAGCCAGAGGACGGTAGTAACCATTATGTATGATAAATTGCCTTAATTGGAGGAATTATACAATTTCTTATGATGTCATGGCCAGTAGAGAAAAATCTATTTTTTTTTTTCATATTTATAAAAAAAAACCCCGGTTTTTGGAATGCTATTGTTCTTACACGATGTGTTTTACAATATAGCTGCTATATAGAAATAAATAAAAGCTTTTTCCCGAGTTATTGGTTTAGCCCGTTGGCATAACAGGCTATCGTAAGCGTTGCTCGCAGGAAAACCAGCAATCTTACGGGGACGACATTTCCTGGCGTGGTACGACGTTTCTATCTAGCCGGACTAATTCATTGTGACTACTTGTCCGGGACCCGGTGTCTTTCTCCAATCCTTTAGAGCAAAATGGCGTGTCCTGAAAAATACAACACATTCATTGTACGAATTAACTTACTACTTTGTCCCCACACCTTGAGTGCTCATCAATCTCTCCATAGGCACCTACTTCCCCTTCTTTTGGAAAATACGGCCTGTTTTTGGGCAATTTAATAACGAAATGTTGTCTCATACAAAAAAAAACAAACAAATCCTGTATATTCGATTAATAGATGTTTGGGCCCTAAATTTAAACTTACTTGGGCCTAAAAATTCATAATAATTAATCATAACTAAACTCTGTATAAATAGCTGTCTATACAGAAAATTATAAGGAGTTGTTGTCATTACACACTTTGTGACGCAATATTATTGGCTATTTTATTATTTATTGGCCTTCTTACGCGTATCATGTCATTCTCTTTCTTTCACCTATTGTATCTATAATACCAGAGTTTGAAAGCACCAACTGTTAGGTAATTACCATCCAGCATTTTCTTTTTCTTTTTTTCAAAGCACAAAATAAAATCTCGATACCGATACTCGGTACCTTAGCTTTGTATTAACTTTTATAATAAGAATTGGTCCTTAGGGACCAGATATCATTTATTCCATGGCGGCAAAAAAGTCACACTTTGTGGTCCGGTAAAATCAAAATGTCGTCTACCACCAGGAAACGTCGTTCCCCTAAAACTAGCGTAGGAAAATACGTAAAGACTATATAAAGTATAGAACGAAAAACTGGGAAACATACGTTGTATTAGTTTTTAAGCTACGGCTTAAACTAGAGTGAAAAAAAAACTCGGTAATACTATGACATCGGTTAGAATGACAGTATTATTAGTGGCTCAAGCATCTGAATAGAAGAGAGCTAATAATATATTAAAGTTGGCTAAACTACAAGCAGAATATTTTTGCAGTAGGAGCTCAAACAATACCCATCAGATTATACACATATACAGAATGGTAGCACAGATACTTACTATATGATCAAATGTGGTAAATCAAAAGTAAAACACTTATTTACCCGCCAAGGATTTGTTTGTAGCCTGAGTATGGGTACCACACGAACCATGTCATTAATCTACATACCAAACGCATGGAAGAATATCTAAGGTGCTGAGATTCATTAATTTCAAACAAATCGTTTCACATAAAAGAAAAGGTCCATAGTCTAGTGCAGCTCTTTTCTGTATTTTCCCTTTTTTTTACTCTCTATTAACTTTTATATATAATAATGTCTGAACAACTCAAGAAACAAGCAATAATCCATGTGATTTTGTTTAACATTGATGAGAATCTATTCATCATGTCTACTGCAATAAAGGAAGGTGAGGACCATACACACACATATCAAGACAATATTATGATTGGTCTTAAAAACAACTGTCTTAGGTCTCAAGGAGGAAGGGATCGATTCCACAGTATTTGTCTCAAATACAAAAAACAAAGAAGGTTTATCAGAGACAATCCAACAATACGGCTTGAGTTTCATGGATGCTGAACATCCTAGTCAAGCCAGCAGCCTTGTTCTTGATCCTTCTTGGCATCAAGCACACTCACCCACAGATACAAAACTGTAAAACATAGACTTCGTAGCACTTTTATTTCCTTTCATTATGTCTTACATATTATTTTAATAGTGTGATGATGATCGGGACAGATGGGTGCAAAGCCAGAGATCTCAAACAAGAAGCCACAGCCACCTTTATTATCGGTATCAATAAAGGTGAGATGGTTAACATCCCAACCGGAACCGTAAATTACGGTTTCCCTCATGGGATGATAATCATCTCTTATGGGTTTTCAGACTTGCAGATTCTTAGATCTCGACAAGCAGAGGGCCCAGAAAAAGCGTGTATGTGTAAAGCTGTATATTGCTTTTGGTAGCATAGTTCAGCCATCTAATTTTTTTGCTTTGAATATAATATAGCGCCTTCTGAGAAAATGTCGTCTCGCTACAAGGAAGGCATAGTGCAAGCCAAAGAATTTGCTTCTCTCATAGCAACCAAGAGAAGCAGTTCAGGTAACAGAATCTACTACTGTTCAATTAGAGTATAAAAGCAGAAAAAAGCTTTTTTTTTTAAAAAAAAAATAACTAACTAAAATTTTCTCTCTCTCATAATAAAGCGGCTATTGTTGATGATGGGATCGAAGAGGACCACGGTAAGTTTAGGCATCTTATTATTATAAAAGTTGTAGCATATTTATGAAACATCTTTTCTAGGGATCGAACAAGTCCCTTCCCGTCAACTTCCCCCTGGTGGCAGAAATGCCAATGCAGTCCAGGGTGCTTTAGCTGCCAAACAGGCAGCAGATGTAGCTTTGACTGAGAAAGCAGCTGGGGGGCCTACCAGGTTCGATGAGGCCAGTGCTCATCACACAGGTAGCACACGTAATGTGCCACCTGAAAAAAACAATTCTGGAGTTCAGGATACGCCCAAAGAGAAAGCACGGACCTCTCGTTGGAAAAGACTGCTTTGTTGTAGATAATAATAAAAAAATTAATAACTATTATTTAAAGTCTACTTGGACTATCGACATTTAATTTTCATTCTGTAGCATTATTAATGATATTATTATTATTATTATTATTAAATATGATGATGATGATATTATTTTAATTAATGGTAATGGTAATAGCAAGTAGTAAGTAGTAGGAGTAGAGTAGTAATATATTCAAAAAAAAATATGTATCCAAACAAAATGCATAAATACAGCGTATAAATATATATCAATATAGATATGTCTAATGAAAAAAGAAATGGATTGGTTTGATATGGGTTCACTGGCTTATTAATTAGGAGCACTTTCCGTGCGGGTAACTGTTTTTTTCATAAAGTGCATAAATCGTGTTCCATATTCGAGTGGATTAACAGCAGAAATTGCATGCTGTATTAAATGTTACTAAAAGGGGATACTGTGTATGTAATCGTGGCTCTTACCTTGTCCTGAGTTAAACTTTTCCACAAATGCTCGGTTTTCTTGACAATATTATAAGGTGTCAATATATCAATAATGCCAACAAAATATATTTTATCTGCTGGATCATTGTTTTGCCCAGTTGAGAAAAATCCACCTTCTTCTGCATAGAATACACAATATCGACGTCTTTCAAAGAATGTCCGATTAGACAACAATGACCAAATAGACAACAATGACCTATTAAAGCAGACAATAGTCATACACTTACTCGTCTGATGGACTTTCTGGTAGTTCAGAGGATGATAGCTGGACAGGATTTACTGATTTGAGAGCCTTTCGTACCATGTCAGCCTTATTTTCTCGCTTGTGTGCTCGACTGCTAGAGTCACGATCACTCGGGCGTGTATCGGGCTAATATTAAATGAAGTGGAGTTGAGGGTCCTTGTTACACAACTCTATTTTATTTTGTTTACCTTTACGATGTGAAGACGATGATCACGGATACCTTCTCGGTTGCCACGCAACAAGTCGTGAATGCCGATCAATAGACTATAATCCATAATCTTCAATCGCTTCAGGAGCTATAAATAAATCCAAAAATAAAGGAAGAAAAAGGGGATTTGGTCACTTTTTTTTTGCTTGTTTACTTGGGAACGGCTTATGGATTTTTAGGTGTTACCTCTACATCTCTCTCGAGTTGTGTAATCAAAAGTTCACGCTTTAACGGCCCTAATTCTAACGTTTTGTGTCGCTGAACCCAGTTTTGGTCTTTCATTACCGCGTGGGGATTTTTGGAAATCTCTTCTTCGGGAGTAAGTCGACCAAAGGTAGACCCTTTAAGGTCATAAGTTTCATGAATATCTTTGTTTGCCGGAAAAACATTCCCCATAACCACAAAATGGATTTTGCGCCCATGCGGTAATTTAATACGATATAAACCATAGAAGCGACACAGGAGTGTATTCGGATTTTCACATACATGCTGTCAATGATCCAATCAACGACTGTCCTAATTGACTTCAAACCATATACCTCCCATTATCATCATTACCTGATAATATTTGCCAAGAACCTTCCGCATAAACTTGTGCTCGGTGTGGTGAATTGTCTTGATAATGAAGCGGTAATCTCGAGAATAATAGAAAAAACTCCCACTCTTTCCAGGTGAGCCCAATTCAGACAGAATATATTTGTTTGTAAGTGACATCTAAGGATCGTAATTTAGTTATTTATTACGTTTAAGGATTAACAAGACATTCGTCTTACCATATAGTCAGCAGGATCTATATGGAACTGTTCGCGAAGGTTTCTGAACACCCAGGGCGCATAGTCTTTAAATTTGAAGTCATACTTAACACCTGGAGTAAGTTCTGTGCCAGTGCTACGAAATACACAAATTAACACATATGGTGGCTACACAGAGCAACGTACACATCAAACACTAGTTTATGAGCCGCTCGAAAATCTTCTTCAGTCAGATCTCGCTTTATCTTTGCAGAAACTCGCCCAACCTAATAAAAAGCATAACCCAAAGTAGAATCACAAAAATAAAAATTAAGGGAGAGGAACCGATGAGCTCCTTACTGTTGATCATAATAATCATAAAGTTGGTGATATTTACAGCAATACGGATGCCTGTTAACATGTCGTACCTAGATAATAAGTAGATGAGTACCTATTATCTTACAAATTACTACATAGTACAAATGTGATTACATGAGCTGATAATTCGGATGCCCTTCTGCAACGCGCGTGCCAATTGCAACTCGCTCTTCATCTTCGAGATCATACAAATCTTCTGGGCTGGCAATTCGCCTTGAAACTCTTCGAGCAATTCTTCTTGCTTTTATCTCGGCAGCAAGGGCAGCTTGTTCGTCAGGATCAAGATCACCGAGATCAGGCGTAGTATGTCGAAGGGGTGTGGCAACTGAAAAGGTTGAAGGGGGTCTGATTCCACTTATGATCTTTGACTGAGGGGATAAGGAAGGATCGGCAATGGGACTATCGACAAGAGGAAATTCAGAGGGGGTATATGGAATAGCGACTTTAAGTCCATTTTCTGGTTGTCGCTGGCGTTGGTGGGTTGCATAAGATGATGCTGAGGGGTCAGTGTCTGGTGGTGGAGAAAGTGATCGTTGTGGTAAGCTTAGAGAGAGACGTTTATCAGAATTTTTGCTGGTACTTCTGAAGTGATTGGACTGTGGTAAAGAAGCGGTCGAGTGATCCAGTCGAAGTGCTTCTGATGCTAATTCAGGCATGGAGATGGGCTTTGAGATGGAGTCTGAGAATGCACTTGCGTGAAGTGATGGTCGCTTGGGTTCTGTCGGTGATATTCTGCTATTAGTAGTGTGGGGTTGGAAGATGGTGGCGGGCGACATGACGAGGTTTTTATACGATTGCAAACAAAAAGACGAAGAAAAAAAATAAATAAAGGGGGATGACCAGAATCTGTTGTTTATGGCTTCTAACGGGGAGGAAATAGCACGCGGAAATGGAGGGCGGGGAAAGAAAGCATGCCAGAGTCTCCTCTTTGGGAACACGATCGACAGACATCTTTCGTCTGACGTTGCACAGGCCGATGATGCAATCATTTCACTCGCTTATTGTTCAGAGCATTTTTTTTTAAAAAAAATTAATTTTTATACCAGAAAATGTTTGGCTTGTGATTGGACAGACTGTTTACCTTAGCATAAATACCAACAGGTAAAAAACGGACAGGCCACGTGAGACGTAGGGGGCTATATGAATTCATTTGTTCACTTGTGTACTCTTTATCTCTTTCTTCTCTACAATGACACCAGAAAATTCAGGATTCTACACTGTGGATGCTGATAAGCTCCACACCTCCCGAAAACCCTTCCATCTACAACGAAGGTTCCCTCAGCAACAGTCCTTGACTACGCTTGAGACTGCTGAGTTAAAGCGAGAGGCCTTTTTGCAAGAGCGACGAGAGAAACTTCATCAAAAGTTTCAACAAGTCCAATCCGTAGTACGACAGGTCAAGGCAAGACGTGAGCATCGGAAGATATCGATTCTAAAATCTCTTGAAACTGCCGAGCTTAATCGACGTACGCAAATGGAGGAAAGGAGAATGGCTAGTAAGAACCTTGTTGAAAGAGCCAAGGTCATAGCTAGTCAGAATATCCGCCGTCACCAGGCTGAACAAGAACGTCTCAGAGCCCGTCTCGAGAGCCGCCTCAAAGCATCCGAAGCCAGACGGCTTTGCCTTCAAGACCTGCGAACCTCCAAGATGGCCAGTCGCCGTAAACAGCCGCTAAAGGAAGAGAGCTTTGGACCGACCTCTAAGACCAAAGGAGTAAGCAAGCAGTCTCCCAAGATTTCCGTGAAAACCTGCCCTGAAACCGGACACACAAAGAAACAAGTTGGCTGGAGTTCTTTGTTAAAAGCCTACCAATCTCTTGGTCTTCCAGCCTTGACTTCCCAGGTCGATTTTAATGAACTTGGCCGTATTCTCCATCAATCGAGGGTAGTAACTGTAACTTCTAAAATGCTCTCGATAGCGCTATCTTTAGCCGATAAGGATAGTAGACGACGGGCACGCATTCTCCTGACAGCCTATATGATGCTTATGTGTCCACGTGAGATTCTGCAAGACAGGAATGGTAGTGAAGAACAGGTAAAAAAAAAAACAATCATTTTGTGTATTTATTTGGTTGGTCAAATGATGACTCATATCTTTCTAATAGATTTTGCTGACTAGTGCAAAAGATGTACTAGTACAGTTTGAGATTTGGATGGCTGCCCATGGCCCACACGCTGGACAAGTCGAAAGGCGAGTCTTTGCTGAAAGCTGGACAAGATATCGTAGCCTGTTTGAAGCATGGAAGAAGAGAGACCAAAAGAAACTGGTTGAGGATATGATCACATACTATCTCGAACTATCTAATGTGAAACGTAGCCTAGAAGAGCATGATGTAGAAGGGGTTGGTGCCCAACTTGAGAAACAACTTGAACAAGTCAAAGCCAAGATTGTTCAGGTCGGAGGCCCTGCCTCGTTGGAGCGACTAAACAACTTGGAATCTAAAAAGGGCACCCAAGAAGAAGTGAAGCAAGATAAAGAAGAGGATAAGGCACCCGTCTACAAACCCGATTTGTCAACTATCTTTGGCCCCTTTTCCAATATTCCTAATGAACGTCTTGCTCACGAGCTGATTGTGAGCCCTGATTTCAAGTTGCAACACAAAGAAATTACGCCTCTCGAGCAGCACGTCAAGACAATAGCCACAAAAGCCTTTTTTGATAAACTAGAGAATGAACTAGATAATGGAGACACCAGTTCTTTACCGGGCCTATTGGCTGACGTTCGTGAGGTAAGCCCCGTGTGTAATGATCACTAATTATTATATAATTATTATATAATTATTAGTAATTAAGAAAATTTTAATCTTAATTTGATTACATTTGAATTCACATAATTTTATTGTTTATTACTAACTTTCTTTTTATCAGCGCCTATTGGGTTTGTCACCTCTTGATGGTGATTTGCGGGAAACAATATTAGAAATCATGGATATAGAGCTAATTCAACAACAGGCTGCTAATAATACTTTGGATGTGAGCAAGTATATCCAAACTATAATTGATGCAATTGCTCAGCTATGTGCTCCCGTGAGAGATGAAGCTATTGCCGCCATTCGGGAAGGTAGTCAGCCGATAGTCCAAATACAACAGCTGTTGGAACTCCTGGACTTTATGGCACTTGACTTGGCTAACTTCAAACTGGCTGCTATCCGTCCTCACCTTGTCGAGATTGGAGTCGAGTATGAGCAGGACTTCTTTGCTAAGACCATATCTAACAACCCGGAAATGCCTATCACCAACATTTGGCTATGTAAAGCATTCCACCGTCTCCACGATATCTCTAGTCAGCGTAATCCAGAAAATGTCCAGCCACACCTCAACAGACCATCTCACAAGGCTGTTATAGAAGATGCTTTTGTAGCACTAGTTACTGCTTCCGACACAATTAATTCCGAGACTGTTCCCGAGACGCTATTGTGGGACGCGGACCGTCTTACTGGTTATCAGAATGATATTCAGGCTCTTGTTATTGTCGCATGCTTGCTTATGCTTGCCAAGAACTTTGGTTCTCCTGCCGACCCCCCTCAGCTTGCCACTACCCTATTCGAGCTCCTCAAAGACCACACTACAACCATCGATAATCTTTCCCTTGAAATCCAAAGAGGTCTTGATGAGAAGCGAAAGCCACTTGTACGCTCCATGGTAGACAAGACACTTTCTCACACTGATACAATTTATTTGCTGCTTACTCGTCGTGTTGCTACTATCATAAGAAGCTATCTTAATTCCCCACAAACCCTTACTCCTGCTGCTGCTGCAAGTCAGGGACTTGAGCATGTCTTCCAACCTCTCACTGAAGTATGTGCTAACCTGTATAGACTCGCAACTCACCATCGCAAAGTATATGGGTCCTGGTATGATACTATAATTTCTGAAGAAGAGGCTACAATTTCCTCTACTAGAGTAGATTAAAGTAAACCAGAATAGTGGAAGACATAATGATTATATATAGTGTATGTATATATAAATATATAAATTTATAAATATATATATATATATATAAGCATGTTTTTAAATTGAAGAATAAAAACAAAAGAGCAGGGGTTTATATATAAATATACAAATATAAAGAATGTAACGACAGCAAAAAGTAAATGGAAAAACAAAAGAGAATAAATGATAGTATTGATTAAAGAGTCTTAACCGAGTTATTTTCATCCATAACTAAGACTGTGCCAAACACATAGTCCCACAACTTGGAGGTAATGCCAAACCCGCTGTCATATTCCTTGTAATGATGTGCAATGTGATATCTCTTCATCTCTTTAAAATGGATTTTAAACACTTGGGCATGATGGAGGTAATAGTGTATAAGATCGTACAGGATATAACCCATAAATGCGCCCGCCACAAATCCATGTGCAATTTTTGGTATACAGACCAAGTGAGCAAGCCGAATGACAGGCGTTCCAATCAAGACTGTCAACGCAGGAGGCATTACCAGACGTAATCTTGAAGAAAATTTATACATATAAGGATTTGTACATGTAAACATTATTGTGCTGTACTTACCTATCCATTGGCATGTGGTGATGGATACCATGTAAGGTAAAATGTACCAATAAAGCTTTCGGGTGATCAGGCAATAGATCATCAAGATGGAATAGAAAACGGTGGAGACAATACTCGAGTAATGTCCAGAACAATACACCAGTCGCAAATGTCACACCTGTAACCATAACATCACTGTGACCTGTTTTGAGAGAACACCACAGTTGATAGACCACAAACGGAATCCAGATCAAAGGTACCATATACCATGACGTCCGCGACAAGACATCCATGGCTGGGTCACTGAAATATGGTACATAATAAGGTACATAACGTGGTCGGTGAACCTGCTCCAGATAAAATTTTTTGGAGTAAGTCGCGTTCCACAACTGAGGAAATAATGGTTTGCGCAAGTCGAGGAACGTTTCTTTCTCCTTTGCCTTGGTAACAAGAGGTTTTGTGACAGGAACAGGATTTTCTTTGGAAGGAAGGAGTTCGCCAATATAATACTCATTCAATATATCTTGAGTAGCATCCGAATGCACATGCAAGGTGGGATCGGACATGACATTTGTGACATCCGTGCCTGCAAATTGCATGACAATGTCCTGACCTCCTGGATGATCACCCACAAATGTTGTTACATCGTAGATTTTATTCTTGTAGATTATCCAGCAAGAACTCTCGCACGCATGTTCTGCGACCTGCTCTGCACTAAAATTTGGCATTGCAGGATCCTATCCAAGTATTTATAAGAATAAATAAAAACAAGAGAAAAGAGGTTGCAAATAAGAAGAAAAAGAATGCCCGGGAGCAAGCGGACAACTATAAGCACATCTGTATATATTTATATATAAATAACTATAAACACACGGCTCAACCGCGAAGGTGGTACGGACTCAAGCCCATTCGGTTCGGACAGTCAAAGAACAAAATAAAGAGTTTTTTTCTTCTTCTTTATATAAAGAATGATATATATATCTTTTAGTTGTTGGCAAAGAAGAAAAATAAAAAAAGGGGGAAAAGACCACATCTATGATTAGAAAGGGTATGGTTTCTATGTACAGAATGAAACAGTGAAATGAGAGCTTAAGAGAGAAATATAAAATTAAGAGCAAGGATCTCAATAAGCAAATTTCTTAAAGTGCACTGAATGAAATACAACAGGATATTAGTTAGAAGCTGTTAAACGTATACAACCACGCTTACCATTTCTCGGAAGTGCAAGATGCAGGAAAATAAGTTGTCCAGGTGAAATCTGAGTTGGGAAAGCTTCCAGGATTGATACAATGAGTTCCTCCATAAGTGGCACCATAATTGGCACATTGATCAGCCAAAATAAGCTACAAACTCAGCATGTTAGCCAAATAAATAATAATAATACAAACTTTAGATAGAAAGTTTTGCTTACTGTTTGGGGAAGTGGATAGAGTCTCAAGGCGTGATCATAGGCCCAGTAAATGGGGCGCGCCGACATAGCCAAGGGGCTCAAATGGCCTTGATCAATAATAGTACGAATAAGCTGTATTTGTACAAAACAAGTTAGTCAAACCAAAAAATCCAATCCAGAACCTTATATATATAGATATAAATATCAAACTTACATGTTTTTCAGGTTCGGACACAGTGCCCAATTGAGGATTTAATAAGACATTTCTCCACAGTCGAGATAGCAAATCCTCTCTAAATATCACAATATCTTGGGTACAGTAACGAATGCGACAAGGATTGGTAGTAAAGATGGCCTTTCGGACCTTCTGCTTGATGCGGGATGTGAAGCTGTCCGGAATTGGAGGCTGCGGTAAGGTATTCCCTCCCCAAGGATCGTGCATTCCAGGAACAAATACAAAATACGAATGTGTGGCAAGTGTAGGGAAACTAGCAATCATATCACCCAGTATGCTAAAATTATCTAAAAATAATTTGTATTAGATCAAGGCATCAGCCTACAATTTCTTCCTAGTAAAGTATAATTACCTCTATATTGAGCAGATTCATTGCTAGAAAAACTAAACGGTCTCTTGGTGAAGTTTCCCATCAGAATGAATGCCAATGGCACTTTTGTAGAGTCATAACCCTCAAACATTCTGCGTAGTGCATTCATAACCTAACACACGCATAATTAAGAGCTGTAATATAGTAGACATAGGAGATTAATCCTTTGTGCTTTACCTTGGGTTGGTCCAACCAGACATCTGAGACGATAACGAAAAATACATCATTATGAGAAGTTTCTTCTAATTTGAGAATATGCTATTTGATAATAAGAAACCCACAGGTTAGATTACACATATGTAGCCAAGAAATAGTTGGCATCTTACATTCTCTATCAAAGGCTGTGGTAATCCAGTAAAATCGACATGAGGAAATACGGAACTAGAGGATATGTATTAAGTTAGATACCTAACTAGAGTATATAGCACTCCCTTACTCTGTTACTTCTCGACTCTCAGGAGGTGGGAAACCTATTTCTTCTACATGAAAAATATGATCCTCTCCGTAAACACCATCTGCAATCACAAATGAATTATCTGTGAATAGTCCCTCTCCATATAGCTGTTTATTATAATTAGATACCGTGCAAAATATATATATATACATATACATACATGTATATTCACTTACACAATTAGAGAGATCCAACTCGATATTCGCATCTTCATCTTCCAAGAAAATTTTGCCTTCTTCCAACTGAGTCAGCATACCAAATAAAAGAAAATGCCCACGATCGTGTCCAATCAAAGATTTAATGGGTGTAATCTAATTTTTTTGTTGTAAAAATAAAGATTCTCATTGTTAGCCTCTTAATTTCAGAGGTTAGTCAAATACATTTTTCAATTACCTTCAAATAAGTATCATTATCTGACATCTGAGCTGATGAAGCGCAAAAGCTTTCATTTCTAAGTAATCTCTGTCGGATAATATTCAATCGCTCACAAAACATGTTTCCCTTTTCTCTTGGAGAAGCCAAAAGACTAGGGGGTTCGGATACTCTATAACCGAGTAAGATAAATCATTCCTTGTCAGAACATCATTATTGATTTATCCCATACATGCATCATAAAATAATTACTTTGTAAACGCTTTTCGATGATAATCATAAGTAAGTCGAGGAACATCAAACGAGTCTACAACATGGAAGTGTTGTGCGATATCAATTGCTTCCTTGACTTCATTAATCGACAGACTCTGAAGTGAATTGTCAATATCTTCGTCGGGCCTCGTAAAAGGTGTAAGTGCAGCTGAGGCAGCAGCAGACGTCTGTAAAGACTCGACCACTTCAACAAGAGACGATTTGTCCACGATCGTCATTGCCTTTTCTTTGAAATAATAGCATGTTAATCATTTAATCGATTTAGTGCTCAGACAAAAATAGATCTTGAAATCTCTACCATTGTATCGTTTTTTATAAGCCTTGACGATCTTCTCAAGCGATTCAGTCACTTGGTCATCATTTTCTAATAGATCCTCAAGATATCGACTGGCATCGACCTGTAAGTGTAATCCATGCCTCTTTTTGAATACATTAAAAATTGCTCGAGAGAGCTGTCGTTGTGTTGAATTCGACATGATGAATGTCAATGGAGGAGTCAAGCTACTATCACCAGTCCACCAATTTTTTTTTAACAGAACGCGATCGTGTTTTGTGTCCCGACACGCCTCCCATTACAGTTTATTCGCTTCATAAGGTTTTTATTGTACCACAATCCAGCAAGTTATTTATCTTGTCATTTTTAATATCAGGGTTCTCGTCCTGCTAATTACTTATTTTATCGGCGAGCACCTATAAACGCTCTCTCTAAATATTTTTATCCTCACGTTCATAATTATAAGTATCATTTATATAATCTTTGGGTGCGATAACGAACGTGAACTTGTTTATTTCTTTAAGAAGAAAAAACCTCAAGTTGCTCACACACAAATTATTAGTGCTTATCAATCGTTCTCCCACCACCATTGAGAACCTAATTCAATTTATATACCTGCTTGTATCGTACTCTCGGTCCAAATCATTATTAATTTTAGCTTGCAATAGTAGAATGTAGTTTATTGATATTAACAAAAATAGAACATTTAGCGCTTATTGTACATTTTGTATATACAAGGCAGATGTTTAAAAACCAAAAAAAGGGCTATATATTTCTCTACTTTTGGAGCTAATAAGTCTAATATGGCTCATTCAATGAAGCTTGTATACTTCTATCTATTGACTGCTCTTCTGACTCTATGTATGGCTGAGATTGTTGTGATGTGGGCTTCATAGACTTTCTGATTCGCCTAATACAATATAATAAAAACAATCAGTTAATCCAGTTGTCAAGCTTTTTTAATTATTCAAAGCTAAAGCTCACTTTTTGATATTACCACCAGCAGTACGAAGTATTGTGGGCATAGATCGAATAGAACTTTTGATTGAACGGCTTTTTCTCGACTTGCTTCTGGAACTATTAGAGTCTTCTGACTCAAACGAAAGGTAACTATCTCTTCCATTATCAGATCCAACACTCAAACGGGAATTCTCAGCAGATGTTCTGTTACGGTGGTGTCGACGGGTTTTTTGTAGGATAATGGCCATATAGTGGCCATAGGCTGCTCTTCTCATATCTTTCTTAATTGCACTGACAAACTCATACCATGTCCATATCTGATTACGGTATTCAAGAGCAGGTTGAAAAAACTCAAGCTCTGTGAGGTCATAAAAACTCCTAAAATTTTCACCCTATTCAAATATCTTTTTAGATTGAAGTTACTTGAATCGATTGTATTGTAACTTACTCTGTAATTAATACAATGTTTTGCACCTTGAATATTTACACGGACAAATATATGTGGCACTGGTTCTAATACTACATCAGGCACAGGATTCAAATCGTGATGTAGAGACACTGGAATAGCAGATGCTCCTGATCTAGTATGAGCAACCATGGGTTCACCATTTATACGGCCAGGGTTTGCACGAAGTACAGGTTCAGAGTCTGATAATGGCTCAGGAGAATCTGACAAGGGACCATCTACATATTCTCCTCTACTCATTCTTAACCCACCAGGTAAGATTATCCCACCGGATTGGATATCAATAGAAGGAGTTTCAGCAAAAACTCTAAAGCCAGAAATTTCATCCAAAAGTAGGTCTTCGCCATTAGTCTGATCCTGGTTTTCAGAAGGAAAAAAAAAAGACGTAATCTCTTTCCCTGCCTTGTGAGAGAGACAGATCTTAAGTGGAACCATATCAATTGCAAGTTCTTGGATAACATCCATATTAGCCACCTGTGGTAAGGATACAAGACATACACGAAGCTTGGGTTGATTTGGGATACCCGGCAATGATGGCACGAAATCGGGGATTGTTTCGACAATACGTGTATAGAAAGCGTAATCTGAGGTATCTTCAACTAACACCTTGGCCACCTCAAAAGATTTTCTGACAGCTTGCAACTCATTCCTCAGCATCCCACCCTGCACATTTCCTAATCTAATATTGAACATATTCTTGTATTCGTTGGTCATCAATTCCACAAATACTTCCTGTATATTCATACTGATAGCTGATTGAACTGTAAGTTTGTCTTTAGTTGATGCTTGCCGTGTATACTGTATAGACTTTGCTACTTCCATAGTCATATATAGCTGATTAAAACAATATTCAAGCTCATTCTGTCTCTGATTGTATGCTTTAACTCGTCTATTATCTACAGACAGATCGATTCCTTTGTGCTGGGCCTGCATGGCCTGCAAGAAGCGAAACCGTTCTTGCAGATTAGATACATTTTCGTTCAAAGTCATGAGGCTAGAGTTACTGATGTTCTTTATCATCTCAGAAACAGCAACTGCGCGTAATTCGAGCTTTGATGGTCCTATATCGGATATAATACCACTAATGACACTATAGAATGCGCTGTATTCTTGCGAGTTTATTGTCAGGTTGAGTGTAGGGCAATTCACATGAAGTGTATCACAAGGGTCATCAAAATAATTAGAGTCTAATGTAGCCAAGTTACTCTTGACGTAAAGAGGATTGTATTCTTCTTGTTGTATATTCATATCTAGCTTGCGAGAAATTCGTCTAAGACCAGGTGTTAGCTTATCCGAATTACTGAGTACTGTTTCTAGATTAGCCCAAGCCATTGTGCTATAAGAAAATGCGTCATAGTGGTTGCGATCTCCTTGACTTTGCTGTGCGAATACTCTATGAACTGTTTTATGGGTTATAAATAGTTGAGAATCGCTTATAGAAGCTAGTCGGCGCCTTTTGACCAGCCCAGTCTCAACGTCAAGATTATCTGAGTCCATAATAGTAAAGGTCTTGATGTGTATTAACTCGTTGGTCAAGAGTATACCGGCCTCAGGATGATTTTTGGTCTGAACGCGGATTTGTGGGTTCAAAAGGTCTACTAAGAAATCGCTTTTCATCGTGTATCCATTAGGGATACTTTCAACTTGAAGTCTGGGCCCAAAACTACTGTAGTCATCGAACGTCTCTAAAGAGATGCTATCGTTATTACTCTGAGAAGGATAGACACCAAAATCCTCTAAAAGCTTTTTGAGCATATCTATTGCCATTGGAGTTTCCTTGCTTTCTTGATATTCATCTGATGGCCTAGCGAGATTTTCTGACTCGGGGATATCTAAGACCTTCAGTATGCATTCACGGATAAGCTTGGCGGACCGCTCTGATAATACATACTTCAGAACCCTCTTGTTTGTTTCCGCCTCTCTAAATGCATAGACAATGTCTTTTATAGCTTCGTTCCAGATAATCTGGGGATTATGTACAGTAATTCTTGTGTCAAATGCACCCATATAGTTTTCCCATGGTAGCAGTGTATCTTCATCTACTGGAGTAATAATGAGACTCGATATAGACGAATTTGGACTAGAGGAATTAGGATCAACAGGGAGATATGTAGGCTCAATACCCAGCCTAGATTCCAGTGTACATAATCTGTCAATAAGAACATCTCGTTTACGCTGCAAATCACTTGTCTATGATGTTGTTTTATAACAAATTTCAGGTTAAAATCATATTGATTTAGAAAAGTATGGAAAGGTAAATCACTTACATGTATATTATTCAATACTTTACTAGATACTTGTCGGTTGTATATCAACTTCTCCATACGAGCAATACTTTCTTTTACTGTAAACAACTGAAACTTGTCTGCCTCTATTATTATTATTATTATTATTATTATTATTATTATTATTATTATTATTATTATTATTATTATTATTAATATTTAAAAAAATCAGAAAATGTAAATGTTACTTGCACTATTTATCGATTGTGTAGACTTACCTGAAGCTCCTGTCATAATACAATAGTGGATGTCGGTTTTGAATCCATTGCGCGAAATATACTCTTTGTTTGGTACCTTTTTGAGTTTTATACAAGGGGAGAACATTAATGGATACATGTTGACATATGGATTAAATTCCGACTGAATTCTGCCCAGGTCTGTAAAGTCATCAGGATCAATCCATCTTCCAGGAGGAGTATATTCTGGCTCAAGATCCATGTAGTCTTCGGGGCTTTCTTGATCAGAAAATTCATCAAATAAAGGTGTAAATTGTTGATCTGTTCTTCCTAATATATCACTAGTATCCTGTCCAAGGCCATCCTTGCTTCTATAAATGGCACGTACACCACGTACATCAACGTCGTATAATCTGACTTCTGTATTGTAATAGAACCACGCTGGCTTGGCTGGTGGCATGCCCAGTTTAGGAGATGGTATGTCACAATGGTCTTGTTTTCCTCTGTGGGCATCAAGGTAGAATCTGCCAAGACGTATTTTAAGACCAACGTCATTTTCTCGGTTACCCACTTGTTTTTTCTTATTGATCTTGTCTCCTTGAAAAATATAGCTAACAAATAAATTTGTGATGATGATTTTGAACTTTATTGTAGACAGATGTTTTCCGAGTTTTTGTTTTTTCCGCTTGTCTTTTTTGGGAAACAATGATCCCGAACGAATGTTCAATTGAAGAAATCTGCTAAACATTGACTTCCACGAGCTGTAATGGTCCAGGATATTTGGGGTCAAGTAAACAGAATTGCAGAAACTATCTCTTGTTCTTTCACCCTTCATAGATCCAGCTGATATTCTTATAGAAATATGAATAAAATCGGATCTGAACCCACGGTAGGCATCATAGAGCTAAATAAATTAAGGTTTAGCTATAAGAAAGTTTCAATAGCAAGTACAATATGAGATAACGACTTACTGTATTATTTGGCAGTTCTTTTACGGCCTCCCTTGACTTCAAATATATAGAATGGTGGGGTATAAACTGATACAGGCGGCAATTTTTTGGATCATCTACTCCACAACCACAATTTGGGCATCCGGCGATACAGTATCTCTCAAACTCACACCCAATACCAATTTGAACATTTCTTTCAAGAGATAAAATAGTTTTTTCTAGACAGCTCGAAATTTCTCTGGTATTGGCCCCAGCCGAAGTCGTAGAAGTGCGTGGAAGCGTAGAGTTGTTTTCTAGACGGAAAGACACAGGTAGCGATTTAGTTGATTCTTTATAGAATGAATGATATTCTTGCAAGTTTATGAATCTTCCACTAATCAAATTAGGAACTATCAACTTGAACGCTCCACTTGTGATTTGGATAGCCTCTTTTTCTAAATTATTGGATCCTATGCGTACGATTACGCCATTTGACCAAATGTTTGCCAAACCTGCACCTAATCCATCAAGATTGTATGGATTGCGCAACCCTTTCAAGACAACACAAAGGTCACCGCCACCGACAAAAGAGATATCTGCTTGTGTATGAATACAGAAACGAATCTTGTCCCATATCCCAAGCTTTGGGGACGGATCAGTAGAAGAAGAGCTAAACTTTTCAAGTACACCCTTGATGTCTTGAATGGCTGGTGTATAAGAAGTTCCATAGCCAATTGTAGCTTGAGTACTGTTAAGGATCTTTACATGAACTCTTGAGTAAAACTTAAGAGGAGAGCATATACTGAGTAAATTGAACTTGTAATTAACATTGGTTGTCACTGCGTACAGAACAGGAACGGATACTAAGCTTATGCCATCTTTGATACCAAGCTCACGTGCAATAATATAATCTCCTTGAAGAGACCAGGCAATGTATCCATCGGAAGGATCCGGTGTAGCCGAGACCGGCAAATCCAATAGAGGTAGTGGGTAGTCCCTAAGCCGTATTAAAGTTTTTCCTGCCTTTATATTTAAGCCAATCGACATCAGAGATGCATACTTTTTGTTTCTAGGAGTGTTCCCGATCTCAGTCATGAAAGACCGTTCGTGATCAATTCCAAAAGTAGGACACCCGATCTGAACTTCAAAATGCTCGATGGTAAGTCTCATCAGAGAGTGTACTTTAGAAAATGGCGCCACATTAATCATAAAAAGACGCATAAACATAGCTGAAGATATATAGGGGTGGTCACCATAGGTTAAGTTTGTATTCTTGTCTGAATATCTCCCATTATTTTTCAAAGCTTCTGATTCTTTAAATGTTTTTCGCTCCTCCTTGTACGAGCGTTTTATGCGACGTATCCAAGACAGTTCATTGTATTTGTCCAAGCTATACTGTGCCATATCAGCTTCACCATGAGACCCAATAAATGGCGGCTGGCAGTTATAAAAGTCCCAGTACTTTTGTCTTTGATCAACATTATGGTTTGATTTATTGCGTATACTCTTGTCAAGTTCGATTTCACTTTCAAACCGGCGCTTTTGTTCCTCCAGCCCGTTGGTAAAAATATGCCGCAATTGAATATCAAGTGGATTATCCTCAAATTGAATATTAATTGGACCGGATACAATAAAAAGTTTTGGCGGACGAGAGGTCTTGTTTGTTGGTTTCTCGATGGGTAGAATGTCAATAAATGGATGTCCAGTGCCGCTTAGACGAAAATTGAGAGCTTTGATCCCTTTTGCTGTCAAGGAAATTTGACTTATAAGATCAGAAAGCATAAACCCATTCGGAATACGTATGTCAATATAGCCTAGGTTTAGCTCGTATGCCTTTGGATCCAGCTCTGTAACCCTATCATCCGCTCCAATATGAATGTCTTCTATCAAAACTAGCGAAGACCACTGATTTATATGAATCGGGTGAGCACAGAATACATTGAAGCTCTTTGAAGTGATGTTTATTAGCGAAGATGAATCATCAATCTTACACCACTCTACTTGTGAATATTTGCCACGGAAATACAGTCGCTGGTTTTGCGGTAAGGTTACTCGAACATCGATATGGTCCAGCTGAACTTGTACATTCTGAACACAAATAGTTTTTGAATAAGCAGAGGTTTTTGAGACAGTGCTCTCTGGGGGACCTTGATAATTTTTACCGTCTCGCATATCTTTAATGGCGGCAATCACCAGAAGAATAGCGTAATGACTATCCACAGAATACCCAATACCGCATTCAGAAGCGACTGTTGAAACCGAAACCTCGTGGGCTTTGTCGAGCTGTCTGTATAACTCTCCAGTGAGTGTAGTTTGTGAATTCCACACTAGCAGCTTTTCCGCGAACTGTTTATCCCTTGCTGTTGCTGGAGTATCGCCTTTAATCGTCCCAAATTTATACTTTATTGCCGTGCCTTTGATAATAAGTCGCAATGTTGCATCTGATAAGCTCTTAGAAGTTCTGTTAAGTTTTTCTAGATTTCTTTTATTTTGCACTCTTGAACTTTGATCTGGAACATAACCAAAGCTTGAATGAAAACGTGGTCGGCTCTCAAAGAACAAGCCGTTCTTCGGAAAGGTGTATATGGACCCATTTATGTTCTCAACAAAGCATTTCATACGTAAAGTCTTGTCTTCTATAGGTAAAATATGGATCGTACCTGGCTCGACATCGTTCTCTCCTACAAACGCCCAATCAGTTCCAGTACATGCGACAGATGTGTTGCTTATATCAAACTTGATGCGAATATCCAGTGCCCACGGCCATTCGATTACTTTCTTTTCCACTACAGGTCGATTCTTAATACGGTAGTCCATAATGGGAGTCAAGACAAACTGAGCCCAAAAGTATAAAGGGGATGTAGCAGGCATACTATCCCATGGCATGAGCCTGAGTCTCTTTGTTGTGATTATAATATCTGCATGATACATTGTCCAAGGACCCAACTGGATACATGATATACTTTGAAGCTGTTTTTGGACTTCAGATAGACAAGTCGTGACCCCAATTCCACAATGATTTATTGAAATAAGCTCAAGATGCTTTCCAGTATTGTCCAAACTGCTCCATTCGCTGCTAGCGTGACGAAGCCTAAAATTATCGACTTCTATATTTGTATTTATGCGATAAACCAATTCATTTTTTCCCGTTGTTCTTATATTGATCCGGGGAGTATGGTTTCTGGATTCTTTAGACAGCCTGTCAGACACCAATTGGCTTCGGTTTACATAATCACAAGACAGATATAATAGAGCTCTTTTGTTCACCAATTCACCTTTCATAAAAATTGGGTGTCCTGTATTGGGGTCTATTTCGTCGATACTAATTGGAATGACATTCACATGCGAATCGTCAAGCTCAACGGTAAGACAGAGCTTAGGAAGTCTAATAGTAGCATATAATGATCCCGTGTTATCGTCTGCGATACTTGCTTGACCAGAATTTTTGTGTTTAGATTTCTTGTTGAATGCTTGTGCAATATAATCCACTTTGTTCACATCTACATTAACTGTGAGTCCCTTAATTTTCATATTAACTGCCACAGCGTCCTCAGATAGATCCGGAAACATTTTCGCACACACGTTTTCATGAGACTCGTATGCACTTTTTAAAGACAGTACAACGCTTGCATCAATCTGTGTTCGGGCAATACGAACCAATTCTAGCTTTGGCTGGATCCTGGTGGAGGAGAAAATGTGCCAGATGATCACTCCAGAACATACTTCACCCTTATATTTAATATTCTCCTTCTCGTGGATTTTATCTGCACTGAATGTGGCACCTTTAATATTCAGTTCCGACTTAATATCGTCTCCCATGATTGATTCAACAAGCACAGTATCACAGACCACCCTGAATGATCTGAGGGAAAAACTCTTTCTGGAACGCGATTTTTGCTCTTGCTGAGCTGAATTGGGCGGTATTGTCGCCAAAGTCATTTGGTGGTGTGCTAATTTATCGTAGTTGATATTTAGCGTGTTTATAACAACCTTGGTTTGCGTGTACTTTAGCATCGGTATCTTTAGTGTAAGGGGATGTAATAGATTTATGTGTCCACCTGAGGGGAGTAACATAATAGCATCGTCGTAATTAGTGTCTTGCTCTGCTGACTGTCTGGTGGTGCAAGGACGAATGAACAAGGTCCCGAATCTTAATATCACTGTAGCAAAGTTGTCTCCAGACTCGAGCATCTTTGTAGAAGATATCGTACAATTATCGTGGGTTCGATCATGCCGAGCCTTGTGGTTTCTGAAATGAAAGTGTAAAAAGCTCTGTAGGGTTTGAAGATTGATCTCAAGTCTGGATTTTTCTAGACTGACGATAAAATTATCGAGTTTAATTGAAATTAAAGGATAATGGGAAATCAAATATGGGCCAATCACGGACATGGTACACCAAACTAGAAAGTGGAGGGCATGGCCAATATAACGTATAAATACAAGCAGATACGTTAGTGTAGCTCGGAATGATTTACTGTAGATACTAGAAGGAAGAATAGCATGGGTTTCGACCGATATAGCGGAGCGATTCTTGATTGTTAAGATGGGATTGGACAAGGAGATGGTCAACCACACAGCTCGAGGGTGGATAGGACGTTTGAATGTCAACCTGCAGTGGTTGATTCGGAGAGAGAAAGATGGTCGATCAAGGGCCAACAGGGCGTCGGTACCCCACCAGAAGCCACTGTCGTCCCAAACGAACCGAGGAAATTTGTTCCGGTAGGGATGCAGGTAACGAAGAACAACATATGTTACTAGAAAAAGACTAGCCAAGGCTGCAGTTTTGGCCAAGTAAAGCATAATTAAAGATGGTGGTACGAGTAATAAGCTCTGTAATTATAGTTGTAATAAACGGCAGTTTGAGCAGTAATAAGATTGTAGGAAGAACAAGAGGATAGCAAGGTCAGAACCTCGTGTTTATTTAACCTCTCTAGACAATCATAACACTCATTATAAAGTGTGCTCTCAAAGGTATTTTTTTGTCTTTGTTTTCAGAGATGAACATAATGTAGACTTCAAATGTCTTTATACTGTAGTTGTTGCGTGATGTTTCATGTTGGGATGAGGGAGTTCTAAAGAATGAGTAAGGGGGATTGTGAATGATAGAAGGGCAGACATAAGAAAAAAGAAACAAGAAATGCACTATGAACATATCCAAAAATAATAATATGGAAGTAAATAAAAAAAATGAACAATTAAAGAGGTTGAAATCCATGAACTGGTACACTTTGGTGTCTCCAGTTTTGTGCCAGCATTTGGTCGAATTGGGACATTTGGGGGTCTTGTTGGGTAGGGAAACGCATGATCTGACAGAGTTGTTCATCCGCTCCTGCCATGGCTAACATCTCTCGTCTCAGGTCAACTGCCAGGCCTTGAAGGGTATGGCGCAGAATACAGGTAGCCTGTATACCCTCTGTGAAATCACTGCATTGTATCCAATTGAAACCACCGTTTGTCATGTCTGTACCGCCATTCTCCATATAAAACATCGGTGGTTCGATAAGGTCGATATCAATTGTGGCTAGTATACTGTCTTCGAGAATACTTAGTCGCATCACAGAGATAATATCGAATGGAAGGACCATTTTGAAGTTATAGACACTGTCTCGGATAAACCATGTCAGGGTTCGATCACGGAAATCGCACTGGCAGAGGAGGTCTTCGCGGTCGATTTTCATTCGGTGCCAGCTACCTACGGTTACGGTGTTGACGGTAATGAGATGTGAAGGTGAATTGACCGAAATATTGGGCTGGCTTTGGATGGATAGTTCACTATCTGCTGTGATGATGTTTCAATGAAAAAAGTATTTCTTGGTGCATTGATATTTAGTATTGGCGTTTTACCTGTTCTTCTTTGGCGGTTGTCGGATATGTGCATGGGGTAAAGGGAAGGCGAAGGGGATATAGAGTAGAGATTGCGGGTGGACATGGTATCAAAAGGTGCCATACTTGGTGTTGATATATCGTCGACCAAGAAAGGGTAAAAGTTGGGAATGGATGGTGGGAGAGGCTGGTTATCTGTGCTCCAGGCCCGCTGAATAGGCATCTTGACCTGAGGACGGTTGTAGCCAAGAGAAGGATACCAAGAAGACTTGTATGACGATGCTTTGGCATACATTCGTGCTCTGGTAGCCTCTTGCTCTTCTCGCAACAGGTCTCGTTTTTGAAGCATTTTTACCTTTGCTCTTCTGTTTTGGAACCAGATTTGAATTGATCGCTCGGGCATCTGCAATTGGTGAGCCAATTGTTTGCGCATCTTGTTGTCTGGTGTCGCAGTTGCAATGAAGGTTTCTTCGAGAACGGTGAGTTGGCCAGGAGTGACCCGGGTGCGCTTCTTAGTTATTGCATCTTCACTGGAGGACTCGCGGAGAGGACTGGATTGGTTCATGGGAATGGAAAGGTGGAAGGAATGGAAAGGTGGGGATGAAGGAATGGACAAGGGACAGAGTCATAAAATAGTGGGAAAAAAAGGATTTGCCCTATTTGATAGCTTACCGCAAGTCTTTCCCTTCCCTCCTCCCTTCGTGTGACGCAAGGACAATCAATTTCAATTTCATTCATTTTAAACCTCTAATGAAAATGAAAATAATGAAAGATAAGATAAAATATAATATAATACAAATGCATAAAGAGAAACGGTAAATATGTAAGCACCCAATACACAGATATACTTGATTTTGTATGTATTATTTTTTGTCTTGTATATATATATATATATAAAAAAAGACTAAATAATTACCTATTTTATTATCTGAATTTCTTATTATTTATTTCTACACCCCTTCTTTGAACACCAAATCAAGTGATTATTTTTTACTCTAATAGAAACAATATGGTGTATACTCACTACCAAATTTTCAGTGTGAGATAAACACCTAGACGTCATCAATTAATAAGTATATATATATATATATATAATACCAAAGTTTCAAGAGGAAGTGTAACTCGATTCTTTTCAATAATAATAATAATAATAAAAGATTAATCTCCAAACACATGATGACCTTTTTCTAATTACATTACACTAATGCTATAGTGAATTAAGATTGCCAAGTCAGCCAATAAATACTTGATAATAAGCAAAGCCTCATATATATATATATATATATATTTCTCTCTCCAGGTAGTCTTAATGAATGTTACATTGGATAAATACATCTTTATAGTAATTCCAATAGGAGATGCCAAAAAGATTTCACTGTCCATTACCTATCTTTCTAGAAGAATTATTCACGTTTCTAAAATCTCCATTTCAGTCATCAGAGACGAGGCCTATTATCTCCTGAATACAACACTTTAATATTATATACAATTTATTTCAGTAATGATAAAACAACAACAACAACATAACCAACAAGATGCAAGAACTATTAAAAGCTCAATGAAAACAAGAAGAAAAAGAAGAAGAGGATCTATTTAAATATCTTGATGTCAACTCTGTAAATCTGATTAAGATCCCTTGATATACAAAATATAAAATGTATTTCAACAAAGTCATGATCTGATGTATATTTATATATGATATTTCTTGACAAGGTATTCAACCTCTCTCCCTTTTTTTCTTTGGGAACAGCTTAAAGTTTTATTAGATTTGTTTACAATTATCTTGGTGTTTTTCTATCATGAATATGTATCAAAAGAGCAACTGTTACCCTAATATTGAGCTACCTTTTTTCTTTTCTGTTTCTTTTCAAAAGTAGCATAATGATAATTATAATATTAGTACCAGATTCTGCTCGTCTTTTAAATTGCATGGAGGATGTGATGTCTATTCATAGCAGGCAACCCCATGGAAAAGGAGAAGTACTTGTTAGAAGTGTTACCCCTCTACTGTAAGCTTATTTTATTTATTTATTTTTCTGTTTAAAATAGCCTATATATAAAAATATATTTATGGATAGATCCTCCCTATCCTGGTTTGATTTATTGTCCATGTTTCCATTCTAATAGTTTTCGATTTAGGGTTCTATATTGTATATTGAACCCTCCCTCAAGGCAGAAATAATTAGAGAAAAGTATAATCTGGATGGTGAACTATATTAAAGCATAGACTATCAATGACATCCTAAAATCCTTTTTTCAATTTATCTCAATAAAAATGAAATAAAAGGAAAGATATAGCTCATTACAGATGTTCTTTTATGATAAAAACCAAATGTGGTATTTATAGCACGGACATGACTACGGTAAGCATATAGCCAGCAGGTAAATATCACAAGCAAATTCAATTTAATATGAACGACCATACCCATAAAAAAGTGGCAAACAAAGTAAGATTCAGGTGATCGTAGCCACAACCGACCGAGCTTGGAATGAAAACCAGTAGTTTACCTATGTACTACTGGACAAATAAACGGTAGCCATTACCAAGCGAGTGAAAGAGTAGGTAAGATGGCATTACACTAAGCCAGACTAATCAAAGATAAGATGAAATGCAGGATTCTTAATTATATTTCGATCTAATAGAACCAGGCTCTAGGTTGCGATAAAACAGCTAAGCGAACACACCTTCTATTACAGAGATTTAGATTGTGTAGGTAATTATATTCTAGGCAAATATTAGATTGTATGCAAAACTAATTAAATGAATAGGGCCTATCGAGTTTCTGCTATAATAATCAACAAAGACACACACACAAACCCCCCACAAAACAACAACAAAAGCAAGATAAGTTCCGATATATTTAAATTTCTATATGATTCATACTACTAACGGCAAAACCTGGTACATAACACAATAGACTATCGGTTAATTTATATTTATACAATACTTTTGTTGACAAAGATGTTGAAGAACATTACACCAAATCAAATGTGTAACCTGGAGTATTTGTATTCATGGACATGGTGACCTGTATAGAATACATGAATAAAAGGTAGGGTTCCTTTGGGCTGACCTTATCAGATTGGTACCTAAAGATGAATATAATGATAATGACGGCAAAACTGGCTCAGTTGAGTTGAGTTGAGTTGAGTTGATTTGAGTTGAGTTCAGTAAAGGAAGGGAACTCGGAACAGCAATATTAATATGTGCTTCTAAAATAATAAAATCGGGATACTGGTAACAAAGTATTTCACAAATCAGGTAAAGTGCATATTTTATTAGTAAATAGCCATGCACTCCTAATCAAAATATCAGGATTTTGAAACTACCATAGGCCCATTTGGTTCACAAGAGTGAGTGTATAGGAGAGAGCTACCTGACTTAACTACAGATAACACATCTTGATAGGACTATGTATCGATGTATTTCACCTAGAGATTCCATCAAACCTCTTCAGACACATAAGTATTATCAAAAGGTCATGATGCGAGCTTGCTGCAGAATGTGCATATGGCAGATATCATAAATCATGAATCCTAAATCCTAAATCACACCAGCTCCACCCGAATATATCTTTCCTTACCTTAAACACGTCTGAACAAAACCTGTTAGGAACATAGAGGTTAACAAGGATAGTGAGATGAGATGAGATAAAATAAAATAAACGAAGCGAGTGCAATCATCTGATGCGAGCAATGAAGGTACTATTCTAATAGAATAAACCATCTGACGCACTGTACACGACAGGCCCAACCAAAATATATCCATATCCATACCCATATACATAATATGTATATAAATAAACGACGGGAGAATATAGTATGCTGTGTATTATTGATTAACAGGCTACTGGATGGCAAGAACAAACGAAAGTGTATTGGATGTCATATAAGCATGAATCTGTCTGTGTACTCTACATATTGTATTAATCCTCATGGCAGAGTAATTAACTGACGACAATATAAAAACGATGGTGATGTCAGCCATCGTTTTTATACATGTGTGTGTATTTGAAAATAGAGGAGAATAATGAAGAGGGGCCATAATCATTCTATCGGATGTGCTGTATTGTACACTGTATATATATATATATATATAAGTATCCTTCTAGTAGTTGGCGTGGAATCACCTCCTATTAATATTCTTTCTAGCTCTTGAAAATAATATATATAATATTACTAATAGCCATTAGCCATTTGTAATGTTTGGCTATCAAGGAATCCCTTGATATGCTAGTGTATTTTGTACATAAATTATCTATATAGCCACAATATTCATCATCTAACATCTTTTCATTAATATCAATTGCCAAAGAAAACAGTGTTATTTGACATTCCAGAACCCTGATAGCAACACTATAATTACTATACTTGGCTGATCTATAGGGGTTTAACCAAGCATGTCTAATATATCTATATATCTATATTTTATCTCTTACTTACTTGATTGCTTGAAGGAGAGCTCATTTGTACAACAAAGGGGAAAGCAATAAAATAAGGACAGGCGTTGGCGTGAAAGGGTTTAAAAGGAGTGTAGATAGTAAAGATGTGTTTCTGTGCTGGTGTATTTGTGGGCAGCTATATAGTGGTTTGAATCATCCCTTTTTGCAACCATGATGAGCACTTACTTTTCCTATAAAACTTGTCTCTCTTCTTTCCACCCCTGCTTCTCTCTCTCTTTCTCTCTCTCTCTTTCAATATCCTGATCTTGCATTATCCTTGCCCTATTTATATTTAAATCTCCTACCTATTTTTTTTTGTATTGAATAGATAAAAAGGTACTGTCACCTGAAACGCAATCAACACCAACTAAGAAACCCTTGGCCCTTTTATTGTTGTTGTTATCAACTAGTCCTTTCTATTAATTATGCTATCCAATTCCCACCGTCGAATTTCCCCAAAAAAGCTACCTGGAGCCCCAAAGCCATCCATGTCAGCACCAACCTCAAACCAACCTATTCCAGATGCATGGAAGCTTTCAGAACCATCTTCTCCAGCCTTATCAACAAGCTCATTCATGTCCTCCGTTTCATGGGTTGCTGAAAAGTCTGCCGTAGAACTCGTTACCCTTTTGAAAAACGCGTATACAGTACTGCGTGACAAGGAAAAGGGCAAGTCAACCTTTTTGGTTTCTTGCCAAAAAAAAAAGAGTAGTAGTAGTAGTAGTAGTAGTAGTAGTTTTTGGTGATATGTTCAAGCTAATCCATATCTTCTCATATATATATATATATATCTTACTGGCTTTTTTAGATCTTACGCTGGCAGCTGAAATTGGGAGATCTCTATTGGAAAATAACATGTCACTCAAGTCAAAGTATGAGGCCCTACTGGGGCAGGTACAGACCTATCAGCAAGAAATCGTCCTAGACAGACGGGAGGCACGGCGAGGGGAATTAATTTTTGGAAATACAACTCCTGATCCTCGAAACGACGCAGCATCCAGCCAGTCTAAAGGCGACAGGGGTACAGAGACAACGGACGATGATACCATGCATTTTGTATCCCATCAACATTCCCGCCAAGCCATTATTGAGAGCTTGGAACGAAAGAATGTAGAAATCCAAACGATGCTTGAGCAAGCCTTGTCTGAAAATGCATCGGCTGGCCAAATCAATGATAGGAAAACGCGCCAACTGGAGACAGAAATTGTCTGGCTCCGCACAAATCTAGAAGAAGCAACCACCAGAATAGAAGAACTCAAGGAGAATCAGCACAATCGACAGGAACGAATCAGACGTCATGATGAACGAGAATTCGAGCAACAGATTACGGAAGACCAGGCCTTGTTGGAAGATCTGACCGAGAAAGTCTCTGGTCTTCTGACAGATAACGAGCATCTTGCTTCCTCAAAAAAAGCAGTTGAAGAAAAATTGGCTTGTGCGGTGCATGATCTCGGCCAATTACGGTCCCAGTTTGAACAGTTCCAATTTAACCAACAAGGCTATAGTCTTTTGCAGGAAGCCTACCAGCGTCAGTTTAAGCACATTGCTGAACTCAACGAGAGCTTAGAAGAACATCGCCAAGTCCTATCACGCTTAAGAGACCGGGGAATTTGGTCTGCTCGACAATCTCCATCGGTAAGCGATTACGGAGCAGCAAAAACGAGGGTTGTGCCGAGTACAACGATGTCTTCAACCACATTGCGTGATCCGGATCATCATCAGAAACAGTCTCTTCTTGGGGAGTTGGAAAATGCTTGGCAGCAGAAAAAGTGTGCTCCACAAACCCCACATTTATCCACAAATGACATATGGCCAGTTCTCCAGGAAAGCCAGAGCGAAACATTATCTTCTGCAAGTATTCATAATCGGGTGGAACCTCCTCGTCCACGACTCCGATCCGCTTCTTCATTTGCAAAACTGCGAGACCTTGCCACAATGACTGAACGGAACTTGACGTCCTTTTGCAGCGCACCAGGAAACTATGCTATGGAAGCTTTTTTGACAAGTGCAGGCATTACTGACCGATCTATCTTGGACGAATCGATTAGCTTTTTAGCACAATCAGAAAATATAGATGAAGACGGTCAAGAACGCCATACATTCATTTTCGATGACATTGAGATGTTTGGCCCGGACGGGACAGGCAGCTTGTACGACGCAATGGATTTATACCCTCATCTTTGTGACATGACTTTCTCCAGTGCCGATACCTTGGATTCCGATGAATCTGAACAGGGAATTGTTAGCCGGATTAAGCATCTCTTGCGCTGTATATTTCGTTCTGTGTGGCGCTGGTGTCGATTTGCAATGGTTCTTGCCACAGCTGTACTAATAAACCTATGGCAAGGCCCAGATGCAATGCTTGAAAGAGGAGACATGAAGTAGGCCAAAAAAAATAGTCTTCATCCTTTACCCAATCTACGGTAGTTTTATGTATGGGATGATTTCTTAGGACATCACCAAGCTTTTTCGCTTTGTTTATATACATTTCTTTTATTTTCTCTTCTATGGTAATGCACATCTTGTATTATTGATTTTTCTCTTTCATCGTTTTTCTCTTCTCTTCTTCGTCTATTTGCAATCTCCCCCTTGTTCTTTCAGTTCTTGTACATTACAATAAAAGCTTCTATATAGCACTTTACTTGATTAAAGGCATACTAGTCTCATTACTAATTGTAGCCTGATTCTTACTTACAAGAATCTACATATAATAGTAATAATTAGTGTCATCCCCACAAAATGTGGAAAGAACAAAACAAAACAAAAAACCCAAAATTTCCCTAAATCTCTATGTTTCTTTCTAAAAATAATTATCACGCAACAAAGAATATATATATTTTCTGCTAACATAATTGAGTTTCCCCGCCAAGATTTTCCTTTTTGTAGAGTAAAGCAAATATTTATGTATGTACTTAATATGATCATCATCCCGGCATAAAGTATAGGGTGAGGTGCGTACTAATCCAGATGGTTGCGGTGATGACTCTTCTTTAAATCAGTTGTACTATTAAAACGATTGTGATATTATTTATTTATTTATTATTTAAAATTTCCCATCTAAGCTTTGACCTTTAGATACAGCTATCTCACTCTATATTCTAAACACAAACAACAAGGCTTATGTCTTTATAGCCGTACTTACTCAAAAGAAAAGTGTATCAATAATACTTATGCTGCATTATAGTGGGGGACGTTTTTTTCATTTACCAGGATAAAGATAGATACGAGGATCATCTTCATCATGCATAGATAGTATGACGCAAAAGATAGCTGTAAGGCGTAAATGTAATAGAGCAGCCTATTTAAAGTATCAAGTACCAAATTACAAAAGGTGTCTGCTTAACATCTTGTAAAATCTTACAAATAAAAAAAAAGTAGAATAAAGTAGCCTAAATATGTCGTACTACATTATGCTCTTCTTGCATATATTTCTCACTATACATCTATAGTTCCCTCAAGGACAGACCAATTGAATATAGAAGCCTACTATATAAAAATAAACCCCTCTTCACCTTATACGACCATTGGCCTTTGCCTTTTTAAAAGAAGAAAACATAATAGCTCAAGGAATCCTTAAGTTAACAAATCGGATTCCTTAACATGTCTTTGCCAACATGTTCTTTAGTCCTTGGTTCTCAAACAGTCATAAAAAAAGTAACCAAACAATCAAAGTTTTACACCAATCACTTCTTTATTCAGAGTGAGGAGTAATCGCAGATTTCCTGGCTACAAGTTATGATGAAAATTGAACCAGTAAAAAAAGATGGTCAGATACGATATGCACAGTGCTTTTGTGCTTTAAACTTGAATAATCAACTAGTTGCTTTCGTAGATAGGCTATCCTTATCAGAGATTGGCTTGAAAGTGATTCATCCTAAAGGTTTCTTCGTCAGTCAGTATGTTGGCAACAATAACTTGATGCATTATAATACTTGATGTATCAAATTTAGTCAACTAGTGAAAAAAAAAAGAAGTCTTTATTAATCTGTAATCACCACAATCATAATATGATGGTAATGAGTTGTGATTTCTAACTTGTGTCAACTTGTAATCAACTAGAGGTATGACCAGCAATCTCTGGACTGGGTATGTGCGTAAGAAGATAATAGTGTGCTGTAGTTTTTGATTGTCATTTCAATCTGTCATCAGATGGTGTCAAAGTTGTTTTTTTTTAAAGATCTCTGTATTAAGACTGCTCATAAGAGTATAGAGATGTGGTGTGGTATTTGACTGGTGTGTGAATAGGTCATCAGCCAGTGTCAAAATACTTTTGTAATATCTTTAATTAATGTACTCACAACGCAACAGTAGGTTGAATGCAAAATAATGTACTCTACCAACTACAGGTGCTCACGGAATCTTTTTTTCTTTATTAAAAAGGGGTGCGAACTTGTACCAATTTATTATAGAAATTCGACAAATGTAGTAGTGGGTAGTATTGCAGTTCCACATTCTTTCTACTGTATCTAGCTAATGAACCGGGTTAGTGAACCGGGACAAACAGGCTTTAAATTTATTTTGTTTTGTTGAACTTGGTTCCACGGTTCATAACCAAAGGGGTACTATACCTATTTTCAAGAATTTTTAACCCAAAATTGCTTCAGTCACCCTCTATTGTTTCGGTATTTAAAGGTCCTCAAGAAAAGGTAAATGCCCAATTTTATTTTATAGCCATTTCTCATTTTTTTCAGTTCTTTGTCTGCTTTATAAGCTGCTATTTTTTTTCTCTATTCCAAATTATATATAATGTTATATCTGGATGAGAGTCTTTTTTTTGTTAAATAAATTACGTTAAAGACATAAAAGAAATTTATTATGAGGAGTGTATACTTTTAAAACAAGATATGTATGTATGTATGTGTGTGTATGTGTATTAGCAATCTGGCTTACACTTATACTTGTTGTCCTCTTCAAAGAGTAGAAAAAAGGTGTATTAGACGTCACAAAAACAGCTTATTAAGGAAAAGAGAAAGAAACGGAATTCGAATGCATAAAACCAACGGCAAGAAATCTACACCTGCGCAAATATACATACACATATATATATATATATATATATATAAACTGATTTCACCAAATTCATGCCATACCCCTTTGTATATACATCTTTTTACGCATGAGTTCAAACGAGTCAGCACCAGAAGATCTTGTAGATCAGATCTTAAGAGATCATGGTACCGATGAACCAAATAAGCAATTAGACATTCTTAACTTCTTTCTATGATCAATAGAGACAAATGCTAGATCTCAAAAGCGATCACAAAAATGGTCGCACATGACCCTGCCATTACGTAAAAGGTTTAAGAAACTGTGTGAAATATCTTATCAGTAAGTAGATCTAGATCTATATTACTATTATTATTATTTAAAAAAAAAACGATCTAAAGATTTCTTTTTCTTTTTCTTTTTAATCTTTGATGAGATTAGATTGACTCGGGGAGAGCAGGATCCATCTGATTTAGAAGTTGATGTTACGATTAATGAGTTGATGATGCGCATTGAAAAGCGACTTGAAGTTATTTTAATACCAGCATCTTGCCGTGAAAAAATGCTGGACGGCGATCTACTTACTGAAGAGAATGTATGCAAATTAATATGTAGACTTTTGATACTCATTGATTAGACTTATTTCTATTTGTTAAATTGATTTGTTAATATGTATATATATATATATATATATATTGTAGGAAAAACTCAGATCAAAAATTTTAACAGAGATTAGAGAAGTGGCAATTATGGATATGAATATTAAGAAAGAAGAGTATGAATTAGCTAAAGCAGAAGAAGAATTAAAACAGCTTCGACAAAAAGTGAAAGTAGCGGAAGAGCAAAGACAAGAAGCGGAATTAGTAAAGGTAACCAGGATACCATAAAAAAAAAGATACGACGAAATATTGAGAAAACGAGGGGATTCTTTTTGTTATATATATATATATTATAGAGCAAGTACCCTAAGCTTAATCTGGACGCCGCTTCTGATAGCTACACGCTAAATTGTATAAAATATAAAAGCACAATGTTCTCTCTACCAATTAAATATCATAATTCATCAACATAATAGTGTATATCAGCATAAGTATTAAGTATTTAATGCATATTTGCAAAGAAATATATATTGTATAAATATAACATTACCAATGAATGTAAACTAGACGATTATAAATAATACATATTGTTTTTTTTTGAGAATCAAGCTTTTGCAGCTAGTGATATACATAACATAGCAGATCACTGAATGCACAAGAATATTATGGCATCTGTGTTCACAGCTAGTGAAATTCACTCCAATGCGTGTGGTATGCTGTAATATTCCAGAGATCAAGCAAAAGATTGATCTGTCGTGTACTTTCGGGGAGTATTAGATATTTCTCCTTTGAAATCTATGGCGTGTAGGTGAGAAAACCAAAGCAGACGGCTGTATATTTTAGGAATGTTTTGGTTCCCAAAAGAAAAGCAAAAGTTGAATATACATCGTCTATTTTCATTTGTCTATTCCCTTTTCCTCCCAGTAGATGACATCTATTTGAAGTATCACTACAGAATAGTATATGCTGGACTAACCAAGAGTGGAGCTTATTTTGCAACAAATAATGATAATAGTAATAATAATTACTTTGCCTAACCACTCAAACTGATGTAATTGGTGAGTTATTCATTTGCTCCTTTTATCCTTTTTGTTCCGATCGGTGAATTGAAATCTTGCGAATGTCCTATTTCACAAGAGGACATCAAACCGTTATTTTTTTTGTGGGGTGTTGAACAAGTAAACAACCGATTGGATACCTGTAATAAGTTTAAGATTATTCAGAATACTTCTTTATTTTAAACCTCGCCATAACAGCTGGCAAAGTATTAAAGTTATGGTAAATACTCATAATGCTCCAAAACCAATTACAATTAAGTCTTGTCAATTACTATTCGTCTGTTCCCATAAAGTATATTACATACTAAATACGATATTTATACGTACGTACCTTTATATATCTATATATTCTTGTTTTCTAAAAAAAAACTTTTATTGATAAATCTAATGATTAATGAAAATAGAAAATAAAGCCTTTCGAACAGTAAATAAAGAAGTATTAAACTATTATTATTATTTTTGGGTCATTCTCTAGTAAATCTGATCTGACCAACCACAGTTTTTATTTTTGCCTTGCAAGAACCGAATAAAAAGAAAAACGAATGACATTTTCCGACTGTGTGGTTTAAGTGTAATATGGCTTTGGTTTTGAAGCAGTTACTGGTTTGTGAAATATTGGACTCCAAAATGACTATGCTGTAATACACACGTGTAAGCAAATAAAGACGTGAGGGCGTACGTAGACAGCAAAAAAATATATATTAAAGAAAATTTATACATTCTCAATTACTAAAGGTACATAAATACGGTGCTTGGTGTACATTTGTATGGCCACAGTATTCCGCTTATTATTGCGTATTATTTTTGATTGGTACATTTAACGCCGAAAGAGTGAATATTATTTTAGCTTATCCTATTTTGATGCGAAGGTTTAACAAAGTAAACAAACCAAATAATAATCTTATACCTTTTTTTTTTAAAAAAAAAAGCGTATTGGTATTGGTTCAACTGAAGCTAAATTCATCAGGAAAACTATCAGAATAAACTTTTTGGTTTCAAGCAAAGTCTCTAGTAAAGATATTTGTAAGAACAAATAAATAAACAAATAAATATACGAAATGGACAAGCGCAGAATTTAATTTTTTTGTTATCGATTTATTTATTTAATTACAGGATCTCAAGAATAAATGACTTTAGAAAATTACAGAAAATATAGAAGCTTAAATGGGTATCACAATAGTGAATAGACTCTGCATCGAAATAGATAGATAAGAGTCTTTTAAAAAAAAGAATTAATAAAAGAAAGGAAAGCGTAAAAATAGATTAAAAGTTTGAAAATAAGTTTTTTTTTGCGATGCACCAGGCATTATCAAAAAGTGGCATTAGACTTTTCCGACAGTCTTTACAACAGCCTCCTCGTCTGTGTTTTCAGTGTGCTGAATCTGTTTTTCTTCAAACGTGTCAACACTATGCTCAAGGCTCTTTTTGGGGCGACGTCCGCACAATCCAAAGCTTCGTCCCAGGGGCTGGCTGAACAAACGGTCCATCTCTTCAAGAGGAACACCCTTGGTTTCAGGATAGAATAAAAAGATGAGGACAACAAGTAAAAGATTGACACCCATCCAGACGTAGAAAGAGTAGAATCCCATAGTAGTAAACATGGAAGGGAAAGCTTGACCCATTACAAGACCACCGACACTTTGAGTGTTAGTGCAAATTGCGACTGCAGTACCACGGACACGCATGGGGAAGATTTCCGAAGTATAGATCCAAGTAGTGGCACCCCATCCTGGCTTGTAAAAGAAAGTAAAAAGAAAGAGAACCAAAACAAGTGCAACACCAATAGCAAATGACTTTGCGCCATCAGGAAGAGTAGGTGTGCCGAGATAAACAGTAGCGGCAATCAGCAACATAGCAGCTTGGCCAAATGCACAGCCAATAAGCATCTTTGTACGTCCAAGCTTGTCAGAGAAGAAAGTGCAGGTCAAGGTGAAAAGGATACCAAAGGTAAAGTTGAGAGCATTAATCAAAAGGACAGTTGCGTCGTCGTTAAAGATTTTCTGGTAAACCTTGGTCGAATAACTGGTCATCATGGACTGACCGGTAAGCTGCTGACCAAAGTTCATAATCAAACCGAGAACTGAACAGATAATAATTGAATTAGTCTTTGAATAATGTAATGTAAATCTTTTATACTTACTCATACGTCTGCGAATAGACTTATCAACCCACAATTCCTTGAGAGAGTTGGAACTATTTTCTTTTTCCCATTCGATTGAAGCTTTAATCTAATTACAAAAATATTAGCCGGTTGGCAATGTATAACATGTTTGTTTTACTTACACCTTCAAATTCCTCGACGACTTGGTCCTCCTCACGAGTACGTTCCAGAGCTCTCTTTGCTTGGTCAAATTTTCCTTTGGAGATCAACCAACGAGGGGATTCTGGGCAAGTAAAGATGGTAGCACAGCAAATGACTGGGATAGCTGCCTGAAGGAGAGTGACAGTCTTCCACTGCCAGAGACCAAGACCTTCGTTGAGCTTGCAACCATAAGCAGTGAAGGAGGTAACCAGAGCACCGACACTATACATCATCTGCCAGAATGAAAGCATGCGACCTCGAACTTCAGGGGAGCAAATTTCACTCATGAATACAGGGCCGGCTGGGAGAGCAATACCCTGTCCAATACCAAGAATAACACGACCAGCAATAAAAGCACCAATGTTTGTAGAGAATGTCTGGACTATAGAGGCAACAGCGACAAGCAGACAGCCTGCGAAGATGGTTGCTCGGCGGCCAAGGTAATGTGAAATCAAAGGAGACACAGTAATACCAGAGGCGATACTGGCTGCCAGGTAGCTCGACGTTACTGCTCCGATCATATTCTGGTCTTTAGGCGCATCCTTGTCCAGTCCCATATAAAGCATGAACGAATCGAGACCCTGAAGGTTGTTGAAGACAGCTAAATGAAATCAAGTCACAATTAATTGGATTGCTGAATTAAAAGAATGTGTAGCTAAGTTAGCTAGCTAGCTAGCTTACCCGCATCGTATCCGTTGATGAACATGCAAAGTGCGGCACAAATGCCACACATGTATGTGTAGAGACGTTTTTTTGTTGGCCAGATCACCATCTGATAATATTATTGTTGAGAAAAGAAGAAGAGGAGAAGAAGTCTGAATAATTGGATCTACTGGAAATGAGGTTGGCTTTTATAGATGTGTCGAAAATGTGAGAAAAAAAAACGGTAAAAGGGCACTTGATGTAAGCTTTAGTTGCACAAAAACAAACGACTGTAATATAGAGTTAAAAGTCTATTCTTTTGATAGTTTTCATAGATAAAATCTTCTTTGATATCAAGCCCGAATAAATAAATAAATACCAGTTTACTAATTAATATTACCGTAATCACTCCAATGTGATGAACAGGTACCCCATGGGGAAATGCAGAATACATGTGTGATTGAAGAAGGTGAATAGGACACGGCCAAGCGGGATATTCGGACGTTTACCAATGTCCCTAATCCCCGTAAAATAAGCGGCCAAACTAGGTTCTTCACAGTGGAGCGTTTATTTCTCAGCATCGTACATCTGAAGAAATCACCGACTGGTACACCCATAGGTTGCCTGAAGTACGTTTATGATTTAACGGGACGTTTGCGACCGTCATAGAAGGAGGACAATCATATGATCTGGTTGTGTTGAATCAGGTATGATATCTATTATATTCCACACACTTATTTATTGATCCCAGCACATATATATAGCTATATACTCTATAAATTCAACAAAAAAAATGCCAATATTGTCGTACAATTATTCCTACTACTTCATCGGAGTAGGCAATCCCATCAATGGTTTGTGTGGGGAAACCTGATCCCCAAAAACAACCCGCTTTGATCAATTCTTCCCTGGTTTACCCTTATTTATCATACACTTGTATCATAACTCTGGTAAGACTACTCCTGTCACTTTAAATAAGTAAAGACTGAGTCTATTCAATCCTCTAGCTCTTGTACCATTTTTAGCATGGTCTAAGTACCCCTTCATCACTCTATCCCATACAATAAAGACTCCCAATCTTTCATCGGGTCTGTTCTTCCGGTATCACAAACACTCTCTTTAAGCTAGAATGAAATATATATCTCCAACTGGATGATTCTATTTGTTAACCAAGTCTCGAAAGGTTTACAGGAATCTTGCACGACGCATTTTTATCTATTTATTCCTAGGCGCGTAAATAAACAAAGCAGAGACATTTATTTAGACTTGTTCCTTTATGATCTTCCTTACTGCGCACAAGTCATTTCTTTGTTATTAGCCAATACATATATCTTGTTTTATTAGCAGGCAAATAAGCATTACATCGAATGATTTATATAACACCTTTACATTATCTTACTATATCATACAGTACCGTACCTTATATTACTTTATATTATTCCATCATACCTTAAACTACCTATTGCTACTTTTACAGGCAATTTTTCCTTATAAAAATAGAAAATAATCTGATTTGATCCGCACAAAGAAAGTCACTAGTTTCTTTGAGGGGTATATGATAAAGTGGTACTATTAGTTTCATTGTTCAAGATCTTCCTTACATGAATCAATTGTCGGATGTTACTTTTTTTCTTTTTTTTACCAGGCGACTTTCTCGTTATTCTTTAACTCACTAGTTTAATCGGTGCTCTTGTATAATAAATAGCTCTCAGAAATCATAGACTGAAAATCGGTGCCTTATTAGTTTAATAAATCTGGGGCAAACAATAATTACCTTAAACTTCTTTGTGATATCAATATGGAGTGAGTTTACTGACAAATGCCAACCAAGTAGCTTACTTGTTGCACTGACCACTGCGGTTTATCAATTCAATTACGTCACTTTCAAAGAGGACGCGTCAAAGGTCAAGAAGATCATTCAACCTCCTGCTCTCTCCCACCCCTTTTTTTTTAACCATTATCTTCTGTCGCGTATATAAATAAATACTACTCTTTAACATACCCCTTAAAAAAAGGTAGCTTTTGCTCTTGTACGTTAAGGAATCGACTTTATTCTTGCTCTTATACCGCTTCTACAGAACACATAATCTAAGCAATGACAGCCTCAGTAAGTCAACCTACCCAGACAAATGCGACATCCGACAATTCCACCCATCCAAACAACATGGCCACAGTCCCTCTGGATGTTGGTCTGATTTTTGTACGTGAGTACTACACATTCCTGAATAAGAAACCACAGCGGATCCATGCCTTTTACAGCAAGAATTCCGTTTTGGTGAGAGGTGATGAGGGCGATGTGGCCAAGACATATCGGGGCCAGGAGGTAAGAGAAATAAAGAGTGTGAAACAGGAGCTGATGATTGTCAATGTATAGGAGATTAGACAAAAGATGGAAGAGCTGAATTTCGAAGATTGTAAAGTACTGGTAACCCAGGTCGATAGCCAAATGTCAGCCAATGATGGCATCCTCATCCAAGTGCTGGGTGAGATGTGCAATCTAGATAACCCACCTCAGAAATTCAGTCAAACTTTCTTTCTTGCACCACAACACAAGGGATACTATGTCCTCAACGACATCTTTCGCTTTCTCAAAGAAGAAGTCAATATTGATTATTATGCTTGTGATGAGGAGGAGGATGACGCCACTGTATCGTCTACACCAGCCCAATACTCTGGCAAAAAATCACATCAGGAGAAGAAGCAGGGATCTGAAGAGACTGTTAGATCAAGTGAGATAGTGCAGGATATCACTGAACCAGTTGAAAAAAAGAAAGAGCAACCAGCTGAGAATGATGTTCGTACTGCACCACCCACACCCACAATCAATAATCAAAGTAGAACAGAGGAAGACGTGAAGACAGAAAAACCTGTTTTAGAAAGCTTACCTGAATCAAACGGAATACACAAGAAGGAAACCGGCTTTGTGGATCAGACTAAGGAAATTCCCAGAGAGTCCATCAAGGAGAGTAAGAAAGAATTTAAGAAAGAACCCAGGAAGGAGATTTTAGAAGAGAAGAAACCTGAAATTACTCCAAAGGCAGTGCCAAAGCAAGCAAACCCTCCCATTAAACCAGAAGCAAAATCATGGGCATCCTTGGCCTCTGTACCTGCTGCCAAGAGCACCCAAATGACATCTGCTCAACCATCACCTATAATCCAATCATCACCTTTACAAACCTCTGCTCAACAAACTCCTCCCCCTCAATCACCACAACAACAAATTCATCAGTCACACCCACAGCAGCAACAACAACATCAGCAGCAACCGCTGCAACAGCAACAGCAACAGCCACCACCCCAGCAGCAACAGCATCACCAGCATCATCATCACCAACAACAGCAAATTCAACAACACCAACAGCATCAACATCAACAACAACATCACCACCAACAGCAGTATGTACTCATGAATATGACTCCTCCTTCTCCACAACATCACCATCCTCAACCCTCTTACCCACAACAGCATTACCCCCAACAGCAGGTCTATCCCCAACAACAGCAGCAGCAGCAGCAGCAGCAACAACAACAACAACAACAGCAACAGCAACAACAGCAACAGCAACAGCAACAACAGCAGCAACAGCAGCAACAACAGCAACAACAACAACAGCAACAGCAACAGCAACAACAGCAGCAACAACAGCAGCAACAACAGCAGCAACAACAGCAACAGCAACAGCAACAGCAACAGCAGCAACAATATGGTCAGCAACAAAATTATGTACAGCAACCTCAGGGACATAACTTTATGCAACGTAAAGGTAAACATATAACAACATAACATAAAAAGGGGATTTTATTGTATCTAATTCGTCCAAATAGCTGAGGATACTCAGATTTTCATAAAGGGTGTTGGTCCCACTGTGACAGAAGAGGGTTTACGCGAGGCTTTCTCTAGATTTGGCACTATCAAATCTATCAGTTTGATGCATCCCCGCAATAGCGCATTCTTAGAGTTTACTACCCCAGATGCTGTTACTAAGGCTCTTACTCAACACAAAGTCAATGTGGGTCAAGTAGTTGTATTTGCTGAAGAGCGCCGTTACAACAAAAGCTCTTTTGGAAGACAACAGCCTGGTGGAAATCAGTTCGATCGTCGATTTTCTCCAAATGGTCCTCGTCGCGGAGGTCCTCGCGGTGGAGCTGGAGGCAAGACAAGAGGTGGTCCTAAATAAAGATTAAAAAAAAAACAAACAAATAAATAAATAAATAAGATACTCTTCTAATGACAAAACTTGTAAAACACGTCTGTAAATGTACATCTTCAAGACATTTGTTATACATGTAAAAAAGAATCCCCCTTTTTTCAATTTTTTATGAAAAATGCCCCCCTTTTTCTTTCTTTCTTTCTTTCTTTAAAAATAATAATAATAGTAGTAGTAGTAGTAGTAATAGAAAATGTCAATATAATCCATATAGACAGTACATCTTTAATAAAAAAGAAAAAAGAAAAAGAAAAGTACAATAAAAGAAAAGGCGGAATGGGGTTTCCAGATTTATTGTTACTCTTTAGTATAATGGCTAAAGGCAAGGGTTGGAATAAGGTCGATTAGCTATGTTTAGAGTAAGCAAATAAATATATATGTATAAATGTATATATATGGATGCGGGTGGGTTGGTGGGTGTCATAAGAATATGTCGTATCTGAAGAATATTGTTTTATTTTATCAAATCTCGACTTGATGCTGTTGGTCCATCTTCTCAGCCATCATGGCTACAATGGCTGCACCTACAATTCGTGAATGTTTGACAATACCAACAGATAGTCTGGAAGCCACTTCATCTGGAATCAATGCCTTTAAAGTCTCACAGACGCGTGGATGAAAGGACGGATAATCTTTGTAGACATCTCCACTAATGGCTAATAATATATATATATATTAAGGAAATGAGTACAGAACCTTCATTTCATTTAAGTATATGTATATTTGTATCACTTACATATCGCAAATCCTTCTTCTTTACCAGCACCAACTCCACATTCAACAATATATTTGACAATACTGGCTGTTGCTGCTCCCAAAAGAGCAGCCGCACGATGACCGATAAACTCGCAAACTTTTTTTACTATTTCTCGATCTGCCAAGGTTGTTTCTCCGATTTTGCACATTTCCTCCAGCACGACCCGCGTGTCCTCAAGAGTCTCCCAGTTATCATCGGCCTCACACACGTACATATAGCTCGTGTCGAAATGATAAGGTATACGCAACAGACAGTCTTCATCTGAAACATCAAACGATAAAACGTGTCGATCCACAAAGCTAATAAGAACTTGACGCACAATCTCGCCGAGATACATTCCAGTAGTCATCTTTTCGAATATATGGATGCCTCGGTTATTCGACTCTCTATCAAGCAGGCGATCATACTCTGTCATGGGCAAAGTGTTCAGATGAAATGTACACCACTCGGTATTGATTATCATATCCCGCTGGATAGAGGATTCTTGTGGATGTTGAGAAAGGAACTTTCCCATATTGGATACCTTGTCGTAATAAGCACAGTTCGTACCTGCACAGTGTACTATGCCGATACGTGTGGAGGGATGTTGATAAGCATGTGCAAGAAGTGTACACACAGCATCTAATATATATATATATAAAGAAAAACTAAAAGTGTTAATATATCTGTGGAGGGATTTTATTTTATTTTATTTTATCGCACCACAGCTAATCTATTTTATTTTTGTTGGAAAAGTAAAGTAATAATAACTACCTAGACAATTCCTTACCATTGGCAATCGCAACAATCTTTACGCCCAGACCCTTTGCATGGAATCGACTGTGAAATAGCTCGACAGCATCACACCCCACAGCATTCGGGAATTCAAAGCCGTGTTCAAGTGCAAGGATAGTTCCGCGGTTCAAACCTGTCTGTCGGACAGCAAAGCCAACACTGATAGCCATTGAATACACAGTGTGATGTCCAGACCCAATACGCCTTTGAAAATCTGCCACACAATCTGCGACATAGTCAATCAATACGCAGATATCATCTCCAGCTGTCAAGTGGTCAGGAATTTTGTATTGGTACTGATTGATGGCGAGCTTTCCACCCTCCCCCTTGAGCTTGACTTGACACACGTAAATATCTACTCCACTGATTTCCAATGCAAGATATGTTCCCTTTTCATTCCCGGTAGGATAGCCTACAGTACATTTGATAAGCCAGACAGGTTTTGGAATGTATGGTACCACGTACCGGTGACATAGGATGGGATCATCTTGAGATCGTTTTGATGCGGTGCATTTTCTGATTGCGCTGCCAATCCCGCTTTTATTTCATCTTCAAAGCTATGCAAGATGTTGTCCAATGTCTCATCAGAAACTCTAAACTGCTCCTGAAGCTTCTCAATTTCCAGTTGTTGTTGCGGTGAGCCATGCATCAGTCGAGTGCTTTCAACCTTGGGACGTTTACTTCTTGTATCATGTGTAAGTGATTCCCGGTTGAATGACATGTTGAATGTATAAGATGTATAAAGACAAAGAAAGAAAGAGGAGAAGGAATAATAATGAAAAAGAAGAAGAGGAAGAAGAGAATAAAAAAAAAGGGAAGTCTCTGGCAGCTGGGAAAGAAGGGTGTTGGTTGTTGATGAGCTTAAACAGAAACGACTTGTTGGCTTGGTTGGTTGTGCGTGTGTATTTCCAAACTATATTTGTACTGTGTTTGTGCTGTGTTGTTTTTTTTGTGGAAAGTAAATATATAGAAAATTTACAAGTTTTATTTTTTTTTAGAAATCAAAAGGTAATTTCAGATCGAAAATAATGATCCCGGGTAAATAAGCATATAATTCATAACCTAAAAAGCCAATATCTCATACATACAATATATAAAGACGAAGTGTGATGAGAAGTGCTAATTTTTTCTTTCTTTCTTTAGATAGATAAATTATAGGATATTTGAATTGTTAGTAAAAATGGGAAAAATAAAATAAAATACTTTTTTTTTTATTATTATTAATTTTTAATTTATTTATTTTTTGAAGTACTGACTATTAGCTACTTTTGGATATAGGAAATATATTCTATGTTGCTTACTGATCACTTCACGGTACAAGCGTGTGGGCGTCTCAGGTGGTGAATGTTGGTCAGAAAGATAGAGAAAGACAGAAAGGACAAAATACAAGTAACAAAAGGTGGGTACAGTAGCAGTGCCACGGTTTCACCAAAACTGCTTCACAATTATCTCTATCACTATCCATTTCTGATCGTAATACACGTACCAACGAAATAAGACCTCTCCAGAAGAATTGTAAGATTTTGTGTCAATTTGTTAATTAAAGGTTCACAAGAGTGCTTAAGATGTTCTGTTAAATGATGTTGAAAAATCGTACGAATGTTACAAACATTTGGTTGTTGCAACACAGATAATGCGTGTACCTATGAAACGTGTTCCCCCCCCAAGAAGCCAAAGATATTAATAATAACAATCCAAACCCCTCCATTTTTTTTTGAGTTTTATCTATTTATTTTACTTTTTTTTTTTTACAAATTTCCCACGTATAAGATTATTGTAGCCAATGATTAGAGTAGATCAGAAATATTTATAGCAGACATTCAAAGCAGTACATTCATCAGTTCCATATTAAATAAGTAAAGTAAAGAAAAAGAAAACATGTGTGGAATACGCGGTAGTTTATATCGTTGCCTATTGTAGTTTCAGTGTACCACTTTATTGGTAAAAATAAAATAAAGATTCGGTCACAATAAGAGACCTCAACAAGTGCATTCAATAGTCCAAAAGGCATATGGATATCATCTATAAATATTCAAGATATTACTTGTGGCGTTATCTATAATCTTGCTTTTTTGGTGCTTGTTATCTTGAAATTGCCATGGTGTATTTGACTGAAAGACATTTCCAAGACAAGTCCCCGTCAATAGAGCATATTACTTTATTAGCTTGGCTTTGGAACAGCATAAAGTAGAACACAAAGATCTTTTATAATTCCTTGTAGATTTAATTGAACTATGTGTATATATTGATAAAGAAAAACCAAAAACAAATGTTTAGGATACCGATGTGAGTACCGTACTGTGTAAGGTCTGAGCTCTGCTTTAGATTATCTATTTTATGTTGTACACAAGAGTTCTTATCATATAAAATGGTGCAAATGCCATTGATAAGGATATACTGAGTGGATAAAATTATGACGGATAACCTATTGGAATGTATGAAGAAAAAGAAAACATTTGGTTTAAATATATATATTACTACGAGCCTAATTTCCTCTCACATTGTTTATTTGGCTAATTGCTTAGTAAGACTAGCTTTTTAGTGACATGTATAATCTTTTGATAAAATGCACACCATAAAAATGAAAGAAATATTAATCAGTAGTACACCTTAATCAAATAATATATAAAGAAAAATTATATCTTGGTTGCCTCGTTCTGTATCACCTTATCATAGGATTGACTTTATAATAGATCCATAGTAGATAGATATATAATTGAACGTAGCATAATGCCTATTGCACAAAAAGGTTATATTATGCGTATAGTATAAGAAGTTTCGATGTTTGAATGAGACATTAGAGTACCAGATAACTTTAGCAGACAGTAGTATTAGTAATCATTTTCCCATACATAGTTGTGTGAATAAAAAAGTATTTATTTGTACATCAAACTCCTGGGCTTTAAGCTTTGTTATGTAAGAAATTGAAATTGAAAATGCTAGGCAATAAAGAGGACTGGATAGGAAATCTATAATTTCATCAAAAGAAAAGAAGAAAAAAGAAGGAAGAACCCTTTTTGTATTTTATTTAATTTTCGATTAGGGTCATTTGCTTACATAACAATATAATAAAACAATGTCAAATCGGTAATACTATCTATTATCATTATTATTATTTTCAAGGGTTTAATGTAGCATATTTGGGGGGTTTGAGTAATTTATAATTTATATTTTCTTAAATAAAAAATAATGATTTTGTTTGGCTTTTATAGAAATCATAATTGTCTACCCACCTTTTTCCCATACACCACCATTATGTCTTTTTAGCCTTAAAAATACAGACTCGATATTTACAGACAATCTACTATACTCTTTTGAATTTTGCTTCTTTATTTGGGATATAGAAAGAATAATAAATAAAACAATAAACGACCTTGATGTCTGTTTTGTTATATTTATTTATAAAATATTATTCTCTTCTCTTCTCATCGCATCGCATCGCATCTTATCACATCATTCTCTTTATCTTGATTTTTTTTTATATAAAGTAATAATAAAAGTAAATAGTAAATGAAAAAAAAGAAAAAGAAATATTGGTTTGTACACAGTTCACTTGAACCCAAAGCGAACATAATTAAAAGTTGTGGCCTTTTAAGATCAAATTGCTTGGACCAAACGTTCCTGCGTTTTGTGTTCTCGTTGGCGCACTTCACTTCGCACAGCTGCCTCCCACAGCTGGTCAACAATGTGTGCATGTCTTAGTCGTTTTTGGGTTTCGTCTTCTTCGTGACAGCTCATATCTCGCAGTAAATTCACCAGGAGAGCATAGGGAGATGTATCACCTGTGGCAGGAGACTCTTCCTTGGAGGCGCATGAACAACATGATTTTGGAGAATATGATTCAGAAAGTGAAGATCGCCTGGAGGAAAGTAGAGATCCAGGAGATGACCTACACTTTGAACATCCACTATCTAGACTGTCAGGCTCATCTGTCAGTATATCAAAAAGCCCAGGACTGTGGGTAGTACTAGGGGGTTCCTTCTTAATTTCGATTTGCAATGCTTTTGGCGATACTTTGACTTCAGCCACGTTCTCTGTTGGTTTTACAGGCCTTTCCACAGCCTTGGACTTGTGGGAAGTAAAATCTCCCGGAGAATTGAATAGATTGATTGATTGCAAAACGTCTTTCTTGATCTGACAAGACAATGGTTCTACTTTTGCCTCATATGGACTGTGTTCTTCTTTTATGGTTATGTTCGTATTTATGTATGGATATTGTTCAGAAGGTAATGGATGTGATGAGCTGGGGGTTTTGAAATCGATTGGTTCAGAAAGCGATGGTTCTTCGGCAGGGAGCATATTATATTGATCGAAATAACTTGGTCCTACGTCTCTGGGTCTGGTATTCCAGAATTTGGCGCTCACAGGAAGGTATTCCTCATCACAAAACATCGAGGAGGGTAGAGAAACATCAGGCGATTCATTGGATATAGCAGAAGGGTAAATTGAGAGATCAGAGGGTGCAAGGCATGTAATTTCAGGTGTAGGTTCCCAAGACCAGCATGGTGCCCCGCTCTTTTCAGAGGTGCTTTTGTCAAGATTAGAGTAGAGTGATGTGTCAAAATCAACATTATTCATCATTCCAGGTAAAGACAATGGGGTGTCAAAAGTATCTTGTTGGTTTGGCGAAGAAAGAATATCAGGATAGATACAGGAGTTTGTCTGGATATTAGCAGAAAGCTGCTCAAGCCAAGCTTGAAGTACATTGATATCTTCAGGTCTATTGACCTGCATAGACCAATTGGTGTCTTGGTGCTTTACTACATTCGAGATTGAGTCCAGGCGCTGCATCATATCTACATGGAAAAGTATATCAAGGTAAGTCACCTATGTAAGAATATGATTGTCTTTATTTTCTTTTTTGTTTAGTTGGCTGTAGACTAACCATTATCATAATTAGGAGAGATTGTGGAGTTGTAAAGAACATCCTCTAATAGTTCTTTGAGAGGATCGTGCAGCTTGGTCGACTGTCCGACAGAGCGGAATATAGAGTCTTTGTCGTGGCTGGTGGGGTTACGACTGGGATTGATTTCACTGCTATTGTCTGTGTTCATTGATGTGTAACAGCTATGGCTACTCATACTGTTTTGTTCAGATGTTGATGTTTGTTGGTCTGTGTCTATAGCGCCACTCAAAGCCACATTAGTATTTACACGTTTACAGACAATAGGTTTCCAAGGTAAATTTACATTTTTCACCGATACATGGCAAAAGAAGTGACGATGGACTCAAGGAAGGTGATGTTGCAGTGGCACTGTCGGTAATTGATAACTGCGGGCGGGCGCGCCGGCGTCGGACTGCCTTATAACCTGGCTGTTTACTTCTCAGGGTAGCTGAACATTCACAAAAAAAAATTGGAAGATTTCCGTATTAATTTCTTGGCATTGATAAATATATACAATAATAAATTATACATTTATGTTCCAAAGTATGAGTTCTTTCATGCTTTTTCAGGTCTTGAGGTCTTTTGAAAGGCTTCTTGCAAATCTACAAACAGTTATTATTATTATAATTATAATTAGCAACATTTATAAATACTCTTATTTTATTTTAAAATAAGACTAGAGACTTACAGTACAAGGATGAGCTAATGACACGGTTGAGTAGATGAACATTAGTTTTGATTTTTTTTATTTTCTTTTTGAGAATGAGTTACATACGTTTGAGTGGTAAATGAACTCTTAAATGACTAGTTAGATGGTCTCGCTTTGCAGCTGTTGCTCCGCAGTCATTCCAATGACACTGAAGACAAAGGTTATTTGTAGATTTTCGGCCGACATGAGTATCCGATAAGTGTTCAAACAAGTCGTCTACGTTATTGAAAACGAGGTTACAGTCGTTCCATCGGCACGAGTTGCGAGTTCGAGGCATAATATAACAGTAATAATAACAAAAATGCTTGTTTGAAGAGGGACCAAAAATAAAGGGGGGGAGCAAAGAAAAAGAAATGAAAGAGGAGAGAAAGGAGGAAAGCTTATCCTTATACTTGTTAAAGATACTGAGGTATTTTTTTTAAAAAAAAACATGAATTCGATACGGAAAAATATAGGCATATGAATTAGTATTATTTTTATTATTTTTGGATCAAACTACATAGATTTCTATATATATATAAGAATATATATATTTCTCACCTTTGAAAAAAAAATGGTAGCTCTTAATGATTCACAATGTAGATATTTTATCTGGATTATTGACTTTAGCTATAATGAATATTGTACAATCTTCCTTGCTTGCCTTTTCTCTCTCTCTCTCTCTCTCTCTCTCTCTTTGGTGGTTACAAAATACACTATAATAAACGAAGAAAGCTGATACAATTTGCGGTAGACTGGTCAATGAGTACATGTGATATGGTAACACTAAGAGTGGTACGAGACACGGTTGAGGGAAATGTGGTGCTCCCTGATGTGTCATAAGATACTTAAATCAGTATCAGCTTCTGGAATCATTTCAATATTTAATAGAAGGGTTAACCTACAAACACTCCTTCACAGCTGGACCATAATCGCCAGACCGTAATGGCCAATGGGGGGAGGGGGATATGGGGTTAAAACACATGTTGAAAAAAAAAAACTGAATTCAATATTGTATATACAATCAACAGAAATCTTGTGAAACAGAGCAAAATAAGAGTAAGGCCATGCTTCAAACAGAAGGAAAGAAATATTCAAACATATGTTAAATTGACTTGAAGAATATAAATTACCAAAAGATATATATATATAAGGCCATCTACATATACGTGTGTGCCTTTTGTAAGTATCGACGAGCTACTCTTGCTCCTAATGGTTTCTAACACTCATATTAAATCGATATTCTAATATTGATATATTGATATATTTTATAATTTATTATCAAGCCACAACTGATTTCACTGCTGGTAAGAGCTTAAGATACCATTATTGGTAAATAGCAAAAAGGGAGGTAGAAAAAGAGACCCTTTATAAAGACATATACATCTTTTGTCTAGAATTTCATCGCGTTGTCTGTTTAAATACAGAATGTTGTACTCTCTGGTAATCGTGGAGTATTTGTAGCCAACCAAAGTCCGTTGAGCCGCCTATCTTGACATGACTACATACAATACCTACATTTTTCATACGACCCCAGGAAAATAATGATAAAAATAAATAAATAAGTAGTAATAATAACACGTTGTACTAATTAAATATACAAACAAATGCGTGTATATACGTCTAATTTCAACATCCAATTCGCCACAGTGAGATTCATAGACCACAAAGAAACAAAGTAGGAATTCTAGTACAGATAGTACAAACAGCAATTATTATAGTTCAACCTTAACCATAAACATAAATGTTCTTGTAGAAATGGAATGTACAAAATTATATACAATTTCAAATCAAAATTAAACGTCTCTCTTGTAAGGAGAAGCAAATAAAAACAAGGAATAAAAAAGAAACTCTGACTTGGAATTCGCACGTACAAGATGAACCTTGGGTATGTAGAGTTGACGTTGTTGGGACTAGACCGGACACTTTTTTTTCTGAATACCCAGTTATCTGGTTGGCTGGTTGATTTGGTGAACGGATGCCGTTCGTTTACGGAGCATATGCGCCGAATGCCCAAGCTGAGCTTTTAGGTAAAATGCTCAGCGCAATAGGGATATGAATTTTTTTTTTTTTTTAAAAAAAAACACCTGTGGCTGGAAAATCTTTCTGATGCTTCTATACTGATAACGGGTTCAATTTAGATATGAATTTTAGAAACTTAAAAGCTATCCCCTTACACATTAAAATAATAATAATACAGAGACGAATTGACTAACTATGACAAGAAGCTTTTATCTAAGCTATCAAATGTTCTCTGTTGTTTGTGGCTTTAATTACTACCGTTGGACAATAATAAATTATAATACTAATCAAAATACAATGTCAAAAGTCGCACGTGGAGTTTGGTTGCTGGCTTTAATATCATTCAATAAAAGCAAACAGAGGTCTTCTTCGTTCATTTTATTGTGTCACAGCTGTACTTTTTTTTTCCAATTGGTATTATCACTTTATTCTATATTAGTATATTATAATCACTACTAATATATTACATTAAACGTTCACCTAGTTGCTGCCGACCGATTTTCATTTCGATGTATAGACAGGTCTACAATAAACTATCTTGCATTACTATAAACAATAAAGAACCAAATTTATAGCTAAGCGATAAAAACCGGTCGACCACAACTAGGTGAACGTAAAATCCTAATAAAGGCTTAGGCTATTTTCCTTTATACAACTATATCACATTGTCAATTCACATATTGTCGGGTCTTAATTTTTCTGCCATATCGATGGGTACGCTGAAGGTGATTTCACAAGGTTCTTTAACTGGTCCACCCAAACTTGGGAGTGGAGGGCGACCGCCACTGGTAACCAAGCCAATTCTGTGTGCCAGGCCTATAATTATGACCGAATTGCTTGCTCTGGAATCAAAGATTGCAGGGACGACGGTACCCTTTATAGCAATTGGGGTACGAAAGGGGCGGCTGATGGAGACATTTCTAAAGTAGTAAGACTGATTGTAGGTAATGTCATAACTGTCGTATGCTCCCTCGTCGGACCAGATTGTGGCTTGATTGCCAAGGTACTTGGTGGAATCCGAGGTTTCGGTTGTTGTAGGGTGCTCGTAATCGCTGTATTCTGGGTTTTTGTTTCTGCCCGTAACCATCTGAACTATTAGAGTGGCGGGGGTCTTTTTATAACGGGCAAGGTGACAGAAAACTGCTCTTTGAGATTCTTGGCTGTAGCTCTATCCAGGGCAATCTAGTCTCTCAAGGGTTAGTCTGGATCCACATTTTTTTTAAACTTTCACCAAACATTCTTTTATTGGAGATGTATTGGCAGCCTTCTTTGTGGTAGACGAGGTTTACAGATTCTCTTGGAGTTGGGTAGTCTTGGCTGGGATATATTCACTGTTACAGGGTATTCCTGTGGTATTATGTGGTTAAAAGGAATTTTGGAAGGTTTAATATCAAGGGCAGGAAAATCGAAGCAAAGGCGAGATAATGGTTTAGATTCGGTAGAATGAGCAGACAGTTTTCATTTCTTTCGATTTGGGCTAAGAGCATCTGACAGACTATTTGTTAAACGAGATCTTTTTTTTAGCATTGTATATTTTGGCCGTATTCAGGTAGTGAAAAGAACTTTGGCTACAAGAGGAGAATTTTAGAAATTAGTATTCCCATCCACTGATATCCATTGGCTTTTCTCAACAGTTTTTGTTAAGGAAATTTTGGACAATCCGGTCTCTTGTGGTCTAGTTAACCACATTTAAAGTACTTGATGACTCATATAGTAGAAATAGTCGGGATGCAGGATTTACTAGATGTATTTTTAATGCTTGAATTTCCTTAACGAAAGCTTACATGGTATCTTTCAAGACAGATGACCGTGATTCAGAGCCATTTATGGATGGGTGTTCAGGCGAGTGATTTTTGTCCCAATACTTATGATTAACGTGACACCTTTTTAGCCAACGAGACAACGCTATCCCACTTGACTGTATCCTTTTTAAGCGCTTTAAAAAGGTATATTTCTCGGTCCTGGGCAAGCTTAATCAAGAAGAGCTCGGGTAATTCCTCTATTTGTAGCACCATTTTATCTACTGATTTCTCCACCCCTTGTCGTATGGAGTTGAGCTTGGACCATCGTATGTCGGCTGTGTAACGCGTTAAAAACTGTAGGTTAGATTCCTTACGAAATTCTTTCTGAAGTATTGGGGATTTTTGTATGGCTAGTATCTCAAAACTGAGAAAATTAGATACCGTGGAAGTATTGTTTCTTTTACAAATGAGCTTGGCTATTTATATGGATATTCAGTTCCCTAATTTAAGCTCTCCGTTGGTTAATGGTTGGTTGTCACTCAAGCAGTATAAAGTATACAAGTGCTTAGTGTGTTACATTCCTGAGATATGATCCCGTTAGGTTCATTAGAAACCGTAGTATCCGCTTGCCTATAATCTTGTCCTTTCTTTTCCATTTTCTTTTCAACTTTCTTATACATTGCTTTACTTATCTATTGCTAAGCACAATTGTCTTGCCAATATCATCACAGACATGGTACTCGTCTCACGTCAACAAGCTATCTGTATGTTTTACCAGCAGTCATTTTCTTTGCATTATTTCAGGATATTTATTGAAAATCTGGCAGAAGCGCTTAAGCTAAAAAAAACAATCACTTGGGTATAAAGCAAAAGACAAAATGAAGAAATACAACTTAAAAAAGAGGAGGAGAAATGTAAAAAAAAAGTCATGGACACACCAAATAACCACAACTGGAAAGTCCTCAATGAAAAGTTTGTCTTTATTTACCACTACTCTGATCATAAACGAAAACGTGTTAAAAACGAACCTCCAGTGAGAATTCCGTATTTCTTGTTCACTTATACTGACCACTAAAGTGTGATTGTTGCGGATAGAAAGGGAAAGGAGAAGAATACACTGAGTAGACCGGCTGATTATCCTTTTGAAGTTCAATGTTGGGAAACGAGCAGTAATAATAAAATTATGTACCCGATTTTTTTAGTGGCATTCAATGAAAAAGTAAAGTTGGACTTCGAATGAAGCAGTACACATTCAATATGAAAGAAGAGCCACGGAGTTGGAGAGTAAGCGACTCATTCGGTTCAGCGTATACCATTAGCCATACAACAAGCGAAAAGGCAGAGGATTACTGAACGAAATCGAGAGTATATACACTGAAATGTGCTACAAAGACGATCCTATAAAAATTATAATATTACCATCAGCTCCAAGCAATTAAGAAATTTATATTTACAAAAAATTGAGTATAAACGAAAGTCTTAGCATATCATGGAAGCGTACAAATGAATTAGACGATATGAATGCCCACGACTTAAGTAAATGGCACGGAGGAAAGAAATTGAAGCTAATTGACGCTAAAATCAAAATAAAGCAAAATGAATTCGACCACAGAATTTCAACTCGATTTCTGTATATATTAAAAGATCAATATATCGGTAATATACATAATATACTCAATTACTTGTCGTTTCCGTAATTCATCTATTATTTAGCCTACATTATTAAAGAATTTATTGAAACACTACTGAGATATTCAGGATTGATTTTAGGGCGAGTATCTCAATAATTAGAAAAGTAAATACTGTGAGAGTGTTGTTTATTAAAGAGAATACAATAACATTGTACACATGTGTAGCGTGCAATATTCCCGGAGTTTGTTAACTTGCCAGGTTTATTAGCAAGAAAGAGCTAGTTTTTGGTTGTGGAGTCTGCGATCTACTCAATTTTGGTGTGTATACCACAACTACCTCGATGCCAAGGAGGAATTAGAAACCTAAAATGAAATCGACACGAGATAATTGGATACATAAGAAAGTAATCTAGTGAAAAAGACGATATCACACGTATTAGCCTGTTAAATCGAATGAGTGTAAATCTCAAAGAAGTATTCCTTGTAACGAAAGTGCTTGCAAATGTTTCCTGTGAAGTAAATCAACCTTTACTGGCTAGAGACTCAAAGCTGAATACTGATATGCTGTCAAAAACTATTGAGCAAAAAATAGATTTGAAACAAATGTTTTTAAAATTTAATAGATTGTGGGCTATCCAGTGAAAATTTAAAATTACGCTAATTTTATTTAGAGAGGCATTTAAATATCCAATGTTGTCTGCTAAGTTTTTACTAAATATCAAGCTTATTTTTTTTCTTTCTCTCTCTCTCATGATAAAAGATAAGATAGCCACGAGTCTCTTTTGACTATATACAATCTATAGAGTGCCTTAAAAAAGCTACTATTATTGAAGTAATGCTTGTAAGACTCTTAAGATATAGCTCCCTTATATTTGTCAATGTATTGATACTTTTATCAACCAAAATAAAAGATCCGCAACTGTTGCCGGCTATATTTTATTGACTGGGCTGCGATTCTTACTATTTCTGTCAGTACCAAAATCTTCACTAGATAACGCACAATTTAATATAAAGTTGTACCATGATCCAAAGCAATATGCTTTGATCATAAGAAAATAGGTCATATTAAAAATAGATAGAGATTGGCCCTTCTTTGTCCCTGTCCGGTCAGTCCTATGGACTCATCTCATAAGTCTTCTACAGAAAAATCATAATCGTTTCATTCTGAAGTTAAAAGGTTATATTCATTCGATTGGCCATAAACTAAATTAGGATTTTCTTGTTTTGTTTTACTTTTCTTTACTACAAAGAAATCAATTCATTCTTTATAATAATTGACAATATCGACTCCCGGAAATAGCTGTGTCAAGTGGTTTTTTTTGCTTTACTTATTTATTGTAGTCCAGTACCATGTTAACAGTGATTTGATCCAAAGAGTGTATAAAATATTATCAAGCTGGACCCCCCAATTTATTTTGACTCATTTTCTCCGCCTTTGAAAATCAATCCAAATATGGGGAACAAAAGAATTTTTGCATGTTTTCTCTAGAAGAGAACAAAAAATGAGAGAAGAGTAACCTTCAAAATATCTGTTAAAAAAGGCAATGGTTTTGAGGACCTTTTCTTTATAGTTACTATTAGAGAATGCACCCGTTGATTATCCTGAATCCCCCTTTCTTCTTCTTCAAGCCACTCGTAAATGGATCGCACTGCCGATCTATAGCACGTGACCGAATTTCGGCCCTGCAATGACGCACAGAACTAGTCACAAACCAAGAAACTAAACCAGCAGTTTTCACCGCAGGTACCATTTTCTAGTAGTTTCCTCTTCTCTGTTTCCATGAATACCCATGCCAATGGCACCACCAATACGCCTCCCCGTGCAGCGTTCAACATACCCTCGGTCCATAATGATAACAAATCAATGTACCCCCCGTATTTTGATGTATGACCAAATATTGCCGCATATACACCCAATTATTAACTTTACCTGTCATTCCTAAAGGTCATTATTGCTGGCGGTATAGGCGGCTCGGCAGCAGATTTTCTCATGCACAGGTAAATTTCAAGAAACGCAGATCAGAATCTATAAAAAAGCGATCATCTCACTTTAAACTACCCCACAGTGTAGATACCGTAAAAACGCGATTACAAGGTCAACCTCATCACCGAGCTTTCAAGTATCACAACATGGTTCAGGCCTATCGGTTGATCCTAAAAGAAGAGGGTGCTCTTAGAGGACTTTATGCGGGCGTGACTCCTGCAATGCTTGGATCCAGTATGTAGAATTTGATATACCCGAGATAATCATCTAATATATATATATATTATCTTAGTTCCTGGAACCAGTCTGTATTTTGGTATATATGAAGTCACCAAACGTACCTTGACGGCAAATAGTGTACCCGAGGTTGTTGCCCATTTGGCAGCTGGCTCGCTGGGCGATCTTGCTGCCTCCGTGGTGTATGTTCCGTCAGAAGTTTTGAAGACCCGTATGCAACTCCAAGGCCGATATAATAACCCACACTTTATAAGTGGATATAATTACAGAAGTACATGGCATGCGGCAAAAGTGGTAAGGTTTTATTTTCAACGGTTTTGGTGGGTAAAAACGCATTGGGTTTAATAAGAGCTGTATGTAGATTGTCAAATATGATGGAATTGGAGCATTATTTCATGGATTCAAAGCTACCATTCTCCGGGATGTTCCATATTCCGCTCTCCAATTCGCCTGTTACGGTAAGATATAAAGCAAGATATGTTTATTTAAATTATGTGTATATTATTTCTCAACCAGAAAAATTCGCGTCATTTAGAACGGTTCAAGAAAATAGCCCAGCACAATTGTGTAGAGCCTGGGCAACAACTTCCTCTTGGAATCGATATGTTGACTGGATCAATGGCAGGTGGAATCGCAGGTGCTATTACAACGCCCCTTGATGTCATGAAAACACTTCTTCAGACTCAGCAAGGAAGCAAAAAGGGAGTCAAGGCAGCAAATTCACCCGAATTATTGAATCCGGTCCCTCAGACGACAAAACAACCTATAGTCCAACCAAAGCATTATAGTGGTATTGTAGAAGGACTTGTGTGGAATTACAAAAACCAAGGTCTTGGAGGGTTGTTCCGTGGTATAGGTCCAAGAGTATTCTGGACAAGTTTACAGAGTGCTATCATGTTTGTAATTTATGAGCAAGTCCTCCATCTCGAACAATCTCTGAGAGAAAAAGGAGAATGGCCACCAAATGCAGCAGCAACAAATTTATTTAAGAGCTAAAAATCTAAAAAAAAAAAGCCATATTGACTCGGTTGGCTTACACGAAAGAAACGATAATCAAAGGCGTTCGGGGTAAGAAAGCATAATTATTCAAACCATATCCACAACATTGCAAGACATCTTTAGATGCCTGTATGTATATATGCCTGTATGTATGTGTATATCAGAAACATAGCTTATGAAATTTACTAACAATCATTATTGTTATCTTTATTTAATATTGTACTGTATTGTATTGTTTTACGGTGTAGTAGTCAGAACGTGCGTCGAAACTGTCTATTTTGTTCAAAAAATTCAACACTTCCCCATTCATCCATGTATATTAAAAAGAAACCCACTTTCGAGTAAAAAAAACCAAAAACCAAAAAAAAAAAAAAACCAAAGACCTCCACCATCAACCACCATCATAATCATTATCACCACCCTTTCCCTTGTCATTCAATTTTTTTTTGTTAAATAAGAAACTAGACAAAACATAGAAAAAAAAACCAACAACATCAATAGTAATATATTTTACTCTATTTTATTCTATTCTACTCTTTTCTCTTTCTGGGTCCCTACTGTCTTCAAAAAGTTTTTTATGATCCTTCTACCAGCGTGCAAATTCAATAGTCGGATACGCTCATTGGGTAAGTGTGCTTGATCAGAGGCCTGTTTCGTTTTGGATTTTGGTTTTGTTTGCAATAAAGGAAGAATAAGGAAGAGAAGAAACAGAGTACAAGATATGAGTATTATTTTTCTTTTCTCTTCTTTATCTTGAGTATTCTTTTGTTTTGTACCTGACCCTTTGAAAGAAGAAGAAGAAGAAGAAGAAAGGTTTAATTAGTACATATAACCAAGTAATACCAATTTCTTCGACGCTTATTCTGTCAGAATATTTACCATAGGGAAATGAATTGCAGGTGCATTACAAAACCTTTCTAACAACCTGACGGCTGGAATAGAGCCGCCTTCTCTAATATACAATGGCTTGATCTGCCATTCTTTTTCAATAGCATCCTCTGCTGCTTTGAAATACTTGTTTTCTGGATTGCCAAGCCAGTAATCTGCAGCACTTTCTATTTGAACCTAGATAGGGCATGAAATCAAGATGAGTTGGAGTGTATTATATTAGCATTAACAGAAAGAGAGATAAAGATTGGTCTATCTTACTGATATCATATTTTCTGTCTTGCTGTCCTGAAATACTTTTTTTGTATAGCTTTGAAAGCTGTTGCATATGTCTGATATCTTTTGATCAGGAACAACACGCATACTAATCACTGCTTTTGCGTTACGTGGAATGATTGTTGGATTATTAATTGACACATCAATCTTGTGTACACTCAAGGTTGGATATCGCCAACGCACCATGAGTTGCTGCTTTAACCCATTCTCGTTACTATATTCACTTGTCTCACTCCCGCTGTCGGAAAAAGAAGAAGGTGTAATACAAGAATGCTGGGACCTAGAAGAAGATGTCAGGGGTTTATCTGTAGACCTATGAAGGCACCACAAAAAAATCATTCAAAAATGTTAACTTATATGTATAGATATACATTTATGTATGTATAATTCACCTTTGTAACCATTTCACAATTGGATCATAAAGAGTGTCTTCAGCAGGAGTTATAGGGCGAATGTCATTATAAAAGCCTGGTACACAAAAAGACGTTAACATACTTTGTGCTAAGGCTGGTAAAGTACTAATAACAGTGTGCTGTGCGCTGATTTCAAAATAATAAATAAATTACCTGGTACAAGTACTCTTTTATTTGTGTCGATGAGTTTTCCCAAGACATGAATCAAATCCACTAAAGGCTCTGACATGGCCCCTCCTTCGACACCAGAATGAAGGTCTGAAAGTCCATTATACACCTTATCAGACACAATGAGATATATTAAGACCGAGTATAGGTATGTATTTACGTGTATGTACTTACTGTTATAGATGCGTGTACGACACCTCTTAGTCCATAAGTTAAGCAAGGTACATCCTCACCCAGCCAATAAGAGTTGCTTATACATAGTAGCAAATGTATAGTTATATTAATAAACACGAGAAACGTGAGATGATGTTACCGAGTACAAGTCAACGTGTACTCACCTGAGAAGTATTACATCCACGCCTTCAAATAATGGCTACAATACAAATATTCTGTCAGAAAAAGCTCACTTGTATTCTCCAGATCAGACCTGCCTTTTGCTCATCAAGCGCCTCTTGAAACCCTATGCTTCCATTTTCTTCTTCTCCTTCAATAAGAAACAACACATCGACATCCAGGTCACCTTGTTTTAGTAGCTCATGGACAGCAAAGATACATGCTAATATCGGTCCCTTGAATAATTTCATAGATCATCATCATCCAAGAATTGTTATTATTATTATTATTATTATTATTATTCACTTCTGCTTGTGAGGTATATGAAACTTTGATAGATTTGTTTTTGGTTTTGAGATAATAATAATAAAAATAATAAAAAGAAAGAATTACCTTGTTATCGCTGGTACCTCTTCCATACAAATACCCATTTCTTCCAGATAGCTTAAAAGGGTCACTCTCCCACAAACCCTTTGCATTCTCAGCTGGGATAACATCATAGTGTCCATAAATTAAAACTGTCTTTGGCTTCTCGAATGTCTTAAAAGATGGGTCTTTGGCATCCTTTCCAGATTGTATTTGATTGGCAAAAAACTTTCCATACACAAGAGGATTCCGCCCACTAGCGCCGGGAATCATCCGGCTTTGTGCTCCAAGGCTTTGAAATACATTCTTTAGAAACCGCGCACCCTTTCGGCATTCTTCTGAGTATTTAGGCATCCCACTAACTGTTCGCATCGAGACCCATCTATCCAGTACTGACAGCATCATATCTAGACCAGATATGAAAAAAAAAAGACTTAGCACTGATTACACTAATATATATATATCTTAATTAAAATAGAGTAAAAAATATTTGTTCATACCACCCGAGTTCACATCATTCAAGTCGCTGCTTTTTCGCGCATTATCGACAGGGGAGGTCAGATGCTGAGTGTTCCAAAACTATTACCATGCTCAATATTATTATTCTTCTTGTTTTTTTTATTGTAATACAGAATTCACGGCTTTAAACGCCAATATGGACTACTTGATAAAGACTTACTTTGATCGTGTGATTCGTACCCCCTGTAACAATATAATCTTGGGAGTGTGTCAAGGACAGCAAGACACCGTTATCTTGCTTGATTGACTCTTCCAATTCGAACCCTTCACTCCATAACTAGTTTATTGATTTTTCCGTTTGTTTCATTAATTTGAGTCCAATATATATCACTATGTCTCGATTGGCAATTACATTGATTTTTCCATCTGCCGAGGCACTAACAAAACCTGTTCCTTTGATTGTCACTGATAGCACGTCGTCCTGTGAACACATGATACCATATTTAACAACTAACGACTGTATTTCTTAGGCTATTCATACACGTATTTTATATGTATATTTACCGAATGTCCTTTGATGGAACGAATCATTTGATACTATAAATAAGCCCAATAAGTCAATTTGAGCTATATGTGAGACATAAAGTATAATATTAAATATAGCAAGATTTACCGTTTCAAGATCCCATATCTACTAGCAAGACAAGAAAAAAAAACATATACTTGAAGCATTAAAATCATGCATTCTTATACTCATCCAAAATCAAACTTTCCTGTATATCTCCACCTTGAACACCACAAAATAAATAACCATTTTCAGATTGAACTATAGTCAGGACTCCCATGTCAGAGTCACCCTTGAAGACATGTAGGAGGTGAAGGGTCTTGTTACTGATTAACCAAATCTACTTTATGGATCAACTTAATACATGCTTAGAATATACCAATCTCTCGACAAACCTTGACATCGCCATCACCAGACCCTTTTATATATATTTATTCATTTATACGTTTATTCGTTTATTCATTCATTCATTCATTCATTTGTGTGTGTGTGTGTTTTTTTTTGGAAATTTTATTATGATTATTATTTAGTATTTAATGCGCTTATTAATCAAATCAAATTAAATCAAATTAAATCAAAGTAGATCAAAGTAGATCAAATCAAATTATATTATATTATATTATATTATAGTATAAATTAAATTAAAAATTGTATGATAAATGTGCTTACCACTGACAAGAACTTCGCCATTCACATTTGGAATATCGTTGGAGTAAATAAGGCAGTATACATAGCCGTCATGTGCATTTGTTAGTACATTTTTCTCTCTGACAACACACTGTTTCACATCTTTGTATTCCAAATTTTCTATATTTGATCCCAATCCATTAGCAAAGAACCGAGATTTCTGGCACTTGTTTCTCAAGACAGTAGATTTGTGAGATGTAGTATCCATAGCCGTTTCATTCTTTAGATCATCAAGATCATACCACTAGAGCGCACAAGTGAATAAGAGAAAAATAATAATTAATATGCTTAAAAGAATAAAGTTCGAAATTGGTACCTGAATACTTGTATTTTGACAACCTAGAAACAGCATTTGTGCTTGTTTTGCATATACAACAGAGAATACGTCTCCAACATCGTGGCATGACCGTATTAAGAACAGGCATTTGAGCGTTTCTGTATCCCAGACCTAAATATCAAGAGATTGATATATACATATATTTATATGAATACTATCCATATAGGTGTAGGTGTAAATATGTATCTGTTATCTACCCTGACAGTTCCATCTCCTGAAAAATAAAATAAAATAAAATAAAATAAAATAAAATAAAATAAATGCATTAAATATTAAATACTCGATGATGAATTTACACATACACACATACACACACACATATATATATATATACATGTAGTGAGATTTCATTTTAAATTTCTTTCTTTTTACCAGAGCAACTAAATAGCCATTGCCGATCTAAAGATAATGCCAGACCAAGAATACTTCCACAATGCCCTTTGAGAGTCGTGATAAGAGAAAAGGTCTGCAGGTCCCAGACCTATTTATTAAAGTATTTGTGTGTGTGCGTGTGTGTAATACACTTAATGAAGTGTACGACAATTGGCTCTTCCTTAGCTTACATGAATTGTTGATCCCTGACTACCACTAAATAGATATCGATCGTTTGCTACCAGAGAAAGAACCGAGTGGCCATCGTCTTGGGATATCGTGTGTGTACAATGCGTTTTAAAATTCGATTCATCTTGATGACTCCAATGTCGATTAGCTGGATTGTGAATGTATATACATGTACATATATCAAGAAATAGCAAATATATAAAACGACATTAGCTCTAGTACGATTGGTGTACACTTTTGTACCTAATATAATAGGGCTACTGGCAGAAGACTCTGTATAAGTAGAACCTCTGGAATTATTGGGGTTTGTCTGAATGTTCAAATGGTAACTCATGAGAATAAGTAATGAGACCAAGGAAGAGGGCCTGACATTCCCTTTTTCTTTCTTTTTTTAACTTCTTATATTCTTACTGCATAAGAATCATAATCGGCATCAACTCCGAAGCTGCTATTTGACTTGTCACGTCATTCTCTTTTCAGCTCACACAATTCACTATTATTTTTCTTTTTTTAATGGTAATAAAAATAAAATAAAAAATTAAAAGCTTAAAATATACTAAAGAGAAGAAAGCAAAGAGAGGGGAAAATAGTAAAGTCTGTGTGTCTGCGTGTATATTTTACTGGGTGTAAAATCAATACCAAAAAAAAAGACCTGCTTTTGAAGTTGCATTGAAATAATAATAAGGGGTTTCAACAGCCCTTTAAGCTTTTAACCTTAGGCCTTGAGTCTTAAAGCAGTAACCAATAATACGTAAGAGTTACAGTGTTTTTGAGTACCCCTAAATGTTTCTTTCAGTTCTATTAGGCATTGTGATAAAATAGTATAAGTTTAAAAAGAATATTTAAAAAGGCAAAAATATTTGCATCAACTCTATTGAATTTCCAGAAAAAATAATAATCAAATTTAAGCAAAGATGTATTAAAAGCTTAAAATTCTCAAAGTTTTTCTTTCAAGAGTTTTAATCTTTTTTTTAATGGTTACTAGACGGTATTTAAACTTTTGTATGGGTAACAACAGTTCAAGAGATTGTAAACTTGACATGTTCATTAGCAAGTAAGAACTAGTGTTTGGTTGTGAAGTCTGATCTTCAATCAATTGTGGTGGGTATATCACAGGCTACATTGGCAAAAAAAAAAGCATACTCAAAATATTTATTAAATATTAATTTATTAACACTGATAATCATAAATAAAAACAAAGTATTAAATACAATATCATTTTTCTTTACTTGTATTAAATTATTAACTAGCTCTTTAAATTATATATAAAACAAAAAAAATTAAATAGTTATTTTTTTTATTTATTTAAAAAAAAAAAAAAAGACACTTACACATCAAAGTGCAATATTATATGTGAAATCCCATTATTTAATTTTCACTTGCCGACCTTTTTTTGCTACTTTACTTGTAGCACATAAAAAATAGACAGTTTAGTACAATTTTTTCTAAAGTACGATTCTATATCCGAAGTGGTAAAATTTCGCTTTTTTTATTATACGAACTTAGGAGAAACAAAATATTGAAACACCGTCGCATTTTTTTTTGTGTAGGAAAACTGCTAGCCTCACAAAAATGCCACGCTCCTAGGTGTTTTTAAATTACTAAAAACAGCTTAGACAGTTTGAGTTCCAAAAATGCCCTGCAGTCTGCCAGAAATACTTGACATTTGAAATTCAAATTAATTATTTTATTTTTTTATTTTATTTTATTTTTGCTTTTTTACGAGTTTTCAATTAGTCTTTGATTTTTTATTATTACTTTACAACAAGTAATTGACCCTCTTATTCCAATCATAATTTTATTTAAATATTATTCTGCAATGCAATTGAGGTGTTTGTGATTGATTTTGGGTTAGTATCTCAATATTAGAAAAAATAGATACTGTGAGAGTGTTATTTATTAAAGAAAGTTAAAATAATATTCGAAATGTTTGGAACTGGCTTTAGTATAGTATCTCAACATTAGAAAGAGTATATACTGTGAGAGTGCTATTTATTAAAGAGGTAGAATAATATGTTTATATATATCAATCGATAAAGACTTTCTTTTTCTTACTATTCAATTTGCCTCTCTTAATATTTGTACCTCCGCTGTGTCACGTCTGGCGCACAAAATCTACCTACACACACACATAAATCCACCCACGCACAGATAAATCTACCCAGGTACGCAAATCTACCCAGGCACACATAAATTCACTCGGACACACACACATCTGTTTTGTGATGAATTTATAAACCTATATAAAGAATAAATCAATAAATAATTAGCATACTTTTTGGAAGTAGAATTCTCCACCTCCCCTCAAGCCTTATATAACTCTTCGCTATGAAAAGTCTAGCTACTATATATCACAATTAATGTGTAAAAATGAGTTGAGCAGTTTATTGAATGAATAGTAGACTTTAAGCGATGTGGTTGTAAAACAATAAGATTTGCAGAGTTTTTGAAGGCAAAGTCTAAATCACGCGCTTATACTCCAACTTTTAAAAGATATAGATACATTGATTTCAGCCAATTATATTTTAAAATGTAAACTCAAGGCCTAAGTTTAAAAACTTAGGGGCTTCTCAAGCACCCGCCAAGGTCCTAAATGTTGGCGGTGATTTCCATATACGGATTGGCGAGAGTTTCTTAAATTAGTAACCTTCGCCAAAAGTTTGGCGACAGCAAAAGTCGAATCCAAAGTTTTGGCGAATCGCCAACAAAATTGGCTAAATTAAAAAATCTTTGCTAATACTTATTTGGATTTCAACGCCAACTTTTAGGTCTTTGGCGAGTGCTTGAGAAGGCCCTTAAATGATTGTTGAAACCCCCTAATGTACGCATTGATCCTTGACTTTGACTTTGAATTTGACTTTTACTCCCGCTAAGCATAAAAACGTCACAGCACTGTCACAGCTACTTTGTTTCATGCGGTATTTTTAGACTTACAGACACACAAAGCAAGAGGTCCGAGCCAAAGGAATGTCCGGATCGGAATTGAAGAATTACATTTCATTGTGCATCTCTGTCCCTCTGTGCCTTGGCCACACGACAAGATCGCCTTTCTTTCTTTCTTTTTTATTTTATTTGAAGTTATCGCGACAGTCACACCAGTACATTGACGTCTCTTTTTTCTTTTCTCTCTCCTCTGTTTTTTTTTGGTCTTTATTTTCTTTATTAAATTAATTAATAAATTAATTTGTTTCGTCTTCTTTTGATCGCTTTACCTTGTCTATTTGACCTACTTCTTTTAAACAACATTATCGTCGATTTCTAGGTTATAAGCATGTTAAACCATTTGTATGTCCAATATTGGCAATAGATTGAAAGCCAGTGCGAATATCTTGTCAAATCGCGTCCAGTCCCTTCAAAACGTGTCTTTTTGGTGAGGTCCGCGGTTGGTACTCCGATGGACATCTATTGTGTAAGACTTTATTACTTTTGAAATCTTATTATCGATTGATGCTGTTGTTTTGTGTTGGTCTATAAGGTTATTTAGATCTTTCTCTTTATAGCTATTGTCGACCCAAACTATTGACAGGTCTCAAAATAATGTGAACATTGTACAGCTAGCTATTGGCATTTGCTAATAAATTGATCTAAAAAGTTAGTTCAGTAGAAGAAGTATATTTTTTGATTTAAGAATACAATTGATGTAAAGCAGATTAGAGGTATTTTTTTTTATTTTATATATATTTTTTTTTATTTATATATTTATATATATATACACACATACGTATATACTTACCAAGATGATGAACACATTATATCCTTATATAATGCTTGTTATAAAACTTCCGCTCTCAATTGTGCAGCTCACTCTTTTTTTTATATATATATTTTATTTTTATTTTTTGCCTTTTTTTTTTTAAATAATAAAAAAAAATTCTTTTGTTTCTTCCCTTCCCATCCCTTCTTCTTGATTAGCACGCAATGAAGTTTGGCTCTCAGTTAAAAGAAACAATCTACCCCGAGTGGCAGGCAGCCTATCTCGACTATGACGGTCTCAAAAAGAAGCTCAGAAAGGCTGAAAAAGACAGACCATTCACAGAAAAAGACGAAACTGAATTCGTAGAGATGCTCGACAGTAATCTCGAAAAGGTAATCCTAGTGTACAGCTCAAACAATACTACAACAACAACAACAAAGAAGAAGGAATCTACATTCTAGTTCATAAATGACAAGACGTCTCTTTTTCTTTTTTTTCTTTTTCTTGGTGAAACACTTTTACACCTGCTAATTTTCCTTTTGATTTATTGTATTATCTTAATATATATATATATATAATATAATATACTAAATAAATCTGCCATTATTAGGTCTATGCTTTCCACAAGGAAAAGATGGAAGAAATCAGAAGAAACACAGATGAGGCTGTAGAAACTGCCGCATCACAGATCCCTAGTCACGACTCTGTTGAAGAAATGGGTCGCATCCAAGGTCATATCAATGAAATTGCTGATGATATCAACCGTCTCTCGCGCTTCTCTCGTCTTAATTACACCGGTTTCCTCAAAATTGTCAAGAAGCATGATCGCCACACAAACTATGTCCTCAGACCCATGTTTATGGTCCGACTGAACCAATGCCCTTTCTGGAACGAAGATAATGACGCTCTTCTCATCAAATTATCAGAGCTATTCAGCAAGATCAGAGATGGTGGTAGAACAATGTCCTTCCAGCCTGCAAGTGAACTCAGAGACGCTATGGAAGTCAGAGTAGATGGACGCAGGACGGTCGTAAAGCGTTTCTTTGTCCAGAGCGAAAATGTGCTCGAACTCAAAACTTACATTCTTCGACACCTGCCTGTCTTGGTCTACCGAGACGCTAGTAAGCAGCAGGCCAACATTGATCCCCCAATCTCCTCACTTTACTTTGATGATGCCGACTTTGATTCTTACAACTCCCGCGTCGAGACGGCGCTTGGATCTCAAATCATTCGCCTCAGATGGTACGGAAGTGCAAAAGGAAATAGCTCAATTGCATTCGAGCGAAGAACTTTGGCAGAAGAAAACCGGGGTGAGCTCAAGGATCGGTTTGTAATCAAGGATAAGTACATTGCTGGCTTCCTCAAGGGTGAGCAGATATTTATCGAAAAGACAGCCAAGAAGATGCGCAAGATGGCAGGAAAGTCAGAAGAAGAAGTCCAGAAATTCGAACAACTTGTTCATCAGGTTCAGGATACAGTAATGTCTCAGCAAATGCAACCAGGTAAGTTTATTATGCACATCAACACACACACGGGCATTCAGATGCACATGCGCATATCTTTATACACAATCCCACTAACTAATTACTATTTTTGTTATTATATATATATATATAGTTTTGCGTACCTTTTATAAGAGAACTGCTTTCCAGATCCCCGGTGACAACAGTGTTCGTATGGCTCTAGACACAGACCTGTGCTTCATTCGCGAAGACTCTAATATGTTCCCCAATGACAATGTTGTCCGTCGCGGAGAGAATGACTGGAGACGTCCTGATGTCGATACCAATTTCCCCTTCCAGAAACTAAAGGATGGTGAAATTAGCAGAGCACCATTTGCAACCTTTGAAATTAAGCTTGACTTGGGTAATAATGAGAAGGAGCCTGATTGGGTTACCGAACTTCAGGACATTGGCATCCTAGAAGAAGCTTTCGAGTTTAGCAAATTTGTCCATGGTATTGCCGTCATTTTTGACAGCCGTGTCTCTCTTTTACCTTACTGGTTGGCCCAGATTGATGACGATGATACCAAGCAACTTCCAGTATTGCCTTCTCAATCCCCATCGGTAGTTAAGGGATCTCACTCTCATAAGGGTAAAGGAAGAGCCTTGCTGGATCAAAGTCCCGAAGAAGTACGAGTACACATGGAATATCCTGAGCCCAGTGAGCGTACTTCTCTGCTTCGTAATAACCAGCCCTCAAGCTCGTACTCCAGTGCTCCCATCTCACCCCCTAAGGACCAGCCCGAGAGTGTGCTGGAAAAGATTCGCAACTGGCCAGAACACATCGGCCAGAGCTTCCACCATATGCTCAGCCAAGACAAACCCAAGCAGACCAGAGAGCCGGTCGTTCTCCCTCCTGGTGTCAGAGTTCCCAAAAAAGTCATTACTCCTCTTCGTGTGGAGCCAAAGGTGTTCTTTGCCAATGAGAGAACGTATTTCTCTTGGATGTCATTCGGAACACTTCTTTCCACATTCTCAATTGCTCTCTTCAATGCAGGCGACACTGTTGGCAAAGTCAGTGGCATTGTCTACACCCTCGTATCACTTTCAACATTGATTTACGGAATGGGACTCTACTACCGACGCAGAGAACTCATTCGAGCAAGAGCAGCTGGGCCTTATGATGATGTTATGGGCCCTACTGTGATTTGCTTTGCCCTTTTATTTGCCGTCGGATTAAATGCATACCTTAAATTTACCGTTAAAGGCCCCTCTTTGTTTTACCTTTAAGACCAAAACATACTCATTTACCCACCTATTATTCTTATATTAAGCTCTCTACACTCTTTTTTTCTCTTCTTTATTTCTTATTAATCATATATAGGTATGTGTTTGCTACCAAAAATTTCCAGTAAAAATATTATTTACATACATTTGTGTGTCTGTGTCTGTGTGTGCCTGTGTGCATTTCATTTATTTTATTAAATTGTATGGAAAGGGAGGTGAAATATAACTTTGAATGATTCTGTAATATATTGCACAGCATAAAGGGCTCTTGCTGGTCAATCGATGCAAGTGTCTTCTTTTTTTTTATCTTGATTTACAGTATATATATATATATAATAAGTATAGTAGGCATAGTAGGTATAGTAGGTATATTTATAATCTAAAGAATAATAATAATAATGACAGAAAAAAAAATATAAATAAAATATGTATTCAACATAGTTATGTATATATCACCTTATACTGTGTGATGCAATGTAGTAAATTTACAATGGAATGATAAAGCTCTAGTAAAAAGAAACAGAGATGATGTGCTTTTTAAGCAAAGTCCAGTTTGATCAGGGCCAGCAAGATATTCTGGAGTACGTGCACCATGACTAGAACAAAGCCAATGATCATTTCCGGATATTGTGTAAACTCTCGGATGGCCTGCTGGGTAACCGAGTGTTTGAAATAACGTTTGAATGTCCACCGGGTGATATACGCACTCGTCAGCTCACTTGTCCAGATAACCAGGGCAGCTATAAAAGTTGTTCGATGAGTGTATGGACTGTCTTCTGAGACCTGTTCGTCAAAATGGAAATAAGGGTAGGCGGCCCGGTTGGGTCCAAAGTGTAAGATGTTGACCCAACAAAGGAACCCAAGCATGGTTGTGTTTTCTGCCAGGTTACGAAGATAAAAAGAACGCCCGATCTTATCTCGGTATTCCTCATAAGTCAATGTTGTTCCAAACATACGAACACACAAACTATGGGTGTGGCGGGTTATGACAAGGGGATAGTAAATGCAAACCCAGAGAAAAGAACCTAGCTGGACGAGAGCAAACTGGTCAACCGATCGAAGTCTGGCAAATAGATTACGATAAAATATAAAATAAATCATAAAGAAGTAGAGCTTGAAAACGGTTGCGAGAGGATAAGATCGGACCCGTCGGTGTATAATGTAGTCTGTGATGGCGTCCATGACATATATTGCTCCCACCCAGCTGTAGACATATACTACGGCATCTAGAGATGTGTGCGGAAGAGTAGAGAGGAATACGTATGCATATATTTCACCGCTCACCAGGGCAAACAAGGCAATAAAAAGCGCTACACAGAACCATAGAAACCGTCGGTAGGATGCGGGGATGTGAATGTGCGTGTGTTCCGACGGACTGATAAAGATGGATATTGTTTTGGGGTCGCCGAAAGCAGGATAAAGCTTTCGTTGGCTTCTTTTCATGTTATGTAAGTGAATATTGATCAATGCGCCCAGAACAGGCAACCACATATTCAAAAAGGTGAGGAAGACCCAGCTGAGCGTGTACTTGTCTAGGTTTGTAAAGTAATATCCTACTACTGCGACAGCTTGGGTAGTTAGCCAAAAGAGCATAAATGTGACTTTAGCCCCTAACGGTTTAGGCCACCACTAAAAGATAAAGGTAAAGATAAAGAAGATAAATGCACATGTCAAGGATATTTTCGTTGTTGTTTTTTTTGTTGTTTTTTTTTATATTGTACAATTGGTTCTCTGGCTTACATTGACAGCATAAATGCTAAACATTTTTGTAATCAAAAATAACGCAATTGCATTGTAGACGCCATAGTACCAAAACAAAAAGAACCAAAAATTGATGAGAGTTGGCTGATTATTAGGCTTTTCTGCTAATGGCAGAATTGATATCGCGGGTGAAAGACTGTACGGATCGTAGTCGCATGGCAGTGTTGCACAATCATCAAACGGTATAGGTATTGAGCACCAGATGAGTACCTTACAATCGACATTAAAAGTTAATATAACCATAGGATTTAAATACACATATTTCAAACAAATTTATTGCCTACAATTAATACTGGTAATATGTTTAAGATAAAACCGCGCTTCCAAAACGATTCTGTCCAGCGGGTAACTCGATCTGTAGAGGGTATAATTATCTGACTTAAAAGAGGTGTCTGTTCGTCTGGTATTGTGGCAGAGTGCACTATGTTATTGATAGAAGGAGATCTCCACAGCTCATCACAGCTATACTGTATGTATATACGTTATGTATGTAAGTTTAATAAAAATAACAATACTAGTTAGATACCAAAAAAAACAGCATTTTTCTGCATGTCTTGACGTATGTAAAAAAAAAAAGGGGGGATAATATTTAAGGCACAGGATATTCCGAGCCGTAGCTTACGTTCCAAGAATCCTCGCTGTTGCCTTGTTGAAATTGGTGGTACATTGCAACCCACAGAGGTTGGACTGATTAGAATGGTGAATGGCAACAATGGGTCAATGACGCCAAAGATGAAATTGAGTAGAAGAAGAAGCAAAGTTGAACTGGAACACGAAAGAGATTTCTGAGTTTGTCTAGTTTAGGATGACCCGAGTATTGTTCTCGGTTAAAATGAAAAAAAATAATATATATAGAAAAAATTGGTATATGTAAACTTCTGGGACCTGGAGACTCTACTGCGGTTTCAATTTTTAATTAATATAATATTACTATTCTTCTTCTACTTCTTCTACTTCTACTTCTACTTCTTCTTTATTTCATCAGTTGAAGAATGAGGTCAATATAATTACCATTATTTATTTATTTTTAAAAAAAAATGTTGCTTAGAATAAATAGATTTTTTAAAGCTAGATGACAGTCTATACTTATTCTATAATTCTTTGATTCCTATTTATGTTAATAGGGCTATTGACCAACAAACTAGCCCTCTTGACCTAAAAAGAAAGACTACTCACAAAACCCACTCTTTATTTCAATTCTATTTGTATTTTTATATTGTTTTCACACACGCATATATATATACAGTCAAATTGAGTAGATTGTGCTTGTTTAAAAAGAAAAAAAGGCACATATATAAATATATATAATGATTCATTAAACAAGGCACTTTATTCTTTTTGAAGGAAAAACTAATCGACTGATTTGTAGGCCACACCGTATGATGGAGTGTCCTAAAATCACAAAATAAATCAAACAGTGCCACAAGCCCCACTTTAAGAGACTGAACTCAAACAAACAGTATGACAATGACACAATGGCACGATTATGGTATTTGAGTCTTTTTTATTTTATTTCTACAGAAACGGTTGATTTTTAAATTTCACGAGTAAATGTGTACCAACCAATCGTTTCAGTATGACAGCCTAACTTATCTTGATTAAATGTCCTGTGCAAAATAATAGTTTGCATGTAATTAAGAGAAAATGGTAATGATACTAATATCTAACTGGCAATGTCAGTATTCAATTTTATCTTGATTAGTAACCAAGTTCTCTATCTCTCTTCTTTAACTAAGTCTCACATAGAATCATAAGCGTTATGAAGAATATTATTCCAATGTTGAGCAAATACTTTTTATTAATATCATTTCTTTATGAGAAAAAAATTGGACTGTAAATAGCTTAAAATAAGAATCTACGATCAAAGAAAAGGTACAAAAACAAACATACTTTAATGCAGTTTTCTGCACACTAATTCCAGGAAAATCATCTCATCAGATATCAAAGTAAAGGCTTCAAGAGCTTAATTGCTTTTTAGTTTCAGTTCTCCAATAAATATATTACTCTAATTTTGTATACAGACCAGAACTTTTGTCACCATATTTTCCTGTTTTTTTCTTTAATGAATGAGAATGCATCTTATACACAGTACCTCAAAAACTTTGGAATGGGTGTATGAAGTCATTTCTAATGGACCCATTTGCTTTGCATGTAAAGTTGTTCCAATACAAGGTGAATGCTGAGGTGTCTATAATTCATCTTATTACTGTCAAAAAAAAATCTACATTTTACCATTGATTTTTATATTTAGAGCTATAATAAACGTATATTACCAGCTAAATTATTTCCAGAATAACTCTAGGCTTTTAACCTGAGAAAGTAACATCTTAAATATAACTAAAGGTCATGGCCATATATAAGCATCAATAGAACCGAGTTAAGGTACACAATAAAGAACTCACATATTCGATATTATGCCTTGCGCTGTTAAAATTCCTCAAACCAACGCTTTTACACACACACACACACACACACTTCAATTATCTACTGAGGTAAAGTGTAGAAGATGTCAAAATCTGCATTTTTTTTTTGTAGAAAATTTGGGAGTACATATATTAGATTTGCATCATCAAGTACCCAAGTCTAGAAAAAAATAGAGGTGAGAAGGGTTAACAGTGATATTGAACATATTGAGAGCATCCACAAAAGTAGCATTTCCGACAGCATGGATATCAGCAATCTTACAAGGACGACGTTTCTATCTAGCCGGATTGATTGCTTGTGAATACCTGCTCTAGGCCCGGTGTCTTTCTCTAATCCTTCAGGGCAAAATGGTATGTCCTGAAAAAAAATTATCCTATATCAAAAGCCAGTTATACATAAAATTATAAGCTATTGCCATTACAGATTTTTGGACACAATCTTGTTGGATATTTTATTAATTATTGGCCTTCTTACCCGTATTATGTCTTTCTCTTGCTTTCACTTATTGCACCGATGCTACTAGAAAGCGGCCCAATGTTTGTCATTGAAAGAACCAGCTGGTAAATAATCCCTACCCACCCTTTTTATATTTTTATTTTTACAAAGCACAAAAGTAAATCTTGATATGAGTACTATGTACAGTTAAGGACTAGAGATAATTATCCCATACCGGCAAGAAAGTCCCAGCTTGTGGTCCGGAAGAATAAAGATGTCGTCTACAACCAGGAAACGTCGTCCCCCTAAAATTAGCATTCTAGAAAATACAGTCAAGACAGCTAGTGAGAGGATAAGAATAAAATTTCATCGATCGTCTTTTGGGATGCCAATATCACTGTTGACTTGGAGAGGAAGCAGTCGGTCGGCCGCTTTCCAAAGACCTAAAAAAAAACAGCTTTTCTTTCTCGAGGCATTGAGATGATTACAGGCAAACGTCTAAATACTACTTTTTATCTGAAAACGGATTTTTTTCTGTCTACATTTTATTTTTTCGTTTGTTTAAAAAGATTCCTGATGTGTCTCAATATCAAGTAGAAAGACTGTATTAGAAGCCTAAGTACACTGCCTCTATTTTTTTTAAAGAGAATAAAATAAAAAGTAAAAAGTGACTCACCTACGCTGGTTATTACTTATTCTGAATAGAATATCCTTACACAGATAATTGCACATGAAAGCTTATACGTATTATGTATATTTATGACAACAATTATCAAACAATAAAATATGCTGGGCTCAATGGGCATATTGATTCGGGACGCCCAACCGTTTATTCCTGGTATGGGAGCCGCACAAAACTATGATAGTAACACATATGAAAAATAAATAAATAAAAAAGCATTGTAAAGCTAGATACGCAGTTCTATTTTGACTTTTCGCCCCCCCGGGGATCCTCAGA